GATAATTTCGTGTCGGTATCAGGCGTGTTACGATATTGTAGAACAGCAATTTGTAAGGCGTTTGTGTTGAGGCTACCAGTGGGGCCGGTATTGTTCGTGATGAGGCGTTTCACAGTTTTAACGGCAACCTCCGCGCGGCAATTTGAGTGCGGGAATGCAACGGAGGCGAGGCGGTGGTGTACTCCCCATTGTTTGAGGAACTGCCGTGTTTTGACGGCGGTGAATTCTGGTCCGCCGTCAGTAGCGCATTCGTCTGGGATCCCAAAGGTGGTGAAGACGCGACGTAGGCAATTGATTAGTCCGTCGCAACCGTCTTTGGCTCGTTCGATAATAGGCCAGTTAGAGTAACGGTCTACGATTACGAGATAGTTGGATCCTTTGTAGTGGAAATAATCCGCACAGATGCACTGAAAGGGGTAGGCTGGTGAGATGGTTGGTGTGGGTGGTGCGCTGGGTTGGGATGGTGCTATCCGGTTGCAGTGGTTGCATTGCGTACGCATTGCTGCAATATCTGAGGTGATTCCCGGCCAGAAGACTGAGTCCTCTGCGCGGGATGTCATGGATGATATGCCCTGGTGTGCCGAGTGTAGAACTTCCAGGATATTTTTGCGTAACAGTGGTGGGATAACCACACGATCTCTGTACATGATGACGCCGTCCACTGTGTAGAGGCTGTGGCGGAACTGGTAGTATTCTTGTAATGGTGTTGGCAGGTCATTACGTGAAGCTGGAAAGCCAGATTCAATGACATTCATGAGATCGTGCATAGTGGTGTCGCTTGCAGTTGCCATGCGCACCCTGTCCCAGGTTGTGGCGACGTTTGTAAGTGCTAGGGAAGCGAGTGAAGCGATGGTTTCGTCAAAGCCGGTGTATGGTAGTGTCCTTCAACTCTGCTATGTCGTCCTGGAGGTAAAGCATGGTGGGGTTCTCTGGACCTGTGGGGTGGCGGAGATCGCATCGGCGGCTTTGTGACGGATACCAGGGATATGGATCATTTTGAATCTGTACCTCAGTGTCTTCTCCTTGAGATTACGTAGGCGGGGGTTTGGGATGTTTTCCAATGTCCGATCACCGAATAGTTTGAGCAGGGGTTTGTGGTCTACGGCGATTGTGAGGTTGGTGCAACCGAGCACGAAGAACCTGGCTTTGTCGTCTGCGACGCCAGTGCCTCCCCTTCTATCGGTGCATATCGGGATTCAGCAGCATGTGTGAAGCGGCTGCCGACCAGGCTGATCTTCCACCCGGTGTGGCAGCATAGGGGTCCAGTCGACTGGCATTCACAGTGTTTTTGCAGTAGCCAGAAGCCGATGCCGTGTTTTGACCAATCAGTGGCTAGACAAGTGGGACGTGTCTTGTCAAAGATGCGAACGCCCTCGTGGATTTCATTTATGATAACGGATTTGGATTCTTCAAAGAGTGTGTTAAGTTCCTCGTCCCAATAAAACTTCGTGCCGGGTTTTAGCAGTTTTCTAAACGGTAGCATGCGTTCAGTGGCTCCAAATGCGTATGAGACTTGATTGATCAGGCCAAACCAAGAGCGGATGTCAGTGATACTGCGCGGCTTTGGGAAATGGCGAATAGCATCGATGAATTTCCTGCTTGGGCGAACAGAGTTTGATGTGATTTCAAACCCTGCAAACTCGACTGTATCTGAGCCGAAGACAAATTTGTCTGGGTTGAGGATAATGCCGTTTCGACCGCAGATATCTAACCATTCGACAGCCTGATGAAAACTTTGGGTGAGGTTATCTGCCCAAAGTAGGGTATCGTCTATGCATTTGGTTTTGTTTGGAATGTGTGATACAATCTCATCGAACCGGCGTGAGTAACCGTCCCCCGAGGCAATGTACCCTTGTGGTGCTGACTTATACCGATAGCGACCCCAGGGAGTGATAAAGGTGGTGAGGTGTCTGTCGTCTGGGTGAAGGGGAACGCTGTGATAACCGTTCCAGCAGTCGAACACTGACTTCTTTTTGCCACTGGGAACAGAGCGTGCCTGGTGAAAAGGGCTCTGGGTGGTGGGTCTCCCTAGTGGCGTTTGCATTTAGTGCCTGTAGGTCAACGGTTCGTCGTGGTTTACCGTTCTTTTCACAGATGACCATCCTGTGGCACCAGGTGACAGGCTCGCCGATTGGGACGGGTTCAATCACGCCGAGGGCCACGTCTTGGTCAAGGCCAGCTTTCACCTCGTCCTGCCAGTGTAAAGGGACTGGGATTGGTGTATGGTGTGCTTTAGGTTTCGCATTTGGGTCAATCATGAGACGCATTGGTGGACCTTCCATGCGTGGCAGTGTTGTTGCTCGCAAGTGTTAAACGTGCTGGACTTGTAGTGATGGAGCAGCCAGTCCTCTATTTTTTCGGTTATCTTCGATTGCAGGAAGGGCAGTACTGTGGGTTTAGGTGGCGGCAGTTGGCGATGCGCTTTGATGGGTGTTCTGCTACAACGTGAATAGACTGGTTAGTATGTATGTCTACTGACATTGTGTCTCCCACGGTGGGGAAGCTGTTTGGGATGATTCCCAGGGCGGCGCATCTCACGACTGAGGAAGAGTTTATTTGAGTCACGAGTGACATATACAATTTGACGGCTCTCCAACACTCGTCCGTCTTTGGATTGACCAGAGAATCTCACGATGGCTGCACCGATGATATCGATGCCATTGTTGTTCGCAGCATGCATGCGCATAGTGACTGGAAGCAGGTCTTTCTGGCGTAGTCCTAGTCGTTTCATTATATGCATGCTAGCAAGGCAGCTCTGGCATCCAGTGTCCGCCATAGCATTCAATGTGACTGAGCGATGTCTTGTAGAATGCAGGGTGTACCCGAGGGCTGTGTAGTCCTCTGGGTGACACTTCGCATTTATATGGAGGAACGGTTGGGATTGTGACGGTTTTTTCACCCAACGGTCATTCATGTCATTGTAAGTATGGTGGTCTAGCAGGATTCCGTTGTTGCAATGCTGATGGCTTTTTGTCATGCATAGGTTGTCAAACACTGCATCCTCTTGGTCTCGGTTTGTTGTGTTTTGCGTCCCGACGCTTAGTTTTGTTTTTGCTTCTGCACATGGGGTTGTGGTTAGGCGTCCGCAGCTATCGCATGTTTTGCCGTAGGCTGGGCATTCCTGTCGTCGGACATTGGGTGGGGCGTTTCTACCATGGCCATGTTTGCCACAGTAGGAACATGGCCCAGTTTTATTGGTTTGCACGCCCTGGGTCATATTGTCTTGTTTGCTGCGGCGATATTGGCTTCTGGTAGCATCGATGCTTTGGCTATTGAGTAGGTGGGTGGCCGAACGTCTGCCGGCTTCTTTGGCTTCTATGAACAGAAATGCCTCTTCCAGTGTCATATTTTGATTTTTATCGCTGAGCAAGTCTATTTGGATGTCGCTGTCGGCGATTCCAACGGTTAATGCGTCGCGTAGGATGTTGTCTGTGTAGTTGATTTCTGTTGGGCAGTTGGGACAGTTAATCGTAAACTTGCATACGCTGGCTTGTCCACGAAGACGTGCACCGAAGCTGCGGATAGTTTCGTCACGGTCCTGGCGCATGTTGTGTAGTTTGATGCGGGCCACCATCGTGTTTTCCTCTCGTACAGCGAGTTCGCGGATTGCAGCCATGACTTCGTCGATGGGTTTGTTTGTGAGGGTGCCGCCAGCGTTTCTGGTGAGGTCCTTACGAAGCGTTTCGTCACAGCATTCGAGTAATTGGATTACTTTGTCTTTGCCGGTTATTTTTGTGGCTTCGACATAATCCTGCCAGCGCGTTTGGAAGTATGTCCATTCCTCACTGGACCCAGCAGCGGATATAGTTGGCCGTCTGACCTTTTCAATCTTCGCCGTGGCGTTGATGCCCGTGCGTGTGTTCGTTGCTTGGCTGTTATTGTGAACGCCGGTCGAGTGGATTTGCAACAATACCGCTGCGAGTTGGTCCTCAGCTTCCTCTGTCTCGTAATCGCAGTCTGGATAGGGGCATTTGTACTTCGGCATTTTCGTGCACACGTAAGGTTATGACCTGCCTCTGGTGGATGGGAAGTACTCGGAGTAATTCAACGCCGCCGGAAAAATGGCGCCAAATATCAGCGATCGATAAGATGATGGTGTTTACTGCAATTTTTTCTTTATCTCGGGGTCAGAAGGAGTGTTATTAACGCCTTTACCGGTGCTGCTCGTTACTTTGGTTGTATGGCTGCCTTCGGGTTAATAAATTTCGTAGATATGCTCCTGCCCTTGGCCAAATAGGTTCCGTGTTGTTGCTGATGGCGTGTCGCGTTTCGAACTACTTATAGTGTTGGATTGTCCGATCTTTTCGTCTGTATTTCGCTCGTCTGCCGTTATAGGTCGTTTTAATTGTTGTTTGTCATAGATAAGACTTAGTCTATTTCACGAAATGAGGATCTTGTAAAATATATATTGAGAGACAAAATACAAAGGTCATTCGTTTACGAATGACAAACAACAATAACGGTTGGGTCCAGGCCCCTTATTACTCAACGATTATCCCATTATGCTCTATAGACGTAGTAAGGTGTGCACTGAGTCCTCTGACACTGTTACTGGAAATTGAAATCCCATCACTGTTACCACTATTCTTCACCTTTTGTTGCTCCTTTCCGCAATGGCAGCAAAATTTTGCCCCTTCGGGATTCACGCCTCCACAAATTTGACAGTACATTAACAAGTATAACAAATAATATTAAAACGCTTTTGGATGTTGATGTTCTTTACTTATTCAATGATTCAACTTTAACTTAGTTATGGTAATACTTCATGATATATTTGCTAAAGTACATTTATTTTGCATGAACCGACTTAATTTGCAGCAACAGACTTAACTTGCAGCAACAGACTTAACTTGCAGCAACCGACTTAATTTGCAGCAACAGACTTAACTTGCAGCATCCGACTTAATTTGCAGCAACAGACTTATGGAAGTTGCATGCCCCTTGTGGGCCACCGTACTTGTGGGCCACCGTACTTGTAGGCCACCGTATCCGCCATTACTCTGGCCAGTAACTTGACGCTGGCCTACTATAAAATAATATTGGAAAAGTGCGATTTTTTGGATAATAATCGCCTAAAACGCAAACTGTTTTGGAAGATCATGGAATTTTGTGACAAAACGTGAAAGAAATAAGGTGAGAGACTATTATTTAATTGCTGGCAAGTCCGTAAAGGTTTGTTATTGGTAAAAATTACATGTTTCAATATAGAGTGTTTATTTTACTGCTATAGAGTTGTCAGTATGTTAGGTGAATAGAAGTCCAAAATTAAAATCTCTTGCGTTTTCGTCCACTCTGAATTATAAATTTCAAACTTTTGAGGTGTTATTATAAATGTATTACTTAAAACACAAACTTGTCAGAGTTTTACTTGTACCAACGCTGTAATATTTCAGGTTGCAACTTGCCAACTTGCTAAACTATAAATTAAGTTAATCAACCAGCTAACCAAGTAATCCAGTAATGATTCATGATGTTTGTGTGTGAATTATAACTGATAATAATTTGCAACATTCAGTTTCAAACCATGGAGGGTTTGTTTATCATTTTAAGCATGAGTGACATGTTAATATGTTTGTAGTTGGGCATTTTTAACACCAAATGTAGTTTTAGTGAGGTATACACTCTGTTTGCCCTATTTATAAATTTTGCCTTGCTGTGATTTGTGCTCTATTAAATTTATTACCAATAGTTATGATTGATTTTCTTATATATTTTTCCAGTTGTTATTTTGGCATTCAGTTCTCAAGTGAGGATTATGTTGCAAGTGTCTTGTGTTATGTAGTTTTAGTATGTTGGATTAGATTTTAGTGGCTACTTGTTGCAGTAGCCTGTTAAACTTTGTTAAATTCTATTACGTTTTTATTATGATTGGGTGGTTTTTGTAAGGGTGCTCTATTAAACATTGATCACAATTTCTTCAGCTTAATTGTTTAGTATACCAATATTTATAGAGAAATTAGCATTTCTTCTGCACCCCCATCTAGCTTAAGCTAGGAGGGCTGCACACCCCTCTCTTATATCCATCTCTGAATAAAGTTGTCATTAAATTTTTTAAATGTAAATATGTGTACTGAATTGCTGTATTTTATTGTGTACATTCTATTGCATGAAATGCACACATTCTAAATTTAAATTGTTTTGTGTTAAAGATGCCAATGGAAGAATTCAATAAGTCAACGAGTGCTGTGAGAATATCAGTGGAGTGGATTTTTGGTGACATTATAAACTACTTTAAATTCCTTGATTTTAAGAATCTAAAAATTAGCTTAAGTTCTGTGGGCAAAATGTATATAGTTGCATCACTGCTTAGAAATGCTCTAACTTGTCTTCAATCAAATATGACAAGTGATTTTTTTCAGTTGGAGCCACCCTCTCTTCAAACATATTTCTCATAATTTTTTTGTGAATATTTCTTGTTTCTCATACATTATAATTGCAAATTATTTTATTTGTCTGCAATTTTTGTTAAAAAAAACATGATTAGTTTATTTGTCAGCAATTTTTGATAAAAGAGCTACTAGGGCTTGTGATAGTTGTTGCTGTTGTTGAACCAGTAACATTTGATTTGCTTGAATTTGCTGGTTTTGTTGCCTTTGCAATTCAATCATGTTTTGCAGCAACTGATTTTGTTTCTCCATGAATTGCTGTTGACTTTCTTTCTCATTCTGTATTTGCAGCCTTTGCATTTCTATTTTCTCTCTTTCCAATTTTAAGCTTTCCTCTCTTAATTTTCTTTCTTTCTCCCCCTTTTCTCTTAGAAACTCTAAAGTAGAATCTCCTCCTTTCCTAACTTTTTTTCTAGCACCACGTTGCTTGCTTTCCTTTCGCTTCCTGGTTTCGGATAGGTTTTCCATAGCCCTTCTCCTTATCTCCTCTGCTGCTTCTTTGTCTGCATTATTTTTTCTTCTTTCTGCAGCTGTAGCCTCAGCAGCAACAACATCACTAGCTTTTTCTCTAGCATAAATTTCTTCAAGTAAATCATCCAGCTCAGTTGCTTCTGGAGGAATGCCACTTGCATTTATTTCTTCTCTTTCTTTCTTGCAATAGTTTGCAAGCAATTTTCGCACTCTGTCTCCTACTGCACGCTGGTCAACACGAAAGCAAAGGTGGTCATGTTGCTCTAACTTCTTAGCAACGGCTTCCCACACCTTTCCTCTTTCAAGAGATTTTTTTCTTGTTTCAAAATGTCTTGACACAACAACTTCTTTGCACAGTTCGACATCATGCTTTGCCGTCCACTTCATAACAAAACTGATTCTAAAACAATTTCGAAATATATAGTGGCCAAAATTGATATATCAGTACCCGTTGTATAGTATTTTTATGCAAACATAAAAGGGGACCACAAACCGTTATTACAAAATAAGACAAATTTCAAAGCCACTGGATGTTAATTTAGCTAAACAATTAATTTAACTCACGATGAATTTCGTGGTGTACTTGGTGAGCAATCACTTGTTGCTGATGAAAACTGTTCTGCCATTTTCTTGCCTTGCTAAAGCCTAGTTTCCATATAATCGTCCGAATCGTTCCATAAAGTTTCAGACGATTGGGACGATTGAGACGATTGGGACGATTTAACGTTTCCATATAATCGCCTTTAAACCAATCGCTGCATTGCAAGACTGTAAACAAACATGGCGGAAGAAAACAATCTTGGAGCTAGCCTGTTGATTTTGGCGTCCAGCATGCTATATATCCTTGCTATTATACGAAGAAGACGAGACAAGATGAACAGGAGAAAACATAGATTTTGGGTGAGGAGAATTTATCAGAAGAGAGAGGAGTTAGGAGCTTATCATACCCTTGTAAGAGAACTTCGTATTTACGACCGAGAATTTTACTTCAGGTATGAGTGTATGAGTATTGTACTTATATTACATTTACGCTCTTAATTTTGTAGGTCTTGTGTGTCATATGTCATGGAACATTTACTTTCACTTCTCTAGCTTCTTTAATGCATTGTAAAAGTATAAAAATGTGTCAATATTTCACATTTTCTAGATTCACAAGAATGACATCAGAACGTTTTGAGCATTTGCTCTCACTTGTTGGCCCACTGATAGCCAAAAGAAAATGTCGATCAAGAAAAGCGATCTCTGAAGCAGAGCGATTAATGATTACTTTAAGATATTTAGCTACTGGTGACTCTCAACAATCACATTCGTTTTCATTCCGAATGGGTAGAGCAACTGTGTCAAAAATAATAAAGGAAACATGTGAAGCAATTTGGGCAGTGCTGAAGATTGAATATCTTAAAACTCCAGCAACACAAAGTGACTGGTTGCATATTGCCAATGAGTTTGAGAAGGAATGGAACTTCCCAAACTGTATTGGTGCACTTGATGGGAAGCACATTATGATGGACTGCCCAAAAAATGCTGGATCCGCATACTACAATTACAAGGGATTTCATAGTATTGTGTTATTAGCCGTATGCGATGCAAATTATTGCTTCACAATTGTAGATATTGGAGATTTTGGGAGCACAAATGATGCAAGTGTACTTTCAAGATCTGAGTTCGGACAATGTTTTGAAGACCATCCCTCAGAAATGCATCTTCCAAGCTCTTCCACTCATGGAGGTCACAATCTCGCTTATGTTTTAGTTGGTGATGATATTTTCCCTTTGAACCATGGTTAATGAAGCCATATCCTGGGAAAGATCTTTCAGAATTTGAAAGGGTATTCAATTACAGACTTTCAAGAGCAAGACGCACTATTGAAAATGCATTTGGCATTCTGTCAGCGAAGTGGAGAATTTTTAGGAGACCAATAAGAGGCAGTTTTCAGTTGGTTAACAAGATTGTTCAAGCATCTGTCTGCCTTCATAACTATTTGCGATTGACAGAAAATGCAGCATACATTACTGCAGGATTTGTTGATACAGAAGACAACATTGGAAATATTGTGCCTGGTGGATGGAGGAATGAGGTTGAAGGAGATGAAGGGGGATTCCGACAGCTTAATCGTGTTGGGGGTAACAGATATAAATTTGAATCAAACAACATAAGGAATAATTTCAAACATTATTTCAACAGCCCTGTTGGTGAATTACCTTGGCAGCTACAGCATGTTAGGAGTTGTGGAATTAATACTCCGAGATAGTGTAATTATGTAACAATGAACTTGTTATTTTCATTTGTTTGAATATTATCTAAATTGTTCATCCTGATGTTTATGTATTTATGGCAAATGTCATTAATAAATCAAACACTAACAATTAATTATCATGGTAACATGATACTTGATTTTTTTTCTTTTTACAATGGTTGTAAATTATTAAATTGTCCCTGTTCATCACCTTTTGCCAAATAATCACGTGCAGAATAACCAAAGCTTTCACTTGAGTTTGTTTTGGTAGTATATTGATCCCTTGATGTATTGTAGCACCCATGAGCCAAGCTCACAGAATGCATAACTGGCATAGTTGTTGAAATTGGATGAACAGTAACACCTGGCACAGTTGGAATGGGCATGGGCAATTGACCAGAAAAACTTGATACATTTGGATTTGGAAATGGCTGACCACCAAATTCTGCTTGATACAATGCTTGCTCAAAATGAAGTTTTAGATATCCCTTCATCTGTGGAGATAAGCGTTTCATTCTTTGTGCAATACTCCTGCAATAGAGAGTATCTTCATCATCATTCTCTACATATTTTCTCTTTTTAGCAGCCTCTGGTTTTTGTAATACCCTCTCTGCTACTCCTGCCAGTGATGTTGCTGTTTTTAAAATGACAGAATCAAATTCGTCCGCTGATTTTTTTCCACTCCAAGGACGTTTTGATTTTATTTTGATTTTTTCGGCTAGTGGTCTTGTTTTCAACTCGCCTTCAAACGAGACTGGACTGGGGCTTGATAAGCATGATAGTGGAGAGTTCGCACTTTGACAATCATCGATTTCTTCTTCAACGTCCCCAACATCTGTAATGACCCTGTCTAAACCTGTCATACTTTCTTCATCGCCATTGTCTACCTGAATAAATGACATGTTTGTTGAAGTATTAGCTCTCTGGTTGATATGCATTGTTAACAAGTCTAAATTGGCGAATTCCGAAGGAACAGGTACAGCATTTCTTCCTGAACCAGAAGGAATTGACTTTTTTTTGCAAAGATATCTACCATACGCTGTGCGGATATTCTTGTATTTCTTCTCAGCTTTGGATGCATCAATGTTGAATTGTTCTGCAATTTTTTTCCAGCAGTTGAAGCGGACAAACTTGTTTTTATAATCTTTGTTAAATTTATTATAAAGACATTCGTATTTCTGTACTTCTTCCATAAAATGTAGAGAGTTAAACTCATCGCTGTTAGTTGCCGCCATTTTGACGTGCGTTTCAATCGTTTCCATCGTCTGAAAATGTTTCCATATGATCGTCAGCCACGTTTTACGATCGTCCCAATCGTCTCGATAGAATTGCTGACGATACAAGCGTTTGCAGTCGGTCCAATCCATTGAGTTCTATAATTACTGGAGCGGCTATCTCAAGCGCGGCCTTAGATATCGGATGTTGTAAAAAACATGGCGGATTTCGTCCGTTGCCGCTGAGATTTACCGAAATTGACCGCTTTTCCGAAAATTTCACAATTTCCCACTCCCTCCTGAGCAAAGAGTGAGGAAAATGTATATGTGTATTTGGGATTCGGCAAGCAATTTTTTGATGAAAATCAAGGTAAAAACCTTAAATTCATAACAGCGAGTCAACTGTGGTTGTCAGTTATCTGCTCCTACGAGGATGCATTTATAACTATCGACGAAAGACCTATATGTCACATGTATGAATGCAGATGTGCGTCGTTTTCTTACCAGCGTCAAATTTGTTTGATCGATTAAACTCTTTAGTCTATACAAAAAAGTATATCATAGTTCATCTCCACGGTTCACGAGAGAGAAGTCAGCTTATTTGTTATCATTGCTATTTTGCTTCTTTTCATGTAATGGGCAATGGCTTTTTACAATTGTAGGATTTTACTTGTTTCTTTAAAAAAGTACATATTAAATCTCTGGATATATACGGATTTTCTGTAATTGAGTTTCATATGAAATTTCAAAAAGACTCAAGTCTGCATAGGTTTGGTAAATAAAAACAAACAATATTTTGTAGAAATTACTTTAAGTAACCTTTTTGTGATGTTCTGAAGTGCAACTGCATCAAATACTTGTGAAGTTGTAGCACATTTTGATTTTGTTGTATTGATATATGAATTGGGCAAAATGCAAATAATCATCAAAACACTTATGCTTCCAATGGTGTTTATAATTCATTTGTAGTTTTAATACTTCTACCTTTCTGTTATATTTGCAATAAAAGTGCACTATAATTTGAATGATTAAAGGGGAAATCAGACCAAAAAAAAACTTTTTATCAAATGAAAGATTTTATTTTTACAAACCACATTCCAAAGTTTGAAAGCTCCAATCAAAATTATACCGGAGATATGAAACCACAAAATCATGAAATTTTGCTGTAAAAGCTGCAGCCATTGTATACATGCGAGCGAAGCCGCGATCGAGCAGCGGCTTCCGTTCTTGACGTCACTGCGCGGTGAGCGCGGTAGCGCTCAAAATTTCATATACAAAACAAACACAAAGTCTTCGATGCGTATTTCTTTCTCGATATTTATTTTCCTTTCTTTATAAATATGCCTTACTGTATGGTACCCGGTTGCACTAATTGTTCAAAAAAAACCAAAGGAAGTGAAATATCTTACCATCGCTTGCCAAATGATCAATATATTCGTAAAATGTGGCTAGGGCGAATTCGACGTGATAATTTGCCTAAACCTAATTCATGCTATGTGTGCAGCGCGCATTTCACGCCAGATTGTTTTGAAGGTTCCCTGAAAGATTTATTTGGAATGAAAGCAAAAAAAGCATTAAAACCCGGTAGTGTCCCTTCAATATTCCCCTTTCTAAAGCGTAAACCAGAGCGGGAATCCTCAAGTAAGAGGCAGAAAAGAAAAGCGATGCAAGAGGTAGCCCATTAATGTTATTTTTACAGAATAATTTTGATATTATTTATCTTGAGCATGAATAAGTATGTATTGATATATATAAGTGAGATCATTATATTAAAATTTTCTTTTGAACATTACACTTGAAACATTTTTAATTAAATGAATCTAAATTCCACAATGTGCAGGAATTAGCCAGTATGCTTGAACAACCCAGTGATGCTGAAGACTCTTCACTCACATTGTCCATGACCATGACTGAGATAGAGCCAGAAATAGATACTTCAGCTGGAAGAAGTGTGGCAATACTATGTGATAGTGATACTCCAAGTAGTGTTGATGCTGAAACACAGTGTGAAAAGATTTCAACACGCAGTATTGCAGTTCAGACACTGGCACAGAGGAAAAAGCCAAGAAGGAAAATAAAATACAGTAACTTTTCAAAAACCTCTAGTCCCATGAACAATAGTGCACATTCAATGTCAAACCTACCATTAGCTTCTGTTGTTATACCACCAATCATGCATGACATCACCCAGATTGAGAATGCATCATGTGGGAAGATAATTGTTCAGAGCATGAGGAGACTGTGAATACCATAGATAAAAGCTCAACTGAAAGTGATCTGTCAGATGGTAGTGATGAAGATTATGTGTGTTCTTCACCAAGTTCCAGCAATGAATCGGATGATGATAAGCAAAACACAGAGAGAAAATTCATTGTTTTTGAAAGAAAGCTAGATGAGTTGTTCATATCATGCAAATTTTGTTCTTCCATATGTGAGATTGAAAAATCTACAGTGGGTAGCATGGTGATGTACAAGGCAATTTGCCACAAAATCATATCTTCAAGTGGAAGTCACAGCCTATGTTGCACAATAAACCAGCTGGAAATGTTTTGATACCAGCAGCAACAATCTTTACTGGTTCAACATATGAGCCATTGAAGCAATTTGCAAATGCTTTGAACTTAGGTTTTGTGAACAAGGACCAGTTCTATAATATGCAGGATGAAATTGTCTTTCCAGTGATTAATAGCACCTATAGAAAACAGCAAAAAACTATAATAGAAAAATATACCAAGGCAGACATACCAATAGATTTATGTGGTGATGGAAGATGTGATAGTCCAGGTCACAATGCAAAGTATGGCACATACACGCTGATGGAAGAAAACAGTGGGAAAATTGTTGATTTTTCTTTGATACAGGTATCTGAAGTGTCTTCTTCCAATGGAGAATGAGAGGTTGCCAGAGATCTTTGAATAATGTCATGGGTGAAAAATCCAAATTAGATCATTGACCACAGATCGCCACATCCAAATAACATCAGAGCTGCGGAAAAATATCCTCATATTATTCACCAATATGATGTATGGCACTTATCTAAATGGATAACAAAAAAGCTTACCAAAAAAGCAAAAAAACATGCTTCCCTTCAAAAGTGGATTCAGTCAGTGTCGAACCATCTGTGGTGGTGTGCGCAAACATGTGAAGGAAACGCTGATATTCTATGTGAAAAGTGGGTGTCTATTTTGAATCATGTTATAAACATACACCAATGGAAAAGTGGTAAGTATTTTAGGAAGTGTTCACACGAGAAGCTTTCTAGGAGGAGAGAAAGAAAGACAAAATGGTTAACACCAGGGTCTGCAGACTACATTGCCTTAGAAGATGTCGTTTTGAACAAGAAATTGTTGAAAGACATAACAAAACTTACAGAATTCCATCACACTGGCAACCTGGAAGTGTACCATTCATTACTATTGAAATATGTTCCAAAACGCCTTCATTTTTCATACAATGGCATGGTTGCAAGAACCCAATTGGCTGTGATTGATCATAATTCAAACACTGAAAGAAAACAAGCTCAGTTGAAAAATGGCAATTCCAGATACAAAATAGTTTTTCCAAAAGGCCGTAATAAATGGATAGCCAAACCAATAACAGAGAACAAATCATTTTCCTTTGTGCAAAGCCTAATGGAAAATGTTGCCTCATATGACCATCAAATTCCAACAGCAAGGTTAAGTAACATTCCCAAAACATTGTAAATGTACCCAAGCCAAGTAAAGAGGAAGTGATATATGCTCATAGGTCAAGGATGGGCAAGAAAAAATAATGAAACTATACCTGCATCACTCATCAGCAAATTCAAAACCTTTAAATACAAAATCTTCTTCTAGACCAGGTGGAGGGAAATGTGCCCGAATACAACAAACAGCACAAGATGGCAAAGGATTCCTTATTTCTTTTCCCAAAATTCCCCAACACCATCTTACAAATTGTCTGTAAGCAACATGCCTTTGCCTCTTATGCTCTGGTCCTTCAAAAGCACTTTTCCCATACTGCTGCTTGTATTGACTCCACGCCAATCTCAATACCCAGTAATTTAAACATAAATTTTGGAATACAGGGTTGTCAGTGATACATTCTGGAACATCAATACCCTCGAATTCAGCTGACTCTTCATTAATATCCCTGCAAGCAGCAATCTCTTTGCAACATATACATTCTTCATGTCTGTCCATTATTTGACAATGACCGCATGTACACCTTGAAAGAAGAAAGTCATTTACGGATTTGACTTTGGCGTATATTTCGTACACTTAATGAAAAAAAAATCAAATATTTGTAGATAACTATTACCAGTACTTATCTTGAAGTCTATTTGAGCCAGATTCAATTGATGACTCAGCACTCGTTCCTTGCGAATCGTCTTCGGCGTCGCTACTCGAGTCGGTTTCAAATGGTTCATATGAGTAAGGCTGAATCATGTTTTCGTACGCCATTATTTGCTCATTTTCCGGAAATGTATCACTCACAACAGGGTGATCACTTGAAAATTCGTATGAATCATTCGTATCCATCACGTTATTTATTAAGCAAGTTTAAAATGATAAATACAGAGAGCTTTCACAAATGTTTATGTGTTATGAGATGTTGATTGAAAGTTCCTTACCGCGCAGTGACGTCAAGAACGGAAACCGCTGCTCGATCGCGGCTTCGCTCGCATGTATACAATGGCTGCAGCTTTTACAGCAAAATTTCATGATTTTGTGGTTTCATATCTCCGGTATAATTTTGATTTGAGCTTTCAAACTTTGGAATATGGTTTGTAAAAATAAAATCTTTCATTTGATAAAAAGTTTTTTTGGGGTCTGACTTCCCCTTTAACACAGTCTTCACCTCAATAATAAATTTCATAAGCAGTTGGTAGTGCATTTTGTTCTCTGAGTATCCACATCTGGTGTTTTGTTCATACAAGAATGATGAAGTGCAAGTAGATATGTCATAGCAAGGCAATAAAACATAATGAATTACATTCCTACAGTGTACTTTTATGCTAGAAGCTTAAAAGCTTTTTAGAAATTAGAAAGTTATTGGATTATATTACCTCTATATCATCAATCTCATGATAAGAAATAAGAAGCAAAAAATTTGTAGAAAAGCTTTGAAAAGTGAAAAACTTTTCTTTAAAAAAGCAGCAATAATGCATATGATAAATCTTCATTCTGTTCTCTAATAGGTAAATAAGCTCAAATTTTTCTTGAAGAAATATAAGAAATATATAAGAAATATACAGTACAGTAACTTTAAAGGTTTCATCACTGAATCTTTAATGCTTCAGTATAGTGCATTAGATATTAGTAACATTCAAACAACACTCAACTAAAATATTTTGATAAAGATATGACATGATTTAAACATTAAGTTACATAAAACCCAATGGCTTATACAGTTTGAAGATTCACATCTGCATCGAGTCATCATCAATCTCAGTACAAATGTTAACATAGACACAAACTTTATGGCCTTCCATTTTACATGTTTGTGAATTGACATTTCATTAAGCATCAAAACACACACAACCTTCTTGCCATCTTTCTTTGGATCATGAACTTTAACTTCAAAGCATTCAAGGCATCCTTAGTGAATCCATTGTCTCCATCCATAGAATTTGACCACAATCAAATTAAATAACTCTAGGTAGGGCAGACAATAAATCAATTATCTTTAGAGCATTATCATTTTTTAAGACTCTGCCTGGTCAATAACATCTTCCAGTCATCTTTACTCCTTGATCTTCCCTGCATGTTGTCAGAAAATAGAACATAACAAGCTCTGCTCCAAATCATGGGTACCGTTGGGGCTGATCATTTCTTTTTGATACCAGATCACATTTTTGATACAGAGCAAAATGTGTGCAGTGTCTTTTTTGCTTTAGGGAAACTATTTTGCAAATAGATGGGTAAATTTACGATTTCATGCATTAACAAATGACAGAAAAGTATACAGAATTTTATAAGAATTTTACAAGTATACAGAGTTTTATAAACAGGAAAACATCAGTATATTTGGCGTTCAAGTCAGTCTTAAAAAATACGATCTTTAATATGTATTTTATGGCTTTCCAAGTGCATGTATAATTGCTTTTCAATCGTTGACGGACTAACAAAACAAACAACTACCTCACCTATGAGAAGCGATATGTTCCTTTTTGTGGAAACTACGACATCCAACAATTGAACGATTGAAGTGTCGGCATTATAAAAGAAATGACAAAAAAGAATCGTCACAGATTATGGAACTAACGATATCCATATTCTGTGATATCGTGTTTGTTTTTGAAAAATTCTTTATAATTTACTATAGACACCAGGGGGAGGACGAGAATATTATTTTTCTGCAAAGCGATCATTTCAGCGGAAATACGTCCGTTGGCCGCCATTTTTTTGGCATCTCGCCCCAGTAAAGTTAGCCCCTCCAGTTATTATAGAACTCAATGGTCCAATCGGATGGATCGTCTCAATCGTTCGCAATGAACTCTACAACAACTGGAAGGCTAACTCATTATAAACAAACCTACACTTTTTTGAAGCCACATAGAAGCTGATTTGCCGCTTCGCGTGTATCTCGCGTGGACTGTTTTATTTGCGTGACGGATTGTTTTGCAAAAACTGCTAACTTGGAAAGAGAATGCTAGCCTAAATGCTTTATTTTTTTCAAAACCGTTAGCAAAATTTTGTTATTAATGTGTTAAGATGCATTGTGGACGTTCCAAGACATGTTTTGTATACGTAACGCTGTATTATATAAAACATAAAAGGAGAACACTTCGAAATATGAATTTCTCATTTGTCGTCGAAAGACCAAAAATTTAAGATAAAACTGATAACAGGTAGTCTGTATCTTTGAATGCTGTGCAAAATACACACAATCCACTTAATATAACATGTTTCATAACAATTTTATTGCTTTCAAAGTTAGACTTGCTTTGTAAGAATTTCACATTCTCTTTTTGTAATGTGTGAAAGTGATGATTTGAAATTTTGAATTGTGAGTGATTGTTGGTTCTTGTCATTTACTTCTCTCACTTCTTAAGAACTGGTGGAAGATTTGACATGCATTCATATTTGTGTATTGAGCATTTTATCAGCAAGTTCATGCTTATAAATAAATAGCCAAGTGCACACTATGACAAGTATTGCTAATATAACCTGCTCTACATAAATGTCAAAAAGCAACCCTCATCCTCAGTGGTTTGAGCCAGGGTTTTAAAATGATTATAAAGCAAGCAAAGCTATATCCTGTATCAAAATTTTATAGTATATCATATTGATTCTAAAATTAGTTTTTTCTTGTAATACAGATGATGATAAATGTATATGTAATATATTAAATTTTAGGATGTGTGTTTAAAATGTTTGGTCATATTTGTGAAAATATATGATTCTATAATATTAGACTAATAATCTTTTTCATACTTGTATTACATTACAATTTTTACTTAAGTGTTTCAAAAGTTATGAATATGGAGTGTCAATTGTGTTTTTGTCTTTTTTTTAAGTGAGTATTGACCCTTTTGACTCTTTAATGGTGCAATTAATGATAACACAATAATATGGCATAACAGTTTTTTTTTAAACTAACTCAAAATACTTTTTTGCTAACTTTTTGAAATATTTTGTAAAGTGTTTTTCTTTTTGTTTATGCTCTGAACTTTCAAAAAGGACTGGGGCGAGCTAATTTTGCTCGGAAACACAAAAATTACCGAAAAACAGCGTTTTTTGCCCTGACAGCTTCATTTTCAAAGATTCAAACAATATTATAAGGATAGACAAGTGTATTTTACATCCTTCTAATGAAAAAAAACGAGGGGTGTCAGTTTTGTATTCAAGTTATAAGGCATGTTTTGACGTGCCAAAACAAAGTTCGCTTTTCATCCTTCTAAAAAGAAGCATAAACATGCACAAATGCCGTTCAAATTTGTTTTATATTAAAGTCCAAACATTGTTTAAGGTTTTTAGACATTAAGCTGGCTCGAAGACCACTGTTTTTTGCAAAAAATCCGGCAATTTCGAAGTGATGTATTTCGCCTCCGTACCCTCAATGGCGGCGCTCATGCAGGCTTCAAAGATGGCGTCCAAGTTAGCCTTCCAGTTGTTATGGAGTTCATTGATCGTTCGTAAAGTGTTTCCATAAGGCGCATCTCCACTAGACGATTTTTGTGACGATCGTCTTAAATTTTCGCGACAATATTTCGAACACGAATTATAGGACGATTTTGTTAGTCATCTCCACTAGACGATTATTTCGCGGTGTTTTCCAATAAACAAAATGGCGTCTATAAATAAAAGATATATTCTATATTTGCTGCTTCGTAGAAGATATTTATTTCTTTACAATCTTCACCAAAAAATGCTCAGGGAGAACACCAAAACAAGAAAAAGGAAACGTCGATTTTGGATAAGAAAGCTGTACGAAGAAAGAAATGTGAAAGGAGAATATAAGCTATTGATAAATGATATGCGACTCCACGACCGTGAAATGTTCTTTAGATACTTTCGTATGTTTCCAAAAACATATGAAAGTTTGCTAAAGTTGATAGGACCCGACATAAAGAAAGTTTCAACGAAAATGAGAGAACCTATTGGACCTGACCAAAGACTTGCAGTGACACTACGATATTTAACCACCGGTGATGCCTATTCAACTATTGGCGCTAATTATGGAATGAGTGCCACAACTGTTGGCAGAATAATCGATGAAACGTGCAATTCAATTTGGAATAGACTGAAGGAAGCAGGATATATTGACACACCTTCTGGAGTTGAAGCATGGAGAAAAATTGCCAATGAATTCGAAGCTCGATGGAATTTTCCGAATGCACTTGGCGCAATTGATGGCAAACATGTGTTGATGTTTGCTCCTGATAATCAGTCATCCGCTTTCTTTAATTATAAAAAGACTCACAGTATTGTGCTCATGGCAGTATGTGATGCTCAGTACAAGTTTACTATGGTTGATATAGGTGATAGTGGACGGCAAAGTGATGGAAGTGTTTATGCTAACAGCAATTTAGGTTATGCTATAGAAAATAAACTCCTGGACACTCCACCTGATTGTCAAATTTCCAATTCTAATAAGGTTTTACCTTATGTTTTTGTTGGAGATGATGCTTTTGGTCTAAAAAGACATATGATGAAGCCATATCCATTCTCCAATCTTTCAGAAAGTAAGCTAGTTTTCAATTATAGGCTCAGTCGTGCAAGGAGGGTAATTGAAAACACATTTGGCATTTGTGCTAGTCGTTTTCGTGTTTTCCACAGGCCAATCATTGCAAAAGTACCCAAGGTTATTGCAATAACAAAAGCAGTGGTTGCACTGCACAACTTCCTGATGACTATAAATGAAACTGACAGAGAAAGTCACTATTGCCCAAGTACATTTGTTGACCAGGATGGGCCAAATGGACTGCACCTTGGTGAATGGAGACAAGATGCAAATATTATGAATGGTATAGCTTCTATTCAAAATGTTGGGGCTTCAAGAAATTATGGTGGGGAAGCTAAATGGGTTAGAGAACAGTTTGAACATTATTTCAACAATGAGGGTGCTGTTGACTGGCAATGGGACAAAATAGGCAAAGCAAAATAAATTGATTCTCGTTTTTTAATAGGACTTGGAAACAACTAATGAATAACATAAAATGTAGATAATTGTTAAGCTTTACAGGAATGTCATTATTTGGCTAAGCAACAGAATATCAATTATCACATATACAATGTTATTCATTAATTAACAATATTCTATATAGTCTATTTATGTAAGCATACAGGTTTTTTATATATGATGAGAAAAGAGAATTCATCAAAATGTTAAAATGAGTTTAGTAAATTGAGTTTTTCAAACCCAAGAAAAAGTTCAAGGTAAATTGTAATCAATTCAAAGCAATGTTTAATCACTTTTATTATGTAATGAATTCTCATGATTCCCACCACATGTGAAATATTATTTTCAAACAAATTTGTCAGACCTATGATGCTTGTTTTGAGGTCACCAACACAGAAATAAAATTCATGTTTAAAAAAGGAAAAATCTTAAGAATATGTAAATACCAAAATTGTTATATTGTTAAAAACTGAATGCATATTTTATCTCATTGATCATCAAATTCTATGTCAAATAAAAGTTGTTGAATTTTAATTTTTGCTAATCTTAGCTTTTTTTTATCAGTCTTTCAGCACAGGTACAAGACTCATGCAAAATGCTGTAGCCTCATCATCCGCAGACTCTTTGTTAACAATTTTGATTAGTTGATCATCCATTCGCTTGATTTGTTGCAAAAATGGGTCACAAGCACTTTTTTCAGATGAAGGTCTTTTACGCTTTTTTGAAGTATTTTCATCAATAGGTCTTTCAGGTGTCGGTGTTGTTAGAGTACAAGGACTTGCAGGTACCGATAATGGTGACATAGAGCAAGCTATCGGTTAAAATGGTGATGTGGAAGAAGTTGATATAGCAGGGGAAAATGCATCTGATTGATCCTCAAAATTACCAGTTTCAATTACATGGCTGGATGCTGCAGGTGATATGTCAACATTGCTATGAGTTGGCAAATTGGAAGTTTTCTCATGAAGAAAACGCATCACTTCAAATTATTTGCATGTAGGTAGACATCCTGCAGGAGCACCTGATCTGGTCATGGCCCTTCTTTTGTCCAGGCATTTCTTTAAAGAATCTTTTAGATTTTTATAAATTTTCTGTAGGAATGCCACTAAAAAGTAAAAATTCGAAAACAAATTACCAAATGTCATCAAACACATATGAAAAAGACTTGAATCAACTAGAATAAAAATATATGTTGTCTCGAATGAAAAAAAGTTGAAATAGGCCACAACTCAGAAAGGCTGGCAGAAAAGAACTGTGTAAGTTAGACTAGGGATTCATTTTGGACTCACAGCATACAGACCCAAAGGAAATTTTTTGGTTTCATGCAGACACCAAATATCAACACAGTTCATTGACAACCCTCCATTTTCATGTGTAACAATTACAATCCTAGAAGTATTTTTGTAGTAGGATATAGTTTGATTTTGGCATGTAAATAGGCAAAGGAAAACTGTAAAATGGAAAAACTCGTACCTTCTTGATTAAACAACGATGACAATGCATTCCATGCATTCACTTTCATATTACGATTTTTGTAATTGGGATCACTGGTATCCCACAAGCATTTATATTCTCTTAATGCTTGGAGAAACATTTCTTTGTCAAAGGTATTGCCTTCCACAGAAAAATTGGACTTTTGAGACTGACTGTCCACTTCTGATGAGTGTGGAAGCTCTGTAATAATTAACTCAACTTCTGTTGTTTCTTCGTTACTAGTAGCCATGTTGAAATCATTAATACGAACTGCTAGGTTGGCCATGTGCAGTGTTTGCTCATCTCTGATATTTGATTGGCTAAAATTTTGACGATCGTAAAGCGCTTGACGAAAAGTTAAAACAGTTTAAACTTTTCGTCAGAATCAAAATCGTCAAAAATTTCGTCCGAACGAAAAGCTTTTTGCCTCTGCGCATGTGTCGTCGCGAAAATTTAAGACGATCGTCACAAAAATCGTCTAGTGGAGATGGGCCTATATAATCGTCTGAGTCGTTTCAAAAACGTTGAAACGATTCGGACGATTATATGGAAACTAGGCTTAAAAGCAAAAATGTAAACATATTTTACTCACAGATAAATATCAATACATCAATCACATACCAGACTTCACAGACAATTGTAACAGGTGAATTAAAAGCTGAAATACTTTAAAACTTTTTTTGTGAAAAATTCCACCTTTGATGTAGGACGACGTGGGATTAAGCAAAGACGTCGCGTTGTAGAAGCACGACGACATAACTCAACGACGCACGCACATGCGCATTGGTTTAAAATTCATTTCCGCTCGCGTTGTAGATGAGCGCGTCGTTAAATCTTAAGGTCACTTATTCTGTGACGACAGACACAAAATAGATATATAATGAATGTACTTATGCGTGACCATGAAATGCCATGTTGCAAATTAGCATAAATTAAAAGTAAAGCTTACGAAAGTATTAAAGCATAAACAAGAAACATCGACGTACTTAAAAGGTATAACGTTGCTGTAAATGGTATGATGCATAGTTGTTAGAATAAATATATGTTGTAGACATACATTGTCAATGATGTTTACTGACGTTTCGCACAATTTTAGCGGTAGTCATGTTTAGAGTGAAGTGAGGAGTCAAGTCAAGTCACTCCTCACTTGACTCGCACGACGTTTATCGCTAAGTTATCGAAACGTCATTCAACATCAACATGAACAGTCCTTCTCAGGACTGCACTAACCTGGACGATCTACATAAATGAACATGTAGATATACTGCCGCGTTCAAACCATTTACAGAATGAATACATGTTTATGACTATATGTTATAATGAATATATGTTATGATTGTTTTTGTCTACGTTAACATATCAACATTTTAAAATAGATTGTTATGACTGAAAGACATGATTATTAGTGGCACTTTAACTGAAAGCAATTTACAAACAAATAAAAGCGATATAAATCTTATTTTGTTACGTAAAATTAAGCCAACGTAAAAAATGGTGAAAGTTATCTTCGCAAATAATTGGTAGAACTGGCAAATACTAAATATTATCTCAGTTTGATTTGTTTGATATTTTTGATATTGTGATATTATTTTTGATTTTGATATATGTTTGATATCTCGGTTTGTTATGTTCGATATGTTTACCACGCGTGCGGTCGAATCGCGGCTGATATTAGGAAGTTTTAGCAAGTTACATCTACGAAAACGAATACGAAATTTGACCGTGTAAGGGAATGGCACGAGGAAGTTTGTTGTCGTTGTCGCTTCGTCAAAATTTTGCTTTAGTTGTAAACAACAGTACGAGCCTTTTTATTGTGTAAAACACCGACGTTTGCGAAGCAGCTACGGCTCTATTTGTCAATAATGATATCAAAGAATCGACAATACTGGTTTTGCGAGAATATAGGACTCTTTAGACTGAAAAATCTTCACTATTTTAAGTTTTATGTACGATATATGTGTACTATTTTATTGTTTGTTTACCTTTCACTTTGCGTACGAAATACATGAAAGTTTTGCAGGTCATGTTTTCCTTTTTAATGTACATCTGCGCTCAAAAAGGGTTCTAAATTAAAGCCTGGATGCTCGAAAATAGTACTGTAAACTAATTTCTTACAGAATGAAGAAATATACCTACTTTCTTTGCTTAAAAAGACATCGTAGTCGCGACTACGAATTTTTTACAAAACATCGTACTCAGATTGATGACGGCTACGTGTTTTTGTTGTCGCCACAATGTTTTCGCGCCAAAATGACGTAAATCGTACTCGTAGGCTCCAGAGCCCTCTATAGTATAATATATACTATAGAGGGCTCTGGTAGGCTTTGCTAAAACTCCCTATTTATTGTACATCACTTGGGTTTCATCACAGCGCATGCACAATAAATTTCATATCAAACCAAAATGGCGGTCAAGGCAGAACAACACGATTTAGTCGAAGGAGCAATTTTCGAGGATAAAGTAGTTGATCTCTGGCCTGATTACCCATACCTATACGACGTTGCATTGCGTTTTGATATATTTCAAATTAAATGCATTACTGGCTTTAGTTGAATGGGTGAAATTACGTTTAAAGCCTTGGGTAATAGCTACACCAAAGCAAAAAGCCACAACGTAGCGGAAGTGCCAGGCAAAATTTATCGAAAAGAAAACGATGGTTGTTGGGCAAGTTAAAATTTTTTGAGCCACACATAACAACAAGACGTTCGATTTCATCGCTAGATCCTGTAAGTATTTTTTGGTAAACAATGTTCTTATTTTTACGATCTATATGTTAAATGTATGTTGTAGTAATTTTCTCTTGCGCTTTGGCACAAAGCAGTTATGCGGACTGTATACTATCCTACTGTACGCGCAGTCGAAACAAAATTCTCAATTTTATTCAATATAACTATTCCACCTCACAGATAATCTTAAACATTTCAAGCTTTTGCATTCACAGCCAGCGACAGAAGAACATTGACTTTCAACATAAGTTCCTATTTCCGTTCTTCCATAAGTTCCTAGTATCAAATAACAATTATCTATTAGGAGTTTCAGTGTCTAGTTTGAGGTTGTTGCTTTGTTTGTTGTCGAGGTATCGTTTTACGGTCCTGTTAATAAAGTGTAGTGGGAAAGAGTTTCGTAAAAGAGTGGATGTGATGTTTTTTATGTCTCGTTGAAAGCCATTGTTCGTATTGTTAAGTTTGTATGCTCTGTCGATTAGTGTGCGTATAAGTCCAGTTTTGTATGAAAGTGGTGTGAAACTAAAATAGTTCATCAGAAGTCCTGTGTATGTTGGTTTGCAATTTGTAGATGTTGTACAGCTGTCATGGGATTTTGTTAGTAAAATGTCAAGAAATGGCAGTTGATCTGCAGTGTGCGAATATTAACGGTGTGCAATGTGCAATTTGCATAACGTTTTAGCTAAATGAAAACAATTGCACATCACTTTTTCAAACGATGTGCAAAAATAAGGGGTTTTAACGAAAAACACTGTCGTAAGTCATAAGAATTTGTTCACATTTAAAAATATTAGTTTAGCAATTAGCGCTATATAATAATTAACGTAATATCGATTTGATCATGCCAATAAAGAAACACTTTAGTCAAAAAAATTGCACATTGTTTTTTCTGAACTAATTCGCACACTGATCTGTTGTTCAGTTCAAATGAAAATCTAATGTTTGCGTGCTGTGTGTTAATGTAATTATAAAACTCATGGCCTCAGTTTCATTAGTAAAACACAAAAAATATCTTATTAACAGAACCCTAAAACAATAAAAGAACTTTATTAACAGAACCATAAAACAATATCTCGACAACAAACAAAGCAACAACCTCAAATTATCGATTACTTATTTACATAAGTTCTGACATGTGTTGTCAAGAAGTTCAGAAGGTTCACTGGTGCATTTTCATTGGATAAGTATAATAAAAAAATGCTCTTAACACAAAGCTATGTTTGATATTAGTGATGTTTATGTATGAATGAAAAACTGATGGTAACTTAAATTGAATCTATTTATGAAGTACCTGAAAATACTTGCAAGTTTTGGCACAAACAATAAATATATACATAAATTCAAACAAATTTGTATCATGTCATTTTGCCTTGGAACTGAACCACGGCCAGAAAAGAAGTTAGTTAGAAGAATGAGTTAATGTTTAGCATGTTGTGATGTGTTTCCGTTAGTTGAGTGATTTAATCTCACCACTGAAGGGTCTTCTCTCCACAATCCATTCAAAAATGTACAGTCATTCTGTTCTACATCAGCACCACCGGTGTAGGTGTGTTTCTTTTTCTCAATTAGGTAGTTGTGTAGGCAGCATGTAGCTAATATTAAATAGGTGACTTTTTCAGGACTTAATCTAATTGTTGACAAGAAAATGTGGAATCTGTTTGCAAAAATCCCAAATGCATTTTCTACAACCCTTCTTGCTCGAGATAAACGATAATTGAACACCTTTTGCTGTTTATTCAAAGAGCGATGAGGATATGGTTTCATCACATTTATTGTTAGAGCAAAAGAACCATCCCCCACTACATGAAAGCTTATTTTTTCAGAAATCCCTTCAATAGTTGATGGAGGAGGTAGATCTAAAGAATTACTTTTAAAAGCATTAATAAAAGCTGGGTCATTGAAAATCCCAGCATCTCCTTCACGTTCGGCTGCTCCTGCTTCAGTATATATAAATTTGTAGTTTGCATCAACTACAGCCAAAAATAGTACACTGTAGAAGTGTTTTTAGTTGTAAAACTCAGAGCCCCCGTGAATTGGATTTTGAATAGCAACATGCTTCCATCAATTGCACCTATACAAAATGGATAGTTCGGTTTTGTTTGAAACTCTTTAGATATGTCCTGCCATTTTGTTTTTGTGGATGGAGTCTGAAAATCAAAGATAACTAATATCAATTTAAATTTACTTTTTAGCTATCACCACCTGATGATTCACCTCATCAATCACAAGAGTATTCGCTGGTAGATGAAGAGAGCTTTCATGACGATATCCCAGAATCATCAAGCATTCTTGATGAAGATGATGGTGCTAGTATCACTAGCAAAACTAGCATGAGTTCAAGAAAGTCCTGCAGTAAAAGAGCGAGAAAAAGACATTCAAAGGAAGAGTTAAACTTGCTCAGTGGATTGACTCAATCACTTAGTGAAAGACAAAAGAAAAGGCAAAATAAGATAGCAATGGAATTGAAAATGCCATCAGTGTTTTTGGGCAATATGTATCCCAAACGTTAGTTAAGTTTGATCCAAAAGTCAGACATTTGGCCCAAAATAAAATAAATATTTTTTTATTTTAAAAGCAAATGGGAACATTAGGGCTAAATGAAACAAAGCTGAATTCTCTGGCAAGACAACCAAACAACTGGCAACCAATGTACCAATCAATTGATGTTGACCCTGCCAGCAGGTGTACTTCAAGTGGTTTTTACCCAAACCATCAAATTCAAGGAGCTACATGGCCTGCATAGACGGCATATTAATTCTGATGCCGGTCTTTTTATGCTTCAACAAAATTTTTTGCCTAATAGTCCCGAGTTTTAAGTAAATGATACACATAACAATTGAACAATGGTAATTAATGGACCCAAACAAGAAGTAAAAAATTATTTATATGTTGATTGATTGATTAATTAGCAAATTACCATGACTAGTAGTAAGGTATACAGTTTATATTTTAATAAAAGTTGTTAACAGGAGAAATACTTTACCTTCAGAAATTTACTTTTCATGTTAAATACTTGTTTCTTCTATTATTGCACGAATCGTTCTTTTGCCCATGCGGAATGTAAAGGACAAGCTTCTAAATGTTTCACCTAAATGAATAATTTTGTTACGTCCATAATTTTCACATTGCCTCAAGGTTAGATTAACCTTGTTTTGCTGAATTACTGATGACTGATTTCAATTTGGCAAAAGTACATAAAAATACAAACAAATTTTTCATATAACACATGTTTCCTAATAGTTCAGTAGTTGGAAAAATCATTAACACAATAATGATGTTCTTACTCATGTGTCAAACAACGCAGAGGCATTTTCTTATTTTCAGAACACTTGTCAACTAGTAAAGCACATACCAGTTGCCAAATAACGAAGAGTAACAGATAAGCGTTCTCTTGGAGTAATAGCATAACGCATGGTTGGGTCCCTTTTAACAATTGCTTCGTGTACAAATCCCAAAATTTCTTCAAATGACTGCCTGTCCACCCGATCAAACTGCCGAAATTTTTCAGGATCTTCGGCATTTAATTCTCGTATGAGGTTATTAAATGCGCCTTGCGCTTCTCGTCTAATAATCCGCCGCTTCGTCCATGTTTTACGACAACAAGCTGGTAAACGTCTGCGTCTACGGCAAACTAGCAACAGGCATAAAAATGCTATTTCATCTTGTTCTTCGGAATCAGAAAATGACACAGAATTTAACTCATTTGAGCAAGCCGCCATTTTGGTTTGATATGAAATTTATTGAGCATGCGCTGTGAGATTAAAACACAAAAGCAATTGCTTCAAGACGCCGCACACGGGACAAATCGACAAAGCATTTAGCAACGCGTGGCAAAAAAATATCAAACATGTTTGGTATTTGCCAGTTCCAGTTCAATATTCACTCCCTCCTGATTTCTAATACTGTTTATATGAACGATAACAAGTGAAAAAAAAAAATTACGATACCGACAGCATATCATGTGGAAATAATGCATTGCCTGAAAACACAGTACACACACACATCAAAATAAAGAAAATAGACGGTAGAGAAACGCATATTTTAGCTGTAAAATTTAAGTTATTTTATGACATTCTAACCTTTTAAGAGTGAAAATCAAACGGCATTCTGATAATTTCGGCAACTTTCCAATCTCATTATAATTGTCTACACTACACAGTCAGTCAAATTGAGCAGGCAAGCAGTTTAATAGTTATTTTTATTGTACGGCATATACCATAGTTCTCATTTATTTTGCATGGCACTGCATTTAATTTCAACACAACTGTGAGCGACAGATTTTTTTATCATGAGCCAGCGTCTTTCCGCTGACTTCGACCACCAAAATTTGCCATGCTTTTGACCACGGGCCGCGCGCTAATAATTTATAGTAATTTTGTTGACGTGTTCCTTCCAGGTCTTGTAGAACTCAATGGTCAGTTCTGCCTGGAAAGGCAAAAGTCGTCGGAAACAGCACGCGCACACGAGAGCAACTTGCTTACGCCACTTGGCACGAATGACATTTTGATAAGCACAGAGCTCTCGTTTGCGCCGGGCTTTAGACGATACGTCGTGTTTGCTAAATCTCTCTATTAATAAATATTATTTTGTGTAATTGTATGTCCAATTATTCGCAATCGTAATTTCAAAAACGTTCATACGTTACCTCGATTTCGTTATTATTATGAAAACATTGATTGAGTTTATGTCGCTTTTATTCATTTTAAATATCGGGATTTGGACTGAAATATATTTTATTTGTCAAATCAATACAATTTTCGTTATGATTGGCGAGGAACTGCTGCATGTGTAACAATGTACTCTGATCGAGGTTCTATATTAATTGCTGTTTCGAATTTACAGCTGCTTTTTTGTAAAGCAATCATATTATAAATAAAATATTATGTGTTTGAGTATTTTGAATATTTCAGAATTTAGTTTCATTACGGAAACTTTAGGAATGTTTAAATTTCGTTGCATGTAACAATTTGTCCATGAATCCATATTGAGTCAATCTTCACCCGATTGTCAAGTCAGCTGTCAGAAATCCTGAAAGTTTAAGTCATTCTCAGTTAATTCTATGTGGAAGTTGGATGTTTAACCCTTTGGTTGCCGAATTTTTTCAAAAGTTGGTTCTTATTTTGCTAGGTGATTGTTGCAGATCAGCTACAATGCTACTAGAAGGGTTAATTTTTTTTGTATAGCTGTATGTTTTGTCTGTATCACGTAGCAGAAAATATATTGCACTTAAAATCCTTTGCTTCTTGAAACACTGAACGAGTGATAATTATATTATTGTTAGGATTCAATATAACTTTAGACCATGGACGGATTTAGATACTTTTTACAGGAGTGGCGCTAAAATTTTTTTTGGGGGGGGTGAGTTACTGAAGAAGGGACGTAAGGAAAACTAAGGGTCTAGATTTTTGGGACTGTCTGGTAGTGCAGCAACCAAAGGTAATGTAGAAAGTTGAAACATTGACGAGAAAAGTTCAGTTCAGCCGTACTATTATTTTGTTTTTCAGACAATTGTAGGGGTTAAATGCTTTTTAGAGGAGTGAAAAATCTATTTAGGGGGATCTGATGTTTAAGGGGGGGGGAGGTATTCAATAATACAATACAGTACAACACGCATTTTAAATAATATAGTTTCATTGTGTGCCATTGTATCAAACAATGTAACATATACATTAAACCTGAGAACGACGCAAAAGTCTGATAAAGGGGCAAAAGAGCATGTTTATTATATTCATAATGTTTAATTGCAAATCCAGCGATATTGCAGCTCGTAACTTGCAATTATTGTTAATTTTTAAGTTAACCATTTATCAGAGAGTATACTTCATGTGTTAAAAGTACAGTATAAATCTAATTTTTTATTTTACAATCTATGAATCATTCTCGACATCCGTTGCAGAAAAAGTTAAAACTGAGCAACCTTGCAACTGGAAACTAACATGCTGAAGACACATTCAAAAGCGCAAGAAAATACAGTGTTGTCAAAAAGAGCACAAAAAACTGGTAATGTATTTACCAACAGATAATAAAAGTAGTGATTGAAAAATGGGAAGGCAGAAAATCTACTGGGAAGGTCGAAATGTAATGAATGATCATGAGAATATTAATGCAGAGCCACCAGCCTAAACCTAAATACTTATAGTTTAACGTCCTTTTCGATTTCATATGAGTCTGGTTCAACCTTTTGTGATAAGATGAAAGTTGCTGGGAGAATACTTCTCGTCACTCGTTAATTTTTAGTGGCTTTTTGTTTCTGTTTTGCAACAAAAAATTTAAAAAAATGGTAAAACAGTATCCAGATCGATTATCATTGTAAAAGCTTAAAAAAAGCACAAGCTAGGTAGCTATTCAAAAAAACATTGATAGTATTATTGAAATTTATCCTTAAAGATGAAATTAGTGAGGACGCCTTAAAGCTATCGCCACGTGAAATCAAACAACTTTCGAAACAGATTGGACGAGATCATGGCGAACTTGGACATGTTCTTGAGATGTCGGACGAGGTAGCCATCATAAGGGATGACCTTCTTCAATTTCAAAGTCCAGTTGATGCACAAAACATCAAAAATCTTAAAGTAACTGATGAAACAGATGAAAAAACACATTCAAAAAGGCGAGGAATCAAACTGTTGCGAAAACGAGCACAAAAAACTGGTAATGTATTTGCCAACAAATAATAAAAGTAGTGATTGAAAAATGGGAAAGCAGAAAGTCTACTGGGAAGGCCGAAATGTAATGAATGATGATGACAATATTAATGCAGCGCCCCCCGCCTAAACCTAAATACTTATAGTTTAACGTCCTTTTCGATTTTATATGAATCTGGTTCAACCTTTCGTGATAAGATTAAAGTTGCTAAGAGAATACTTCTCGTCACACGTTAATTTTTAGTGGCTTTTTGTTTCTGTTTTGCAACAAAAAATTTAAAAAAATGGTAAAACAGTATCCAGATCGATTATCATTGTAAAAGCTTAAAAAAGGCACAAGCTAGGTAGCTATTCAAACAAACATTGATAGTATTATTGAAATTTATCCTTAAAGATGAAATTATTGAGGATGCCTTAAAGCTATCGCCACGTGAAATCGAACAACTTTCGAAACAGATTGGACAAGATCATGGCGAACTTGGACATGTTCTTGAGATGTCGGATGAGGTAGCCATCATAAGGGACGACCTTCTTCAATTTCCAAGTCCAGTTGATGCACAAAACAGCAAAAATCTTCAAATAACTGATGAAACAGATGAAAAAACACATTCAAAAATTCAAGGAGTCAAACTGTTGCCAGAAGCTATGACTGAAATCGGTAAGTGCTAGTTATATAGGTGATGTATTGAACAACAGACAATAAATGTAATGATTGGCAAGTCTTTACAAACGAAAAAACATACAATTTTTTCTATGCGATATGCAAGTTTATTTCTAAGCATGGACCAAATTTAATAATGGAAATTTTTTTGAAGCTTTCTGTGTAGGCCCAGTTTTGGTTATTGCAATGGTGAGACACCTTGAAAAAGCATACAGAGAGGAAAATAATTCCTGAGGAAATTAATTAAATCCTTGTTATTTCTTTTTTCATTTCTTGGCTGACCGCGCTTTGCCGTGGATTTATCAGTCGAAGTAGACAAATCGCTGCATTGACAACCTAATATGCCGCATATTTTAGGGTGCCCCGAAAAAGGCTGCTTGTGAATACTAAGCGCGCAAAGTATTATCGTGAGACTCATTCTTTAAGAAACTGCAACCTTTGAGCATGTTATCGATAAAATTGACTTTAATACACTTGTAGACACATCTAAGAATAAGCTACCGTCTTAAAAACTTCTGGCTATTTAGATCATATACAAAATCTGCCGTTGATTTAGCGTTTTAGAGAACCTTTAAATAGTTACACATTTATAAGAGGAGCCTGCCCCCAAACCCTCATTTAAGTCGAAAACCGTAGCCGCTTACATCGTTGTCCTCAGTTTGAACAACCTACGACGCCACTGAATCAAAAAATAAGTTCAGTTTTACACATAGGCGTTTTTTGTGGTAAGGTGACATGGGGCAAACTCTGACACTTCTTTATATTTTTGGCTAATATGAACAGAAAAACACTCCTTAAACTAAAAAAGAGACACAAATCATGTCACACAGACAGGAAAACTTAGCTAAAGTTATTAGCGCTCAAGATCTGCAAAAGCGCTTGATGAAATAGGTAGTTGGACTTCCAGTAGTACATCTGACAGAAAATCTTTCTTAAATAATAACCCTTTATAACATGAGAATTTTGTTACTGAAAAGCACTTTTGAAATAGCTTGTCCAGGAAATTGATAAAGCTAAAAGCAGTTGGAACACATAGGGTTAAAATATGTTATTTAAGCTTACACACTTCCCAAAAATTTGGCCGAACCATGCCCGAACGCTAGGCATCCAAATTGCGGACTATTTTGCTTTATTCTCGTTTTGACTGCTATTTTCCTAAAACATTCATATTTGCATTAATACACCAAAATGGCAATTAAAAACGAAAAATTGTAAATAATCCCCAACTGTCACATGGACCACTGTAATACACATGTAGTAATTCACTAAGTTTACTCTAACGCTCTGCATGAGCTACAGTTTCAAAAATACTGCGCAACAGTGTCAGAAGATTTCAGTTGAGCGTTTTGCAACAAATTGCACAAAGAATTGGTGAGTGCTAGTGGGATGATGTGTTTACCAATAGAGAATAAATGTAATGATTGAGTAGGCTGAATATGTCCACCAATGTAAAAACATTCATTGTCTTTTGACAGCATAAATAACATATGCTCACTGACTTGGTTTCATAATTAGTCCGTGTAATTCATCACACGTTAAACTTATGCAAAATTTTTTCTTGTCCAAATGGAAGACGTTTGGAAACTTAGCCCGTTTCAAACGTCGCATTTTACATGCGCCGAATGCATTAAAAACAAAAGAAAATTCCTCATTATCTTTTTTTAAATCTATTCGACTAACGTAAAATGCGACGTTTGAAACAGGCCTTTGTGTCCATACAGGAACTATACATGACGAGAAATTATGAGAGGCTGCAACTAAGAAAGTAGATGAAACTATTCAGACACAGCTACGATAACTACACATATTTTCCAAGGCACAAATATGTATTTCATAAAGGTATTCGGCACCTAGGCATAAAATACTACATTGTCTCCCTCACGATTTGTTTGTGTTGTATCAACCTGACACATAGTCGGAGAGACTTAGCTACTTAATGCTACTGGATGAATTCAGTAGGAACGAAAACACGGGGGGTGATTGTCGGGGGAAAACGGGGGTCCCCAAACGGACCAACAAAATAGTGGCAACTTGTCCTGATGAGAATAATGCACCAAAACGGACCAACAAAATAGTGGCAACGTGTCCTGATGAGAATAATGAACCGCCCGCTAATTTTACATAAGCCTTGATCCATACATCATATCCTTTTTTTCCCCTTAAATCTGTTTCTACTGTTTCAAGCATCTAGTGATAAAAAAGTTTCTTAGATAAAGAATACGCCTTGTCACTCAATTGTTTTTAGAGAAATGTCAAATTTCTCGCAATAGTTAACAAATATAAAAGAGAACTGTTCTTGCTAGCATTATTGATATTTATTGTTACAGATGATGCAATTCATGATGAGATGAGGCTCTCACCCATTGAAATCGAAAGACTTTCGCCAAAAGTAGGGAGTAAATATTCAAGTCTTGGATGTTTTGCTGGAATGTTGGAAGAGGTGGAGAACGTAAGGGATGACAATCGCAGATTTCCGGATTTAGTACAAAAGGCTGCAGAAATACTGACAATAATCAACAACAGGTCTAACTTTAGTCGAAAAGAGTTATCTCGTCATTTAAAGGAAATAGGCCTTGGAAAATTGGCCAATGACTTATAAATTTACATTCACGATGTTTTACAGTAACGTGTTTACAAACACGCCTAACCATTCTTTTATCACCTGTTGCAACAAAATAATTTATGTTTTTAGTGGATATAAGCACTTCTAAATAGAACACCATCTATAATGTTGAATAGACATAATTACGCATTTGAACCAAGGAATGGGATTTTATGATGTACACACAGCAAATACCCAATTTTTTGAGTCACAACACATGTAAAACTATTTTGCACCTTATTTTAAATTTAAAAAATAAATTCTGTATAAGATGTAACTTAAAACTTTGTAGTTAAAGTTCGCGTTAAATATTTAAACCTAACATACAATAAAGGTATGTAAATATCACACCCGTGTCTGGAGGTCAATTTACGTGTACTACACGCGCGAAGTTACACGTTATGCGAGATTTGTTAGTAAAACATGTTTTTACCGAAGTCTTTTTTTGATTCTGTTAAAAGAATAAACGTAGTAAAGTATTACGGCGTTAAAGATGATGGCGCTTGATCTTTTTACTGTCAATTATGATGCTTACAATTGAAAAGTTATTTTGAAATGGAAAATATCAACTGTGGAAACTGTGAAAAACAATGACATCGTTCAATTTATACTTATCTAAAACATTGCAGCAAGTACTAGTTTATTTCGAAAGGATTCAACTAGATGTACTCAATAACTTACAAGTGTTTTTCCTTGAAATATTTGTACGTTCACCAAATTACAGAAGCCATTGTTGCAAAAAATGATGTTTGAAATAATGTTGCATGTATACATGTCTTTCACAAAGCTAAATTAACTGGAAGTTATGAAAGGCAAAAAATTATTAGATACTTATGAAATGATAAAGTATGAAAGGATTTCTTTGCTGGTGCATCAATTTATCTAACATTTGACGAGTATTATCTAATTTATCTTTTAAAACCAAATCACATGTAGGTTTGAACTAAAAATTGTGTTTTGTTGTAAATTTGTACCTCCACGGATTCACACTGATAACAATTGTTTTGGGTAAAAATACATTTCCATTTTGCAAAACTGATGTTTCTTTAAAACTTTATGTTCTTTTTTATGTTACATGAAGTTCGTAAGCATCTTGCGCATAATAGTTGCTAATCTGGAGCAAAAACGCTTTAATTTTTGGTTCATTTACAGACAAACAAAAACAAACAACTATAGCAAAATGCTTTCTAGTTATGGTTGGCTATGGTTTCCTTTAAAAAACGTAATTGTCCGAAATTGTGTATACTTGATGTCAAGTCTCATTTGTGAAAGTTTTGTTAGGCAGATAAATTGTGTTCTGTTTTTGGAGCTTCGTAGTTTGTTCAAGTTAATTTTTCGCTTCTGTCTATTGGCCGTGTGTTTACATTGCGTGGAAAGACTAGGCTCTACTGGCATCAAAATTTTGACGGACGTAGCCTTTCACCTATTTTAGTTCAATGGTAAATATTGGCTACATGCAAATTGTAAAAATCTTAGAGACTTACATTATTATCATCGGTCATTTGGCAATGAAATTTATGTTGTTTATTTATGCTTTAAAAGCAATATGTTATGGAATAGATTAAACAAAAGCTTACAAAACCAAAAAACTTTGCATTTATACATGAATGTATGCAGGAAAGAACATTTCGCAGAGAAGCTTTCAATCACTGAGTCATTTAAGTTGCAACACTTCCGTGGATTACAGGCAAGTACTTTCGAGCTGCTGTTTAAAGAATTTTGAGCAGCACAACAACATTTTGAAAAGAAAGAAAAAGTTCGAAAGTTTATTGTAATGACGCACACAGCAGAAAGTCAACAAAAGACATTTTGCCCAAAGTGTCTAATAAGCACTGGGCATTTAGCAGAAACAGTATGGTGATTGGGTTCGTATAGTTAATGAATCTGTTGAATGCGAGCGTCATACATGAAAGAAATTCCATTCAAATGCACATTTTCTCACTCATGGACAAATGACCCAATTATACAAAACATTTGTAAAATTTTTACAAGACGTGAAAAGGGAGAACGTGAAGTTAAATTAGACAAGGAACAATATCACTATGATCTCGTACCTTCTATGTGACAATGTGTTTTTACAAATTGTAAACAAAACGCTTATCGGGCGTTCATTCGGGCTACACGGCATTCGATAACCGTGTTTGGATACATTTGCGTATTATAATAGTTGCCTAATAGCACAGCGAAATTCGCGGTAATGTAGCTAATCTCAAATTTGGCACTACAATATGTAAATAAAAAATGTTTTACTATACAAGTCATTCACGTGTGAAACGATCCAAGAAAGATTTTGATTGGTTCAAGGTCTTCGCATTATTTGTTATCTCAAAACAATACAGGAAAAACTAAATTTTAAACTCGGGCTTACCTTCAGTAGCCCGAGTAATGATGCTTCAATCATGTCTAACTTCATTGATGACATTCATTAAATGAACTTCAGTCATGTTTTTGATAAGCAAAACATAACAATTTAATAAGCAGATGTAATGCTACATAATGGCGTGAGTGGAAAAACAAAATTAAATATCGTGATACTGAAGACTGGAACTACGGAAATATATGTAACTTTGTATTTCCGCCATTTTTGGTATTTATGATTGATCAAAAATTTTTTTAATACTATTCTACTTTAAGTTTGTTTTAAAAGAGAAGACCGAACCGCTAACTTAAATTCCTCATTCAATAAATACTTATTTATTGACCTGAGGAAAACATTCTATGTTTCTCGACACAAACTGCCTAGCAAAGGAAATGTCAAGTTAGGCCAACAAAACTAAAAACTTGTAGTTTGCACGCCATTTTGTGCTATAATCCTCTACACTCTATATGTGCTTACGATACCTTTTCTCGCTGTGATTTATAGGATGCGCAGTTTTTGTAGTCCGTCTGAAAAAAGTAGTTGAAAAAATTTAACATTTTATCGTGTTGATTTAATCATACATCATTTGTGAAAAAAAAATACTATTTATTTCTGAAATTTCAATTGCTTTTGATGTAGAATAAATTTTGTCGCACGCTTTGTAGATATGATTCATTCTGTCACAAAACAGCGACTCAATTACTGAAGAACAGTTTACATTCTTCGTTTTTGTGAAGTATATTTAATGTAGTTAATAGAATCGCATCGCATCACATTCATTCATTAAATTTTCTATTTCACTCAGTTAAAGCTTACACGGTCAAAAACAGAAGGTCATCAAGTAATATTTCGTTTGGGGAGCTCATAAATCTCGTGAATGTGAACGTCACACATCAAAAGAATATCCACCACAATGCACATTTGCTCACCCATGGGCAAATGACCCAATCAGACAAATCATTTGTGAAATTTGCACAAGACAAGGAAAGAGAAAATGTGAAATGAAAGAGCACAAGGAAAAATATAATTATGATCTTGGACCTTATATTGACTTGCCTCTAGATTATAAATTATGATGCTTTGATCCTGTCAACATTATTGATGGCATTCATCAATGAACTTCAGTAATGCAAAACGTTATGTGTAAACAATGCCACTGCCGCATAACGGCGTGAGTGAAAAAAATAAAAGCAAAAGCATTTATTTTTTATGATTAATAGAAGCATTTTATATGTGCACAGTCAAATCTGTGTTAAACGATCATCCTGAGAATTTCCAACGTGACCGTTAAATACAGGTTGACTCTTTCATGCTAGTCTTAGGGCCTGTTTCAAACGTCAAACTTTACATGCCCCGAACTCAATAAGGACAAAAGAAAATGAGATGAACTTCCTCATTATCTTTTGTTTTAAATGCGTTCGGTTCATGTAAAGTTCGGCGTTTGAACTAGGCATGAGATAACAAACGAATAGCATTCGTCTGAGAACACATTCGTCACTATATTCGTCTGACATAATCAGTAAATTTAGCATAAATATTTGCATAATTAGGCTCGTAAAAAGAAGAATTATTTCAGCTATGCAAAATTATGAACGACCGGCACTGTATTGCACATAACTTTTTTTTTTATGTGAAAAAATAAGCTGCACTTTTTGTAAGTCCAAAGCCTGGTTCACACGAGTAAAATACGCATAAACGTCAAGACTTTTCTTTCTATTGCTCTAGATGTTTACAAAGACAAAGACATTGGGATTATATTTAAATATTTGTTGTTCTTCTTTTGTTCTTCGCTTAGCTTTTGCTGGAATTTTTTCCTTATGCCTGCGCTTTTGTCGATGCTTATGTCACATGCTTCGTTGTTTTATCTTTTGTCTACGCTTGTACCACAGAGATCTTATAATACACTGTTATTAGATGTTATAGAAATACATATCTGTGCCTTGTACTTATCTTTGTTTCACCCGTGTGAACAAGGCATTACATATCTTGTTATTGGCATAAAAGCTTTTCTGCTCTTGGGAATTTAACATAACTTTTGACTGCAAAATATGCAAAATAATGCACCTTCGGGATTCACATATCGTGATAAAGCATTGAAAATTTTGTTTATTGTTTTTATACGCCTGGAATAGTTTATTAAATGTTATTGTTACCCGATCGTTTAATACATTTTCAAACAATAAAAATTTAAGTTTGAAATTTTGGTCACTGCGCCGCTTAGGGATAAGTGACCTTATTATACGGGTGAGTGTATTTTCGTTTTAAAAAATTGCACGGAGACCAAAAGACTTCAAAACATACATTTCTCGTTTAAAAAAGTACTTATTCATTGATAATGAGGAAAACAGTTAGAGTTATTGACGCACACAGCCTAGCATGGGCAAAGCAAAGAAAAAACACCCAATAATCTGTAGTTGGCACAGCAAGTTACGCCATTTTTAACTATAACCTCTTGATATGTTTACAATACCTTTTTCTTGTCCTGAAAATACAGCACGCGTATTCTTTACTTCGTCTGAAAAATGAGCAGTTACAAAACTCGTCAAGGCTTCAATAATAAAAAGCTAACGGACTGTCTGTCGCTTGTTCATACATCATTTGTGAATAAAGAAACTATTTCTGGCAAAGCATTTCATTTACTTTGATGTATATCGTCTACATTTAAGTATTGACGTTTGTACTTTGCAAATACAAAATTCGCTCAGTTTAGTCATAAAAACTACTTACCTAGTATCTGCCGAACGAAGAAGATAATAATGTCATCAAACGAACAATTCTACTTCAATATTTCAGAATAAAAACTCTCATAAAACGAGATTTAGACAAGACTTTTAACCTCCGAAAACCAAAATGGTGAATTTTCCCGCTGATAATAACACGTGTTCTCACATGGTTGCATGCTACACGCGCGTTCCACGCGCAATAAGCACGAGACGTCTTCGCGAAAAGCACATTTATTGTAATTTACAATTACTGAAAAAGCAAACATTTCTACTGATGATGACATGTAACATTTGTCGAAAAGTTTAGATTAAATAATGTTTATTATTTACGGAGTGCCTATTGTCTTGTGTTTTACTAAAATTACAACTACTAATAATTACTTTATATATATCTTTATATATAAAGTAATTATTATACTAATAATTACTAATAATTACTTTATATATAAGTTACACAATATATATCATTTAAAATTATCTATATATATTAAACTATATATTAATAATTTGCAATTAATAAAATACAGCAGCATTGCACCACATGCAAAAACTGAAACTGAACATTTTGGAACTATAACACAGACAAGAAAGCCTAAAATATTCTTAATGATAAAATTTAATTCAAATGGTAATTAGGATTAAAATAATTATCAGAGCACATTCCAAAACATCAAGCATTGAATATCTTCTTGACAGTATACCCCTAGCACATAAAAGAAATGCTTGTCAATAGAATTTCATAGTTATGGCATACATATATTTTTTAAGTTTAAGACCAGAGGCCAGTTGCACAAAGCCTGGATAGCGTAATTCATGGAATAGTAAAATTTTCATAGTAAACTTGTGAAAAAATGGTGTTTATATTTTCTCTACGACAAAGAAACTTTGTAATCTTGGAAGCAATATTTCATTTCAGTGATTGCTCATTTCAAATCTCATACGTATTTTTCCTTTTTAAAAGGTTTTTAAGCCGCTATCCAATGGATAATGCTATCCAGGGTTCGTGCATCCGGCCCCAGTACTGTAAGTAACTTCGTTGGAAGTAATAAGTTACATGTAATTTTTAGAAAATTTTTGAGTAACAGTAACGATAACAAGTTACGTTTTTTTAGAAAGTAACCAACTAAAACTACTATCACCTACCGACATGGCCAATAGAAATACATATATAGTTAAAGTATAAATGGTTTTTTGTAAAGTTCAATGTAACATACTTTACCACTTACCGGCATGGAGTAGAAAAATAATCCCATAAGAGCAAGAAGAAGGAAAATAACGGCGAATTTAACGATGCAAATTTTGTAATTATTCCACAACATGTAACGCAGAGATTTCAACGGATTCATAAACCAAACAAATGATGTGTCAGGACGACTAAAATATAAGAAAACATGAAACCATACAGAAAATTTTAGAGCTCATAGGTAAACGGTGCATAGACAATTGACAATTTCTTCATCTATACACTGCGAACATTTTACAGAAAGCCTGTGTGCCGAACTAATAAAAATTTGTTAGCTGTATGGCAAGGAGAGATAAGCAATACGGCTAGAATTATCATCACCCCTTCAGCACGTACTCTTGAACGTGAAAACACGAATGTCATATACATACTTTGGTTTCGGAAGAGGTTCGGGTTCTTCACGACCTTTGCCTGCTGGTTTTTTCTCAGCTTCCTCTTCGGTTAACAGTTCAAACTCTGCTTCCAATTTTCCCTGAAATTCATAAAAGTTTGAGATCTTTTATAATAGCTAAAAAACAAAAACAGAAGTCAACACTTCTGTGCTTTTAAAGTAAATAAATCAAGACACAAAGTCTTCTTACAGACAGTTCAATTTCTTCCAAATCAGTGTTAACAGTAAAGGCCACCATCCTCTCATGTGCTTCAACTTAAACAAAGAAACATGTGGTACTGTTCCATCTTTCTTAACCATATCCAGACTGCATGTCTTCACTGATTTCGCCCCTCGTGGCATGCGGTTCAAGTCCAGCGAAAGATCACCTATGGTATTGTATCAATAGAGTGAACAAAGGATAGTGTATCAGTATAGTATAGTATAGGTAGTGTATAAGTGTTAGTTAATATATCAGTAGATAGTGCGTCAGTAGATAATGTATCAGTAGATAGTGTATCAATGGATATCATATCACTAGATAGAGGGTTCTAAATCAATCTACTTTTCCAAATATCAACTATTGTAAACAGTACGTCGTTCATACCAATAAAATCATCGGCAGAAAATGAGTCAGCATCCCATACTTGTAACACAATTCTAGGAGGAACCTTCTCCTCGGATTCATCCCACGAGAAGAAAGAAGCCTGAAATCACAAGGTAAACTAAATTCTAAAAATTAATAACCAGGCAATAAAAACGCCATAAATGAAGAGCGAAGGACAATGTTGCAATGCACCTACAGCCAACATTAAAAATTAACATGATTTTATCAAAGGTTTCGTTGTCGTGACGTAGAAAAATACCTTTCTATTGATGATAATGCGCTCCTCTGCTCGTTGGTAATTAAATGGAAAAATTAATCTCCAGTTGAAATTACCTTCTCCGGTCATTGATCTAAACCAGAAAAAATTCTTAGAACCAGGATTTGCTCCTGCTATGATGAAAAAAGCGATTCAAATGTAATCAAAGACAAAGAAGAGGCATACTTATAATGAACGTCGGTTTCTTGTTTCTCGTCTTTCATTCCTTCAATCCAACTAAAACACGATAAAATGAGCAATGAAGAACATGATGATTGTAACTATTTAAAGGATAGTCAGTTCATTTAAAATTTACCAACCCTTTAACAAAAATATCGCTGCACTTCTCTCCAGTGATAACATTCGTATCGTCCATGAGAACTTCATCTGTGTTCCAAATCACAATACGAAGTTCATAACTAAAGTGGAAACATCGCAAGACTTATATATCCAATCATAATCGTGACGACACAATCAGATGTTTTCTCTGAATTTGATGCAGTAGTTCCATGCCTACTTGAAAAGTTCTCAAAGTCTTCGAAAAATAATTTCAATGTACCTGGTTGGCTTTCTAGGTGTGATATCAACAGGAGCACCGGGGGATTGCATGTCTCTCGGAAACATATCCACCCACATTTCCACTTGCCCCTGCAAAAAATGCTTTCATCAAAGTACTGCAAGGCTATGCGCAAAAAATTGCAAGACTTTAATTGTTTCAACATAGTTGCAAGAAAGCTGCTGGTACCACCTGTGAGTAAGGTTCCTTTTAATGAGTTTTGTAAGGAAGCTTCAAAGTAGAGCACTAGCTCCAATTAACCACGTGCACGTATAAAAAATACAGCTTTACATTATTGTTCTCAGCCGCGAATTTGTCATAGTGAATGACACTTGAATAGTTCTTAAAAGAGTTGCTGAAAACTTAAATAAAGCTCTAAAATTAAATTAAACGATTCAATGCAGTTTTAAAAACTACTAATTGTCGTTCATCGTGTTAAACACACTGTTCAGAGAAATGTTTAAGTTTGTAACGACAACCAACTCTTAGCAAAACATTGCGTTGATTACGGCTCGACTCAGGTACTGAAGTCAAAAATTAAAACACCAAACCAAGCTACACAGTTCATGTAGTTAATGTGAGTGACGTGACGTCATTTCGAAGAAGGTTTTCTACACATGAAATTTCACCCGGTGGAAGTTTCAATTTTTTGCAACTTCCAGTTGTTTTCATACATTTTTCCACTTAATAAAAATTCAATTTCACCGGGAATGACTGGTAATTTAAAAAAATCACAATTAAACATTTTACATATCAACCTGTTCCACTCCAGGTTTCTCAGAACAATAAAGAAATCTCGTTTCCACGTGCTCGGGAACAAGATGATGGTCAGGTATTACTTTATGCATGTTACGTAAAACCATCAGAGCCGACGGCTCGTCTGACTGCTTCCAATTACCTAAAGAATGATGGCTATGTTGTCATATACTACGATGACTAAAATATCCACAAATCATAAGCATAGACATCATGCACATTTTTAAAATTATAAAACGAAAAGTAATATCCCCTGCTGGGGCAAAATGATATGACACCATCCAGCCTTTACACTGCTGGGGCCAGTATCACAAAGCAGCAATAGTATAGATAGTCCTATCCACTGGATAGTGTATTTTTCTCGCGTATTAAGTTGGTTATGTTTGAACAACGTTTTATTTTATTGATTGCCCACTTCAAACGATATCTTTTAGTCAATTTAACATGTTTTTGAAATTTTTCAAAAAATTCCCATCCAGTGGTTAGCGCCATTCGGACTTCGTAAAACAGGCCCCAGACACAGAATTTCAAAGAAAGATATTTCTCACCAGACTCATCTTGAATTTGACCAGCGGCTTTGAACGTGACACCTTCCACCTGACATTTGCCGTTGGTATAATGAGGACCTTCTAGTCCTTCATCTTTACATATTTTACCCAATATGTGAGTGGGACGTTGTGGATCTCGCCATTTGTTGAAACCGAATCTAAATGGAAAAAAAATGTCATTATTCCAAACATTTGTCAAAACAGAACAGTAATGGGGTACTTTATAAACAATTGCCTATTGACCAAAAATTGTGAAGCTAAAAGAATGGAGTGAATTTAGCAGCAAAAGTGAAGAGCAAAACACAATTAATTTCCCAGGAATGGCCCGATGTTCATACGATCGTAATATTCATAGATGTACTATACAATATAGCTGTAGCATGAAATGAAAGCAAAGTGGTAAAAAACACTTTTTAACTAAACTGAGAGAGGGGGGGTCGATTTAAACCCAAAATCATTATTTCTAATTTATTTTTACAAATCACACTCTTACGTTGTAAACTGTTCCTGCAAACCACAGGTAGCTCGATGTCGACTGTAAAATCGATTCTCCAAATCGACTTTGGTTTCACCAATGAAATCATCGCTACCAACCAAATCCCAATCATAAACACCAACGGTAAGAATTGAGTCCATCGGGATTAATGCTTCGAATTCAAACGTTCTGTCGAACAAAGAACATCGTAGTTGAAGATTGCTATTGTTAAGAGAGGAGATTGCTATTGTTGAAAAATCCTTAATCTTGCAAGATTTCGAAAAAACTTGTTACAAATGGATTTATATGTTGAGGAAAGAGTTATGGCAGTTGAGCTAAGGAACGGGAAAGAGTTACAAAAGACGAGAGTAATATTTTGTCTCTAATACCTTCCAAATATTGGGTTCAACTGTTTTGATATGTAATTATCACGGTCTTTGACTTTTTGTTTTCCCAATGTTACAATTAGGTATGGATCAGCCTAGAAAAAAACAATTCCTTGTTTGGATTTTAAACACAAAAGCACGATATCATTTGATATCAAAGACTTCAGAATTTCCTGTTAAAGTGATCCACTGCATTTTGACATTAACTATGAACTATCAAGTAACTGTTATATGAAAAACAGTAGAAGTTTATGTGAATGAGATCCTGTCCGTTTTTACGTATTTCACGATAAAATCTCCATGAAAAAGTAAATTCATTGCTCACGAGGCCATAACTTCCTTCAATGACCAGTTGAGTAAAAACCAACGAACAAGAGGTTTTCAATATGAACATAATAGCTCAACATAAGACTTTTAAAAAAGCCATCGCAATAATAAAATAAAGAAAGATAAAAGGTTTTTTAATAATATTAATAATATTGATAATAATATTAATAATTTTAATAATATTAATAATAATATTGCGATGGCTTTTTTAAAAGTCTTATGTTGGGCTATTATGTTCATATTGAAAATTCGCTTTCCGCCTGGCAAATTTCGAACGATTTCGAACAAGAGGTTTTGAAAATTTTCGGGAATACATTTTCGGGAGTGCCTCACCAACATCTCGTGGCAATGAGCGGTGAGCTAATGCTGGGGACTGAAACCTACCTTGCCGTTCGGATCTGAAGGATGAAGGTTTAATGCCTAAAAGATAAACGTTTAAAGTGTATGTTTGATTATCATTGTATAGAGCGATTATGAGTTATGTAACATAAATACTCACAGTAAAGTTTAAATAGTTATAAATCTTATGCATTTAAAATAAACGACAAAATCTTTTATAATAAACATGTCTCGATGTTTAAAATTTAAATGCATAATTAATCTGGTGCTTCTGAGATCACGTGGTTATAAATCTTAATCTGAGCCATGCAATAAGAGACCAAAAAATGATTTAAAAATTTGGAGAGAATTTGTACACAAACATCCTACATTGTACATCAAACAATAGGTTGTACACAAACATCTTACATTTTACATCAAACAATAGCTTGTACACAAAACATCCTACATTGTACATCAAACAATAGATTGTACACAAACATCTCACATTTTACAGAGGGTAAGGATATTCTATCGGAAAATCTTTTAGAGGCAATTAAATCTGTATGAAAAAATGGATACCTTGATTAAATGAAATCATTAGTACAAAGATTCATTTCATGCAGAAATCAGCTTTTGAATCATTTCCTACACTTTTTCAATAAAGTTAGTGAGCAATTAAAAACAATTAATGCCTCAACATTTGGACATGGGATGTTAGCGTACAATTTAAAAATGGACTCTAAAGATTTCAATAAGTTCTCAAAGGATGTCATAAAAGTATTTTTTCATAACTTCAACTTAATGTATAATTAATTTCATTAAAAGATAAGAATTTTCTTTTCTGAATTCCTTCATTTCAATATTAATCTTTTGAAGTCTTATGGTAAGTATCAATTTTTGAGAAACTTAAATCCCTCGACTCATCTTCATCCACTTAAGCAGTACTCTAACGTTACCTTGACGACGTATACTCGCACCAAAACGTTAACAGGTTCGTTGCTAGGCAACTTCCGGAAAGTACCAATGACAGGATCGGTTTCAACATTCTCAGGTAAAGGATATTGCCAAACTTTGAGGGAGCCCTGAATGATATTTCACATCGTGAAAGAAAACTGTCCAATACAACAAACAAGAAGAAATAATACAACATTAGCTTTGTTTCACAGATGAACAAACCTTAAACTTTCCGACTACCCGGTGTTCGTCATCATCTTCTTCGCTAGTTTTTCCCTCGATATAGCGAAAATGAATGAAGCCAGTCGTTGAAGCCGTTGAATTCAGTAATATTTTCCAATTCGGTATGATATATCTACATGTTTAAAATGACATTGCTACATTATTGACAGAATTGTTGACTTCGTGTAATATATGTAGTGTGAAAAATTTCATTTTTCATTTGGGATTTATCACGTGAAGAGGACGTGACAAAAATAAGTGGACAAAAGAAAAATCAAGGTTAGTCTTCGTACGGTCGTTTGATAAACAGTCCGTGTAACAGTCACGTGGAAACATGAAGAATACGATGTTATATCTTATCCAATAATATTCATTAATAATCCTCTAGAACCTACTGAAAAAATTAAGTATGTTCCATTAAACTAAATAGTTCTATTATAGTTCAATGGTACGTTCATCTTATATACCTTGCAATGCCAGAGCTCTTAAGTAAAATACTAAGACCATCACAAATAACCCTATGTGACCCTAAGTAACATAATCATAAAGCTAACTATCTTCAAGCCATTACTACTTTTCTTCTATGCTATTAGAGCAACGATGTTTAAGGATTTCAATGGAAACAAGGATAACAATTGTCAAGGAAGGATAACAAGAGTCAAGGAAAGATAGCAAGAGTCAAGGAAGGATAGCAAGTGTCAAGGAAGGATAACAAGTGTCAAGGAAGGATAACAAGAATCAATGAAGGATAACAAGTGTCAAGGAAGGATAACAAGAGTCAATGAAGGATAACAAGTGTCAAGGAAGGATAGAAAGTGTCAATGAAGGATAACAAGTGTCAAGGAAGGATAACAAGTGTCAAGGAAGGATAACAAGTGTCAATGAAGGATAACAAGTGTCAAGGAAGGATAACGAGTGTCAATGAAGGATAACAAGTGTCAAGGAAGGATAATACGTGTCAATGAAAGATAGCAAGTGTTAAGGAAGAATAACAAGTGTCAAGAAGGATAACAAGTGTCAAGGAATGATAACAAGTGTCAAAGAAGGGTAACAAGTGTCAAGGAAGGATAATACGTGTCAATGAAAGATAGCAAGTATTAAGGAAGAATAACAAGTGTCAAGGAAGGATAACAAGTGTCAAGAAATGATAACAAGAGTCATGGCAAACAACCTACTTTAATGAGGGGGATATTTTTCTTTCGTTCAGTTCGTTTTGAAACTTCAGGTAGGACGTTCTTCTCCTTCTTCTTATCTTTTTTATCTTTTTTGTCATCTTTTCCATCTTTCTCCTGTTCCTTTTTGTCTTTTTTACGTTTCTCCTCCTGAATGATGGAAATGTGAACGAACACGATAAAGCATCGAATTTCAAATCTTCTTCTTGATACAAAGATCGATACAATATTCTATATTGATCCCGTTGTATAACAAATTATTCTTGAACATTAAAATATTCCAGCAAAGATAGCAGTTTCTCTTAGTGAAAACTGTTGTACTTTAACGTGTAAATGTAAATATTTTTTAATAAAAACTGCAAGCTGTGATATGTCACTCATTGATTATTTTTTCCTTTTTATGCATTGCTTTAAGAGGTCTTTGGTATCGAAAACATGTCATTCGATTGTTAAAAGCCTCATCTTTAGGAATGTGAAAAACTGCTTTCATAAACTGAGAAATTCACGTAAAATAGCGTGTTGAAAATGGGTTACCTTTTTGTACACATTCTGTTTAAACTTTACAACAGTTGAAACGTTTATAAAATCCAGTTTGAAACAAAACTAAATTATATAAAATAGCTTATTTCGCATGACAACAAAATGCTACCTTTTTTCTTTCTTGCGCTTCGGCGTCTAAAAACTTCATAGTTTCATAGTATCTAGACCACCAATCAAGAGTGTCCTCGCCATCATCTTCATCTTCTTCTTTCTCTTTTCTTTCTTACGTTTATCGACCGTATCCTTAAAAATGATAACTTTTTTGATGCAAGTGATGTGAAAGTCTCGACTTTCTTAAAGAGTTCTTTCTCACCTGGACATCGGGTTTTTCCGGAGCATCTTCGCCAAAATCCGGTTCATCGATATTTACGATGACATCCTGCGCTTGGGCCGCCGTGATGGAGTCTCTCGTTTGCTCTTCTGAAAGATCACAGAAAATAATGATGTGAATCATTTTGTTAAAGATCAGACTTATTACCCAGGCCTAACGCGCGATCTAGACGAACATATATCAGCCATATATGGAGGATGTATCTTGCAAAAAAATATTTGTCATTGTCTCTCGATCAAGCAGACTAAGTTTAGTTGCTATATGGTCGGGAACACATTTCAACAGTGTCGTAAGATTAAGGAGAGATAGAATTTCAGTCTAGTTCTAGCATAATAGCGTCCAGTCCAATCTTATCTAATCCCTAATCTTATCTAATTTGTAATATCTAAGATCTAATATCTAATCTCTAATCTTATTTAATCTCTAATCTTAGCCAATCATTAATCTTATCTAATCTCTAATCTTATTTAATCTCTAATCTTAGCCAATCATTAATCTTATCTAATCTCTACTCTTATCTAATCTATAATCTTATCTAATGTATAATCTTATCTAATCTTTTCACGATTTCTTTCACCTGCGGTGTTAGTGATGGAAGGTCTCTCGATGGGTTCGCCAATTTTTGGAAATCGATATCGATGTAAAGAATTGAGCACGTGAGTACCAACCAACGTGAATCTTCCAAATGTACGACAGTCTCGGACACAGACGGTCAGCGGTGGACAGTATCTTTCGTTCTCGGGCAACTCCTGTGAATTCGAGTTAAAATTTTATATGAAAAATTGTTATTTTCTATTAACTTTGATAGAAAAACCTTAAACACCCTAAAAATATAAGGTGTGTTAGGCAAATACATGGTAAATAGTGCGTTCGTAATGTTCACTATAAATGTCCTTCATATTTATTCATTTCTTTATGAATTATTGTAAAAAGAAATGTATCTTGTGATTCATACTTTCATGACAAAACAATAATAATAAAAATACCTACCACGTCAATAAAGGCAACTGGATTTTGAAAGTTCGGATTTCGTCTTGCATTTGCAATAACCGTAGATTGTATGACTTCACCCGCACATTCGATGTGTACTTGAGGACGATCCACAGTTTGTAGATTCAATCTCTTCATTTCGCGCACACCCCAAAACAAAACCTGAAATAAAGCGATATTAATCCACCTTTCCGACGGTAAACACACGTGTCAAAATTACGAGATCAAATTACCAAATTCGGACAATCAAATGGTCGGATATAGTATTATATTTGTAGAATAGTGGCAATAAAATAGAAAGAAGATGCTCTTGGGGCATTTGTAAATCTTATTTTAGAAATCCAGAACGACAAATTATAAAGGCAAAAGGTGTAAGAGAGAATAAAAACCATTTTCCGTCAAATCAAAGGGAAGCTTGTATATGACATGTAATATGCAAATACAAAGTCATAGAGAAAAACAAAAACATTTCTAACATTGTCACTGATATTACGAGTGTCGTAACAAAGTGTTGATGAGTTTGATATGCATTTGTCAAAATAAGCTTAAGAAGACAAAATGCATGCCAAAAATATAAGATTCGAAATTGGCTAAGCCCACATATAAGCATCAATTTCAGATCTCACTCCGTCACAAATATAAAAGAAAAAACACACTCCAAAAAACATCATCTTGTAAACTCAAGATTCGAGTTATAAAAGCAAGAGACAAAATTTTTGATAAGTTGATTTGGTAATTCTTAAATAACGCCCGTAAAGGCCCGTAACAATCCTAACAAGAAACCTATTAGCGCGAAAAAATGCCAGTATTCAAGCTTTCCTTCGATCGTTATGCTTTTCTAACCCAAAATGGTTGATATTTACTGTTATGCCTTCTGCCTTTATAACTAATCGTTCGGAATAACTAGAATCAGATTCATAAATGATCCAAAACTCAAGAGCATCTCCTATTTTTCCGAAATTTGTAATTTCATACTAAAACACGACGTCAAATCTAATACAAAGAGTTCGTGAAGTGCTGAGGTAAAAACTTTTTAAAGACAACAATAAAGTTTCAAGGACAATTCCAAACGTTAAATTTACTCAAACATATTACGCTACGGTAAGTCAAACTTTTCTTGAGTCACGTTTTAGGAGTAGTAATTATATCGAAGAAATCTTTTCGTTTCTGCTTCTGCGGGGATTGGGTTTATAAAGCTTCCACTTCACTGGGTTGGAAACACAAAAAAAAATTTAAAAATTTAGCAGCTCAAAGCATACATCCTGTACAGTTGTCTAGACACTACGGAGTTGATTTCATTTCAATTTTGGGGGGTCATTTAAGCACTTTTCGAGCACTTTCTTCAAGTGCCCTTAAAAATTAATTTTCCACTTAAAGATTTTTCGAGGGCTTTAAGAACATACAAAAACCTTGTAATACACGTTACCTCTATCCTGTGCTTTTTCATAACTGGTCTTATACCCTCGGGTACACGACATACTGGACCATCGAGAGTATCGACCGGCTCAATCTTGGGCGGCATGAAAGACTTTACAGAAAGTTTATTTGCCACCTGTATACAAATATAGAAAAAATGTTTACAGTAAACTCAAACACAGACAAGCAGCAATCTTGTTTGAGAGGTCAGCTGACCACTCGCACCCACCTCATTCCCAAAACCAACTGGAAGTAATTCAAATACAATAAATATGCAGCAATGTCAGACTTACTTCAAGTAGTTCAAACGCAGCTAGCAGTTCGCCTGCCTTCTCTTCACCACGAAATACTTGAAACCACTCCAAAGCAGGGGGGAAGAACGGTTTTTCATACGGTTCATTAGCCATCTTTACGATGGGTCGAGCTAACGCACGACCAATGAACTCGGAGTCCCCCTAAAAGAATTGGCATATCAGTTGTAGTACGGGGGGGGGTTAGGTATTTGTGAAGAAAAAGCTAAAAAACCTAATCCATTGTCAGGTAAAACTAGTGAAATTAGCCGCATATACAAACCCCATAATCTTTATCAAAAATCTCGACGACAATCGTAGGTGGATTTACTGCTATTTCATTCACATCCCCCATGAGAAAGACCTCTTCAAAGACAATCGTTTGATCCCAAGTCGGGCTTCGCGTCTCCCACACAACATAGGTCTCAGCGATGAAATGCGTAAATATTACTTTTGCAAATGCATCTACCAATATCGGAAATTAGTTAACAGTTGAAGTAGAATAATGGCAGTAATCACGACAACAAGCAATACACTTTAGACGATGTCTAGATAAAATATTGTTACATGATTGTAAATGTAGATCGTCCAGGTTGGTATAGTCCTGAGAAGGACTGTTTTTGTTGTTGTTGACTGACGTTTCGACAACCTTAGCGGTAGTCATCTTCAGAGTAAAAAAAAACAAAAAAAATACTTTTCGAGTCACTTGACTCTGAAGATGACTACCGCTAAGGCTGTCGAAACGTCAGTCAACAACAACAAAACAGTCCTTCTCAGGACTATACCTCGACGATCTACATTTACAAACATGTAACGATACTCCGGGTTCAAACCGTTTACTTTATAAAATATTGTACTAAAAACTCGAGCTATTCTGAACCGAATTCTGCCTTCACAACGTCTTCTCCTATAATGAAAACTGCATACATACCTGAAAGACCAGAAGCGTCACTTCCAATGAGACTCCTTGCTTGGTACAAATGTGACCGAAGTATGAATTTTCGTTTATCTGTTAAAAGTACAAGTAAATAGAAACGCCATGAGCAAAAAACTAAAACTTATACGAAACTGGCCGAACTACAGCAAGTTACAAACCTTTATAAACCAGTTCATTTGGTGGCGGAGCCATTAATTTATGAGCATTGCGAGGCTGCAACAAAAAAAGATTTGTCTTGAAGTACCGAATTCCTTTGTCTATACAAGCCCTCTCTTTATAAAAGTTTATATGTTCCTTTTCAAGGGCTTATACAAGGTTATATATTGAAGGGAGGGGCTAATGCATGGAGTACATTATACTGTAAGGATCTGTAAGCATTAAACCTTTAAATACAAAAGCTTGTACGCGGCTGCGGAATGAGTTGAGTGCTATGATTGTGGTGAGTTTATTCACGAAAAGGCTTATGCTTATAGAATAAATGTGAACGTTTCAGACGCAAAGAACTAAAGGATGAATGAGATTTAGTGATTCTTACAATATCGTAACCTTTGGGTGCATCTTTAAGATAATCTTTCTTGTGCTTGTGTAAACCCAACCATATCATTATGTTGAGCTTGGATTGAATTGCCCAACCTTTAGGACCCTCACCACGTTTGCCTGGTAGCTACAATACAGAAGAACTTTATTATTGATTATACAACCAACAGTTCTAACCAACACTCAACCACATTCATAATCCTTAACAAAACTAGAAAATAATTATGCTAACTCGGAGAAATAGTGTTTGCATTCGTCCCGAGTCCTTTCCACGCTCCTCTTCCACGAGCGAATACAATACGTGTTGAGCGGGTACACGCGTGTAGGCAACACGTTTATTACCGCACAGCATCCAGATGAAGATATCAGGTAGGCTGTCTTGGGGCTAAATGTCGAATGAAATTAAACGATTTATGTAAAGGATTTCAGTGTGTGAATGTTGTAAAGCAGGGTAAAGATGTCTTGTAGCTAAAATTCTTATATCAACAGTCAACGGCAGTAATGCAGCCGTCTTCCAGTTTTGGTCCTGCAGTAAAAACTGCGAGACATTATAATTCTACATTTCTGTAGCAATCTTTTGTTTTCTCTGTAGGTGAATATCGAAAAACGTACGTATCAGAAGTAAATAAGTGAACCTGCTACGTCACTGGTCACATGATTGAGTGTAAAGAATGTAAAACGTATCAGAATAACCTCAGAAGCAATGTTGAGTAGTCGCTGTAGTAATCCATTTGCTGTTTTCATATTTTCCTTTGCGTGTAGGTCATTCCTACAGCTCGTTTTCAAGTCCGACGCCTCCTGCATAACAGCTCCCTGAAAGTAGAAACATGTGATAAAACACGTGATAAAACACGTGATGAAACACGTGAGAAAATAAAACCCTGGTGCTTCACTTCAATGATTTACACAGAGCACGTAGAAATTTTGTGGGAATTTTAATGAGATCGATATCATCATGACCATAATTATGTGCAATTTGATGAGAAACACATTCTTACAATTTCATAATTGCACAGTTTCAAACGTTCTTTATCCAATGTCGTTCGTCCAACATGAGCAGCAGCGGGAACAGATTTGATCAAGTTGAGATAATTGCTACGAAAACAACATCAACACAACAAGTTATCAAATAATTGCTCAATATTTCTATATATTTTATAGTAAAGATACAACAGTTTTATGCCTACGTGCAACCGTTGACGAGCTCTCCTAGAACTCTATTCAACCATTTGTGTGTATCGGGTAGATCCATTTTAACTCTTTCTGAGATGTCGATCAAACCATCCTCCTACAAATGCAATGTGCCATTGGTTAATTATAACCACTGAGCTATATATGTATTGAATGCTTGCTCTGTTAAAGTGCTATTGGTTGATTACAACTACTGAACAATATAAATATTGAAGGCTCGCTCCATGGACATGCCATTGGTTAGTTATGATGTATAAAAGGCTCGCTCCATTGATGTGTCATTGGTTAGGTACAACCACTGAACTATATATGTATGTATGTATGGAAGGCTCGCTCCATTACTTAAAAATTTATTAGTAAACATCTAAAGAAAAACAAAAAGTAGCTCATCTTTGTAAGTTAAGTTATTTATGGTAAAGCATGTACTCTCGTATAAAAAGATTTCCTTTCCTAAGAGCATGGCTGAATTCAACATAGTATTCAACAAAACAAAGAGAAGTTCTACGCCCTAAATCTTATCCAATAACCAAAGAAAATAGTTTACCCATAGTCCCATACACTAACTCAATGAGGATCCCTCTTTGAAATTCTCTACTTACAAATCGTTCGCATATCTTGTAGATGATGTTTGCGTTGAACGAACGTCTTCTGTGGTCCTGCCAGGAAATTTTATGTGAAGGCAAGGTTTGGCTTCTTCCCAAGGTATATGATAGTATTGCCTGTTGTTGGTGACAGGTCGAGCTGGAGGCGAAAGGGATTTTACGTATGGATTGTCCTCCGAATCTTTTGTGACTTTTTCATCCGTTCGATCGAGCTGATTCCGTAATTTCCTGAAAATAAATTTGCAGACTGGTGAAATAATTGATAATAAGTGTTTTGTTGCATTTTGTGTACAGAATACTAAGTTCAGTAATTTGTGCAATGGAATATTTTTAGCCATTGTCCTTCAATAATTTGTAGATCTAGTTTTACAAGGATTTAGAAGGCTACCTACAAGTATCCCCTAGCTTCTACATTGTTCACTTCGTCGTACGTATGTTGAAGGAGATTAGTGCTAAGGCTTAAACAGAATTAGAGTTTTACCCTTTGGTATCCCCTAGATTCTACATTGTTACCTTGTCTTCTTTTGACGGGATCAGTAATAAAGGATTTGGAGATCTGTCCTCTACCATCCCTCTCCTCCCACAGGTTCAATGTTGTAATCAGATTTTGGAAACTCACCAATGGTCATTTCAAATTGAATATTTTTATCACCAACTTTTCTATCGATCATTGATGCCTCGTAAAGACAGGCGAACAACTGAAATTGTTCCTCTTTACCTGCTGCCGTCTGAAATATGAAAGTTATAGAATAGGATCCACAGTTGTAAACCAGTGAACTGTTCAACAATTAAATTGTGTTTGCTTAACCTTTGCACTGACTACTAACGACTAATCGCTTGCAACATTTCATACGGGATCTAACCTCAGAAATGGGTGCAGCTGCTTCTACTTCGACTTGTTTGATTCCAGAGTCTGAAGCAGATTCACCCGTCTCTGCCTGTACGGCCATCAGCAAGCGACCACGGTACGATACACCTTCACCCTAGGACAAATGGGATCATTATAATATGCTCCATTGGTAGCGTTGAAAGCAGAATCGGTGATTGGCTACATTGATCGCTAAGAATCAGGAAGTTCAGAAACATAACAAAGTAAGGAGTGTTGCGGAAGTTTATGTACATATCAAATACATAGTAACATTCTACCAGGGAAAAATACATGTATATTAATATGTTTAGAAGAAGAATAGTAATCACAACTATTGAAAAATTTAGACCTCTCCTATTTAGAATACCCCTCTATGTTATAACTATAAGTCTATAATCAATGTCTATAGTCTATGAATAAAACTAACAACAATCATCCATATCCCAAAGCCATCATCAGAGAATATACATATATAATCCTAACACGGTTTTATATGCACATTAGAAACATGTGACTTGGGCTTGATAGCTCAACAGGTAGAGCGGCGGACTAGGATCCCGAAGGTGCGAGTTCAAATCTCGTCCAAGTCACATGTTTTCATGTGCATATAAAACCGTGTTAGGTTTAAATTATGTATAATCATCCATATGTTATAGACGCAAATATTTTCCATGGAAAAACAGTTATTTAATAGAAACACAACAACACGTTCCTACCAGTCCATTGTTGAGATCGTTGTGCTCGTCAAAAAGTGAATAATCTCTTGTCGATCCGTAAAGATTTACCCAACACGGTCCAAAAGTCGGCATGAAACCTTAAAAGTGAGCAGTGTGGATCAGACAAACCTGTACACTACAGGTTACGCACATATACCAATACCTTGTCCACGTATCAACGAAATATTTTTTGTAAAGTTTATTCATTTATTTTCTTCTGAAATTGTTAAGGTAAATGGTTTGAACCCGGGAGTATCGTTACATGTTTGTAAATGTAGATCGTTCAGGTTGGTATAGTCCTGAGAAGGACTGTTTTTGCTGTTGTTGACTGACGCTTCGACAACCTGAGCGGTAGTAATCTTCAGAGTCATTTACGTTAAATGTACTCAAACATATTACGCTACGGTAAGTCAAACTTTTCTTGAGACACGTTTTAGGAGTAGTAACTATTTCAAAGAAATCTTCTCGTTTCTGCTTCTGCGGAAAATGAATTGCCCTTGAAAATGAATTTTCAAATTAAAGACTTTTCAAGGGCTTTGAGAGTCAAAACGTCTGAAGATGACTACCGCTAAGGTTTACTCTGAAGATGACTACCGCTAAGGTTTACTCAGATGATGACTACCGCTAAGGTTTACTCTGAAGATGACTACCGCTAAGGTTTACTCTGAAGATGACTACCGCTAAGGTTTACTCTGAAGATGACTACCGCTAAGGTTTACTCTGAAGATGACTACCGCTAAGGTTTACTCTGAAGATGACTACCGCTAAGGTTTACTCAGATGATGACTACCGCTAAGGTTTACTCTGAAGATGACTACCGCTAAGGTTTACTCTGAAGATGACTACCGCTAAGGTTTACTCAGATGATGACTACCGCTAAGGTTTACTCAGATGATGACTACCGCTAAGGTTTACTCAGATGATGACTACCGCTAAGGTTTACTCTGAAGATGACTACCGCTAAGGTTTACTCTGAAGATGACTACCGCTAAGGTTTACTCTGAAGAGGACTACCGCTAAGGTTTACTCTGAAGATGACTACCGCTAAGGTTTACTCAGATGATGACTACCGCTAAGGTTGTCGAAACGTCAGTCAACAACAACAAAAACAGTCCTTCTCAGGACTCTACCAACCTGGACGATCTACATTTTTACAAACATGAAATTATTAAGGTTAATTTTTTATAGGATCGACATTTTTATTTCAACAAATAATAATTCAGATGAATTTAAATTCACTTCTATTTTACTTCATTAAACGATTCGACTTTTATCGCTTTTATGTTTAAAATACGAAATACATTTTCAAAGTTGCTTTATGAGAGAAAATCACGGGACTTACTTACGTCAACAATTTATTACTTCTATTTATCGAGGAATTTAAAACGTGATGCACGGGAGGTAACTCAGGGGCGTAACGTGAACAATATTTGAGGGAGGGGTGGGTGTACATTTATATATTTAGTTGTGACCGACTGATTTGTTTTCAAAATGAATTGGCTTTCAAAAGAAATCACTCGGGAACAACTGAATATATGAATGTACACACACCCACCCCTCCCTCAACGTTCTACTTACGCCTCTAGGCTGATTACAGTTTTAAACAATTGTTATATATATATAACAATTTATTTTAATAGACATTATATAGTTAGTTTATTATTTATCGCCTAGTGTAAAGGAATCAATTGTGATGTTTGATTCCAGATTCCGGCTCATGGATTCCGGATTTCAAAAATTGAATTTCACTCTACGCCAGATTTCAGAAAAAATGATTTCGGATCCTACTGCGTACGTGGATACGGATTTCAAAAATTGAATTTCATTCTACGCCAGATTTCAGAAAAATGATTCCGGATCCTACTGCGTACGTGGATTCCGGATTTCAAAAATTGAATTTCACTCTACGCCAGATTTAAGAAAAAATTATTCCGATCCTACTGCGTACGTGGATTCCGTATTCCACACTCGTGGATTCCGGATTTCAAAAGCTTCAATTTTACTGGATTCCTTTACACAAGGCGACATTTAGTTACGATTAAATTTTTTGTTAATATTTACCATTGTCGTAGCTATAAGTGAAAACTGCTCATATAACCAACAATGTATCCCAGAGTGCATCGGTCGCCAACGAAAACAACATTGAAATATGAATGATAACAAAATAAGCTGATGTTCGTTCACGACTGATCGAAGTCGATCGGAGGTGCGTATGAAAGTCGAAAATCAAACGTACAACCGTGGATTTAGTTATTTTTTCACATCACACGAAAGGATGAACATTCAACTGTCCCCACACCTTCAAATCGACCTCGATATTTTAGCCAAGTAAGGCTTCGCCGTACTTCTACATTCCTAGAAAACGTTACATACATAGGCAAGGTTCAAAGAAGAGCTCCAAGGTCGGTCACACATGTATAGCTATAGCGAAAACGTATTTTTTCCACGGAAATGACGATCGACAAATACAAAGATGCTACAATTTAGCAATGGTATCGAAGTTTTCACAAATCCTTAGATAGATCATTTGGTTGCAATTTTTTTCGAAAATGTCGCATTTTTTATTGATGAGCAAAAACACAAATTTTTGATCAATGCTGTTTCACATCAAAATTCATCAATGTGTGACGTACGATGTCGGAGTTCTACGTTGAACCAATAAGAATTGTAACAATTATGATAATTACCAACATCAGCTGACGATGATTGTCGATCAGCTATACAAAAGTAGTACATGTGATGTGCACGTGACGTTAAAGTTGCCAGAAAGGAAATGGAAATAGAAACGAGAAAAAAGAAAATACGATAAATCATAACATACATGACTCAGAAAGAAAACAAAAGTTCTACATCGCACAAGAATACTTCTTTAAGGAAATTGAAAATCTTTGTTTAAATTTTGAAGAATGAGGAAAAATATTTTTTTCATGAAAGGACAACTTTCGTTGATGCTTTTTTAAAATAGTTTTTTGAAATCGTTGAAATGGACTATTTTAGCTCAGATATGTTGGTTTGAAAGCCTGCTCGCTAAGATATCTTAAAGATTCTTTCAAAAAAAATTTATGAAATTTATCCATTCGAATGACATAAGCTAAAGGAATCGTAAACATTCAAAGTCAAAAACAAAAATTACATCAGATATACACTAAATACAAGTGCAAATTAAGTGCAAGGTGCGATTTAATTACAAACCCTTTCGTTTTTTCTTTGATTTTCCTGTTGGTACAGGACGATAAAGATCACTGTTCCATCCTGCTCAAGAGATATTCCCACATAATAAACTAACTCTTTCTCCTTGAAATATCACCTCAGAGAATTTGTATGATACAATGACATAAATAATGAAGATACATGCAAACACTGAACATGTTCAACTTTTATAATGATGAACATGAACACTTTGTATAAAAATGAACAAAAACACATTGTATAATGATGAACATGTTCAGCTTGTAAAATGATGAACATGTTAAGCTTGTAGAAAGATGAACATGAACACATTGTATAATGATGAACATGTTCAGCTTGTAGAAAGATGAACATGAACACAATGTATAATGACGAACATGTTCAGCTTGTATAATGATGAACATGAACACATTGTATAATGATGCACATGTTCAGCTTGTATAATGATGAACATGAACACATTGTATAATGATGCACATGTTCAGCTTGTATAATGATGAACATGAACGCATTGTATAATGATGAACATGTTCAGCTTGTATAATGATGAACATGAACACATTGTATAATGATGCACATGTTCAGCTTGTATAATGATGAACATGAACACATTGTATAATGATGAACATGTTCAGCTTGTATAATGATGAACATGAACACATTGTATAATGATGAACATGTTCAGCTTGTATAATGATGAACATGAACACATTGTATAATGATGAACATGTTCAGCTTTTATAATGATGAACATGAACACATTGTATAATGATGCACATGTTCAGCTTGTATAATGATGAACATGAACACATTGTATAATGATGAACATGTTCAGCTTGTATAATGATGAACATGAACACATTGTAAAATGATGCACATGTTCAGCTTGTATAAAGATGAACATGAACAATTGTATAATGATGAACATGTTCAGCTTGTATAATGATGAACATGAACACATTGTATAATCATGAACACGTTCAGCTTGTATAATGATGAAAATGAACACATTGTATAATGATGCACATGTTCAGATTGTATAATGATGAACATGAACACATTGCATAATGATGAACATCTAGGGTAGGTCAAAATAAGTTATAAAAGCTCACTTTCAATTCAAAAGACTTTTTAAACAAAGCTATTGGTTAGTAAATTGTAGACTAAAATACTCCGTATAAGATTTGCTCTTAAGAATTTTAAGATGGAAATATATTTTCAGTAATGTATTCTGACCAACCCTAGATCTATTACTGCCCCACCCCATCCCCACAACACCCCCCCCCTCTTCCAAATATTACTAACTTTAGTGCCATCATGTCACGTGCAATAGCCCACGTGCCTTCTGTGATTAACATAAATGATCATTAGTAAATTAGTACAAGTGCGTGGTGCAGCAGTTTAGTACAGTGCAATGAAATATACTACATTAGTTGTGCAAGTTAAATAGTAGCAAACACAGTAAAATGAGAACAGAAAATGAAATTCTTAGGTTTTCTATTCAGGAATCAAAGATGTATTTGGGAATATTTGACGCAACCTTTATCAAAAGTTTATATCAACGATATTTGGAAAGATGTGGAAAGACTGGAGAGAGAATTTAAACAAGGGTTATCAGGAAGATATTCCATGGTCAGCAGTTAGTGTAGTGAGCATTTTCATCATAGTTGGTGTATAATGGTCAGCGGTTAGGATAGTGGGTACTTACATCACTTGTTAGTTAAGAATGGTCTATGGTTAGAGTTGGTGCATAATGTTGGAGGTGGTTTATAATGGTTAGAGGTGGTGTATAATGGTTAAAGTTTGTTTATAATGGTTAGAGGTGGTGTATTATGGTTAGCGTTGGTTTATAATGGTTAGAGGTGGTGTATAATGGTAAGCGTTTGTTTATAATGGTTAGCGTTGGTTTATAATATTGAGGTGGTGTATAATGGTTAACTTTGGTTTATAATGGTTAGAGTTGGTGTATAATGGTTATCGGTTACGCTACATGAGGTATAATTTTAAGCTTCCCGCTAAAAATTCCAGTTGACAAACTTATAATGCGGATATCATATAAATCATAAAAACATTTATAACAAAGGCTTACCGTTTGCACCATCATTTGATATGGCGGAGAGATCGATGAAATGTGTCCCAATTACCTCATCCGATACAGAATCACTGTAACAAGAAAAAGACTGGAATCAATCTTAGCAAAGAAGTATAAAAAACCATTAGTGTGTGCCTGCATCCCAACGTCATCGTACGTGACGTCATCGTACATGACATGGTCGTACATTCATGTAGCTATGGGACAATTTATGTAAACATATCTATAATAAAACATGTTTTTTTCCAAAATCCTTTATGAAGACGCTAGTTAATTCTCAAATTAATCTACATGTATTACATACACAATGTGACATTTGTACCTGTCTTTTAGCTGTAATCTGATTCGTCGACAGAGTGGCGGAAACTAACATGCGACAAATAAAAGAAAAACGTGTTAGCACAAACCTGAAGAAGCTTGTCGCGTGAACAAACAGACAGCAGTTCTTATGGGAAATTCATTAACAATTCGTTGTTTTTGCATGAAAATATTTGTGTAATGGTGAACGCATTTCTAACTACGATGAAGGAAGAAGATTTGTAAAATGACTGTTATGAATACGACCACTTACTAGTTCTGCAAACACAACTTGTTCATTCCATGCTGGTTCGTACGTATGCTTTTTTACCGACGTTTTTTGCTAGAAATAAAAGATTTCGGTTATCTGTTTTAGCCAATCTACCTTTCCGACGGTAGACACACGTGTCAAAAATACGAGATGAAATTACAAAATTCGGACAATCATATAGTGGGACATAGTATTGTATATGTAGAATAGTGGCAACAAATAGAAAGAAGATGCTCCATGGGTATTTGTAAATCTTATTTTAGAAATCCAGAACGACAAATTATAAAGACAGAAGGTGTAAGAGAGAATAAAAACCATTTTCCGTCAAATCAAAGGGAAGCTTGTATATGACATGCAATATGCAAATAAAAACTTATAGAAAATAAACAAAAACACTTCTAGCGTTGTCACCGATATTACGAGTGTATACCGGTGTATGCCTCCTCATACAATATAACTCTCTCATCATGAACGAAACCATCCGTGCGCTTCGTGGAGAAAAGGAATTATCTACTTTTTTATAATAGTTTTTACGAAGATAACATTTAATAAGCGAAGATAACGTTTAATACGCTAAATTGAACCCTTATGTCGTAAAATTGTAAGTCATTTTAGATAGTAAATTTCTTTTTACCTTACAATATTTTCATGATTAAATCTAGAAAGTAACTTCCCTTCTCGAGTAATTTTTCGATTTAAAAGTACACTTTTCAGATTCAAAGGACTTTTTTGATCTCATAGAGACAGCCCTCCAATTTATTACGTACATGCATGTAGTATGCATTTCATTGTAAGAAACCACTCTACCAAAGAATATCCAGATCCGATTTTAGCTGCATCTAAGTCGAGCCGTAAAGGCCCATAACAATCCTTACAAATAAAAAACTCGTTTGCGGGACAACATGCCAGTATTCAAGCTTTCCTTTGATCGTTATGCTTTTTTCTAACACAAAGTATTTCTGCCTTCATAAATCATCGTTCTGAATAACTAGAATCAAATTTACAAACACCCCAAAGCCCAAAAGCATCTCCTTACTATTTTATTGCAATTATTCTACATAAACAATACTATGTCCGACCATTTGTTTGTCCGAATTTCGTAATTTGATCTCGTAATTTGGACACGTGTGTCCACCGTCGGAAAGGTGGATTTTTAGAGAGAAGATAATCAACTGTTATTCGAAGAAGATCGAAAAATTGCCAAGTGAATCGTAATTTGAAAGTTTTTAAACTACAAACATGCAACATACTTTATGTCCAGCAAAAGAAACCTCGACGTATGGATCTACCAAATCTCGAACCTGTAGGAAAAAGAAAACCATTACGTTAATTAAAAGTCATAAAAAGACTCAACTTTTCTCCTATTTATTTCGATAAGATTTGTTGGATTGTATGATGGCGACATCTTTCACGAGTTGTGTCTCTTCAAGGGAATTGATTTCTTTCCCTCATAACCAACTGAGCAAACTTTACCAGTAGTGCGATCGTCTAATTTCAAAAAGACGTCAAGGTAAAATGAAAAATTAAAAAAATATGAGCATATTCACCTCGCCCGTAAATGCTTTCTTCACGTTTGCCATCAATCCAGAGTTCACTGTGTTTTGACAAAAAAAGAAACTCGTTTCAACCAAATGTTACTGAATTGTAGCAGCGATTGTATGAAAAGGAAAAAAAAGTTATTTCAATACTTTTTGGTAATCCTTCAGCTCTATAAATCTTGACGATTATTTGGGCCTTTGGTCTTTCAGCAGGAACGCCTTCCGGTAATAACAGATTTCTGAAAATGTTGTATCAATGTCAGTGCTATGACCTTTATCTATTAAAAAATTACATAACTGCCATACTATAGCTAGTCCAAAGTTTTAGCTCGTCTGGTAAATAGCCTGGTCTTCACAAATACAATAATTTTATCAGTGTTGCATAGATGGGATGAGAATTAGTTCGTTCATAAATACAAGAAAAACTACTCTTCGCTTAATAATATTAACATGCGTAGTAAAGGTTATTCAAAAATACAGTACAGTTAGAAATAAGAGCTTAACACTTCACTAATTGACAAAATGTTATATATTTTACGTAAATGAAAACTCACCCTTCTATATCTTCATCGTTGTCTTTGATGGCGGGTGCTTCCTATAGGATGAAGTAAATATCACATAAACCACAAAGAAAAACCTGTTCCTTGCATTAGGACCTGAAGATCAAACACAATGAGGCAAGTCAACCCAACGCACAGCCATGCAGTAACGCTCAAACAGTGAAAGTTTTGATCAACTTGTGAGGGCATTTATTTCAACGGTAAAATGCGGTGGCGTCGCCAGCTCGATAAGTGGAGGGCAGTGGCGTAACTAGAACGTTAATTGGGGGGGTGCATATTCATATATTCCGCTGTGCCCTACTGATTTCTTTTGAAAGTAATTTGAATTTCAAAAGAAATCAGTAGAGCACAACTGAATATATGAATATACACCCCCCCACACACACAATTAACGTTCTAGTTACGCCTCTTGTGGAGGGAACAAGATTCATACATTCAGGTTTTAATCCCTAAGAAAAAATTGATTTCAAAAGAAGTTAATACGGAAAAACGCAGATATACGAATAAAATCCCCCTCACTTATCAAGCTGGCGACGTCACTACTAGAATGTCCACTCATCAAAATCGTGACGTAAGCATGTGTACCTTTATAGGATCTCCTTTACCGAGGACAGTTATATCCACTTTCAAATACCCCTGTGAAAAAATTCATAAGTACGAGCCGATGAACATTCCAGTTTGTTTGTCAGCGGAGTTTCGGGGACTATATGATGTCAGTTGAAATAATATTACCTTCACGCCAGCGCCTGATGCTCCAAGCGTTTCTTCTGGATCCGTAAGAACAGCCCAACGACGACAAAATCTGTGGTCGACCTGGGCATAAACTGTGCCCACATCCAACTAAGTAAAAAACACGAAAAATGATTACAAAGTAGACGGAATTCTTCAGCACAATGGCAAAGTATATACAAATTCGGCTCACGTTTGCTTTCATTAGTAACCTCCCAATTCACACAAATGCATAGCTTACATGAATGGCAACTTCCGTTCCTCTTTATACTTACATCAAAAAGAACGATAGCAACAAGACATGTGGTTGATATGAAAACGTAAATTGTATGGCAATAAATATGAAGTTCAATGTAAGCCGACTTAGTCTACTGCGCGCAGATAAGTTTTCACCCACAGAGTAAAGATATTGAGCATAGAATTTCACACAAACTTTTCCAAATGACAGACATAAAAACATTACGTTCATCGAAAACGAAGACATAACATCACAGACCGGCACAAGAGTCGGCAAGCTCAGGTGATGGCTTTAAAATAGTGTACATTAATTGCACATGGTGCTCAAAAAGGGACTCAAAAAACCTGCCTTAAAAGATCCAATCAGAGCTCCCTGGGATACCAAATTTCTTCCGGTAAAAACCTATGTAAAGAAAATAGTCGCGCGTGTAAGAATTAGATAAGATTCACAACCAGGAGTTTCGCGTGATGTTTTATGAAGTTACTTGTGCGCTAAAAGATCATTCTTATACTCAGAGTAAAGTCGGTTACAGCAGTAAGTTCACAAAGATGCAATTTGACCTCGTTAGAATGAAGCTAGTACTAGTAGATATGTGTAACGGATGCAGTGCAGACTCACCAATGACCTAATGTCATGTTATATTACTGTGAGCAGGGGGGTTCTACCTGAAGACTACTGCGAGCAGGAGGGTTTGTACCTGAAGATTAATGATTTTGTCGAAGAGAACAGATGAAGGCATCTTGAAGTCGAACACGAAGAACTGTTCAAAGGAAGAATAAAACAAAACATATCAAGTTATGTAAGACATGAAGAATACTTCAACAACGCAACAATTGACTGCGCCATTCAATTAATTTAAGGAGTTTGTTTATCATAATCCACCAATCAGTACACAAAAACCATTTTTCAGAACTCGCAACACCATAAAGAACATATACCTCATCCCAATAAGGACAATTTGTCTGCTCCTTCACAGCAGTATGTTTCTTTTGATTACCAACAGTCACAGTACACACTGGATCAAGTTGAGTACCAGCCAACTGACGACATTCCAACACACGAACTTGAACCTGATAATCCAGTTCCTTCACCGACTCTTTTTTTCGTTCTCTGACACGAGGATGACTATGACTGTAGAAAACAAAGTATATAACACGAGGATGACTATGACTGTAGAAAACAAAGTATATAACACGAGGATGACTATGACTGTAAAAACAAAGTATATAACACGAGGATGACTATGACAGTAGAAAACAAAGTATATAACACGAGGATGACTATGACTGTAGAAAACAAAGTATATAACACGAGGATGACTATGACTGTAGAAAACAAAGTATATAACACGAGGATGACTATGACTGTAGAAAACAAAGTTTATAACACGAGGATGACTATGACTGTAGAAAACAAAGTATATAACACGAGGATGACTATGACTGTAAAAACAAAGTTTATAACACGAGGATGACTATGACTGTAGAAAACAAAGTATATAACACGAGGATGACTATGACTGTAAAAAACAAAGTATATAACACGAGGATGACTATGACTGTAGAAAACAAAGTATATAATTTGAGCCATGGAGTATCGCTACATGTTTGGTAGATGTTGGTCATTGAACTAAAATAAATGGAGCACTACCTGAAGCAAATAATTGGAGTCAAATCTTAAATCCAGACACGCGAGATTACACCCAGACACGCGTGTGTAGTGTTTCTCGAGATTCTCTCGCGGAGTGAAAATTGATTGACTACACACGCGTGTCTGGGTGTAAAATTTGGTTTCAAAAAATTATTGGGGTTTTCTATTACAGGTGACGTTCCATGTATTTTAGTTCAATGATGTTGATCGTCAGGGTTAGCGAAGTCCTGGGAAGGACTGTTGGTGTCAGAGTCAAGATCACTAACCCTGAAGAAAGTCAGCAATACCAACACCAAAGGTCCTTCTCGAGACCACCCCGTCCTGGACGATCTACATCTACAAACATGTAACCCGATAAAACATTAAGTAATTCATTTTTATTGGCAGTAAAATGAACTCTAGTCGAAGATCTTACTGTCTTGTATGAAAATTTTAAATATTTCGCGTCACATGACTAAAAATTCATGACATTTATTGGTCACTTTGTCATGTTGAATAACAACAACAAATGTTGTTGTAAAATAATATTTTCATTCAATTGCTGCCACAAGCTGTCAAAAATCACTCGAGCTCATGAAGGCGAGCGCAGCCCTGCCCTCTCCTCCCTCCCTCCCTCAAAAGCCCCCTCCAAGCAGTATCATTGATCTTCGTTTTCACTTCATCTACTAAACAAATAGTAGAAGAGCTCGCAGAACAGCAGACACCTACCCTTTGAGTTCACTGACGTTGAAAGATTCCCTCGCGCCATTACTTTCTTGTCGCCACATTTTATCAAAAGGTGCAACGATAGAATTTTCGGGATTGACAGCAGCATTGGAACTTGTACTATTCATGTTGGGTAAGGATTCCTTCCTACTATAAAGCAAACTGTGAGAAAAAAGACAAATGTGAATAAACATTATAGAAAGATATCAACAGCGGCCTTCAGGTGACCTCGTCAATACGGTAATATGGCTACACTTTTATTACGGTCAACAGAGAAAGCGAACTACTTTACTAATGGTTGTACCGAGAATATATTATAACTTGTACGTATACCCAGTACCTTGCTCTATATGTAAAAGTAAGCTATAACTTGTACGTATACCCAGTACCTTGCTCTATATGTAAAAATAAGCTATAACTTGTACGTATACCCAGTACCTTGCTCTATATGTAAAATAAGCTATAACTTGTACGTATACCCAGTACCTTGCTCTTTATGTAAAAATAAGCTATAACTTGTACGTATACCCAGTACCTTGCTCTATATGTAAAATAAGCTATAACTTGTACGCATACCCAGTACCTTGCTCTTTATGTAAAATAAGCTATAACTTGTAATGCATACCCAGTACCTTGCTCTATATGTAAAAGTAAGCTATAACTTGTACGTATACCCAGTACCTTGCTCTATATGTAAAGTAAGCTATAACTTGTACGTATACCTAGTACCTTGCTCTATATGTAAAATAAGCTATAACTTGTATGTATACCCAGTACCTTGCTCTATATGTAAAAGTAAGCTATAACTTGTACGTATACCTAGTACCTTGCTCTATATGCAAAAGTAAGCTATAACTTGTAATGTATACCTAGTACCTTGCTCTATATGTAAAAGTAAGCTATGACCTGTACGTATACCTAGTACCTTGCTCTATATGTAAAAGTAAGCTATAACTTGTAATGTATACCCAGTACCTTGCTCTATATGTAAAAATAAGCTATAACTTGTATCGTATACCTAGTACCTTGCTCTATATGTAAAATAAGCTATAACTTGTAATCATACCTAGTACCTTGCTCTAAATGTAAAAGTAAGCTGTAACTTGTACGTATACCTAGTACCTTGCTCTATATGTAAAAGTAAGCTGTAACTTGTACGTATACCCAGTACCTTGCTCTAAATGTAAAATAAGCTATAACTTGTACTGCATACCCAGTACCTTGCTCTATATGTAAAATAAGCTATAACTTGTATGTATACCCAGTACCTTGCTCTATATGTAAAAATAAGCTATAACTTGTACGTATACCTAGTATCCTTGCTCTATATGTAAAAATAAGCTATAACTTGTAATGTATACCTAGTACCTTGCTCTAAATGTAAAAGTAAGCTGTAACTTGTATGCATACCTAGTACCTTGCTCTATATGTAAAAGTAAGCTGTAACTTGTACTGCATATTCAGTACCTCGCTCTAAATGTAAAAATAAGCTATAACTTGTACGCATACCTAGTACCTTGCTCTATATGTAAAAGTAAGCTATAACTTGTCGTATACCTAGTACCTTGCTCTATATGTGTAAGCTATAACTTGTACGCATACCTAGCACCTTGCTCTACATGCAAAAGTAAGCTATAACTTGTACGTATACCTAGTACCTTGTTCTATATGTAAAAGTAAGCTATGACCTGTATGTATACCCAGTACCTTGTTCTATATGTAAAAGTAAGCTATAACTTGTACGTATACCCAGTAACTTTGCTCTTATGTAAAATAAGCTATAACTTGTAATGCATACCCAGTACCTTGCTCTATATGTAAAAATAAGCTATAACTTGTATGCATATACCCAGTACCTTGCTCTATATGTAAAATAAGCTATAACTTGTAATGCATACCCAGTACCTTGCTCTTTATGTAAAATAAGCTATAACTTGTACGTATACTCAGTAACTTTGCTCTACATGTAAAAATAAGCTATAACTTGTAATGTATACCCAGTAACCTTGCTCTATATGTAAAAATAAGCTATAACTTGTAATGTATACCCAGTACCTTGCTCTATATGTAAAAATAAGCTATAACTTGTACGTATACCTAGTAATTGCTCTTTATAAAAAATAAGCTATAACTTGTAATGTATACCTAGTACCTTGTTCTATATGTAAAACAAGCTATAAATTGTAATGCATACCCAGTACCTTGCTCTATATGTAAAAGTAAGCTATAACTTGTAATGTATACCCAGTACCTTGCTCTATATGTAAAACAAGCTATAACTTGTAATGCATAATCAGTACCTTGCTCTATATGTAAAAGTAAGCTATAAATTGTACGTATACCCAGTACCTTGCTCTATATGTAAAATAAGCTATAACTTGTAATGCGTATACCCAGTACCTTGCTCTTTATGTAAAAGTAAGCTATAACTTGTAGGTATACCCAGTACCTTGCTCTATATGTAAAAGTAAGCTATAACTTGTACGTATACCCAGTACCTTGCTCTATATGTAAAAGTAAGCTATAACTTGTACGTATACCCAGTACCTTGCTCTATATGTAAAAATAAGCTATAACTTGTACGTATACCCAGTACCTTGCTCTTTATGTAAAAATAAGCTATAACTTGTAATGCATACCCAGTACCTTGCTCTATATGTAAAAACAAGCTATAACTTGTAATGTATACCTAGTACCTTGCTCTAAATGTAAAAGTAAGCTATAACTTGTAATGTATACCTAGTACCTTGCTCTATATGTAAAAGCTATAACTTGTACGTATACCCAGTACCTTGCTCTATATGTAAAATAAGCTATAACTTGTACGTATACCCAGTACCTTGCTCTAAATGTAAAAGTAAGCTATAACTTGTAATGTATACCTAGTACCTTGCTCTTATGTAAAAGTAAGCTATAACTTGTACGTATACCTAGTACCTTGCTCTATATGTAAAAGTAAGCTGTAACTTGTACGCATACCTAGTACCTTGCTCTATATGTAAAAGTAAGCTATGACTTGTAATGTATACCTAGTACCTTGCTCTATATGTAAAAGTAAGCTATAACTTGTAATGTATACCCAGTACCTTGCTCTATATGTAAAATAAGCTATAACTTGTAATGTATACCCAGTACCTTGCTCTATATGTAAAAATAAGCTATAACTTGTAATGTATACCCAGTACCTTGCTCTATATGTAAAAGTAAGCTATAACTTGTATCGTATACCCAGTACCTTGCTCTATATGTAAAAGTAAGCTATAACTTGTAATGTATACCCAGCACCTTGCTCTATATGTAAAATAAGCTATAACTTGTACGTATACCTAGTACCTTGCTCTATATGTAAAAATAAGCTATAACTTGTACGTATACCTAGTACCTTGCTCTAAATGTAAAAGTAAGCTGTAACTTGTACGTATACCTAGTACCTTGCTCTATATGTAAAAGTAAGCTGTAACTTGTATGCATACCCAGTACCTTGCTCTAAATGTAAAATAAGCTATAACTTGTAATGTATACCCAGTACCTTGCTCTATATGTAAAAATAAGCTATAACTTGTACGTATACCCAGTACCTTGCTCTATATGTAAAAATAAGCTATAACTTGTACGTATACCTAGTACCTTGCTCTATATGTAAAAATAAGCTATAACTTGTACGTATACCTAGTACCTTGCTCTAAATGTAAAAGTAAGCTGTAACTTGTACGTATACCTAGTACCTTGCTCTATATGTAAAAGTAAGCTGTAACTTGTAATGCATACCCAGTACCTTGCTCTAAATGTAAAATAAGCTATAACTTGTACGTATACCTAGTACCTTGCTCTATATGTAAAAGTAAGCTATAACTTGTAATGTATACCTAGTACCTTGCTCTATATGTAAAAGTAAGCTATAACTTGTGTATACCCAGTACCTTGCTCTATATGTAAAAGTAAGCTATAACCTGTAATGTATACCCAGTACCTTGCTCTATATGTAAAAGTAAGCTATAACTTGTACGTATACCCAGTACCTTGCTCTATATGTAAAATAAGCTATAACTTGTACGTATACCCAGTACCTTGCTCTATATGTAAAATAAGCTATAACTTGTACGTATACCCAGTACCTTGCTCTATATGTAAAAATAAGCTATAACTTGTACGTATACCCAGTACCTTGCTCTTTATGTAAAATAAGCTATAACTTGTAATGTATACCAGTACCTTGCTCTACATGTAAAAATAAGCTATAACTTGTACGTATACCCAGTACCTTGCTCTTTATGTAAAATAAGCTATAACTTGTATGCATACCCAGTACCTTGCTCTATATGTAAAATAAGCTATAACTTGTACGTATACCTAGTACCTTGCTCTTTATAAAAATAAGCTATAACTTGTACGTATACCTAGTACCTTGTTCTATATGTAAAAATAAGCTATAAATTGTACGTATACCCAGTACCTTGCTCTATATGTAAAAGTAAGCTATAACTTGTACGTATACCTAGTACCTTGCTCTATATGTAAAAGTAAGCTATAACTTGTACGTATACCCAGTACCTTGCTCTATATGTAAAATAAGCTATAACTTGTACGTATACCCAGTACCTTGCTCTATATGTAAAATAAGCTATAACTTGTACGTATACCCAGTACCTTGCTCTATATGTAAAAGTAAGCTATAACTTGTACGTATACCCAGTACCTTGCTCTATATGTAAAAGTAAGCTATAACTTGTACATACCCAGTACCTTGCTCTATATGTAAAATAAGCTATAACTTGTAATGCATACCTAGTACCTTGCTCTATATGTAAAATAAGCTATAACTTGTACGTATACCTAGTACCTTGCTCTAAATGTAAAAGTAAGCTGTAACTTGTACGTATACCTAGTACCTTGCTCTATATGTAAAAGTAAGCTATAACTTGTACGTATACCCAGTACCTTGCTCTAAATGTAAAATAAGCTATAACTTGTACGTATACCCAGTACCTTGCTCTATATGTAAAATAAGCTATAACTTGTAATGTATACCCAGTACCTTGCTCTATATGTAAAATAAGCTATAACTTGTACGTATACCTAGTACCTTGCTCTATATGTAAAAATAAGCTATAACTTGTACGTATACCTAGTACCTTGCTCTAAATGTAAAAGTAAGCTGTAACTTGTAATGCATACCTAGTACCTTGCTCTATATGTAAAAGTAAGCTGTAACTTGTACGTATACCCAGTACCTTGCTCTAAATGTAAAAATAAGCTATAACTTGTACGTATACCTAGTACCTTGCTCTATATGTAAAAGTAAGCTATAACTTGTAATGCATACCTAGTACCTTGCTCTATATGTAAAAGTAAGCTATAACTTGTACGTATACCTAGTACCTTGCTCTACATGTAAAAGTAAGCTGTAACTTGTATGTATACCTAGTACCTTGCTCTATATGTAAAAGTAAGCTATAACTTGTACGTATACCTAGTACCTTGCTCTATATGTAAAAGTAAGCTATAACTTGTACGTATACCTAGTACCTTGCTCTACATGTAAAAGTAAGCTATAACTTGTACGTATACCTAGTACCTTGCTCTATATGTAAAAGTAAGCTATAACTTGTACGTATACCTAGTACCTTGCTCTATATGTAAAAGTAAGCTATGACCTGTACGTATACCCAGTACCTTGCTCTATATGTAAAAGTAAGCTATAACTTGTATTATACCAGTACCTTGCTCTTTATGTAAAATAAGCTATAACTTGTACGTATACCCAGTACCTTGCTCTATATGTAAAATAAGCTATAACTTGTACGTATACCCAGTACCTTGCTCTATATGTAAAAATAAGCTATAACTTGTACGTATACCCAGTACCTTGCTCTTTATGTAAAAATAAGCTATAACTTGTACGTATACTCAGTACCTTGCTCTACATGTAAAAATAAGCTATAACTTGTACGTATACCCAGTACCTTGCTCTTTATGTAAAATAAGCTATAACTTGTACGTATACCCAGTACCTTGCTCTATATGTAAAAATAAGCTATAACTTGTACGTATACCTAGTACCTTGCTCTTTATAAAAATAAGCTATAACTTGTACGTATACCTAGTACCTTGTTCTATATGTAAAAACAAGCTATAAATTGTACGTATACCCAGTACCTTGCTCTATATGTAAAAGTAAGCTATAACTTGTACATACCTAGTACCTTGCTCTATATGTAAAAGTAAGCTATAACTTGTAATTATACCCAGTACCTTGCTCTATATGTAAAAATAAGCTATAACTTGTACTGCATAATTAGCACCTGTCCCTATATGTAAAAATAAGCTATAACTTGTACATACCCAGTACCTTGCTCTATATGCAAAAGTAAGCTATAACTTGTACGCATACCAGTACCTTGCTCTATATGTAAAAGTAAGCTATAACTTGTACGTATACCCAGTACCTTGCTCTATATGTAAAATAAGCTATAACTTGTACGTATACCTAGTACCTTGCTCTATATGTAAAATAAGCTATAACTTGTACGTATACCTAGTACCTTGCTCTAAATGTAAAAGTAAGCTGTAACTTGTACGTATACCTAGTACCTTGCTCTATATGTAAAGCTAAACTGTAATTGTATACCCAGTACCTTGCTCTAAATGTAAAATAAGCTATAACTTGTACGTATACCCAGTACCTTGCTCTATATGTAAAATAAGCTATAACTTGTAATACACCCAGTACCTTCTATATGTAAAATAAGCTATAACTTGTACATATACCTAGTACCTTGCTCTATATGTAAAAATAAGCTATAACTTGTACGTATACCTAGTACCTTGCTCTAAATGTAAAAGTAAGCTGTAACTTGTACGTATACCTAGTACCTTGCTCTATATGTAAAAGTAAGCTGTAACTTGTACGTATACCCAGTACCTTGCTCTAAATGTAAAAATAAGCTATAACTTGTACGTATACCTAGTACCTTGCTCTATATGTAAAAGTAAGCTATAACTTGTACGTATACCTAGTACCTTGCTCTATATGTAAAAGTAAGCTATAACTTGTACGTATACCTAGTACCTTGCTCTACATGCAAAAGTAAGCTGTAACTTGTACGTATACCTAGTACCTTGCTCTATATGTAAAAGTAAGCTATGACCTGTACGTATACCCAGTACCTTGCTCTATATGTAAAAGTAAGCTATAACTTGTACGTATACCTAGTACCTTGCTCTATATGTAAAAGTAAGCTATAACTTGTACGTATACCTAGTACCTTGCTCTACATGCAAAAGTAAGCTATAACTTGTACGTATACCTAGTACCTTGCTCTATATGTAAAAGTAAGCTATAACTTGTACGTATACCTAGTACCTTGCTCTATATGCAAAAGTAAGCTATAACTTGTATTGATTTTATTGTTAATTTTGTTAGTCATTTTAACGCCCGCCTGTGGAAATCATCGCCATTTGACAAGGTTAGCGTGTTTAAGTACGTTTTTATATCTAATTATCTTTCCATTCAAGGACCAGACTTAAAGTTACTGCTTTCAATTGACAGTTTATACGGTCGATCCAAATAGTAGCTAAACGCGAAAACAGATGAAAAAGCAATATAACAAGAGAAAACTATTACTGATAAAATTGCTAATTGTTCTTCACTAAACTTTCCAATAAAACTTTAAAAACTTCACGCTTGACATTTCTATCTCACACCGTCAATAAATCCACCACGTGATCATGACCAGTTGGTGTCAGTATCAACAGGATACTGCAGTACAATAAAGTACATTATTACTTTACCCTAACTCGATTTCTTGTGTTGCAGCATCATTAGTGAAAAGCATTGGGATGTTCGGCATGCTACCAATGGGTCGTCCAGCAGGACGATTTGACTCCTGCAGCAACAAATGCGATCGTCTACGTTCCGCTTCTGTCATGGCGCGAAAACTTGTTTCCCATGAGCCATTGTCACCGATGTTCACAAGAGGTTGATAAGGCTGTTCTATTGGTTCGCCGGAAATAGGCACGGGTCCGGGGAGGATGTCGCTTTGCCATCCTGCATCAATAGCATCACCGTCGGGTGGATCATAGAGGAGTTCTACAAAAACTTGGGCCTAAAGCATAAAATGGGCGGATATGAAAATTTAGGTAAAAATAATTTCTCCTTTTTCTGTTCAGATTGTGGCTACCACCATGTTGTTCACAATAAAAGCCCTGTTAACTAGTTAAGCTTTTATTTCATCAAACTTGACCTCCTTATGATTATGGTGCGAACTAAATTATTTGTTGATGTTGATCGTCCTGGTCAATTTAGTCTTAAAGATAAAGATGACTACTGCTAAGAATGTCAAATGTCAATCAACACTGACCTTGATGAACAACATCTACAAATATAGACATATAAGGCTGAGAGGCAGGGAGGTGTGTTGCCCCCCCCTCCCCTCCCCTCCTAATGTTGGACGGACAAGGCTAGTCGGGCATTATTTGATGTTTATCAACATTGTTCAACATTATTTGGTATTATGGTATTATTGACAGTCGAACATTGTTTGCTGGAAAATTAGGTAAATCAAGTAATTTAAGACTGAAAATGTCCTGACCCCTCCCACACAAAAAAATGTTGACCCATATGCCCGTGTCCACAAATGTGAGGCGATACTCCCAAGTTCAAAGAGATCACTTTAGAATATTTCTACTTTTATGTTTATTTCGATGGAACATTTCATTTTTGGTCAACATCATTCATTCACCTTAAGGACCGTGTTGTTTGAATCAACTAAGCTCTCTTGAATTTCCAAGTGTCCATCCTGAATGAGCTTCTGTAAGACCATGCGAAATACCCCAACCAACCTTCAAAGTAGGAAATCAAAAAATCACAAGTCTGTGGCACAATGCTTAAGAAATGTACTCACTTCATTCTCACCTATTGTTGAATATTTTGTTGAAGTTATAAACCTCAACCTCAATGAACTCGCTTGGGTCCAATGGACTGACCAAAGGCCACTCATATTCCTGAACAGAACATATTATCATCATCAATAAGTATTTCCACAAATGTCATCTTTACAATTCATACAACACCTCATCCCATTCAGCCTCTGAACAATTTTCATAGATGCTTGACTGATATGTCACTCCTGTCAATTGCAAGCTCTCAGTTAGTTTTCCCATTGGTTAGAAATTATGTTATTCACTTCATCAAGAATTCAATGATAGCAGAGAAGCTGTTATGGTCGGTCATGTCATGTGTCTTCATCAATAATAATGCACGAGTTCAAACAATCAAAGTAGGCAATTTAAAGCATTAACAATGAAATTAAATTTATGTAGTTTAAGTGTGAACTTTATGCTGTCATTTAAAAACATTTCGTACTTTAGAGGTAATTTTTTGCTCAACAGGCTTGAGAACAACACCCTTTTCTTCATGACATAAGAACCAGAAAAACTCAACACAACCTCAAAATTCTTATCTTCTGCCTGGTTTCAGCTTCAAGTCAAAATGTGTTTCTTGTTCATCTTCGTAATGTATATAATTTACCTCATGTAAATTATCATAATGTCCACCACGCAAGTCGCAAGATTAAGTTTAGGATTAGTTTTAGGATTATATTTGGGATTACAGTACCTTAATACTTGTGTAAAAATTATTGATATTTGGGTTCAAACAGAGCGTACAGTTTTCAGTACAGATATTAAAAAGAAGGCGAACAATCTTATGCCCTTACGCACGTTACTCTGTGAAATTTTAGTAGCATTTATTGCAATTATCATAATAACATTGTTTCGCCAGCCTCAATTTGCTCTTCTATTGTTTTAAATTTTTGGGGGAAATTCAGCCTCAAAGTTCCTAAAATTCTTGAACATCATAATTCAATCTAAAGTAAACGATTTGAACGCGGGAGTATCGTAACATGTTCGTAGATGAAGATCGTCCAGGTTGGTAGAGTCCTGAGAAAGACGGTTGTTGTTGATGTAGACTGACGTTTCGAGTCACTTGACTCTGAAGATGACTACGGCTAAGGTTGTCGTAACGTAAGTCTACATCAATATCAACAGTCCTTCTCAGGACTCTACTAACCTGGACGATCTTCGTCCACAAAAATGTTATGATTCAATCTACAAGCACTCAGCCGATTGACTAAGGACGCACAATAGTTTCTAAACCGAAATTTGTTTTCTCATTTATTTGCTTGAGAAGATCAACTCGAAAACCTACCATGGACTTAAAATCCTTTGTCGCCAAAAGGGTTTCAATAGTACCTTAATCTATGCCAGATATTACTCCATTTTTCTCGACAATCCGTGAAGGCAATTCAGCAAGCAAAGTAGTACACTCTGGTTCAAAGAGTCCGCTCATTAATTCAGTTCGTTAAAATTTCAAAAATTTGCTGTAGAAAATATTTTAAGTACAGACGTTGTTCGCATGAGTGATTTGATGGTCCCCATATCAGCCCCTCTACCCTCATCAAAACTACTATTTCCAGAAAAAGACTTAAGCTTTCAAAGCCTAATGATTCTTAGTGTGTCAACTCTATGTAATGCATGGGGAGATGAAGCGAACTAACATACTCGGCATTTCATCCGGATATAAACGTCAAAATGGAAATATCAATATTCAAACAAATCAAAAATGAAATAAAAAATTCGCAGACTTTGCCAAGTACGAAAAAGGTTAACTAAGCTGATGTAAAAACAAATGTGAAACGGTTATATTCGCGACAAAATATGAACTCAACAAATTATCTTCTTGCGTAAACACGACCACGTACCGCGAAAAGTTATCGTCGCCAAACGGTCGCATTTTCCTCTGAGATTAACACAACTTCGTAAGATAACAGTCAACGACATTTCCAAATGTTATTTTTTTCCAGACATGACTCTAAAGCGACAATTCTTCATGAGAATTTAGACGATTTAGACTCCGCTACGGAATGAGTATAACATAAAACACGCCAATCAGAATACACGAATAACACCTGCCGATTTTTGGCTAAAAACGACGCAAATTTACATACAACATAACTTTAATGATTTTACAGATATATACTTTGTACAAGAACAGGTAAGATACAACTGCATTTGGTTGTGTATTTTTCAATTCAAACGCAAGAATTTTATGAAGGAAAGAAATCCTAGAAACACACAATTGTTTCTTTTTTAAATTGAGACATGCTTTAGGCTGTGCTTTGGGGGTGCTTAGGGTAATAATTTAAATCCCTACATTTCAAACGCGACTGTTTTCTTGAAAAAGAAAAATGTCAAAGAGCATAAGAGATTTTACATAAAGAGGAGTCACAATTTTGAAAATAAAAAATTGTTTTACAAATCTTTAATACCATGGTGAGTGGTCAAAATAAGAACGTATGTTTCTTAAAAAAACTGTTTAAAACCGGAACTTTAACCCGATAGTTCTAAAAGAAATGTTTTAAAGTTAAAAGACACGTATACGCCAGCTAAATGAAAATTTAAAATCAACGGATATTTATAACGACAAGAAAGAGGATACGTCATCTCTCCAAGAGGGAGACGACCATTGGAGACGACGCTCAAAACAGAGATAATTTAAAACATATTCCTTTTATTACTGAGTTATCTTGTTGTTTTTTGTTTTATAAATTTAAATGTACGATACAAACTTTAAAAATGAAATTTGAACGTAGAATACAAACTTCAAAAATAAAATTTGAATGTAGAATACAAGCATGAAAAATAAAATTTAAACGTAGAATACAAACTTCAAAAATAAAATTTGAGCGTAGAATACAAACTTGAACGCAAAGCATAAGTTCAATAATGGCTGACATTCGATGCCATATTCTGCCACATGCTAAAACTGAATATTTTGAATGTAATTACATAAATATTATAATAAATAACAAATACTTTAAAAACTATGATACGGCTATTATGAAGAGAGTGAATTATCAAGAAAGCGTAAAATATTCTTAAAGATCACGTATAATTTGAATAGTTATAATGATTTAATAAAATAATCAACATAACACCTTCCATAACATCAAGCATTGAATATTTTCTTGACGGTATATCCCTAGAATAAAAATGCATCGTTACGGTACATATATATTGTTTTATTTAAGACCAGTGCTGTAAGTAACTTCGTTTAGTTACATATAATCTTTAGCGACTTTATTAAGCAACAGTAACGGCAACAAGTTACTTTTTCGCAAGGTAACTGACTTGTAACAGTATACAGAAAAAGAAGGCAACATACTAACTGTTGCTAGTTAGTTTTTGCCAACTTTAACAGTAGCACGTAACAAAGACTTTAAAGTAACATAATAATTGTTACTGGTTAGTTTATGCCAACTTTAACAGTAGCACGTAACAAAGATTGTAAAGTAACAGAATAATTGTTACTGGTTAGTTTATGCCAACTTTAACAGTAGCACGTAACAAAGATTATAAAGTAACAGAATAATTGTTACTGGTTAGTTTATGCCAACTTTAACAGTAGCATGTAACAAAGATTGTAAAGTAACAGAATAATTGTTACTGGTTAGTTTATGCCAACTTTAACAGTAGCATGTAACAAAGATTGTAAAGTAACAGAATAATTGTTACTGGTTAGTTTATGCCAACTTTAACAGTAGCACGTAACAAAGATTGTAAAGTAACAGAATAATTGTTACTGGTCAGTTTATGCCAACTTTAACAGTAGCACGTAACAAAAATTGTAAAGTAACAGAATAATTGTTACTTGTTAGTTTATGCCAACTTTAACAGTAGCTAGTTACAAAAATAAGCAACTATTTCAGCATTGTTTAATGTAACAGACTCCATCACCTACCGACATGGCAAATAGAAATAAAATAGTTGAAGTATAAATTTTTTTTGTAAAGCTCAATGTAACAGACTTTACAACCTACCGGCATGGAGTAGAAAAATAATCCCATAAGAGCAAGGAGAAGGAAAATAACGAGGAATTTAAGGAGGCACATTTTGTAATTATTCCATATCAAGTAACGTAGAGATTTTAAAGGATTCATAAACCAAACGAATGATGTGTCAGGACGACTAAAATACAACAAAAACAAGAAAAAAATTGTAAAACTAACATTTATGATGCATGCAGGCATTCATCAATACTATGATATAGGATTATATTCGTTGTATAGTGGCTACTAACTGCTACTATATTCTCTGATGACGGCTATGGAATAAAGTCGAAACACGGTTCCATACAGAAAACTGCTATATTGGCGAGAATCTCTCGTCTACACGCATAGAAAAAGAGATTTGACTCGTCTCCAATCCCTGTGGGCTTGGTAGCTGCGGACTAGTATCCCGAAGGTGCGAGTTCAAATCCGTCTAATCCGTTCACTAATACTATTGACTACGAATACTGAATACTTCTACTGTCTACTGACTAAAAACTAGTAATGCTGACTACTACTACTGACTACTGCCGTTGACTACTAATAATGAATAATTCTACTGATTATTATTGACTACTAATTACTGACTACAGACTACTACTACTGACTACTAACTAGTAATGCTGACTACTACTACTGACTACTGCCGTTGACTACTAATAATGAATAATTCTACGGAGTATTATTGACTACTAATTACTGACTACAGACTACTACTACTGACTACTAACTATATTAACTATACTATGAATATTAATTCTTACTACCATAAAGTGTCTAATACTGACTACTTTAAAAAATGAGTAAGTGCAGGTGGGAGAGAAAGAGAGGAGAATTTTTAAAATTATCACCCCTCCTTCATAAAGATGATTTTTAAATTATGCATTCTTGAACTTAAAAACATGGATGTCATATACATACTTCGGTTTCGGAAGAGGGTCGGGTTCTTCACGACCTTTTCCGGCCGGTTTTTTCTCAGCTTCCTCTTCAGTGAGCAGATCAAATTCGGCTTCCAGCTTTCCCTAAAATACATATAAGTAAACATTAGAAAAACAGAAAGAAGCGATGTTTTTTGTTGTCAAGGTTCAAAAAGTTACGACGTACGACGATTTACAAAGTTTCAAAAACAAAAGATAGAAATCTACACTTAAACGATGAAGATCTGCTTACGGACAGTTCAATTTCTTCTAAATCTGTGTTAACAGTAAATGGCCACCATCCTTTAATGTGTCTCAACTTAAACAAAGAAACATGTGGTACGTTTGCATCCGTCTTAACCATATCCAGATTGCATGTCTTCACGGATTTCGCCCCTCGTGGCATACGGTTCAAGTCCAACGAAAGATCACCTATGGTATTGTATCAATAGAGTAAACAAAGGATAGTGTATCAGTATAGATAGTGCGTAAGTGTTAGTTTACAAATAGAGAGTACATATTAGTAGATAGTGTATCCGCAGATAAAGTATCAGTAGATAATGTATCAGTAGATAATGTATCGATAGATAATGTGTCAGCAGATACAGTGCGTCAGTATATAATTTATTGTTAGATATTGTAGCAGCAGATAGTTTACCAAAAGACAATGTATCGCTGGATGTAATACATCAACACATAATGTAACAGTAATGATAATATAATTATAAAATGATAATAGATAATTCATAAGATAATTCATTAATAGATAATGTATTAATTGTATTAATAGTGAATGTATCAGAGTTAGTTAACAAATAGATATCGTATGTATCAGTGGGTAATGTATCAGTAAAGAGTGCGTCAGTAGATAACATAGAAGTAGTATATTATTGAGATAATGTATCAAGAGATAGTGTATTAGTTGATGATTTTTCAGTTTTAGTTTACGAACGGATAGTGTATCATTGGGAAAAGTATTAGTAGAGAGTGCGTCGGAGTATTTCAGTACGTATCAGTATATAGAGTATGTGCATCAGTATATAGATCAGTACGTATCAGTATATAGAGTATGTGCATCAGTATATTTTAATATACGTCAGTATGTACCAATAGATAGAGTATCAATGTGTCGGTAGATAGTGTATCAGTAGATAGTGTATTGGTAGATAGTGTATCGTAGATAGTGTATCAATAGATAGTGTATTGGTAGATAGATAGTGTATCAAGTAGATAGTGTATCAATAGATAGTGTATTGATAGATAGTGTATCAATAGATAGTGTATTGGTAGATAGTGTATCAATAGATAGTGTATTGGTAGATAATGTATCAGTAGACATTATCTAAGTAGATAATGTATCAGTAGAAGGTGTATCAATGGATAATGTATCAAATATCAACCATTGTAAACATTACGTTCATACCAATAAAATCATCGGCAGATATTCTATCGGCATCCCATACTTGTAAGAAAATTCTAGGAGGAACCTTCTCTTCAGATTCATCCCACGAGAAGAAAGAAGCCTGAAATTACAAGGTAAAAGTGAATTCTAAACATCAATAACCCGGCAATAAAGACGATATATTTGAAGTATGGCGGAGTGGGAAGCAAATGATTTTGTCAAAGATTTCGATGACGTAACTTAGTGCTTTTTACCTTTCTAGTGATGATAATGCGCTCCTCTGCTCGTTGATAGTAAAATGGAAAGATGAATCTCCAGTTGAAGTTACCTTCTCCGGTCAATGAACTAAAACACGGAAAATCATTTAGAGGCTGTTTACATGAGCCCGCGTAACCGGGATTCAGTGAGGCATGAAATGATTTCGGGGCATTGAAAGGAGCCAAAACTTCAAGGTTAAAAATTACAACTGTTTGTTGAGCGCCACAAGTCATTCCTGTTGTAATTTTCAAATTAGGGCAAATTGGTTGTTGTAATTTTAAATGTTTTTTGTAGTTATCAAATCAGAATATCGTAAAATTGCTCGAGAAGATTTATCTGATGATAAGTATTGAATCGTTTCCATTTACCAAAATCATTTAAAGCTTGGTTGAATGCCGGATACCCGGGCTCATGTAATCAGCCCCTAAGTCCAAGATTTCCGTCGGCCACATGCAATGAAAAGCGAGATAAGATGCAAAGCGATTCGAATGGAATTAAAGACAAGAAGGTTGCATACTTATAATGAATGTCGGTTTCTTGTTTCTCGTCTTTCATTCCTCCAATCCAACTAAAACACGATGAAATGAAGAATACGATAAATGTAATTATTATAAAAAATATAACTTAAAATTTCCACACCGATTATTTAAAATTTTACAAATTACCCTTTCACAACAATGTCGCTAGATTTCTCTCCTGTAATAACATTCGTATCGTCCATGACAACTTCATCCGTGTTCCAAATCACAACACGAAGTTCATAACTGAAAGTGGAAACATCGCTAAAGTTTTACATCTTACCACAGTCGTAACAACAAGCTCAGACATTTTTTCTTGAATTTGATAAACTACAGTTGAACAGCACCGTTTAAAGCGCTGTCACCTTGCATCAAGCGGTCATGTGGCTCTGTCCCGAAAATTTCGTAATACAAATAATATTTAAGTGAACTTCATTAAATCATCTACTTTATCATAAGCGGCCGAAGTCCCCCCCTTTTCCAAGGTCCTGAACTTAACTTTTCATTGTTTTGAAACTGATTCGAACGCTTGGGTAACATTATTGTAGATAGTCTCTAATTTTTAGATGAAAATTATAAGTATTTTAACGTTCTTTGGTATGTGTATTGAAACATATTGCTATTTATTTCAAATTCAGTTACATTAAATGTTATCATAATGTGGTATTTTTCTAAAAAACCTGTATAATACAGGTTTGACTGCATTACCATGCATACTCCAAAAGTACTTGAAGGCAAAGTCTTCGAATATTAATTTCAATGTACCTGGTTGGCTTTCTAGGTGTGATATCAACAGGAGCACCAGGGATTGCATGTCTCTCGGAAACATATCCACCCACATTTCCAATTGACCCTGTAAAAAATATCTTTCGTCAAAGTACTGCAAGGTCATGCGCAAAACACGGTAGCTACGTAATAACAACAAGTCAGCGAGATAGAACTGACTGCACAGTAGAAATTTACAAGGCGCATTAAACCTGTTCCACTCCAGGTTTCTCCGAACAATAAAGAGATCTTGTTTCCACGTGCTCGGGGACAAGATGGTGGCCAGGTATTACTTCATGCATGTTACGTAAAACCATGAGTGCGGACGGCTCGTCTGACTGCTTCCAATTACCTAAAAAATGATGATTTTCCAGTCAGACATCACCGTGACGGAGTTAAGATATTCATAAGTCTGAACAAGAAAATTTTAAAAACACCAACTGGACAATGATATCCATACAAGGGAATATTCAAAGTTTTATTTCTCAAGGTTTGTGTTAAGCTCAAAGGTCTGCTATGTCAAAAAGATGTGTCATAATAAAACACCTTCGTGAAAAAAAGATATACTGTTAATAATCTATGGGTGCTTAAGCCTGTTCTCCACTAGCCACGTATCGTAACGTATCGTAGCAAAACGTAACAGGGCGCATGCGTGCTTATGCCTATTGACTATTAAATTCATAAGCACGCATGCGCCATGTTACGTTTTGCTATGATACGTTGCGATACGTGGCTAGTAGAAAACAGGCTTATAAAAGGTGCCCTATGTAACAGGCCACAGTGTATTTTACACTACGTCTTGTTGTTTTATAACTTAAGAAACATGCTATAACGAGTGCTCTGAAAAATCGCTCACTTTACCAATAACACACCGTGGTTGTTTTAAAACAACGAAGGTGTGCTTTTTGGCACACTTTCCCGTGTTGTTCAGTACCACAATTTTTTAGAATGCAATTAGTTAGCGAAATCAATTGGATTGTGACTTTTTCATTTTTATCAAAAACACGGTTAGATTTTCTTTATCAAAATGAGACTTTGTTATCTCTGAGGAAACGTTTTATTTCAAAGATTGTCAAGTTCAAATAGTAGTTTTTCCTTTTTACGATTTGTTTGAAACAATTGCCATTCGGCGAGCAACGCCATTTGAGACTCGACCTACCGGTCCTAAACAAAAAAATTTTTCAAAGAAAGAAAGATACTTCTTACCGGACTCATCTTGAATTTGACCAGCGGCTGCGAACGTGACACCATCGACTTCACACTTTCCGTGGGTATAATGAGGACCTTCCAATCCTTCATCTTTACATATTTTACTCAATATGTTAGTGGGACGTTGCGGATGTCGCCATTTATTGAAACCGAATCTAAATGAAAAATTGTCCGTTGTTCGAAAAATTTTGCAAGCCCGAAGTGTAATGGAATACACTTTTAAAACAATTTGGCGATCGCAAGCCCCTGGGAAGCTTTCTTTGATTGATGGGAGAAGGGGGATTGGTTAGGGCTAAGGGTTAGCTTAGGGTTTAGGGTGAAAGGTGATATGAAAGCAACTTGAAAAACAAATTGTAGCGTAGTAGCAAGTTATCGGTGGGGAGGGGGAGGGAGTTCCCCGGGCTGCCGCAGACCTGAACTGACCAAAGTTTGTTGAAAAATTTAACAATTGAGCAATGACCAAAACGTGAAGAAATTAAAACAAAATGACCTTCAATATTGATAAGAAAAACATCCAAATTGAATAACTGACTGAAGACAAATTTCAACTCAAGACAATATTGGCTCGAAGTTGACACCATTGCAATATTCCTAACACAACTGGTCAAGGTTAATGTAAAACAATGAAAAGAATTAAACTTATATCTTTAACTTAGCATACCTAAAAACTAGAGATGTAGTTTATTGAAACCACCACCACCCCCTCCCCCATCTCTATTTTAATATAAAATCACACTCTTACGTTGTAAACTGTTCCTGCAAACCACAGGTAGCTCGATGTCGACTGTAAAATCGATTCTCCAAATCTATTTTGGTTTCACCAATCAAATCATCGCTACCAACCAAATCCCAATCATAAACACCAACTGTAAGAATTGAGTCCATCGGGATTAACGCTTCGAATTCAAACGTTCTGTCAAACAAGGAACATCGTAAATGAAGAATAAAGGAGTAAATTGCGATCATTAAGGATTCTTCATCTCCCAAGACTTCAAAAAACTTGCCGCAAACTGATTCACAAATTTAAGAAAGAGTTATATAAAGCTTCAGCTAAGTATTTTGGAAGATCAGAAGAGTTAAAAAAGACGAGAGTAATATTTTGTCTCTATTACCTTCCAAATATTGGGTTCAACTGTTTTGATATGTAATTATCACGGTCTTTGACTTTTGTTTTCCCAATGTTACAATTAGGTATGGATCAGCCTAGAAAAAAATAATTCATCGTTTGGATTTTAAACACCGTAAATGAAAACAGCAGAATTTCATGTTAAAGTGATCCAGCGCATTTGGAAACTGTCAACTGTCAACTTTCAACTATGAATATTTACCCCCAAATTAACGTTCTAGTTTTGCCCCTGCTAGGAATCGCTATAATAGGCACAAGCTGTTGCAATTTTCCTGCTGTATAGCAAAGTTAAATAAATAATTGAATAAATAAGTAAACTATCGACAATCAGCTATGAACAATTAATTATTAACTATTAGTTTATTTTTATAACTAACTACTTCCAGAGTAAAAACTTCATGTAATACTTTATAAATGGCAAATTAGACCATGACTTCCTTATATCACGAGGTAATGTCTACACAATAACTGATAAACAGGAACTTTTTAAAAGTTGTCGAGAGTACACATAAGTACCTCGTGTATTCCATTACTTCTACCAAGTACACATAAGTTCCTCGTGTATCCCACTACTACTGCGAAGTACACATAAGTACTTCGTGTATCCAATTACTTCTACCAAGTACACATACGTACCTTTCCCAGGGGATCAAGAGGGTGAAGATTATATGCCTACATGGAATAAGGAGCAAACGCATATGAGGAACGAGCTAATGCTGGGGACTGAAACCTACCTTGCCGTTCGGATCAGAAGGATGAAGGTTTTATGACTGCATGATAAACGTTTAAAGTACATGTTTTATTATTTAAAACTTCGTTTTAGGAGATTATGATTTACGAAGTAAAATATACATGGGAAAGATTAACTCTTCGTTTGAGCTATACGCAATAAGTGATAAACAGATGATTTTAAGAATTTAAGGGTTAAATTTGAAAAACAAAGGTAAAGATATATTTTTTTTTAGCAACAAATAACTCAGCACCATTGAATAAAATAAATTATCAATTGAATGAACGTTTAAAGAAATTACCTAAATTCATTTACATTACATACACTAAATCATCTTTTAATCAACTTTAAGCTTTTTTAATAAAGATAGTGAGATTTTCAAAAAAAGGTTAATGCCTCAATGTTTGAACAAGTGACATTTAGCAACAATTTAAAAGGGGATTTTAAAGGTCTCAATGCGCTTACAACGACTTTTTGAGATGAATTTTTTATAAACGCAATACAATTTAAAGCATTAAAATTTCCTTTTCTGAATTTCACACAAATTTCAACTTAAGATTTGTAGCAATTTTTAAGAAAGTTAAATGCCTCGATCCAAAGCGGCACAAAGCATGATGGGCAATAACATAAACAACAACGCTTCAACTAAACATCTTTTGATAATCATCGTAAACAACCAACAATCCTACTCAGCCTCATCTGCTTACAACATTAAGCAGTTACCTTGACGACGTATACTCGCACCAAAACTTTAACAGGTTCGCTGCTCGGCAGTTTCCGGAAAGTACCGATAGCAGGATCGGTTACTACATTCCCAGGCAAAGGACATTGCCAAACTTTGAATGAGCCCTGAATGATGTTTCACATCGTGAATAAAAACTGTCAGATACGATGAAAAACCCACAACTTTTTTCATTTCGCAGTTTCACAGATGAACGAACCTTAAATTTTCCAACGACTCTGCTTTCGTCATCATCTTCTTCGCTAGATTTTTTCCCTCGGTACAACGAGAATGAATGAAGCCAATCGTTAAAACCGTTGAACTCAGTAACATCCTCCAATTCGGTATGATATATCTACATGTTTAAAATGACATTGCAACATTATCGTATCATCAGTAGCGCAGTGCTGTAGAACGAAATTTATCAGAGGGGGGGCTCTCTTGACGTTTTTGCCAATTGTGCCCTTTTAAAATTACCCATTTCAAAGGTAGAAGGGGGGCTCCTCCTCCAAGCCCCCACTTCTACATCACTGCAGTAGCGTACCAGAATCGTTAATTGGGGGAACACGAGTTCATATATGCATGTCTTAATCCGTTGGAAACAATGGATTTCAAAGGAACTTAATGCGGCAGAACATGAATATACGAATATGTGCCCCTCCCCCACCCCCAATTAACGATTCGGCTACGCCACTGCATATCATAGCGTGAAATTCGATTCATATCAAATTTAATCTTTAAATAGGGATTATAGATCACAAAGTGGTTTTAACTCGGGTCCCAATCCAGATTACATGGAAGTACAATAATTCCATAAAATTAATGACATATAAAAGAAATACTAATTAAGCCTAATTAGTCCTAAAAAAAATTCACACACAAAGTTCATTAGAAGAAGAGCCTTCTTAAACGGATAAAAGTTTTAAATATCTCTAGAAATATTGTTGAGATTGTTCCAGTCAACGGTTGTACTAGAAATCATAGTATATGGTTGTGGATGTAGATCTTCCATGTTAGTAAAGACCTGAGAAGGACTGTCGGTGTTGATGTTGTCTGATGTTTCGATGCAAAAACCTCAACGGTAGTCAGATATTATCTAAAATATTATCCATTGTCCTAAAATATATCCATTAACATTCCTCGAGAACCTACTGAAGGAACTGAGCACGTTCTTCTCATAATTTTTCCATGTAAAAGCCCTTAAATAAAATACTAAAACCATCACAACATGACCAATGTAAAAGGATAACAAGTGTTAACGAAGGATAACAAGTGTCATGGCAAACGATACATATATGTGCACCTACTTTAACGAGGGGAATATTTTTCTTTCGCTCAGTTTGTTTTGACATTTCCTGTAAAAGTTTTTTCTCCTTCTTCTTGTCTCTTTTATCTTTTTTTTCATCTTTTCCACCTTTCTCCTGTTCCTTTTTGTCTTTCTTACGATTCTCCTCCTGAGAAATTTCAACAAATCCCATTACGTCTGATCATTTTTTTACGTCAAGGGATGTGTATCCCACAATGCGTTAGGAGCTTGGAAAACCAGATTGTATGCAAACTTTACAACAATCGAATATTTAAAACGTTGTTAAGAAAATAAAAGCCTCGTAGAAATCCTTTATAAAACTAAATTAAATATTTCAAATTGACGACAAATTTCTTTATAGCAAACATGTTTCGGCATACTTTATGCCTTCTTCAGTGCGATGTGAATAAATATAGGAAGTTTACATGATGAAATGTTATAGTGGTAAAGCGGAAGTATCGAACAGTTATGAATAATTATTTACAGTTGAATTAGGTGTTATAAAATGTTTGTGTTAGCTTTTATCAAAGAAGATGGCATAAAGTATGCAGAAACATGTTTGCTGTAAAGAAATTTGCCGTCCATTTTAAATGTCTTATAACAATCGTGCTCTCAGGAAACTAAATTAAATCATATAAATAGCTCATATCACATTTCAACCAATTGTTACCTTTCTTCTTTCTTGCGCTTCGGCATCAATGAGCTTCACAGTTTCATAGTATCTCGACCACCAATCAAGCGCGTCCTCTCCATCATCTTCCTCTTCTTCTTCTTTATCTTTCTCTTTCTTACGTTTATCGGCCGTATCCTTTAAAACGAAAAAGTTCTTCGTTCAAGTGACGTGAAATTCTTCGCCTCCTTAAAGAGGTCTTTCTTACCTCATCATCGGGGTTTTCCGGAGCATCTTCGTCGCCATCCGGTTGATCAATACTTACGATAACATCCTGTGCTTTTGCTGTCTTTTTGGGGTCTTTTTTTTGTTCTTCTGTAAGATCACAGAAAAGAATGTCTTTCTTTTAAAGATAATTTTCATTCCAGTTTGCAAAGTTGCCCAGGCTATCTACAATCGATGTTTTGACAAAGCGAGTTGACTAGTTTACCAAGTAATAACCCAAAAAGAGGGCGCGATATTGGTAAAACTGTCACACCTCAGCCAGCCGGGAAAATCCGGCAAAAACGTTAGACCCTAAAGCAGTCGTTCACCAAAAAAATAATAATTCCTTATGTTGGTTTAGTCAGTGAACGACTGTTTTCATTATAAATTTACCTAACCACGTTTCATCAATATTTGCCCAAATGTAAACCTGCTCAATCTTTTTAACACGATAATGAGAACACTTAATTTATGCAGGTTAGTATCATTCTAGATAAGTCAAATCTAATCCAACAAATGATTAATTTAATTCGCCCTTCGATTCAATATAGTTCTTCCATACACGATTTCTTTTGCCTGGGTGTCAATGATGGAAGCTCGCTCTTTTGAGTCTCGTTCTTGCATTATAGCACCAATCTTATTTAATGTCTAATCTTATCTAATGTCTAATCTTATCTAATGTCTAATCTTATCTAATGTCTAATCTTATGTAATCTCTAATCTTATCTAATCTCTTCAATGATTTCTTTTACCTGGGATGTTAACGATGGAAGCTCTCTTGATGGGTTCGTCAATTTTAGGGTATCGATAACGATGTAAAGAATTGAGCACGTGAGTACCAACCAACGTGAATCTTCCAAATGTACGACAGTCTCGGACACTGATGGTCAGCGGTGGACAGTATCTTTCGTTCTCGGGCAAATCCTGTAAAATAGAGTTAAAATTTTTGTAAGAAAAATTTCTACTAACTTTGAATGAGCAACATCGAACTCGCTCATGAATCATCAATGTGCTTTCATGAGACATAAAATGGGCAATATTGCTAATGATCAAAAATGCTAATTTCTATCATGAAGTCAGGCTGTTTTGATGTGATGTCAAAGCGGTCATTTTATGGTACGTTACTTCAAAATTTCAAAGTTTAATGACCATAATATTTTTATAAATTATTTTCTCTTTGAGTTTTCCTACCAACATGGCGACCACTGAAGACATGAACACACGATACAATGTATTTTTAGCTCTTTTAAATAAACAGTAAACAGTGCTTTCGCATTTCGATTTTAGTGATAAATAAACTTTATATGTAATATTAAGGTAAATAAATATTCAGTTTTAAGTGAATGGATTGTAAGAACACGCGTATAGTATGAAATAGTACTCACCAAATCAAAATAAATGATTGGATTTCGAAAGTTCGGATTTCGTTTTGCATTTGCAATGACCGTAGAATGTTTGACCACGCCCGCACATTCGATGTGTACTTGAGGACGATCCACAGTTTGTAGATTCAATCTCTTCATTTCGCGTACACCCCAAAACAAAACCTGAAACGAAGCATCATTACTTAAAGAAAACACACACAAAACCTAACGCATAAACTAAAACAGCTGGTTAAATCTAATATAGAAGATTACATATTGAAGAAAAGTTACATATCTAAAGAACGAAAAAAAATAACACAATCCTATTATAGAAGTTATCAAGGGCCTCCACAGACTAGGTATTTTGTTGTCGACAACTTTTCGTAATTCACAACTAAACGTAGTCGACGAGCAAAAAACACCGTCTTTGGAATAAGTGGTCGACAACTAAACGTGTAAAATTGTAGTTGTCGATAACAAAGCGATTTCCCTTTTTTGCAAGGGAAACTGCAATCACAAAAAATATTGTTTGTCGTCTACATTCACTTGTCGATAACAAAATACCTGGTCTGTGAAGGCTCTGAGTCATTTTAAATTTCTTTTGCAATGCAGTCAAAAATACGATGATAAAATTTGGTGTCGTAAGCACTTTAAACATATCACGTCATGATGTGTTCTTAAGTCACATTTTAGCTGTAGTTGCCATATTTAGATATTTTTGTCGTTTTTGCTTGTGTTGGTATTGTGGCCTGATTTCAATGCGAGCATCGACCAATCAGAGCACACGTTATGCACACGTTATGCTCTGATTGGTCGAAGCTTGTATTGCATACAAATTACATACTCATTACATACACAATACCTCTATCCTGTGCTTTTTCATAACCGGTCTTATACCCTCGGGTACACGACATACGAGAACATCCTGATTATCATTGGGCTCGGGTTCAATCTTTGGTGGCAGGAAGCACATGGCGCCAATTTGTTCGGAAACCTGAGAATTTATGTTAGGTTTCCACAATTTCGTAAGAGCACAATAGTCATAAAACATTTAAAATACACGTCAATTTTCTTTAAAGGAAACATGTTTCGCCATACTTTATGCCATCTTCAGTGCGAAGTGAATAAATATAGGAAGTCTACATGATAATATGTATATATATATAGTGATATAATGTTTGGAAGAAGAAAATTCACAAAACTACAATTTCATCCCGACAAGCCTGTTTTGTGATTTTTCACTCTTCAGGGGATAGATATATATTATCGTGTAAACTTCCTATTGATTCACTTCGCACTGAAGATGGCATAAAGTATGTCGAAACATGTTTGCTTTAAAATGTTTTAATGTTAGGTTTCATGAGAAAAAAGTACACCCTTGGCCCCAAACACGAAGTAGCAGAAACCTTGTTTGAACTGTCCATAGACTTCTTTAGACCTCCCCCCCCCCTTCCCAAAAGCAATTAGCAGCAATGCCAGACTTACTTCAAGTAGTTCAAACGCAGCTAGCAGTTCACCAGCCTTCTCTTCACCACGAAAGACTTGAAACCACTCCAATGCAGGGGGGAAGAACGGTTTTTCATACGGTTCGTTGGCCATCTTTACGATGGGTCGAGCTAACGCACGACCAATGAATTCGAAGTCCCCCTGAAAGAATTGGCATGTCAGTTCCAATACGGAGGGTGAGGTATTTATTAAGCGAGAGAAAGCATTAAATGTCAGGCAATATTTTAGGCGTCAATAACTGGAAAACAAACCCCAATATCTTCATCAAAAATCTCGACGACAATCGTTGGTGGATTTACTGCTATTTCGTTCACGTCCCCAACAAGAAAGACCTCTTCAAAGACGATTGTTTGATCCCAAGTCGGGCTCCTCGTCTCCTTGATTGTACAAGTCTTGGCGATGAAATGTGTAAATATGACATTTGCGAATGCATCTACATCGGAAAGAATTGGTCAACAGTTGAATTAGAATGATGGAGATAATTGCGACGGTAAACAATACAATTTACTGAGACAATGTCTACATACAGTTGAAGAAGAATGACGGAGGTAATAGCGACGGTAAACATTACAATTTACTGAGACAATGTCTACATACAGTTGAAGAAGAATGACGGAGGCAATTGCGAAAGGTAAACAATACAATTTACTGAGACAATGTCTACATACAGTTGAAGAAAAATGACGGAGGTAATAGCGACGGTAAACAATACAATTTACTGAGACAATGTCTACATACAGTTGAAGAAGAATGATGGAGGTAATTGCGACGGTAAACAATACGATTTATTGAGACAATGTCTACATACAGCACATTTTTAAAGAAATTTTAAGTAGTTGGAGTAATCTCAGTCTGTTATACAGCTGTCTATACTTCTTGGAACAAACTCCAATACCGATGTCATACATTTAATAATCAAAACCTGATCCTTCACGATGAGAATAAATGCTGTTCTATCGGGAAATCAAAGTTTACTACTGTGGCAAGCTTAGGGCCTAAGAAGTTTTATTGTGAAAAAATACTCAGCCAACATAATATTCTACCGAAAACAGAAGTGGTTGTGAACCGAGTTCTGCCTTCAGAACGTCTTCTCTTACGATAGAAACTTTATACATACCTGATAGGCCAGAAGCGTCACTTCCAATGAGACTTCGTGCTTGGTACAAATGACAACGAAGTATGAACTTCCGTTTATCTTTTAAAAATGAAAATAAGCAGAAATGCAATGAAGAAATACGTGTAACGCACTGCTTGAACTACAGCCAGTGACAAACCTGCGTAGACCAGTCTGATTGGTGGCGGAGCCATTAGCTTATGCACATTATGAGGCTGAAACATAAAAGGTTTGTCTTCAAGTATATAAATATGAACGTTAACGTCATTGATATTTCTGACGTAAAGAACTAAAGGATAAAAGAGATTTGGCGATTCTTACAATATCGTAACCTTTGGGTGCATCTTTGAGAGAATCTTTCTTGTGCTTATGTAAACCCAACCATATCATTATGTTGAGCTTGGATTGAATTGCCCAACCTTTAGGACCCTCACCACGCTTGCCTGGTAGCTACAATACAGAAGAACTTTATCATTGATTATACAACTTACTAGTTCCAACAGACAATCAACAAAAGGAGAAAAACCATGACCAGCCGACAATTTAAAAGAAACATAGTATAAAGCAAATTCCGAAAAAACAAGACATCTTCAGATTGCAAAATATGAATCAAAACAAGACGAGAAGTGAACTGTAAACTTTCGACTTTATTTCAAGTTCATCCTCAGACAGAATGAGTTTTTTCGGAATTTGTTTTCTACAATACGAGGAAAAGCGTTTAAACGACGATCATCTACGATACGGTACTAAAGAAGAGTGAGGAAAAAATCCCAAAACAAACTAAAGCGACCAAAGGACCAAGGTAAATAAAGGGTTAAAGTTGCATCATCCGAAGCAAAAACACACATTTTGAAAAAGAAATGTACTAACTCGGAGAAATAGTGTTTGCATTCGTCCCGAGTCCTTTCCACGTTCCTCTTCCACGAGCGAATACAACACGTGTTGCGCGGGTACACGCGCGTACGCAACACGTTTGCTACCGCACAGCATCCAGATGAAGATATCAGGTAGACTGTCTTGGGGCTAAATGTCGAATGAAATTAAACGATACATGCAAAAGCACATATAGGCTTCTACGAAAATGGCCGAAAGTTGTAAGGCTGGGTAATGAATCTTTATTGCTAAAATTCTTCAAATCTCACAAGTTAACGATGACATGCAGTGGCATAGCAAGCCTATAAATTCATCCAATTCGACGTTGCAAACAATACGTTTTCTGATATCGTCAATAATTCATTAGAATTGTTAAGATTTAACCGAGGGGTAAGAGTCTGGGTCGAGTTCATAATGTATTTGAAAAGGAACAATCTTAATAACTTTGAGAATTATCAATCATAGTATACAACAGCTTTACTGGGTTAAAACACTCCTATCAGCTGTCAGATTTTAGTCTTGTAGTTAAAACTTTAGAATAATATGATAAAACATTATCACCAGAGCACAGAATAAGAATATACAGAAGGTCACCAGTATCGGAACCTTTGATGTTTTTGTTCTCGCGCATGTCGTGCCGCGCATGGTGGCCGCCATTATTACAGCCAGTTGATTAGGATTTTTGACTTGTTCCCAATCTTTAAAATGATTCGAAGTCATTTCTTAAGTCAAATTATTCTCAATTTCCTTAAGAAGAACTGACGTCATGTAATTTTAATGGTTGGAAACAAGTGACAAACCCTAATCAACTGGCTGGAATAATGGCCGACGTGAGGACGCGTTGTACACCTGAGCGACCCTTCCGTATAATCATTATTCTGTCACGAGAGTGCAATGCCTAAGCCTGCACTCGGGTGCTACGGGACTACATTTTTTTAGAACACTATTGCTTTCTCTGCAGGTGACTTTCAAAAAACTGACATATCGGAAGTAAATAAGTGAGCCTGCTACGTCACTGGTCACATGATAAAGTGCAAAAGCAAGTAAAACGTATCAGAGTAACCTCGGAAGCAATGTTAAGCAGTCGCTGTAGTAATCCATTTGCTGTTTTCATATTTTCCTTCGCGTGTAAGTCGTTTTTACAGCTCGTTTTTAAGTCTGACGCCGCCTGCATAACATCTGCCTAAATGTTGTAAAACAAGCTAAAATCCTGATGCTTCCAATTTCGTGAAACCGTTTACATTCTTACTATAACAGCAGGAAGAAATTAATGCGAAATTATCATGAAATTGATGCTATTACGACAACAGTCGTATGCGATTTAAAGTTAAACACTATCCTTACAATTTCCTGCTTGCGCAGTTTCAAACGTTCTTGATCCAATTTCGTTCGTCCAACATGAGCAGCAGCGGGAACAGATTTGATCAAGTTGAGATAATTGCTACAAAAACAACATCAACACAACAAGTTATCAAATAACTGCTCAATAATTCTATATATTTTATAGTAAAGATACAACTGTTTTATGCTTACGTGCAACCGTTGACGAGCTCTCCTAGAACTCTACTCAACCATTTGTGTGTATCGGGTAGATCCATTCTAACTCTCTCTGAAATGTCGATCAAACCATCCTCCTACAAATGCGATGTGCCATTGGTTAATTATAACCACTGAACTATATATATATGAACTAAAGGCTCGCTCCAATTGAAGTGCGATTGTTAGTTATAACCACTGAGCTATATATGTATTGAATGCTTGCTCTGTTAAAGTGCGATTGGTTGATTACAACTACTGAACTATATAAATATGGAAGCCTTGGAAGGCTCCCTCCATCAAAGTCTATTGATCGGTTACAACCACTAAACTATAATTGCATAGAAAAATCACTGTGTCGAACAAAACTTCAGTGGTAAAAAAGAGAGGAAAAAGAAGTTTGTAATTGCAAAAAAGTGCTCCATCGTTGTAGTTTGAATTTCCTGTTGTTATTCTGTGAATTCATTACAAGGTTCAATTTGTCCGGTAGAAATTCTTAGCCCTTATTCATATTCTTATTCGATAACCATAGAAAATCATTTTCCTCTACATTGTTCCCTGTGGGGATTCCTCTTTTTTTACTTACAAGTCGTTCGCATATCTTGTAGATGATGTTTGCGTTGAACGAACGTCTTCTGTGGTCATGCCAGGGAAATTTTATGTGAAGGCAAGGTTTGGCTTCTTCCCAAGGTATATGATAGTATTGCCTGTTGTTGGTGACAGGTCGAGCTGGAGGCGAAAGGGATTTTACGTATGGATTGTCCTCCGAATCCTTTGTGACTTTTTCATCTGTTCGATCGAGCTGATTCCCGTAATTTCCTGACAATAAATTCACAGACTGGTGAAATAATTGATGAGAAGGGCTTTCGTGGTATTTTGCGTACAGAATACTAAGCTCAGTAAGTTGTAGCCACTGGAATGTTGTTCTCCTTTAACGTTGTCTTTCATTGATTTGACAGAACATTACAAAATCTTGAGGGGATCGGTAGGGTAGTAAAACAACAGGATCAGTGGGGATTGGTAGGGTAGTAAGACAACAGGATCAGTGGGGATCGGTAGGGTAGTGAAACTACAGGATCAGTGGCCGGGGTTAAAAAGAGGTCTACTCTCTGGTATCCCCTAACTTTTACATTGTTACCTTGTTGTATTTTCAAGGAATCAGTTGGAAAGTTTACTGGGATTTGGATATCTACCCTTTGGCATCCCCCCACGTTCATTTTTGTTATCTATACCCTTTGGCATCACCCCACGTTTATTGTTCATATCTACCCTCTGGCATCCCCCAAAGTCATTGTAGTTATCAGATTTAGAATATTTCAATCGATAAAAATGTGAAAACTCACCAATGGTCATTTCAAATTGAATATTTTTATCACCAACTTTTCTGTCGATCATCGATGCCTCGTAAAGACAGGCGAACAACTGAAATTGTTCCACTTTACCGGCAGCCGTCTGAAATATGAAAGGTATAGAATAGGATGATGAAATGAAACTCCGTAAATCTATCCTACATTGTACACACTTGTACACCAGTGAACTGTTCAACAAAGTATTAGTCCGCTTGCTTGCGGATGTAGATCGTCCAGATTAGTAGAGTCCTGAGAGAGGGACTGTTGTTGTTGATGTTGACTGACGTTTCGACAACCTTAGCACTAGTCATCTTCAGAGTCAAATGAAACATGTAGCGATACTCCCGGATTGAAACCAGTGATCTCACCTCAGAAATGGGTGCGGCTGCTACTACTTCGACTTGTTTGATTCCAGAGTCTGAAGCAGATTCACCCGTCTCTGCCTGTACGGCCATCAGCAAGCGACCACGGTAAGATACACCTTCACCCTAGGAAAGAAAAAGATCATTATAATATGCTCCATTGGTAGCGTTGAAAGCAGAATCCAAAATATCAGGGGGGTCAGAATAATAAAAGTCGGGGAGCATCGTGGCAACATAAGTGTATAAAATATGACATTGTACTGATAGAAAATGGATGTATTAAGATGTTCATGAGGTAAAGGGCATCCTCTATCATTTAAGGTGCCCAAAAATTGCACCCCCTCCCTCGCTTCGGACGCACTTTCAAACAACAACTATGTAGTTCGTATAGAATCGGTTGTACTTATACATGTACACGTGATTTTGCTTAAATCGTTGTCGTTAAAAAAAAAGCAGTTGACACAACAACACGTTCCTACCAGTCCATTGTTGAGATCGTTGTGCTCGTCAAAAAGTGAATAATCTCTTGTCGATCCGTAAAGATTTACCCAACACGGTCCAAAAGTCGGCATGAAACCTTAAAAATGAACAGAGTGGGTTGCTCGATCATGTATAAATCACGTGTTTATGTCATGTACCTTGCCTATAATGGGTTGCCTGATCAAGTATAAATCACGTATTTATGCCATGTACCTTGCCTATAATGGGTTGCCTGATCATGTATAAATCCCGTATTTATGCCATGTACTTTGCCTATAATGGGTTGCCTGATCATGTATAAATCACGTATTTATGCCATGTACCTTGCCTATAATGGGTTGCCTGATCATGTATAAATCACGTATTTATGCCATGTACCTTGCCTATAATGGGTTGTCTGATCATGTATAAATCCCGTATTTATGCCATGTACTTTGCCTATAATGGGTTGCCTGATCATGTATAAATCACGTATTTATGCCATGTACTTTACCTATAATGGGTTGCCTGATCATGTATAAATCACGTATTTATGCCATGTACCTTGCCTATAATGGGTTGCCTGATCATGTATAAATCACGTATTTATGCCATGTACCTTGCCTATAATGGGTTGCCTGATCATGTATAAATCCCGTATTTATGCCATGTACTTTGCCTATAATGGGTTTCCTGATCATGTATAAATCACGTATTTATGCCATGTACCTTGCCTATAATGGGTTGCCTGATCATGTATAAATCACGTATTTATGCCATGTACCTTGCCTATAATGGGTTGCCCGATCATGTATAAATCACGTGTTTATGCCATGTACCTTGCCTACATGCCTGAGTTTTTCATAAGTTTCGAAAACATTTTAATTGATATTATTAAAATGTTTTTCGTAAACAACTTAAGTTAATGTTTCTATGTCCTTACGTTTGAATGGACGTTTGAATTTTAATTAACAAAATATTGAACTTATCCTGATGAATTTGACGTCTACTTTACCGCATTAAATGATTCAAATTTTATGGACTAAGCTACACGCGTACGTAGGAAGACCAATAATTGCGCGTGGGGGGGGTAAGGGGGGGGGGGTGCTCATATTCATAAATGCATGTTAAATTCGTAGAATACCCCTCCCCTCCCCTCCCCCATCAATTATCGATTTTCCTACGTCCATGGATGAAACCACGAAACTTGTTCAGTCCTCAAGTCAACACAATAATAAAATGAATTTAATCATTTTTTTGAACCAATAAGAATCGTAGCAGTCACGATAATTACCAACATCAGCAGACGATGATTGTCGATCAGCTGTACAAACGTAATTTTCATGTGAAGAGCACGTGACGTTAAGGTTGCCAAAAAGGAAATGAATATAGAAATGAGAAAAGAGACAAAATGGTTGATTATACAACACAGAATGATAACATAAAATATCAAACTTTTGTGATGTAAAGTTGGTTTTAGATGTTACGAGATTCCGTTTCTTTTAAGGAAATCTGATATCTTCTATGGGATAATGAGCGGGAAAAATTTTCGCCAAAAAAGGTCAACTTTACAATAACTATTATCGACCATCTTTTCAAAATACCTTTTGCATGATATCAATAAAATTTGACATTTTAGCTGTGAAACACTTGTTTTAAAAGTTTTGCACGTTAAGTCAGCCGAGCTGAAGGTTAATTCATCGATAATAAAAAGCAAAAATTTCATGCAATTAAGTATCTAAGTCATTTGAAAAGTCGTGTTGAAGATTAATTCATCGATAATAAAGAGCGAAAAATTCAAGCAATCAAATATCTAAGTCATTTGAAAAGCCGTGTTGAAGATTAATTCATCGATAATAAAGAGCAAAAAATTCATGTAATCAAGTATCTAAGTCATTTGAAAAGTCGTGTTGACAAATTTAAACAGTGGATATCATTGTAATCGCAAGCAATGGTAAGCAATATTGAAAATGTATTAAACACAAACACCAGCGGTCAAAAGCATCCATAACACACTTACCGTTTGAGCCATCGTGTGATATGGCGGAGAGGTCGATGAAATGTGTCCCAATTACCTCATCTGATACAGAATCACTGTAACAAGAAAAAGACTGGAATCAATCTTAGCAAGAAAGTATAAAAAACCATTAATGTGTGCCTGCATCCCAACGTCATCGTACATGACGTCATCTTACATGACATGGTCGTACATTCATGTAGCTATGTGACAATTTATGTAAACATGTCTATGATAAAACATGCTTTTTTCAAATTCCTTTATGAAGACGCTAGTTAATTTTAAAATTAATCTACATGTATTACATACACAATGTGTCATTTGTACCTGTCTTTAAGCTGTACTCTGATTCGCCGACAAAGTGGTGGAAACTGTAGAGACAAGAAAACCCATGTTTATCACGAGAAAAAAAACAGAGATTCTGATTGGATGTTTAAGTCTGTTTGCAGTCGTCCGAACAAATCAACGAGATTCATAAACACTTCACCGTTTTTGAAAAGAAAACAGTTGTTGAAAGTGAACACATTTCTAACTACGATGAAGGAAGAAGATTTGTCAAATAACTACTTTGAATACGACCACTTACTAGTTCTGCAAACACAACTTGTTCATTCCATGCTGGTTCGTACGTATGCTTTTTTACCGACGTTTTTTGCTAGAAATAATAAATTCCAGTCTTGAAGTAAACACCAACAATAGATGTTAACTAAAATTGATCGAATGTTTGAGGAAAAAACATTCACATCGTCAAAATTGAGAGATGACACAAACGAAATGTTGGAAAAACGTTTTCCCCAATCATCACGCCTGTTTGGGGGAAGTTCTAAAGATCAAGCTGGTAAATTGTTGTTTGCACGAAATCCCTCAAATCGTAATTGCAGAAGATCAGGCATTTGACTGCATTGAGAAGATACAATGTACGGAGTTCTTTAAATTGTCATTTGAAAGTTTTTAAACGACAACCAGTCAACATACTTTATGTCCAGCAAAAGAAACCTCGACGTATGGATCGGCCAAATCTCGAACCTGTTGGAGAAAGAAAACCATTACACGTTAAGTGGTAACGTACAACGATAAAAAAACTTCCGTTTTGATGTTAATTTTCAACCGATTTCATAAGGACAACATGTTTCACTAGTTTTGGTGCTCAATGGATTTTAACACCACCACCACCACAAACAACTACCACCACCACCAACACCAACACCACAACAAACAACAACCACCACCACCATCACCACCCCAAACAACCACCACAAACAACCACCACCAACACCACCACCAACACCAACACCAACACCACCACCAAAAACAGCCACCACCACCACCAACACCAACATCACCACAAACAACCACCACCACTACCAACACCAACACCACAAACAACCACCACCACCACCAACACCGCCATCACCACAAACAACCACCACCAACACCAGCACCAACAACATAACCACCACCACAAACAACCACCATCAACACCAGCACCACCATCAACACCAGCACCAACACCAACACCACCACTACAAACAACTACCACCAGCACCAGCACCAACACGAACACCAACACCACAAACAACCAACACCAACACCAACACCACCACCACCAACCACAATCACCAACAGCAACACCAACATCACCACCACAAACAACCACCATCAACACCAACACCAACACCACAAACACCAACACCACCACCACAAACCGCCACTACCACTAACCACAACCACAAACAACACCACCTTAAGCCACCACCACAAACACCAACATCACAACCACCACCACTACCCGATAATTGCACATTCGAATACAAAACCATCTGAGCAAACTTTACCAGTGGTTAGACCGTCAAAGTTTAAAAAACGTCAAACTAAAATGATAAATTTAAAAAATATGAGCATACATACCTCGCCCGTAAATGCTTTTTTCACGTTTGCCATCAATCCAGAGTTCACTAAGTATTGAAAAAAAAGAGAAATTTATTTTAAACTAATGTTTTTAATGGAAGCTGCAATTAAAGGTAAGAAAAGGAAGATTATTTAAATACTTTTTGGTAATCCATCCGCTCTATAAATCTTCACAATAAATTGTGCCTTCTGCCTTTCGGGAGAAACGCCTTTCGGTAATAAAAGATTCCTGAAACATAAATTGTATCACTTCAAACTAAAGAAAATGGAAAGTTGTTGAAGGGCAGTAGTGACACATACATGTTTGTATGGGGTTCAAACCATATACTTTAGTGACACATACGTGAGCAATCTACTGTTGTCTGGGTTTAATTCACAAAAGTATAGATGTCACTGCTACAATATAGCTCATACATGTTTCAGTCAAAAGCGTGACGAGCATTTTCAAAAACAACGAGCTGATCAGTGATGCCTTTCTGCAAGAAAAGTCTCGGGTGCGCCCCCTCCCCCTCCCCCCGGGGAAAAATTCTCAAATGGTATTACGTAATGTGGACAATTAATATAACAGTATTATAGGCTATGAAATTGTACAGTAAGACTAAGTAAAAATAAAACTTCTCACTTTAAAGGCAATTCCATGCGTGTCTTCATTGACACTTTAAAATTGAAAGAAATTACTAAACGTACATTCATTAACAAAAAATTTTTAAAAAGGTAATAACAATTTTTATTACGCATGGTTCGCTCATCTGTGCGTGGATATTGCGCGTGACGCTCGAGAATTTTTTTTAGAAAATTCTTCAAGCCTTTACTACAAAAATTGAAAGTGCGTTAGCGAAATGCTTGCGAACCGATGGATAGATAATTAGCTCTATGATTTGATTACGATCGACGGGCCTTAATCTTCCTGATGTCATGCAAGTTATCTTAACAAATGTTGACATACATCTTCACTGCATTTATACGAGATATCGTATATCTAGCCCACAACAGCCTGAGGCCCTCGTAACTTAGGCTAGGATGACGATGCAACCCCCCTTGGAAAATCTGCATCCCTCCTGTCAAACGAGCATTGATCCACCCTTGAAAATTCTGTCTTGTTTAATTAGTATTGACATTATAGCACTTCTTTTATAAATACAGTTCGGCTCAAAGAGAGTTCTTGACGTTTCACTCACTGACAGTAATGTTTTGCATAATTATTTTTGAAATAATTATTTTACATAGTTATTTTTAGAATACATTATTCCTATAATTATTTCGCAACAATCATCTTAGATAAATGAAAACTCACCCTTCTATATCTTCGTCGTTCTCTTTGATGGCTGGTGCTTCCTAGGATGAAGCGAATATAACATCAGCGAAAAAAGATAAATTTCGAACATTATTATCAATTCGACACGAAGTTCAAACGCAATGAAACACTACAGTCATTCTGCTAATCAAAGTTTTGACTATCTCGAGATGGAGTAGAACGGATCCGTTTAGAATGGCATTGAATCGTAATAATAATGATGTATACCTTTATAATATCTACTAAAGTCATTCTGCTAATCAAAGTTTTGACTATCTCAAGATGGAGTAGAACGGATCCGTTTAGAATGGCATTGAATCGTAATAATAATGATGTATACCTTTATAATATCTCCCTTACCAAGAACAGCAATATCGACTTTCAAATACCCCTGTAGACAAAAAAACATAAATACGAGCCGATAAGCATTCCAGTTTAGTTGTCAGCGGTCTTTCGAACATAGGACTGATAGTAAATACATGACAGATAAACATTCAAGGACTATATGATGCTACTTGAAATCATATTACCTTCACGCCAGCCCCAGATGCTCCGAGCGTTTCCTCAGGATCCGTAAGAATAGCCCAACGACGACAAAATCTGTGGTCGACCTGAGCGTACACTGTGGCAACATCCAACTACAGAAAAACACGCAAATAAAAAACACGCAAAGGAAAAACACGCAAAGGAAAGACACGCAAGGAAAAACTAGTTAATGATTACAAAACAGACGCAATCATCAACACCGTTGACAAAGTAACAGCTCACGTTTGCTTTCGCCAGAAAACACTCAATTCACATGAGGTAAATAAATATTTTATATGCTTGGTCATAAATTTTCCTCATTCAGACTAAGGTTAGCGAGGGTTGAATTTTAGACCAACTTTTCTAACTAACAGACATCAAAACGTCCTCTCATCAAAAACCGTAGTTTAAGGCTTAACAACTCTGAGACAAGAGTTGCCGAGCTTTAACGATCGCTGTGAAATTAGGTCTTAAAAATAGTCTTTATAGGCTAATAAAACCTGCCTTAAAAGAACCAATCAGAGCTCCCTGGGATACCAAATTTCTTCCGGTAAAAACCTGTGTAAAGAAAATCACAGGAGAAAAAGTGAAATAAGATTCACAATTGTGCGCAAATGATTTCTTGAATTTTTGAGTAGAATTTCACCAAACACTTGGGGAAAGTGCAGGTCAATACTAGATTCACCTCAAGTTAACGTCAGCATCTAATGGGAACTAGTTAGAAATGCAGCTGGCTTGTGTATTGGACGAAATGTAGGCACCATAACGATGCAGCTACTCTCGTATGAAACACAATGTAGACTTACCATTGACGAAACGTCATGTAATATTTTTGTGAATGGAAAGATTATACCTGAAGGTTAATGATTTTGTCGAAGAGAACAGATTTAGGCATCTTGAAGTCAAACACTAAGAACTGTTCAAAGAAGAAACAAGCAAAACATATCAAGTTATGTAAGACATGAACTATACTGACGTCTACAGTGTGGCGTAATGGGAAACAAGATTTTTTTCCTTCAAAGCGTGCAGTTTACACTTAAACATTGGACGAATTTAAGTTGACAGATGAAACAAATCCGAAAGGGGTTTGGCACAACATGGGTTCCAAATCACTTACTATTTTATTTAGTTTTAAAAGTGAGTCTACTGATTATCAACTTCGTGGTGTTAAAAGAGCCCTAAGTTTACCCGAGCCAAGAACAAATAGCATGAAAAAAAGCCTCGCATTTAATGGTCCACAAATCTGGAACTCATTACTTATTGATCTCAGAGAATCATGCTCTCTAAAGTCTTTTCAAAAAAGAATCGCTGCTCACTTTCCCAAATAATGTCGTGATATTTAAATGTAAACACTTTCCTAACTTTGTAGTCTATAGAATGCAATTTAATGTTTTAGGAACTGTACTTTGTTAATTTAGTATTCTTGTTAGAATTCATTTCTGTTAAATTTGCGCACGCCCCATGTGGAAAACAACTCCCTTGTTGACAATGGTTAGCGTGTTGAAATAAAATTATTCATTCATTCAAATAAATCACTTAACCGAAAATATGTCAAGTTTAAGTTTCAATGCAAAGGTTACTGCAATAATTCAGATAATCCAATGACTCGATTAATCAAATTTTTCGGTTAATCAAATAATCCCGTTGATCCAACAATCCTATCTCAGAAATTGCTACGAAAAAAGCAAAAGTTGAGACTCGGAACTTAACACCACAAAACTATCTTTACCTCATCCCAAAAAGGGCAATTTGTTTGCTCCTTCACAGCAGTATTTTTCTTTTGATTACCAACAGTCACAGTACACACAGGATTGAGTTGAGTACCAGCCAACTGACGACATTCCAGGATTCGTATCTGAACCTGATAATCCAAATCCTTCACCGATACTTTCTTTCGTTCTCTGACACGAGGATGACATTGACTGTAGGGATAAATATGAATGATTTGAGCCTGAAGCAACGTTGCATGTTTTTTTGAATGTAAATCATGCAGGTCTGTCGAGTGCTGAGAAGGACTATTGACGTTGAACAACATCGCAGTGGTAGGCATCTTCAGTGTGAAGATGGCCACCCTTACCAACACCAACAGTCCTTGTCATGATTGCAAAAACCAGGACGATCTACATCTACAAGAATGTAACTGCATAAAACATCGAACGATTTATTTTTAATGCCAGTAAAATCAACTTCACGTCTTTCTGTCTTGTAAGCAAATTTATAGATACTTCGTGTCACGTGACTAAAAAATGGATGACGTTTATTGGTTATATTGTTATCATCTTATCAGTGGCAAAGCCAGCTCTATCTTTTTTGTACAAGACAAAAAAAGTGAATCTACATTGAATACATTCAACAAGTGCCGTATGCGATCATCAGGAGGGGCGGGCACAGGATTTCATGCAGGCAAGAGATGTTCATTAGGAAATGTTGTAATACAATATCATTTTCATCAAGTTGTTGCCAAATTGGCCTAACTCAAGCTGGCGTGCAAACCTCCGCACCTTTCCCGCTCTGGATCCACATCTCAGCAGTATCATTGATCTGCAGTTTCTTCACTTGTTCTGAAAACAAACTAACCACTGAACAACCAACTTCTACCCTCTGTGTCTCATTGAAAGATTCTTCAATTTCTTCACATGTACTGAACAAATACTAAAGACTGAACAACAAACTTCTACCCTCTATGTATCATTGAAAGATTCTTCAATTTCTTCACATATACTGAACAAATACTAAAGACTGAACAACCAACTTCTACCCTCTATGTCTCATTGAAAGATTCTTCAATTTCTTCACATGTACTGAACAAATACTAAAGACTGAACAACAAACTTCTACCCTCTGTGTATCATTGAAAGATTCTTCAATTTCTTCACATGTACTGAACAAATACTAAAGACTGAACAACAAACTTCAACCCTCTGTGCATCATTGAAAGATTCTTCAATTTCTTCACATGTACTGAACAAATACTAAAGACAGAACAACCAACTTCTACCCTCTGTGCATCATTGAAAGATTCTTCAATTTCTTCACATGTACTGAACAAATAATAAAGACTGAACAACAAACTTCTACCCTCTATGTATCATTGAAAGATTCTTCAATTTCTTCACATGTACTGAACAAATACTAAAGACAGAACAACCAACTTCTACCCTCTGTGCATCATTGAAAGATTCTTCAATTTCTTCACATGTACTGAACAAATAATAAAGACTGAACAACCAACTTCTACCCTCTGTGCATCATTGAAAGATTCTTCAATTTCTTCACATGTACTGAACAAATACTAAAGACTGAACAACAAACTTCAACCCTCTGTGCATCATTGAAAGATTCTTCAATTTCTTCACATGTACTGAACAAATAATAAAGACTGAACAACAAACTTCTACCCTCTATGTATCATTGAAAGATTCTTCAATTTCTTCACATGTACTGAACAAATACTAAAGACAGAACAACCAACTTCTACCCTCTGTGCATCATTGAAAGATTCTTCAATTTCTTCACATGTACTGAACAAATAATAAAGACTGAACAACAAACTTCTACCCTCTATGTATCATTGAAAGATTCTTCAATTTCTTCACATGTACTGAACAAATACTAAAGACTGAACAACAAACTTCTACCCTCTGTGCATCATTGAAAGATTCTTCAATTTCTTCACATGTACTGAACAAATACTAAAGACTGAACAACAAACTTCAACCCTCTGTGCATCATTGAAAGATTCTTCAATTTCTTCAAATGTACTGAACAAATACTAAAGACAGAACAACCAACTTCTACCCTCTGTGCATCATTGAAAGATTCTTCAATTTCTTCACTTGTACTGAACAAATACTAAAGACAGAACAACCAACTTCAACCCTCTGTGTATCATTGAAAGATTCTTCAATTTCTTCACTTGTACTGAACAAATACTAAAGACAGAACAACAAACTTCTACCCTCTGTGCATCATTCAAAGATTCTTCAATTTCTTCACATGTACTGAACAAATACTAAAGACTGAACAACAAACTTCTACCCTCTGTGCAACAGTGAAAGATTCTTCAATTTCTTCACTTGTACTGAACAAATACTAAAGACAGAACAACCAACTTCTACCCTCTGTGCATCATTCAAAGATTCTTCAATTTCTTCACATGTACTGAACAAATACTAAAGACTGAACAACAAACTTCAACCCTCTGTGCAACAGTGAAAGATTCTTCAATTTCTTCACATGTACTGAACAAATACTAAAGACTGAACAACCAACTTCTACCCTCTGTGCATCATTGAAAGATTCTTCAATTTCTTCACATGTACTGAAGAAATACTAAAGATTGAACAACAAACTTCTACCCTCTGTGTATCATTCAAAGATTCTTCAATTTCTTCACATATACTGAACAAATACTAAAGACTGAACAACAAACTTCAACCCTCTGTGTATCATTGAAAGATTCTTCAATTTCTTCACATGTACTGAACAAATACTAAAGACAGAACAACCAACTTCTACCCTCTGTGTATCATTCAAAGATTCTTCAATTTCTTCACATATACTGAACAAATACTAAAGACTGAACAACAAACTTCAACCCTCTGTGCATCATTGAAAGATTCTTCAATTTCTTCACATGTACTGAACAAATACTAAAGACTGAACAACAAACTTCAACCCTCTGTGCAACAGTGAAAGATTCTTCAATTTCTTCACATGTACTGAACAAATACTAAAGACTGAACAACAAACTTCAACCCTCTGTGTATCATTCAAAGATTCTTCAATTTCTTCACATATACTGAACAAATACTAAAGACTGGACAACAAACTTCAACCCTCTGTGCATCATTGAAAGATTCTTCAATTTCTTCACATGTACTGAACAAATACTAAAGATTGAACAACAAACTTCTACCCTCTGTGTATCATTCAAAGATTCTTCAATTTCTTCACATGTACTGAACAAATACTAAAGACTGAACAACAAACTTCTACCCTCTGTGCATCATTGAAAGATTCTTCAATTTCTTCACATGTACTGAACAAATACTAAAGACTGAACAACCAACTTCAACCCTCTGTGTATCATTCAAAGATTCTTCAATTTCTTCACATGTACTGAACAAATACTAAAGACTGAACAACAAACTTCAACCCTCTGTGTATCATTGAAAGATTCTTCAATTTCTTCACATATACTGAACAAATACTAAAGACTGAACAACAGAATCTTACCCTTTCACTTCACTTGCATCGAAAGATTCCCTTGCGATATTTTGTTCTGATCTCCACTTTTTCTCAAAAGGTGCAATGATAGATAAAGCACCAGCGGTCGAAGTTCGGCTTCTTATGGCGGGTGAGGAGTCTTTCTTTCTTTTAAATGGACTGTAAAAAACACACACGAACATTCGATGGCCATTCCATAAAAATATCAACACGGGAACCCCACCTTCGGGTCGTCATGCCGATAATACAGACACCTTTTTGTCCGACGAGAAACACTCGTGTTGCTAATTACAGTAATACGATGGTTGCCTCGATTTCTATTGTTCTAGTAAGACGAATCAATAACGTATTTAACAAATTGGAGTTCACCCATTGAAATTCAACTGTCTTATTGAAGGCAATGCGACCTTGCACGTCGTCTGTACTGTACTGGTAGTATTACCAGCAATACCGAATTTTGAGTTTTACATATGTAAGAAAAATCACCGCAAATTATTCCCCAAAACACAAAACCATTCAATTCACACACCATCGTTGACAGTGTGTGAAGGAAGCACCGACTAAAGCATTTCGCCAATCATAGTATCACAGAGTAAAATCATGGTAATTCTCAGAGATGGAAAGTAAAGGAAAGTCTCAGTAGGTTAGCAAAAGTCCTTTCGAGTACATTTAATCGCTAAGTAACCTCGCCACCATGGTTCTACTTACAATAACTTACTAATATTACCAGGTAAATAAAGCTGCCTGGCTTAAACTGCCAAGTCTTGACCCCTCTGACAATGTGCCCGACTCTAAGGGCACATTGTCAGAGGGGTCAAGACTCGGCAGTTTATACGGTCAATTAGACAAGAAAACACGATAAAAAACAGTAGAAAAAGCAGTGACTTATTACTGATAAATTGTCAATTGTCAAATACTGTTTCATTTCTGACGGACGAAATATTGTCGGTCGACAAATGTTTTCTTCGTGCGTAGTTATTCTGAGTGATAACATTGTATCTCAGTGGAATGATGGTGTTTCTACTTTCAACCAAACTTATAAAGCTTTAATGACGTCACGCTTGAAACTTCATCCCACACTGTCAATACAACCCCCCGTTAATCCCCAGACCGTCGCCCGCCCGTTGGTGAACCTATCAACAGGATACCACGGTATACAATAAAGTACATTATAACTTTACCTTAACTCGATGTCCTGTGTTATACCGCCATTAGTGAAATGCATTGGGATGTTTGGCATGCTTCCAATGGGTCGTCCGGCAGGACGATTTGACTCCTGCAGAGACAAATGCGATCGTGTACGTTCTGCTTCTGTCATGGCGCGAAAACTCGTAACTGACGAGCTGTTGTCATTGTTGTCTACAAGGGGTTCGATAGACCCATCAAGTCCAGGTGGCATGTCGATTTGCAAACCTGCATCAACAGCACCGCCGTCAGGTGGATCATAGAGGAGTTTTATCGAAACTTGTGCCTAAAACATAAGATGGACAGATATTATAAGTATACATATATGAGAATAGTAAGCTGATCAAACTTAATGCGAGTGGTGATTTGTGAAACACCTAAATCATGTTTTTCTTACACTAAAGAAATCATAAAATAGTGAGTAAAGTCCTTTCACTCAACCTCCTTGCAAACGAGACAAGTCTGCTCAAAAGAAGAGAGCCTTACGCTACAAGTCCCGGCTTGAGACCGGTATAGCAGAGTTAAATGTTGAAAGGACACTTACTTCTCAACTGGTGTTAGTGGTTCTAGGTTGTTTGAGTGAAGCAGGAAGAGGAGAAGCAATAGAAATTCGAGATTGAAGAATTTAAGTAAGTGTCCTTTCACCATTTAACTCTGCTATACCGGTCACAAGCCCGAAACTTGTAGCGTAAGGTTCTCTGCTTTTGAGCAGACTTGTCTCGTTTGAAAGGAGGAGGAATAGAATGATTTTACTCACTATTTTATGATTGCTTTGGTGTAAGAAAAACATGTTTTAGGTGTTTCGGAAATTAACACTCGTATTAAGTTTGCTCAGCCTAATGTCAGTGTGCGAATTAGTTCAGAAAAAACGATGTGCAATTTTTTTGACAAAGTGTTTCTTTATAGGCATAATCAAATCGATATTACGTTAATTATTATATAGCGCTAATTGCTAAATTGATATTTTTAAACGTGCACAAATTCATATGATTTACGACAGTGTTTTTCGTTAAAACCGCTGATTTTTGCACATCGTTTGAAAAATTGATGTGCAGTTGTTTTCATTTTAGCTAAAACGATGTGTAAATTGCACATTGCACACCGTTAATTCGCACACTGCTAATATTCTCATATAGTTTCTGTATTCTCAAGTGCATACTTAATTAATTGAAGTATACGTATAGGTAAAAGCAAGGTTGCATTCAAAATTTACTATACAGACTACGGCTAACACTTTGCTATTCACAGTAAAAGCACCATTGACTTATTAAATCAATTTTTCATCAAACTTAGTCTCCAATAGCATATGGTGTGAACTAAAGAATGTTGATGGTCCAGGTTAGTGCAGTCATGAATGACGAAGATAAAGATATGACTACAGATGAGGTTGGAGAAATGTCAGTCAACACCAACACCGACAGTTCTGCCCCAGACCCCACTAGCCTGGATGATCAACATTGACCAACATGTAACAATACTACCGGGTTCAAAGTATCCACTTTAGATCATTTCTTATGAACTAGATTATTTTGTATTGAACATTTCATTTCTGGTCAACATTATCTAGTCACCTTAAGAATTGTGTTATTTGAATCAACTAAGTTCTCTTGAATGTCCACGCTTTTATCTTGGATGAGCCTCTGTAAGATCATGCGAAATACCCCCACCAACCTTCAATGTAGGAAATCAAAAAATCACAAGTCTGTGGCACAATGCTTAAGAAAATGTACTCACTTCATTCTCACCTATTGTTGAATACTTTGTTGAAGTTATAAACCTCAACCTCGATGAACTCGCTTGGGTCCAATGCACTGGCCAAAGGCCACTCATATGCCTAAACAGAAAAAATTATCATCATCAATAAGTATTTCCACAAATGTCATCTTTAAAAACTCATACAGCACCTCATCCCAATTGGCCTCTGAACAATTTTCATAGATGCTTGATTGGTAGGTCACTCCTGTCAATTGCAAGATCTCTGTTAGTTTTCTTATTGGTTAGAAATCCTATTTTTCACTAGTATTTTGAGAAGAGCAAAGTAGCTATTTTGGTCAGTCTTGTCAGATTTCTACACCAACAATGCATTAGCTCAAAGTAGACAATTCAGCAGTTGAAGTGTAAACAATATACTGTAATATGAAAACATTTCATGGTTTAGAAGTCATTTTTTTCGAGATAACGAGAAGAACGAGTTGGTATTATCCTTAATGTAAGGCTCGCCATCATAACGTATGATGTGTGAGATGTTACATATTGAGCATGAATTTGAACTGAATACTAGCTTTTATGCCAATGCTTACTACGTTTACTTCAAATAAACGTCCAAGATACGAATAAAAAATAAACTACTTCAGTCGGGCACTCCATCATTCATGAAATATTTAAGAAAACTTCGATGTTGCTCTAAAGACAATGGTTTAATAATATATTATGTATACGAAACAGCGACTATCATTATTGTGACCATACATTTAATTATAAACCTACTGGCAACAAAACCATTACTTCGATAAAAAAGCTAGATTTTCAAAGCCTAATGAACTTTATGTGCGTCAAGTGTCAAATCAAAGTTATGGATATAAACAAACAAAAAATATTCAACAATTTCTCTTGATTGAAATATCAAAACAACATCAATATTCAAACAAGGCAATTACTGGCTATCAAATTCGCAGACTTTACCGGATGTAAAAGAAGTAAAACAGGTTCACTTGTTGTTATAAAAACAAATGTGAAACGGTAATGTTTGAGACGAAACACGAACTCTTGAAAATTATCTTTCTACGTAAACACGACCACGTACCCCTAAACGTTATCTTCGCCAAACGGTCAGATTTCCCTTTAAGATTAGTACAACTTCGTAAGATAATAGTTAATGACATTTCCAAATGTTATTTTTCTCCAGACATGACTCTCCTCCAATTGACACAACAATTCTTCATGACAATTTTGATGATATGGAATTCGCCATGAAATAATTGAACCTAAATGCCTAAACACACCAATCAGAACACACGTAGTCTAGCCAAAGTTTAGACAAAAAATAAAGACGCAAATTTACATAAAATTTTTACATATAACTTTGATGATTTGGCAGGATTACTTTGTGCAAGAACAGGAAAGATATAACTGCATTTGATGGTGAATATTTTCACATTGAAACGCAAGCATTTTCCACAGAAAGTCGAAAAAGAGAATCGAAAAAAACGAGACGTGCTTCGTGGGCGTTCATGGTGATTAATTAAATCCTAAATTTTTTACGTCAACTGTTTGGTTTCGAAGGAAAAACGTCAAAGAGTATTGGATATTTTGCAGAGACAACAGAAAAGTATATGACAAAAAAATGTTGCAATAGTTCTTCATGAAACTCTCAATATTTCTCACCAAAAATATACAGACGATTCTAATCAAACACAAACGAGAGAGAGGTGTCACAATTTTGATATGTAAAGTTTCCCATAATGATATACATTTAAGTTTTATGTTGTTGAGGCGTTCGTCACGACATCATATTCTTGTTTGTACTTTCTATCAATCGCAGTAGAGCAAAGACGAATAAAAAATCCTGAAAACATTCCGTTCACAATCGCCATTTAGCCTTCGAGGGAAAGAGGTTGTATAAAGAACGAAGTCACGTCTCGTGTTCTTAATCAAAAAAATGCACAGCGCAAAATTTTTTCACCTTTTTCAATAAATTATGAATAAAATATCCACGTTAAATACTATTTTCAAACATAAATTTCACTATGTGCTCAAAATACCACCAAAATTCCGGTCATCACCGACCTTAATGTGTTAGTGACGATAAGCTAAATGAAAGTTAAAGTCATTTAAAGTAAACATTTAATCACCCCCTCCTCCATCTTGAAGGAAAAACCACTATTTCGTGATTCACAAAGTCTATCTACAAATCTATGAAAACAAGCTTCACAATAAACTGTTCACATAACTATGCGTGCAAGCAGCGTCGTAAAATGAAAGAACGTTCTCGAAATGAACACGACAAAGTGAAAATAAGAATTAATAATTCCTAGGAATCATGAATTATTGAAAGTATTTTGCCGCTGACGTACATATCAGTTTTTCAATAAATAACTCGGAGTCAAGCATCGCTATATGAGCTGCCCGACCGATGAAAGTGTTGGTAGACGACGGTAGACAATGGTACACGCTATAGCGGACCAGACAACGATTGCACTCATTGAGTAATGGCGTCAATAAGTTCTCCATCATTTCCCTGTACACATTACCTACAAAAAACAAAAATTAAGCTCGGAACTTTTTGTTTTGTGAATGCTAAGTGATGTCCTACAAATTATAATGATTTTGACGAATTTCTGAAGAAGAAAATAACGACAACAGAAGATTGTTTCAGAATTGAGAAGAGACGAGTTTTGTTTGACAGTAAAATTTCGTTGGGAACTTTAGACAGACCTGTTCTCCTTTCTCTATCAACTACTTTGAATGATTAAACAGTTGCCATACCGTAATAGGTACAATACTTACATTCTAATGAATTACCACGAAATGATTTTGGCAGTTCAATTCTTGAAGAATGAAAGGGCACATAGTGATCTTGAACAGAACTCACTAACAGGACGTTCGTGAAATACTCCAAACCTAAATCATAAGACAACACTTTCATACTGCATCATGTAGAAAATACCATACAAGTACAAAGTGGGGGGGGTAGATTGCACACAATAGTACATGAACAGTCCACCCACAAAACTGAGTTCAATAAAAACCAGAGCTTACTAAGGATGTATAACTTGTGAAGAAAAAAACCTTTATTTGACGTGGTTGAGTACATAAGAATTACCGCGATCATCAACATGCAAACACATGAATCGCAACTTTCTATTTTAACATACCTTTCTTTTTACTCAATTTGTATATATACGTATCTCTCATGTCCGCTGAATCGTTTAAGGAGAGCTGTAGTAGAGAATCCGATTTCTTCCATTTCTGTAGTAACCACATTCCTGTAAAAGATACATTCACTGTGAGATTATCCATAATATAAATCCTAACACGGTTTTCACATGCCCATGAAAAACATGTGACTTGGACGAGATTTGAACTCGCACCTTCGGGATACCAGTCCGCCGCTCTACCTGTTGAGCTACCAAGCCCACAGGGATTGGAGACGAGTCAAATCTCTTAAAACTACGTATGGACGAGAAGTTCTCGCCACGATAGCAGTTACTGGATGGCACCGTGTTTCGACTTTCTTCCAAAGCCATCATCAGAGAGATTATACATCATATAAATCCTAATACGTGTTAGGATTTATATTATATATAATCTCTCTGATGATGGCTTTGGAATAAAGTCGATACACTCACTGGTTATACAAGCGCTAGTTTGCTGTATATAGCCTACGTATGGGCGAAAACACACTTGGTACCAGACTCTTTAAAAGGGTAACCATCTTGTATGATATTGGAGACATTTAGCAAGCCAAACACAGCGTATCGTTTTAAATAACTTTATCGACTTTACTAACATGGCAACCGCTTTAGTAAAGAAGAGTAGCTCGGGAGTAATTTGTGACGACGACATACCTGTGCTGACGATTGAGCTCGTATGATGGACCATGCCAAGGTGAGGTCCAGAAAGAGACAGGTACGTGTAAAGCAGGTTGACGTATGGCCGCATCTTTGGATGAGCTAGAGCTGATCTGATGATAACATTTCCCAGAGAATGACCAATGAAACTAATGCGTGCGGGAGAGATCCGATAAGATTCCATGTAATGGAGGATTTCATCCACCAGTCGATCTGTCTGTTTCTCGAACGGCATGAACGTGGTATCCTGTCGGTAGACAAAAAAATAAACATTTTTCCTACACGATTAGTCAACTCCATGTCAACTTGCACTTGCACAAAAAGATAAGGCTCATTTGATGCTTTGAGTTATAAAAAAACGCAGTATTTCCTTGTACTTGGGTAAGGCCATTTGAGTCTCATACACTAGATGAGAGACACAAAGCTGCGCTTATTTCTCCCAAGGGTTGCAATGCTAAATTCTCCTCAGAGTATCTATTCTAAATTCTCCCAAATGTAGCAGATCTAAGTTCTCCCAAGTGTTACAATGATAAATTCTCCCAAGTATATCAATGCTAAATTCTCCCGAATGTTGCAATGCTAAATTCTCCCCAGTGTATCTATTCTAAATTCTCCCAAATGTAGCAGATCTAAGTTCTCTCGAGTGTTGAAATGATAAATTCTCCCAAGTATATCAAAGCTAAATTCTCCCGAATGTTGCAATGCTAAATCCTCCCAAGTGTATCTATTCTAAATTCTCCCAAATGTAGCAGATCTAAGTTCTCTCGAGTGTTACAATGATAAATTCTCCCAAGTATATCAATGCTAAATTCTCCCGAATGTTGCAATGCTGAATCCTCCCAAGTGTATCTATTCTAAATTCTCCCAAATGTAGCAGATCTAAGTTCTCCCAAGTGTTACAATGATAATTTCTCCCAAGTATGTCAATGCTAAATTCTCCCGAATGTTGCAATGCTGAATTCTCCCCAGTGTATCTATTCTAAATTCTCCCAAATGTAGCAGATCTAAGTTCTCCCAAGTGTTACAATGATAAATTCTCCCAAGTATATCAAAGCTAAATTCTCCCGAATGTTGCAATGCTAAATCCTCCCAAGTGTATCTATTCTAAATTCTCCCAAATGTAGCAGATCTAGTTCTCTCGAGTGTTACAATGATAAATTCTCCCAAGTATATCAATGCTAAATTCTCCCGAATGTTGCAATGCTAAATCCTCCCAAGTCTATCTATTCTAAATTCTCCCAAATGTAGCAGATCTAAGTTCTCCCAAGTGTTACAATGATAAATTCTCCCAAGTATATCAATGCTAAATTCTCCCGAATGTTGTAAAGCTAAATTCTTCTCATTGTTGCAATGATAAATTCTCCCAAATAAGCAGAAGCAACTAAAATTTCTATGTTTCGATGGCCTGATTCAAATACATATTTCGACCAATCAGAACACACATTATACAAATGCTATCAATTTATATAAGAATGTCGATCACTTACTTGATTTGCTTCGGACATGAGAAACTCGAAGTTAGTCGAAGGTAGTGCCATCTCAAGAAAGCATCGTATCAAACGCAGATCACCGCAGTTTCCTGTAGAAGTTAGAAAAAGGCATCGAATGTAAGGCATTAAAGATCATTCGTAGTTTGTTTCTCAATGGGTCGAAAATGTCTTCAAACTATGTAAGAAACCGAAAAAAGATTATTTCATCAAATTAACGGTAGTCATTATTAATACCTTAATATCCCTCGTTAACCTCAAAACACAATTTTACCATTTTAGTTATTATGTTCAGTGCTATCTATGAATTTAACGGTAGTCACTGGGAATACCTTAATATCCTTCGTGAACCTCAAAACACAACTTTACCATTTTAGTTATCATGTTCAATGCCATCTATGACATTAAAGGTAGTCACTGGGAATACCTTAATATCCCTCGTTAACCTCAAAACACAACTTTACCGTTCTAATTATCATGTTCAATGTCATCTATGAAATTAACGGTAGTCACTGGGAATACCTTAATATCCCTCGTTAACCTCAAAACACAACTTTACCGTTCTAATTATCATGTTCAATGTCATCTATGAAATTAACGGTAGTCACTGGGAATACCTTAATATCCCTCGTGAACATCAAAACACAACTCTAAATTCTTGTAAAAATCATTCATTCATTCACTTACCGTCGAGACCATGGACACAGACAACGAAATGTACAGGTAGTGAAGACAGATCTGGTTTCGCATTCATAAAATACGGTCTTACAGCAAACTTTGTAGCAACATCGCTAGAAAAATGGAAATAAGCACATCATAAGAATGCCTTTCGAAATACACAAAATCATAAATGGAGAGGAAAGACTCGTTTTGCCAAACTAATGTCTTCAATCTCGCCATTCGAAGCGTCTATCTATAAAAGCCTGCCCAATAACGTCTTCGTGAGTCACGCCTAGCAGTAATTGTCCGATTGAGGGGGGTCAGAATTGAGTATATATTTTTGATTAAACTTGTTAGATTTATGCATGCTCTACGTTGTTTGATTTATACATCCACGTGACTATGTTACACAACACGCATTGCCACGTGAACAGAGATTTTCTTCATTATACATCCACGTGACTATGTTGCACAACACGCATTGCCACGTGAACAGAGATTTTCTTCATTATACATCCACATGACTATGTTACACAACACGCATTGCCACGTGAATAGAGATTTTCTTCATTATACATCCACGTGACTATGTTGCACAACACGCATTGCCACGTGAACAGAGGTTTTCTTCATTATACATTCACGTGACTATGTTGCACAACACGCATTGCCACGTGAACAGAGATTTTCTTCATTATACATCCACGTGACTATGTTGCACAACACGCATTGCCACGTGAACAAAGATTTTCTTCATTATACATTCACGTGACTATGTTGCACAACACGCATTGCCACGTGAACAGAGATTTTCTTCATTATACATCCAGGTGACTATGTTGCACAACACGCATTGCCACGTGAACAGATATTTTCTTCATTATACATCTTCACGTGACTATGTTGCAAAACATTGGTTGCCACGTGAACAGAGATTTTCATCAGAATCCAGAAGACTCAAAATCCATTAATTGATATCAATGATTCATGAGTCAATTGTTCGGTTTGTTAACAGATATTTAATAAATAATTGCTAACCTATAAATATTTCCACGAAAATTCAATCGAGACACGACGTCGAGTTTAGCTTTTTGTAGCCTATAACGAAAAGATGAAGATGTTGTGAAGATCAGGCAAAACGTCGGAATTCTTCGACATTATCCGACGTACATTCTGATCTAAATAATTCGATCTACTTGAGTATACAACGAAAAGATGAAGATGTTTTGAAGATTAGGCGAAACGTCGGAATTCTTCGACATTATCCGACGTACATTCTGATCTAAATAATTCGATCTACTTGAGTATACAACGAAAAGATGAAGATGTTGTGAAGATCAGGCGAAACGTCGGAATTCTTCGACATTATCCGACGTATATTCGGATCAAAACAATTCGATCTACCTGAGTATCAAGGAGCAAATGTTTGAATTTGTTGTGGTGTTGAAGTCAAATTACGTACCACAAGCAAAAAAATTCGCCCCAATCCACTTTTTCGATCACTTATTTTAAAATATACACACACGATAAAACAATGTAAAATTTGAATTTAAAACCAAATAATTTTCAATGCAAGACTCACAGCGAGGGCGTCTCTCCATAAGATGGCGACATCTCCTTCATCTTCCCTTCAAACCCATTGCACATTTCTAAATTTTCTATTCGTAAACTCGAAAATTGCCCGTCATGGTGGCTGAAAATATCATTAAATTCCCGATTGTAGAACACGGAATTGTGGATGCGAACGGTTCCGCGTTTTTTCCTGTTGTTACTCATCGAGTTCCCGTCGCCTCTTCTTCGAAGGCTCGAATCTCGGGAAGTGGGAACTATAAAATGACCTCTACTGTCTAAATTGTCTAAGGATCGACTTCGCGAGAAGTTTTGTCGATGGTTAGGTTTACATTCTCCGCTAAGCCGATCGGTTTTGAAATTTTCGATGTTGTTGTGTGAAAAATGTCTCTCGCCAAGTGGATCAACACATCTGTCTTTATGATTTAGGAAAATTTTGTCGCTTGTTTTTTCCTCATGATGAGTGTTCGACGAATTTACATCCTCTACGATCCCATCATCGGTTGCTAGGTCTTGTCGACCATTAGAACCCAGGTTCTTTTCAACCACGTCACCGTTAGGTCGATTAGTCCTCAAAAAGTTTTCCGCAAACTCCTTTAAAGTAAGTGGAGAGTTTATTGGCTTCGGCGTTTCATCGTTCTCTACCGACGTAATTAATTCTATCTCTTTCTCCCCGTTTAGTACTTTCGGTGTTAAGCCACAGTGGCTCATTTCCTCAACAGAACCGTCATTTTCCTTATTAGCGAATACTTTAGAAACATTTTCCGAACTGTTAGAAACAGAAACGATCTTCGATTCCTTCTCTTGCGACGAACAGTCGCCGTGATTTACATCAACATCGATGTTCTTACATTCCAGAGTCACTTCTTTATCTGCTGGCAACTCGATATTGTCGATTAAACTTTCTCTGTCGCCCATGAAAGGTTTACGTCGAAATTTAGAGGTACGAGGACTTTCCTGCTTGTTTATGTCTCGAAGAACGTTTCCAGGAGCATCATCGTTATGATTGCAATTGTTCATACTTCGTTGTACATTATTTATCGACTTTCTATCATCTGACGTTTCGTCACTGTTTGAGGAAACGATACTTTTATCCTTAAGGTATCTACCGTAAACAATATTCTCGTCTTTAATATCGCTTTTGTCTCTTAAAACGTCGTCATTTTTTGAGGAAACGATACTTTTATCCTTAATGTATCTACCGTAAACAGCATTTTTGTCTTTAATATCGCTTTTGTCTCTCAAAACGTCGTCATTTTTTGAGGAAACGATACTTTTATCTTTAATGTATCTACCGTAAACAGCATTTTCGTCTTTAATATCGCTTTTGTCTCTCAAAACGTCGTCATTTTTTGCCGCGTGGACTACACGCTTAGCAATGAGCTCATTTGACCTTCTCGGAGACCTGACATCTTGCCACGCCTCTCTGACGCCACTATAACCTTCACCATCAATGATCAAAGGTGATTCACTGCGAAATTCCACATTCCTCGTGCCATTGAACAACGACTTGTGCTCCAGAACATCGTCCTCTGAACAAATAGAGTAATCATGACCCCTCCGGGAAATATACGGCGATATGTAGATTTCAGGGGAAAGGGGATGATCTTGTAATTCCATAATTAGCAAAATACTAAACATTACACAAAAAGAAAGTCCCCCCCCCAACCGAGATATATCGTCAGAAATTTTAAATCAACGAATTCCAGATATTTAAACACGGTAGTATTTAGACTTGAGCTAGGTAATTTGCTAACTGCCATGTGAAGAATGGCGTCGCTCGTGCTATAAAAAAGGAGGCAGCGTCTCTTGAATTCAAAAATACCCAATTTCAAAATTTGCATTAAAAAAGTAGCGCGATGAGTTTCCTTCACTGTTCAGCCACATTATTCGTTCATAAAGTAAATGGTTCGAACCCGGGAGTATCGTTACATGTTTGTAGATGTAGATCGTCCAGGTTGGTATAGTCCTGAGAGGGACTGTTGTTGTTGTTGTTGACTGACGTTTTGACAACCTTAGCGGTAGTCATCTTTAGAATGACTACTCACTTGACTCTGAAGATTACTACCGCTAAGGTTGTGGAGACGTCAGTTCACGTCTACACCAGCAGTCCTTCTCATGATTCAACTCACCTTCACCCTCTCAATCTACAAACATTATTCTCTCATTGTGTAAATTAGTTTGAAGATTTCCCAGATCATCGTATAAAAGCAGGGCAGTCAGTAGCGTAGCCAGCATGCAGATTTACTTCCGCTGTGTAAATTCTGAAAGATTGTTAATTTCATTAGAAATCAATTGCTCTCACGGTCAGTAAACACAAAATATTTGCGCAACGGGAGTAAAGTCGGGCTGGCGACGTTACTGAGGACAATCGCAATTGGTTATTTTAGAGACTGACAGGGATTCATTCACGTGGCACTTATTTTAACTTATCAAGAGGGGAGGGATGACTTTCTTCTTGTGTGGTGTTCATTTCTCAAATCATATACCTCCCTGAATTTCAACGGCGCGTAACTTGTCAAAATTTATCCCTGAATTGAATAAAGAATCATTGAGAGGTGATTGATGCACATTTATGTATGATTTATAATATATCCATTATGATACATAAAAGATCCACGTCCCTAACACAATCACCACGAGTAGAATCAATCGAGTTGCAAAAATGTTAAGATCACGTGTGTGCTAAATGAAAGGTGACTTTGAACCAGGTCACGGAGGTAGGTTCAAGTGCAGCTGTCAATTACATGTATGAAACAAGAAGCAAATAAATCACATATCAATATCACATGACCTATGACTGTTGAGATTTTTTTCACTTACGTATCATAGTTATTGAATTGCTATACATAGCTCTCTTAAAGCTGCAACGGTAATTAGTAATGGTAACTGCAGTATTTTTCTATATCACACCACATCACAGCCACACATCACAACACCATAACACAACCACACCACACCATAACACAACAACACCACACCATAACACAACCACACCATACCATAACACAACCACACCACACCATAACACAACCACACCACACCATACAAACCACACCACACCATAACACAACAACACCACACCATAACACAACCACACCACACCATAACACAACCACACCACACCATAACACAACCACACCACACCATAACGCAACTATACACCATAACACAACTACACACCATAACACACCACACCATAACACAACTACACACCACATCACACAATAACACAACCACACCACACCATAACACAACCACACCACACCATAACACAACCATACCACACCATAACACAACCACACCACACCATAACACATCTACACACCACATCACACCATAACACAACCCCACCACATACCACACCATAACACAAATACACACCACAACACACCACACCATAACACAACCACACTACACCATAACACAACTACACACCATAACACACCACATACCACATCAAACTACAACAAAGCCCACGCCACACCACACAACACTTCACCTCACCCTACCCTACACTCTAGAACACACCACCCACATCCCCAAAACATCACACACAACATTTCAAACATTCAAGTATATCTGATATCTTGTAATTCTAGTACGAGTAAATCTGAGTGGATGTTTAACTGTTGTAAGTTTACCTATCTTGTTGACATAGCGATCCTCAAAGAATATGGGAGTCGTGGATGCATCTCCGTCGACTTCTGCACATTCCACAGCAACAGGAGGGATTTCAGAGATGTATCTCGAAGATTTCACACATTGTCCCATGCTCAAATGTTTTTGAAAACTAGAAAACAAAAACTGCTGTTACAATATCCTATTGCAAAACATACACTTTCTGATTGCTTAATTGTAGAATTCTATTCATTGGTTGATGGAATGATAACCACATGATTAGTCAATAGTAGAATTCTAGTCATTGGTTGATAGATTCTGAACGACATAATTGGTCAATCGTAAAATTCTATTCATTGGTTGATGGATGAAATATGAACTACATGATTGGTCAATCGTAAAATTCTATTCACTGGTTGTGGATGAAATATGAGCTACATGATTGGTCAATCGTAAAATTCTTTTCATTGGTTGTGGATGAAATATGAACTACATGATTGGTCAATCGTAAAATTCTTTTCATTGGTTGTGGATGAAATATGAACTACATGATTGGTCAATCGTAAAATTCTATTCATTGGTTGATGGGATATGAACTACATGATTGGTCAATCGTAGACTTCTAGTCATTGGTTGATGGATTATGAACTACATGATTGGTCAATCGTAGAATTTTAATCATTGGTTGATGGAACATGAACTACCTGCTATCGTTTACGTTGAGAAGTGATTTCCATGGAAATTCTTGAACAAAGAATGCTTCGCTCAAATGCATCATCTTAAACAGAAAAGTTCTCTTCAACATTTTGAGGGAAGATCTGACACGAAGTAAATAAATGAAAGACTATAGTCAATTGCATGAAGGTTAGATAAAACTGACGAATAGGAAATGCCACAATTTCGTTTATTTGATTATAAGATGTTCAGAAATATCAAAATTAGAAAGCCACATGTTTTCCTCATGAGCTTCGTTCATAAGTTGTGAAGCTAGCCCGAGTTTTAAGACATGCTAGGCAAAGTTTAATCGCATACTACGCAAATCAATATATTATAGTGTTCTTTCACACTTGCCTGAAATTAATTTTCAAAAAAGACATGAATTATCACACAGCATGTTCAAAATTTCGAATAGTGGCATTAAACATTCGAAATTCTTATGGACACTTTTGGCCATTCGACGAACGACAAACAAATCGCAAGTCTTTTGTGATGTATATATAATCTTCTGTGTTTTACCTCAAAAACCTCCCTCCGTCCCTCTCTCCTCCCTCCGTCCCTCTCTCTTTCCTCCCTCCTCCATCCTCCCTCTCTTCCTCCTCCATCCCTCTCTTCCTCCCTCCATCCCTCTCTCCCCTCTCTCCCATCCTCCTTCCTCTCCATCCTCTGATCTTTCCTCCTCCGTCCGATCCTTCCTCTTCCCTCCTCCTCTCCTCCTCCGATCTCCTTCCTTCCCAAGGATCTCGTCGTTACTTTATACACTTACCCTTTCGCGATGATGCTGCAATCTCATTGGCCGACGTATTTCATCTTTCGATTTGAACGATTCCCGGAATTGTAACCATAAAAACCCCAACTACAAGAAAGATGAAGCTTTTCTTTCAATAAAATACAGTTTTTTAGTTGTAATTTTTTAAGAGTTAGCCTCTAAATATTAGAAAACTGATATCTTATATTTTAAACGAGTGGAATCACGCATTGCATTGTGGTAAATTTGAATTTACAATCGGAAATAAAAGATGTTTCTCGCGTTCGCACTGGCTCATGAAAACTCTCGAGCATGTGCAACCCTCGACCTTCGTTCTCGGGCGTGCACTGATCTGCTCTCGAGTTCTCCCAAAGGTCTCCTCGGTTTGCGTAAGCCTGCGCAAACACAGCAAACATCTTTTATTTCTTAATTTATTCACTTTTCTACACACACTCTGTGCATGACGGCGAATATTGAGTTATTAGCGATATTCATCGTTACCTGGGTGTTAAGAACGGAAAAATCGCTGCACATTTCATCGTAGATCTCTTCACAAGACTCCAACATCTAAATCCAGTAAGGACGCATCATTCAAACTAGTAAATAACCTTGACGTAAATACACATACCATACATAGAAAAAAACCTCGCAGCTTTTTAATCTCAATTTACAACATCAAAAGAAAAGCAGTTGATACGACACCTCAAGTTTTTCACACAGTCCTTCCACCAACTCGGCTGGATCCATTTTCTCACCTGTGATTGGTCACAAAACACGTGACATACGAGAAAACTGCAGTATAGTCAGTCTAGGATCGGTGGCGTAGCAAGCATCGATAATTTCGGGAGAAAGGAGAGGGGGTTTATTCATACATGCATGGCATAATCGACAGAAAACAATTGATTTCAATTACGAAATAAAAGATGTCTACTGTGTTTTTACTGGCTTATGCAAACCGAGGAAACTTTTGGGAGAAGTTGAGAGCAGATCACTGCAAGCCCGAAACCGAAGGTTGAGGGTTGCACATGCTCGAGAGTTCTCACAAACGTCTCCGAGGTTTGCATAAGCCAGTGCAAACACGAAAAATATCTTTTATTTCTTTTATAAAATCAATAATGCAAAAAAGACAGACATTTTAATTTTTACTCTAAAATGTATTCATGATCGATTTGCAAATTCTCTTTGACTGATTGATTGATTTGATTGATTTGATTGGTTGAGCTCCGATGCGCTTTGCATAGGCTAATGCAAACACAGCTCCAGACCAATCAGCGCACGCGTTTCATTGTGTTTATTTTATAAAAGAACTTAAAACGACAGAACACGAATTTATGAATATTTTCCCCTCAGTTATCGAACCAGCTTGTTGGGGATGAGTGTACTATCAGATCAGTGATTGGGTCTAACAACATAATTTTGTTTCTTCAACATCCCCCTCTAGTCAAGGCTAGGAGGGGTGTGCACCCTTGCCCCCCCTCCCTTCCGCAAGTACATTGTCCCCGCTGCAAGTACGTAGCTAACCATCATTGCTAAATAAATTCAGTTACCGAGTGTAATTCTTTGCTTCTTGTCCACGTATTGCATCATTTCCTCGAAATAATTGTACAACTGAGAGTGAGCCATGGTGAGGATGGCACAGAGATTTCTAAATGAAAATCATGGGAACCGTAAATTCTCACACTACGAAACGATGTCAGCGCGTTTTTTTTTGCAGGGAAGGGGTGGGTAGGGGGTGTTTCCAATGATTGTTTCAACTGGCTTCGTCAAGATGAAATAGAGACGAGGGAGCAATTCTTTTATACTTACACATACTGTTATTTAATTAATAAAGTCGTGTTTATAACCACAAAATGACGTCACGATCATAAATATGACGTCATGAGCCTCAATAAGACGTCACGATGTACATTCTGATATAATATTAAAAATTAAGTTGGCATGTTCATATACAACGTATAAAACTAGCCATGGCAAAAAATTCACATTTCGATTTTGTAAAATGCTTTAGCCATAGCAAGTAGGCTACATGACGAAATAATTTTGCACATGACAAACCTGTGAATAGCAGAGGCCTTTTGAAAACATTCTTTTGTTATGCTGCAGGTTTTGAAAGCAGAATATCGTACAGTCACGTCACTATAAGACTGAAGAATAACAATAAACAATTGGAAAGAGGAGGAAGATGATGAAATGTAGCAAAGTGAAGAATTCCATCATAAACATCATCTCAAAAAGTTTATTGGATTACATAATGACTCGTGTTTTAACATCACATCACTCCTGATGAAGACACTAGACTGGAGTATATAAGAACTCAAGTTTTAACATCAGATTACTCCTGATGAAGACACTAGACTGGAGTATATAAGAACTCAAGTTTAAACATCAGATCACTCCTGATGAAGACACTAAACTGGAGTATATAAGGACTCAAGTTTCAACGTCAAATCACTTCTGAGTTCTGATGAAAAGTAAAACAGTAAATAAGATTCACGTTTCAAAATTACATCTTTCCTGTGTAAGCCATAAACAAATAAATCGAAGAAAGACGAAGATCCATTGAACTAAAATACATGGAACGCTACCTGAAGCAAATAATTGAAGCCAAATCTTACACTCAGACACGCGAGATTACACCCGGACACGCGCGTTTAGTGTTTCGAGATTCTCTCGTGGAGTGAAAAATGATTGAAGTACACACGTGTGTCTGGGTGTAAGATTTTGCTTCAAAAAATTATCAGGCTTTTCTATTATAGGTAGCGTTCCAGATGTATTTATAGTTCAATGCGTAGATCTTACGTATACCTGTACCATAAAAGAACTGGAGTGTATAGTTGATGAAGGTAATAAAACCGCTATTACTCACAGGCTGTGCGCGATTTCCAAATATATTAATGAAAAATAGAGGTGCCGATGACCGCCCAGCTACGGTAGACTTGTTGAACCAACCAGTTTTAAGAGGCTTGAGAATTCTACAAAAACATATTGCACATTAAGGGTTAAACAAATATTTTTAAATTTGCCAAGACGCGCGAGGAGTGAAGTCAATTTGAATAACGTTGATTTTTGCGTTTAATTTTGTGTTTATTTCTGCGTTTATTTCTTTGTTTATTTTTTCGTTTTTTTGCGTTTATTGTTGCGTTCACTGTACATTTTGTAAAACATTGAAATAATCACCCAAACTTTTCAAGGTTAGAAATTTCCCTTGTGCTCGATATTCACGTTTCTTGTTTCACTAGTCTTCAGATATGAAAGTCACCTTACTCGGTATTCCCTTAAATTACCCCGATTGAAAACGAAAAGCATGACTTGAGTGTCGTTATTCACTGTAGGAAAGTGAATTCGATAGCTAAAAGCTTAAAATTCGCTTAAAAATTACTCCACCAGAATTGTAACATGTATTTTAGGGGTGGAGGTCGCCTCATTTCAATGCAATTGCTTATTATATTTCGGTGCGATGTCCTAAGTGCACCTCAGGTGTACCTCTTGTGTAACTCAGATGTACCTCAGGCGTACCTCCTGTGCACTTCAGCTAACTCAGCTGTGCCTCGGGTGTACCTCCTGTATACCTCAGATACCTCAGTAGTACCTCAGGTGTACCTCCTGTGTACCTCAGGTGTACATCTTGTGTACCCCCTGCGTAGCTCAGGTGTAGCTACTTGAGCTGTACCTCCAAGGTGTTAAAAGGATAATGTATGTCGATGCTATGGTGGTGTAAACACGACTTACTTCCAGTCAGGCAACCCAAGAGAAACGACATTCGCGTGGATGATCATGTCAAGAACGGAGAAAAAATAATAATCAAACAGAAGTGGGATCTAGAACAAATAACGTTTTCAATTATTAAGTCTCTTCCTCCATTCAATCACCGTTGATGATATGCAGGTTAGCAACAGTGTTGTACTGGGAAATCGTTGGGATACTTCATGTAATACCTGATGATGGAGACCATTAAAACAGGAGAAATGAAACTTGAGCGTCCTCGACGTGGCCCAAGGAATGATACGATAGTTGCTGCCTCTATGGAAAGATATACAACAGTACAGATTCACGTTGAAATATTGAGTTCAGAGCCAGTTGCATAAAGCTGGCAACAAGTAATGCTGTTCATTGTGGAGTGAATTTTTTGGAGTAAAAAAAAGGTGGTTATACTTTCTTTAAGAAAATAAATTTTTCTTATCTTCAAATGAACGTTTTACTCTGTCACTTGTCCAGTTTAAATCAAAACGTTTTTCCTTTCGAAAGGATTTTTATAGCAATTCTAAAAATAACCGTCCACTGGGGAGAGAAATATCCAGACTCCGTTTAAAGGCACCAGACTTTAACAAGTCCTCGGCGTTTATTTGATACTTGAGCAAAGCGATGTCTTAACTAAACTGTGGCATTCAACATCGGGACGGCTCAGAGAACTTAAGGGGCCTGGGGCACAATCGAATTTTGGAGCCCCTTTTCCTTGACCCATGGACAGGCATTACCGCCCCCTTTAGCCGGAAGCAAATTACCCCATTTGCCACCACCTCCCTCTGAACGGCTTTCTTCAACACTACAAGACCTACTGTATTTTTTGATCTGTAAAATGAACATCTACTGTCATAAGAAATTCTGTCTTGTCAATACAGTCCGCCGCCTAAAAACAATACAAGGAAAAACGTGAAAAAATTCAAAGAAATAGGGCAAATGCGCCAAATACATGCCGAAGCTGATAAGGCCAGTTTCAAACGTTTCAAAATGAGATAAAAATTCTCATTATCCTTTGTTTTAAACGCATTCGGCGCATGAAAAATACGACGTTTGAAAAAGGCCTAATGCAGCAAATCAGAAACGAAAATCACCTTCGCGCTGTCGATCAGCAGGTGGACTCGAAAAATAAAAACATCTTTCAAAAGTACTTCCTCGTCTTTGTAGTAGATGTTAAATGTTCGTGATACTGCTGTTAGACCATCTTCGGTAACATAAGCAGGCGCCAATGTGTATGAGCGGTTGTCTCCTAATATAAAACGTTTTTAAAGTAAACGGTTTGAACCCGGGAGTATCGTTACATGTTTGTAAATGTAGATCGTCCAGGCTGGTATAGTCCTGAGAAGGACTGTTTTTGTTGTTGTTGACTGACGTTTCGACAGCCTTAGCGGTAGTCATCTTCAGAGTAAATTCTTCATTTTTGACTCTGAAGATGACTACCGCTAAGGTTGCCGAAACGTCAGTCAACACCAACAAAAACAGTCCTTCTCAGGACTATACCAACCTGGACGATCTACATTTACAAACATAAAACGTTTTTATTGTATGTCAGCATTTGTGAAAATTGTTCTGGAGTTTAACATCACGAAGGGTCTGTTTTAGCTACTGAAGATTGTTTGGAGTTTGGCAAGCCAAGGGAATGAAGGTGCCTGCACATCCACAGTTTTTAGAGTTTGGGATTGTACAATATGTCCGCTTAATACAGAATGTCTGCTTAATACAGAATGTCTGCTTAATACAGAATGTCCGCTTAATACAGAATTTCCGTTTAATACAGAATTCCCGCTTAATACAGAATGTCCACTTAGTACAAAATGTCCTCTTTATGCAGGTTCGACAGTACTTCGACTGCGGGAAAAACACGCCACAAATTTAGCTTCTTGCTTGAACGTTGATGACGCACTGAATGCTGGGTTCTTACAAGTGTACCGAATTTTTCAATTACTGAGCGACCACCGGGAAACAGGAAGTTTCAAATGGTTCAAACGTCGACGAAATATACAAGTCATTCGCATGTAATGAAACACAACGAAAGGGATTTTTGGGAGAATTTTTGTAATGTTTGTTGGAAAAAGAAAAAAAACCGACTAAAAATAACTAATATGAAATGGTTTCATCACTATCTTATTTTTCTTGCATTATGGTATCGCAAACATGTAATACCCACAAATTTTGAAAGCGTCCAAAGCTCTAGCTAATTTGAAAAAGCTTTTGCAGCAGAATTTCAAAATTGCTTCGATCAATGACAAGGCCAGCTCGATCTTTTACTCCTACAATGCAAATTTTTCCATAAAATAACTATTTATTTCTTTAGAAACTTAAATCGATTCATGCTGTAGTAAAAAACGTGCTGGTTTTGCTACTGCTTCTGATGGCATGTTAGCATTTGTGAGCATTGTTGTGGTTTTTCATTATCATTTTGAGATGAAGGGAACTTGAATATCCACTTTAAAGACCAAAGGGTGTGCATCAATGTGGTTTTTTTCCAACTTCGAATCTCTTTCATCGAACTCTTACAAGCTCAGTTGCAAACTTCAAAAATTTGGTCTTGTATTCAAATGTTTTTGACGAATTTTAAAAACATTGACCGGCTGCACAAATTCGGCAGTGTCTATAAAATGACCTTGTCAAGGTCATTAAAAGGATTAATAGTTAAAGATAGTCATTTGCAGTTTGAATTGCAGCCTTTCTAACTTTAAAATCACTATCAAATGAAAAGGTCTATCCTGGGGTCATATAACCAACCTGACTCGAAAATAATCACTTTGTTGACTCTTTTTTAAAAGTAACCAAACAGTTCATGCAATTGATCAATACAACAACCAATCAAAAGTAAGTTTGAGAGAAAATATGGAAATATTTTCCACACTTTTCAGGCACTTGTCATTTATTCATTTCAGTTTTCTTAAGGTAGAAACAGACAGCAAAACTTCAATAAGATAGTTATACATACCATGAGAAAGTTCCACTTGAATTGTATGATTTGACTTTGGAGGTTTTAACGTGAGACGAATTTGGTAGTTTCTACAACAAGACAAAGAGAAAATATGTGTAAATAAAATACAAGAAAGTATAAATTATAAGTTTGAATAATCCATGAGATACATAAAGTCAGCATTTCAACAAAGATATTAAGCTCTACATACTTACCCACGAACGAAAAGGTCGACATTATAAAACTTATACAGTTCGACCATAAATTCAACTGTTGCTTGGAAATCCCCCATAACACTGGACGAGTTGTGCTACAAAATGGCAAGAACGCATAAATTCTTGTCATCGTAATAACGGTCATTCAACCGAGAACGCGCTTTTTCAAAACGTTCTGACATGGAAATTTATAAGAATTGTTCATTTGTAAAGAATTACATTCCATACACTACTAAATGAATACGGGCAAGCAAATAACGTGTCATACAGAGCTACAAAATTACGAATTCTTTGTCTCTCAAAAGACAACGGTTCAATATTTCAATTGAAGAACAACATGGAGTAATTCGGGTTCTTTTAGTGTGAATGAAACAAGGAACACATTTATATCAACTTCTGTAGTACACAAAGCTGTGAGTCAATTCGCTTGAAAAGTTTGTCCGATCTACAGCGTACAGTCAACAGGGAAAAAATTAATTGTTAAAATGGCAGCAGTCAGCACTTACCTTAGAAGCTCAGCTACGGTTTTAAAATCCAAACAAACAAAACACACTTCGCAAAACAGGCACACTTCCGTAATTCATCTATTAATATCAGTGAATCTAATATCACAATAATGAAACAAAACTTTATAAATTCAAAGCATTATTGCTAGAACTGTGTATTTGAGATACTCATATATAAATACTATGTCTGTGCTGTGCGCAGTGGCTGTGCGTTATAATATGAGCCCACGTTAAAATTAATTCGATAATAGTCTAACGAAACACTTAGTGTAATCTTAGATACATGATATAAACAAATTCCGAAGAAGCAAGACATCTTGAGATTGCAAAATATTGAGATTGTAAAACAAGACGAGAAGTAAACTGTAAATTTTCGATTTTATTTCAAAGACATCCTCAGACAGAATGATATTTAAAACCATACATACACATACAACGCATGAAATAAGTAAACGGAAGTAAGCAATAGAAATTAAATAGTCTGATATTTACAAAGGCAGAGTCAGAAGAGGTGTAGTATTTCAAAAGGATGAATTGAAACTGCCGACTCGACTGGTAGAATGAGTGTGTTATAAATTAAGAAAAGAGTTGTAATTCTTTGCTAGCCTTAAGTCCCGTGTTGAGAAAGGGTTTGTTATGTTTGATGAGAAGTGCTTCAAGAAAAGCAAGAATGTGGTAATTGTTAGATTTGGTTGAGTGAAGTATTTTATAGTTGTTGAATACAAGATTTTCTATAGGAGAGGGAGTTTTGGGAGGTCGAGGGAGATCATTGAGTTGTGAGAACTGGTTTTGTAAAGTCGCCAGGAATTGAGCGTTTACGCGTTTATATTATACTTCTTTAAATTGTCGGCTGGTCATGATTTTTATATACATAATCCCAGCAGCACTGCCAAATACAGATGTTAAAGACCGAAGATTGAATTTCGCAGACTGAAACAGTTTTTCGTAGTTTAAGACATTAAAAAAACTGTCATAGATTATTGCTCAACTTTTCCAACTTGCTATAGGTAGACCGTCACATGGGTGTAAATCCAAAGAATATACCATTATATGCATAATTATATGTTTAATAAGAAAGCTCAAATGGTATTATCAGTATTATCAGACACTCTTTCAACCATTTCTTGGGTAACGGAAGTATGGCCCTCTTTCAAAACATCATTCACATTACTTACGTCATCTTTAATAGTAATGACGTCATTCTATGATCAGCCAAAAACCATAAGAAATTTAACTGCATTGAACCAACCACAAGGCTATCTATAACTTAAATTCATTTATTTCAATAGCCTCACTTTCCAACGTAAAAAAGCCAGAAAACACGGGTGGCTTTGGTGGCTTCTAGTGAACGTTAAAATTTGCATATTTTGCGTAGCAGTTAAGGCGGAAGTGAAGGCACCGGATGTTTGAGACATTGCACGCACAAAATTCTAAATTTTTATCTTTTTTAGCATGTTTTGAGAAAGAGATCTTGTTGTTGTGCTCAAGTATGCGTGCATATCCTCACGCTTCTTTCCGTGCTGGCAGGAGAAGACCCACACTGTGAAATCCTCGGCACTTTCTACATCTTTACTTATCATGAATACAGCGCGCAATCTTTTAGCATTTCGCCGTCGTTTTTCATGCAGCGGTACAACACCGATAAGATCTTACGACTTTGTTGTGGCCGGCGGAGGAGCTGGTGGAATTGGCACTTCGGCAGCTCTCAAACGTATATATGGCAAAAATACTACCGTTGCGGTCATTGAACCGTCTCAGGTTCTGGAAATTGTCTTTAGTTTTCATTTCAATGTTTACAAATATAATCAACGAATGGTTAATTACAGTCTTGTCACACACAAGTATTGATTGTCGACACTTGTTAAATGTTTCATGTAGTTTTCAATCTGTGAATATATTGGCAAGAGTATATGTTGTACATATTGCATCATGTCAGTTTACGAAAATGTATATGACTGTATGACTTTACGAAGAAACCATCAAAATTGCAATTTATTGTGTACAACAAAACAAATAGACGACTTGCCTTGTTTACGTTTTGCTGGCAGGCAGATTTGGTCGAGTGGTTTTGAACAACACTAGCAACAATGGTCAACCTCTCTTGGGATCAATCTGCCTGCCAGCAAAACGTAAACAAGGCAAGTCATCTATAGGAATGATTATTGTATCAATTTGAAAATATTTGATAATTGCCATCAATTGCAATAGAAGCCAATGAAATTATTGTTTGTGTGTGTGTACTTTATCAAATTTTCACATCTTTAGACTCAGTACTATCAACCCCTGTGGACGTTGGTTGGAGCTGGTGCTGTTGATTTTGATAAGTCACATAAGCCAATGGAGGAGGTCATTCCTAAAAATTGTGACTGGTTTCAAACAAAAGTCGATGGATTTGAGCCAGCGAACAATATTATTACTACATCTGATGGTCAAACGGTCAGTGTTTAATGACATCAAATTATCATATATATTATGTTAGTCTCTTGTCCACTACCCATTATGTGGTTATGTTATAAACCTACTTGTTAATGGTTATTAATGATAATATGTTTCATGATTATGTACTATTTTATATTTCAGATCAAATATGAATACCTGGTTGTTGCTTTGGGCCTTGATTTGAGATTTGACTTGGTACGTATTCTCAAAAATTTGCGCAATTCTTTTATATGTAACTTAAAATGCAGGATCTTAGCCAGTCATGTGATGTCCAGTGTCTTTGTCAAGTTAGAAATTACTATGTATTTTAGGTTGAAGGATTGCAAGAAGCACTTCATACTGATGGTGTATGCTCCAATTATTCTTCCCATACTGTCAAAGACACATGGAAAACTTTTCAGAGCTTTAAAGGAGGAAATGCCTTGTTCACTCTGCCAATCACCCCAATTAAATGTCTTGGGGCTCCACAGAAAATTATGTATCTTGCTGATGACTATTTTAGAAAGGTATATTGAATAATACTTTAGTGAGGAGTATTATTCCTTTTCTGTTGCATTAAGTTTTGTATCTTTCTTGCAGCACGATGTTCGCCAAAAGACATCAATCAAATTTTGCTCTGCTTTGGGTGGAATATTTGGTGTTCAGAAATATGCAAAGGAACTGATAAAGATTTGTGAGAAGCGTGATTTGCAGTTGAATTTTCGTCACAATCTCACAAAGTTGAATGCTGTTGAAAAGAAGGCAACATTTGATGTGTTGGATTCAAATGGCATGAGCACTGGAGAAACAAAAAGTTTTGAGGTACATTTTTCCTACCGAAATAATGATTCATTCTGATTTTTTTTACAACCAGTCTGTGGTAAATGCATAATCCTCATTGATAATTTTTCCTTCAGTATGACATGATTCACGTAACTCCGCCAATGAGTGCACCCAAAGTTCTTCGTGAATCTTCAAATTTGGTGGATTCCAAAGGATTCTTGGATGTCAATAAATACACTATGCAACACAAACGTTATCCCAACATATTTGGTCTCGGAGATTGTGTTAACACTCCAAATGGGAAGACAGCCGCTGCTGTTGCTAGGCAACTTGGTATCATAATGAACAATCTTAGTGCTTTCATTAATGGCAAAAGCATGGATGCCAAAGTAGGTTGTGGCTCTATGTGTAGCTAAATTTATATATGTATTTTGTATTTTGTGGCTGTGACCTAAGTTGAGAACTTGTTTCTTCGTAGTATGAAGGGTACACCTCGTGTCCTTTGGTGACATCATATGATAAGTGTATACTTGCAGAGTTCGATTACAATGCTCAACCTCTTGAGACATTGCCCATGAATCAAGGAAAGGTTAGTCAAAATTGTCCTGATGTACATGTAAATAATGCCCGTATAACATACAAATACATAATAGTACATGTGGTATCTGGGTCAAGGCACAAGAAAGGCAGCATAGTGGGGTTTGTATTATAGAAAACTATTAATAACTAGTATTTGCTGAGAGATGTATTGATGACATTTAGTATTCAAAGTGGAAGAAAAACAACTTTCAGTATTCAAACTAAGCTTAAATATTAACTCATTTCTATTCAGGAAAGAACCATTTCTTATCTCGTGAAAAAGGATGTACTACCTGAAATCTATTGGTCTGGTTTGATGAAGTAAGTTTTGCGAACTTTGCTATGAGAATATATGTATGCATTTATCAAAGATGTAAAAACACTAGATAACGCTAGATGTTGTTTCACTTGATACTTTTGTGTGTAGGATTCTCAATCATCTTGTCTATTTGTATTTACCAGGGGTTCATGGTATGGCCCAACCAATGTTAGAAAAATTCTCCATCTTGGTATGTCTAAATGAGTTTCATCTGCCTAGTTTTCAATGATACCTTAAATCTTATTAAACTAGGTCTATGAATAGATAATAAATATATAAATATAGTAAATATTTATATGTATCTGTATGGTGAAGTAAATAGTTATACTTGCATGATAACTGACTTGGTTCTAGTTACTTGCATGAATCTCAGAGAAATATTGTTTGCATGATGGCATTAAGATAAGCATTTAAAATTTTTGTTCTTTTTGTGGAAATTTCAAACCTAGATTGAATTAGTCTGTAATAGTGCTGTTTGAATAGGAAACTATTGAAATATACACATGAATTATTTGATGAATGAGCAATATCACTATTTTCTTCATGTTGTACCAGCAGTTTCATTATTACAGAAATAATTTGATGTAATATTTGACATTTCTTCTAAAAACATTAAATACCAGTATTCCATCTTCCAGATATTTCTATACTATTGAATTTAGAAGAAACTATTCATAATTCTGTCATTATATGTATAGCCAATGTTGCACTATACATGATGTCTTTATAGTAATCAATAAATTAAATTCAACTCTTCATGCCAATGAACTTAGAAACACTTTGGACATCCTGAACATAAATGTCTTCATTCATTTGGTGAAGAGCAAAATTTTGAGACCACTTGCCTCTAATACCAAGGTTTGACTAGCTTATATAATTCACAAGCATGCAAAAGAGGTGAGAAATTTACCAACAAAATAAACATATTCTTAGTAAATATGGTTGGATAAATTCCTCACTTTTGCACACTTTTTAAAAACAAGACAATTTGGTACATCTAAAGCAACATCGTAGTGTTGCTTTGTGTCCCAGAGTGAAAATTTCGACTATAAAAACATAAAACTTCAAATGTTTTAAAGGTGATCTTCAGTCTTAATATATAATTAGTGGGTATTCAAAAACAGACATATATTGTAAAAGTAGACTATCACATATGATGTAATCTAATGGTGTATTTTATTTACCAGAGTTAAAATTAACATTGTGCAATTTGCTCATTACTCTTGCTAGCACTGAGCCAATTGCACATCGTTTTTTTTCCTGGCAAATTTGAACCCTGCTATACACTAGAAGATCAACAATCAATTGAATGAAAAGTACTGTAAATGCTAATGATTAACTTAGACAAATTTCCATGTTGGTTAATAAGAACTAAGTTTCCCATTACCACCTAACTATGACTGTTGACCACAAGAAAAACATTTGATGGAAAAAACTGCTTATATAGTAGTACCAGCAAACCTTTTGGAAGTACAACGGATGATTGAATTATGTCAAAATTTTTCAATATAATCTTCCTAACACCCACAACCTGATTCATCGTTAGCTTCGTCAACCTCTCTTAACCTTGTTGAATTTCTGTTGTTGTTGATAAAGCTACTTGGTAGCAAGTCAGTATCAACACAGGCTTCCATGCGTCGCATGACCTAAATACGAGACATGAAAAACATGAAGTAAACATTCCACTAGCACTTGGTCATGACTTCTCACATATCTACAAGAATGGAAAGTTTGAGATCTCGGATGTGTAACTTTGAAAAAACTAGGCTTCTATGGATGCAAATTTCAAATCTTGCATGCACAGTTTACAACTTTTCAGTCTAGGTGATCCAATCATGTGATACTAAATCATCTTAATTATACTACGTTGTATTACCTGATCGAGTAATGCTTCAATGGCTTCATTGACATTCTGACCAGTAGCAGCACTGGTTTCAAAATATTGTAGGCCTAAACTTTCAGCAATATTTCTGGCTTCATTGCTGTCTACCGCCCGTGAATCCTGAAGATCAGCCTTGTTACCTAGCAAAACTAGAAAAGAGAAGTGAGTTATCAATATTGACAGCCTGCATATACAGGGGATTCTACAGTTCATAAAATGATGATTTGCTTACTATATGCAGGCATTAGTTCACCATCGTCTTACCTATGTCAGGATTTTCACAATAAGCGTGTGTTTGCAGTTGACTGAGCCAGTTTCTTATATTCACAAATGATTGTTCATGGGTGAGATCAAATACTAGTAAGAACCCCATGGCATCACGAAAAAATGCCGTAGTTAAACTGCGAAACCTAATAAAAAGATTAAAGCACTAGGGATACAGTAGGATTTTACGGAGAATTTCTACTTAAACTGAAAAACCTAATAAAAAGATTAAGGCATTTGGGACATGATACTGAGCCTTCAAAGTATACCTTTCTTGGCCTGCTGTATCCCAAAGTTGTAAATGTATCCTTTGTCCTTTTGTTGCTCTTACTCCATTGGGAGCTACAGGATGATGCACCTGTATGACAGAATCGAATTGTGAATAGCAAAACAATTTCAAACATATCTATTTCAAAAAACTGTGCAAAGATCATAATAAGTTATTACATATTAATATTTTCAGAATTATAATTTTCATAGCTAGCCTTGTTTGACCATCCAAAAGTCGCATGAAAGCGAAACAAGAAATTGATGGTGCAATCAGCGTACAGCCTGTGGAATTTCAGTCGTTTGATTCTGCCTAACTTTCTGATTTTTAATGAAAGTTGTTTCTTAACATTGATTTACTAAACTCGGGTGAAACTGACACGTACGATCAATAACAGATCATCAAAACAAACAAAGAAAGCATTTCTTGTACAATTAAGAATAAATGTATACGGCTATGACGAATTTCTTTGCAACATTATGACAAATTGCATCATTGAAACGAACGAAAACTTTGCAATTCCAATAGCTTGAGCAGGTGCAATTAATCATTCACACCACTAAACTTCAAAACAACATGTATACATACGACTCGTTTTTCCCGAAAATCGATACCGACAGTGGAGATGAATTTAGGATTAAATTTTTCATCAGTATAGCGATACAGTAAGCTGGTTTTCCCAACGCCGGAGTCGCCCAAAGCCAAAAACTTTATAAGATAATCATAATCGGTACCCCCATGTGTTGCGTCCGCCATGTTTACAAAAGCTCTTTAAAGTTTGCATAACGTACAGTTTTCCTTTTCATAATACATAATGAATGAACTTACATCATTACGATGGAGAACACAAGTAAACAAAGCCGTTGATTGGTCATCTTTAAATTTCGCGAACTTCTGTCTGATTGGTGTTACAAGTTAATTATTACGGCAAGAAGAATTAAGAAACTGTAACAGTTCCTTCATTAAATTAATCAAATTTTCACCCATCATTTACGTTCAAAAGATCAAAATTTTATTGCATTTGCATCGCGTCGTTTAAATTATCAGGAGTGGTGCCTAGTACGAACTTTGACAATACTGTCGTCTTTGAAACTTACTAATGTCATTAATTCTTAATCAACTGACTACAATCGCTCTGATTAATGTTTGTCCCCCCTTTAACAATCACTGTAATTAAGTTTGGGAATGTTTCCGGGCAAAGGTAACTACGTTACGCCACCCGTACACCACCAGTTCAATGTACACTTCAAAAATAATGGCAGAGAAATTCTTCTAGACGTAAACTTACAATAAACTTTTCACCGAAATCCATTCCTATCGTCGAAGTAAACTTGTTCAAAAAACAGCCATGTAGATATTGATGAACGTAGCACGTTTTTCCAACACCCGAATCTCCCAGCATAAGAAATTTACATACAAATTCGACGTTTTCGTACGTACACTCCGGCAAGCGTTGTGCTTCCAATGTCATGATGGGTCATCAGACACGTTTCTTTGGTTATCGAAAACAAAAATTCATTTGAAGATTTGGAGGTTGCTTCGTGCACAAGTAGTCGCAGTGAACTGTTTGTAAACACTGACACCTTTTTGCTGAATGTCTTAGTTGTATAGCATCTTGATTGCTTCACCTGTTGGTTGGGCGTGTCTTTCTTTTTGAAAATTAATTAAACTGAGTGATGCAGTGCTATGGATGAAGAAGGGGCTTGGAAAACCGTGTGTGTCCGAATGTCCGAACACCCACAAATTATGTAGTGTAGGTGTACCTTAAATGAAGGACACCCACAAATTATGTAGTGTAGGTGTACCTTAAATGAAGGACACCCACAAATTATGTAGTGTAGGTGTACCTTAAATGAAGGACACCCACAAATTATGTAGTGTAGGTGTACCTTAAAGGAAGGACACCCACAAATTTAGCTTCTCACTTGAACGTTTACGATAGGTGTACCATATTTTCGAATTACTGAACGGGCACCAGGAGCCATGAAATTTTAAATGGTTTGAACATTGACGGGGAAATGTGCAAGTCATTTGTATGTAACGAAACACAACAAAAGGATTTCGTAGGATTTTTGTAATGTTTGCTCGACGTAGAAGAAAAACTGATTGAAAATAACTAATGGAAACAATTTTATCATTATTCTAGGTTTCTTACGTTATGACATGACGAATATGGAGCACGCACAACTCTTGAACGCTTCCAAAGCCTCTGGAATGAATTATGAAATTAACGATTCGACAAACGATGTTTCGGAAACTTTTCAAATGAAGCGACGTTTGCGAACCTGTCACAATTTTACATACTGAAAACCTCACCAACCAAAACAGATTGAATGCGGTGATGAAGCGATGTCAATGCAGACGGTTATTTAACAGGCGTACACTTTCGCAATAAATATTATTAGAAGGTTATATTACAACAGAAGTTTTATCACGTAATAGCCAAACGTTCATACGTCATTCGAAGCAACGTGACTACAGTGTCCAAGAAGAACATGAACTCATTGTCTTAAAACGAACTCGGCCACTTTACAGAATATAACCAGGCCATTGTAAATTACTTTTTATTTGTAGTTAAAAACGTTCAAAAATACTAATATGCGTTAAATTCCTTCGTCATCGTTCAGCTTGGAAGCGTGCTTTCGGATGTAGGAGATAAACCATTCGCTATTGAAAGTAAAGATTAATCTCAGGGTAATTTTCTTTCCAACTGCATAATCAAAAGTATATCAAGGTACAACAAGGTACATCAAGGTACAACAAGGTACATCAAGGCATAATCAAAGGTACATCAAGGTACATCAAGGCATAATTAAGTACATCAAGGCATAATCAAAGGTACATAAAGGTACAACAAGATACATCAAGGCATAATTAAAGGTACATTAAGGTACATCAAGGCATAATTAAAGGTACATTAAGGTACATCTCTGGATTATCCCGCAAGACAAATCAAACGTGTAATCTAGTGGCAGATCCTCATTTGAATATCTCTTTAGTGAACACCAGAGACAGTTCGCACAAATTAATATCAATCGTCTTGTTGATCATAAAGGTTGGGAAAAAAATGTGGAACCATTTGTCAAACGTGCACAATGCAATACAGATATGCAGCTACGGGAATGTGCTTATAAACGCTCGAGATCATTAAAGTTGTATATACATACCTGAAGAAGACACAAGAAAAAATGATTTCAACTTGCTATAAAGTACACCAGCAGATTGTACAACTTCTTCGCTTCCTGTGTATTTACGTATCTAAACACAATGAAAGATTTTTATTGTATAATACATCGTTGCCCTTCAAATGTCTTGTTGATTTTCTACCATCCGATTTATCCTCTAATATCCTGTTTATTCGCTACCATCTTGTTAATCCTCTTCTATCCTGTTTATCCACTACCATCCTGTTTAACCTTCACCATCCTGTTTATTCTATTCCCTCCTGTTTATCCTTTACTATCATGTTTATCCTCCAATACCCTATTCATCCTCTGCAATGTTACCCCTTTAACATGCTGTTCATCCTCTACTATTGCGTTCTACGGGCAGTTTTAATCCCCTGTACAAAATTCAACATCTTCTTACCCTTTTTAAAGTCGATACCAAGTCCGGTGCATTTCGAATTATTTCAGGTGTTAAATCGAGATTTTGTATTTGTCCAATAATCCTTATACATCTGGTCACATCCTACACAAAACAACGTTCTCTGTCACCAACGGGAGTAACGTTCAAAGCTTTTACACAGTTTCCCGTACATGAAAACCGCCTTTTCCCACGATGTTTACTTACCGGTGACTCCACTCTAAGCGACACCTTTAGATCGTAAAGAAATCTCTCAAGGATCTGATCGGTTGTTGGTACTACAAGGGAAAATTCTAACATAACAATCTGATCGGTTGTTGGTACTACAAGGGAAAATTCTAACATAAGAATCTGATCGGTTGTTGGTACTACAAGGGAAAATTCTAACATAAGAATCTGATCGGTTGTTGGTACTACAAGGGAAAATTCTAAAACATGAATCTGATCGGTTGTTGGTACTACAAGGAGAAATTCTAACATAAGAATTTGATCTTTTGTTGGTACTACAAGGGAAAATTCTAACATAAGAATCTGATCGGTTGTTGGTACTACAAGGGAAAATTCAAGCTAAAACAAGCCACGACATTTTAATGCCGCGTCATAATCCAGCATTCAAGCACATACGTACAATTAAGTAACTCTCTTTCTCGTTCAACAGCAGCAAGTTTCTCGGCCTTCTTTTGTTGTAGTTTCTCTTGCCTCTTCTTTTCTTTCAATAGCTCCCTTGTAAAAATAATTTTGCTGTTTATGTGGAGAAAACTACAACCATTATCACCACTACAACCACTAATGGGAAACCTCTAAAACCACTAAGCCACCACTCTCACCACCACTCTCACCCCCACTACCACCTCTACCATCACCACCAATATCACCCCACAACCAAAACTATCACCCCAACTACCAGCAATTGCATCGACACCATTTCCACCTTCACTATCGCCATCATTATCGCCTCTACAATCACTATCATTACCACACCCGCTATCATCACCTTTACCACCTCCACTAACACCATCATACCCACCCCGGCACTATCACTATGATAATCACTACTGTCCTTGCTACCATTGCCATCACTACTGTTACCAACACTGTCACCAGCAGATGACAATGGTGATGGTCATTGTGGTCATTGCAGTGGTAGTTATGACGGTGGTAGCTATGATAGTGGTAGCTATGTCACCATCATAACTACCACTGCCATGATCACAATGACCATCACCATTGTCATCACCATCATAACTACCACTGCAATAACCACAATGACCATCACCATTAACATCACCCTCATAACTACCACTGCCATGACCACAATGACCATCACCATTATCATCACCATCATAGCTACCACTGCCATGATCACAATGACCATCACCATTGTCATCACCATCATAGCTACCACTGCCATGACCACAATGACCAGCACCATTGTCATCACCATCATAACTACCACTGCCATGATCACAATGACCATCACCATTGTCATCACCATCATAACTACCACTGCAATGACCACAATGACCATCACCATTAACATCACCCTCATAACTACCAATGCCATGACCACAATGACCATCACCATTATCATCACCATCATAGCTACCACTGCCATGATCACAATGACCATCACCATTTGTCATCACCATCATAGCTACCATTGCCATGACCACAATGACCAGCACCATTGTCATCACCATCATAACTACCACTGCAATGACCACAATGACCATCACCATTGTCATCACCATCATAACTACCACTGCAATGACCACAATGACCATCACCACCATGACCACCCCACCATCACTACCACCAAAAATGTGGTGTAATGGATTAGGGTGTGTGCAAGGGAGTATGTAACACACAAGAAGTACTTGCATAGCGTAAAACTAAAACATAAATGACCATAGGTACTAACTTCTTTTTGCAATCGCTCATTACGCTTTCTCATGAATTCTTCTTTTGTCATCACATCTTCCTCATCCTCCTTTTTCTTTTCTCCATTTCTATGTTCTCCTTTCTTCTCCACTTCCTCTTCCTCTTCCTCTTCCTTTTCTGGAATCTAAGGAAGGCATAAAAAGATTCAAGAAACATGAAGAGCACCTTAAATTGCAAGAAGATCCATTTAAACTGTAAATCACACAAAGACATAGAGGAAAGACAAAACTACCAGACATAAAGTACCCCTATGACAGAATGAATTCTAAGAACGACAGCAAAATCCTAGGAAACTACCAGGAGTAAATACTTCAGTTAATCGCAAGGAATCAAATGCACATGTATGAGTCTGAGTCAGTTATGAAGAACTAGTTAGCCATGGATGGTTGAGCCAAAGCAATTTAGCCGTAAACATTATAACCCAACTATTGCTTGAGGATTACAAAAATTATGTAAAAATTGTGTAATGATCTTCACCTGAGATTGATCATCCTTTTCCTTCTCCTCCTCCCTTTTAATGGTCACTTTAATCTTCTTCTTAGGTGGAATCCCCTTAAAGTACAAAAAAGAATTCAATTAAGTAATAATAATTGCACAACTTACACAACACAAATTGTTATAAATGCATTGCACTTAGAAAGGTTGTATATTGTGATGCGCTTTGAACAAAAAAATGCAATATAGTATATTTATGCTTGTCAATTGACCTGCAAACTATCTTTAAATACTGCATATTCATACTATTAAAATAATATGCATATATAAGCCAAGCAATGCAATGTAGTGATGCACTGATATCGATATCTGCACAATAACGACATTTTAATATTGGTTAGTCGGTATATTGGTAAAATGCTTTATGGATGCATCACAAATGTTGTCAATGCAAAATTTGAAATGCTCTGCAACTTTTAATGGCAAATCTTAAGACACTAAGAATACTGACATTTGAAATAAGATCTAGTATGTGAAATCACATTATAGGGAATATACAGTAGGGCCACTTCGCTGTGCAACTGGCTGCTGTATATTTAATTAGTTTACTGGCTGCTATTTGCCTATCGTCAATCCTGTTGGTCACATAATGCAATTTACTGCTGTCAAAATGGTAATCACATGCGTAATAACTAATGAGAAATATCCGTGGCATGAAAAAATTCAATGGAGTGGCCCTACTGATGTTTTCTATACTGTGGTGAAATGCAAGAAAGACATCAGTGGCCCAGTCATGAACAAAATTCACAATTGCTAAAACAAATAAAAAAACCTACCTCCGAACTGTCGTCTTTTATTTTTTCTGATGACTTTTGCTTTTTATTCTTACTTTGTTCCTAGGTAAAAGACAAGCTTTGCATATTTTATGTTCTTATATGTGGACATTTTTGGTAAAAGATCTTGCTACCACCTCTTCTTTGTCTTTCTTGTTATCAGAATTTTCTTCCTACATTGAAGATTGATTTATATCAGAAATTTGAGATGGTGGAAGTAGTTATCTCATACTTTTTGGTGTAGCTTAGCTTCCACAAAAACAGGGATGGATGTACTGGGGGCATGAAGGGATTGGTGTAGGTTAGCTTACACAAGACCAGGGATGGATGTACTGGGGGCATGGAGGGATTGGTGTAGCTTGGCTTACATGAGACCAGGGATGGATGTACTGGGGACATTGAGGGATTGGTGTAGTTTAGCTTACATGAGACCAGGGATGCATGTACTGCGGAGGTGGAGGGATTGGTGTGGCTAAGCTTCTATAAGATCAGGGATGGATGTACTGGGGGCATGGAGGGAATTTCAACCTTACTAGCCTTAGTTGGAGAGGTTACAGGAGGGGTGAAAATTTCCTCACAAACTATTAATATATCAAGCAATTAAGCAAAAGCAATAATTTGTGGATCACACTTCTAAAAATCATCAGGGTATAAGAGGAAGAAAATTTAAGAAAAAGAAGTTTGATGTGCCATTGCAACATCTACAAAGTAGCCAAAAATCTAATCCAACTAGAGACACACCCCCTAGCAAACAATCCTGAATCCACTGTGCTAGACAAAAGCACTTTAAGTAAGGTAATTTAAATGTAAAGCAATGGTAAGAATATTGTTTTGACAATAGAATTTTGTCATTAAACAGTTGATACTACAGAAACGCACTGCAATGCATGAGAAAGTAATAAAAAATAGTAAGAAAATGAAATGTGAGAAAGTAACAAAATGAAATGTGTGCGCTGATTGGTCTAGAGCTGAGTTTCCATTAGCCAGTGCAAAACCAATCTGAGCTCAACCAATCAAATCAATCTAAACAATCAATCAGTCAAAGAGAATTTGCAAATCAATCATGTAAACATTTTAGAGGAAAAATTGAAATGTTTGTCTTTTTCGCATTGTTGTTATTTTAAAAAAGAAATAAAGATGCTTTTCATGTTGGCTCTGGCTCATGGAAATCTCGAAGATGTTTGTGAGAACTCTCGAGCATGTGCAACCCTCGACCTTCAGTCTCAGGCTTGCACTGATCTGCTCTCGAGTTCTCCCAAAGGTCTCATCGGTTTGCATAAGCCTGTGCAAATACAGTAAACATCTTTTATTTCTTAGGTAATCTATTTACTGCTTGATGTAATCACTATTTTTCACTAACCTTTTTCTCTGATTTATTTCCATTCTTCAGCATTTTTGATTTCTCACTTGCATTACCAATGAATTTTACTAAAGGTGTCTTTTCGATCTCATCAAGTCCCTCCTGAAAACCTCGTATCCTTTTTGGTACAAAGTACTTGGCTTTATTTTCTTGATAAGGGCAAAGATCCTTCGCTTGCATAAATGCACTGCAATTAAAAGACGGAAGCTGGCATAAAAATGCTTGATATTAGCACATGAAATCAAAATCTAAACTTGCAAAATTCATTAGAATGCCAGCTTACGTCATAACATATCAAAGAAAACGAACAAGTCCTTCAACAGCTCACTTACGTTTCATGCGTTCCATAGAAGAAGATAGGCAGTTTGTTGGCTGGAATTTTGGTGCCTGCTTTAACTTTATCTATCTAAAATTAAAGCATTTGTGTTATCAATAAACAAAACTTTAAACTATATGCAATTGCAATCATCAACTGGATCAGCACCAAAAAATCTGCACTTTGAAAAAGTAACACAGGTTTTCATTGGGAGAATACAGTTCAAGGGATTTTGAAAGAATGCCATAACACAGCTACAGCTATTGCTAACGAGTAAATTACTGTCACTCAAGCCATGGAGCATTTTACTGCTTCAAGCGAAAGATCAGATTTTCACGTTGTTTACACAATTACTGCAATATGAATAATGAATCGAGAGATACTTGAAGTTCTTTGCCAGCATAATCACGTAAACAAACACAAAGTAGTAGCAAAACAAACTTACTCTAGCAGGCCAATGAGGGTAACCCTTCATTTTGGCCCATATTAGATCGCCAACGTTAAATTTGATATTTTTCGGCATCTTGAGCAAACAGTATAGTCAGCAGAACTGAAATGTCCACGAAAAATAAACTTTAGCACAACTTCTAACAAACCCAACGATTTTTCCCTCCAGAAAATATCACACTGACATACGCGGCGTGGATTTGGCAGTCTGGGGATGAGTTTTCCAACTAATTTCCATCCGCTAAAAATACAAATGTTCACATTGAAGGCTAAATGAAACGCAAAAATTCTGAATTTAATCAATTTGCCTTAATTTGAGAATTACAACCGGAGTGATGTGTGGCGCTTCGCAAACAGTTGTAATGATTAACCTTGAAGTTTTGGCTCTTTTCAATCCCTTGAAATCATCGGGCTAGTTCGCTCTCCGGGCTAGCTTGCTCTCCGGGCTAGCTCGCTCTCCAGGCTAGCTCGCTCTCCAGGCTAGCTCGCTCTCCGGGCTAGCTCGCTCTCCGGGCTAGCTCGCTCTCCGGGCTAGCTCGCCTCTATATAATCAGGCCCTTAGAGGAAACAACAGTTTTTATAAAATAAAATTCAACCGGATATGACGTAAAAGTATTACTTTAAAAATTTGTTTCTATTTTTACTCACAATTTCTTTAGCAAAATACGCTTGGTCAAATTTATTTTTACATATTAGCAATAAAGTGCAGACTGATCACTGAGTTACAAAGATCTCATGAATCGCGCAGGGGCGTAGACAACTGGGGGGAGGGCGGGGCAAGAAGACTCTGGGGGCCCACTCACAACTTTGAAAGTATTCCCCTCCAAAATTTGGGTCGGGCTACGCCACTGGAATCGTGAGAGACATTAAATGAATCCAATTAGCTGTGATAATAACCATCGCAAAGTTGGTAAATTTAGATGTTGACTCACTGTTAAAACAACAGATTTCTAAAATAAAATAAAAATAGTAATGATCTAAAAAATTTACATAATAAATAATATATAATGATAATGATCTGAAATTTACAACGGCACGATTAAAGTTGCATGCCTGCTAAACTAATGGATACGATGCTAAGGCGATAAAATGTATCATGAAATTTGTCTTCGAGCTAGAATGCTATAAAATTATCACTTTAATGACGGAGGACACAAGCATTTTGCAAAAACTGCATCAACATAATTCGAATTAGAATTCATCGTGTTCTATGCCGGTATTATTGACAAAAAAATGGTTTGCCTTTATTCTTTATAGTTCGTTTCTCTGACCTTCGAATGGATTGCTGGGAGCATCATTTTGTTAGAAAAAGTGGCAATTAATATAACACAAGCTCCTCGTAAACTTTCGCTCGATTCAACAGTTTCGACTGTCAGCTTGAGTCCACCAGATCCAGAATTATATATAGAACATAAGTCACGTGACATTCTCCGGCGTAAACGACATCATGTCGATGTCGAAGAACACGAAAGACAATTAGATTTGCACGATTCGACCACACTGACTCCCTGCAATTTTGCTAAGTCGAATGATACTGGCATTGATTGTAAATTTGACTTCCCATTTGATAAATGGCCCAGGAAACGAGAAAAAGAGAATTTTATCTGAAACGTAACATATCGCTCCTACTAGTCCTTGACTTTGAGGTTTAGCAACCATGGAGGGCAAAAGTGTGATATTCGACTTTGACTTTGATAAAAGAAGACTTTCCGTGAAATAAAAAACGAAAGCAAACACAAGTCACAATTTTTCATAAGTTAGTATACGAACATTTTTATTTGCCACAAATAACATATTAAAAATTACTTGGAGTTGTATGACAAGTTACTTGCTCTTAAATTGCGTCTTAACTCCATCACGCGTAAAATTACAGACGTAAGTTTTCATTTTGGGTCTGCGTACATAAGAGAACGCACAGTGAGGTGTAAAATAATCTTTAGGCATGAAGGTTGCCATACTGGGAGAGACTTGCCACATGACCAACTTTTAGTATTTTCTCATTTGATGCAAGGTATGTTATTTTTGACTTTTTCTTTAAACGTTGATATTCTAGAAAATATTGTGAAAATTCCCAAACGGATTGCCAGCTGATGCAAAAATCATTTAACACCTCAACAATTTCTTACTATAGCTTGGGTTGAATGTAAACAGCCTCAAACATCATCAAATATTGGTTAAAATTGTTGCATTATTATTACAGAACAGAGATTTTGTACACTTTGTGATGACTAATTGATTGCCTTGAAAGCGTATTTTCAAACACAATCAGCTAACGCTGGCACTTGCATGGTGTCATTTAGTTTACCTTATATCCATATTTGTGTTTTAAGTTGACAATTCTTTTAAAACTATGGGCCGATGGGTGTTTTTATTCATCGTGGCATTTATGCTTTTTAAAACAACATGACTGTTGTTATAATATTATTGCTTAATAAAAATTTGTGCAACACTATTTCAAAATAGGTGGCAGAAGCCTACTTTGAACTACTTTACCACATAATTTGTTTTCTAAGTTAGAGAGCGAGGGAACTCTCTAATTTAGTCAGAATACGCCATATACAATAGCATATCTGTGTTTGCCCTTTCTTATTAGCCCTTTCAAAATCCAAGATTTCTAAAAATCGTTTGCTAGCACAGAAGAGTCGAAAATAAACGTCAAAAGTAATGCTTTGATTTAAAAAAACCCCAAACAATTGTTAAATAAACTCACCGAAAAACGGTTTGCCAGGAATGCAGCACGTCAGACCTTATCCATCTAAAAGATAGCCAAACAACAAATTAGTTGCAAAATAAAATCAAATGCAAATACCTCATTTTCTTTCCTTCTTCATCTTTTCGCCCGCACCTGAAAAGACTGAAGTCAGTAAACTACATGTCGGTGAAACAGATAAAAACAAATATTTATACCATATCTTGTTTTTCGTCTTTTTCCCCAGCTGCACCCTCTTCGTCTCTCCATCAGCATCCTCATCTTTTCATCAGCATCCTCCTCGTCTCGTCATTAGAATCTTCATCATCCCTCCATCAGCATCCTCCTCGTCGCTCCATCAGTATCCTCCTCGTCGCTCCGTCAGCATCCTCCTCGTCGCTCCATCAGCATCCTCCTCGTCGCTCCATCAGCATCCTCCTCATAGCTCCATCAGCATCCTCCTCGTCCCTCCATCAGCATCCTCCTCGTCGCTCCGTCAGCATCCTCCTCCTCGCTCCATCAGCATCCTCCTCCTCGCTCCATCAGCATCCTCCTCATAGCTCCATCAGCATCCTCCTCATCTCTTCATAAGAATCTTCCTCATCTAAAGGAAACATCTAAAAACAAGTTTAGTATACGGCAAGAAAAAAATCACATACCCTCTGTCTTCTTCTTGATCATTATCCCTTGTATCTAAAAAAAGACTGGAGAAGATGTAATTTGTTTGATGGAAACAAACAATTATAAGCACATACCGCTGTTGTGGCTCGTGGGCTCGTGTTCTTTCGCAGTCAGTGTCGATATTTCTACATAACTGCAACAACAATTGTTGAATTAAAATCATAGCAAGCAATTATGGCGATCGTGCTTTTGCGCGAAACTAGTCTGTTGAACTGTCAGTTGAGATTCTTTGGTAAAGTGTAGGCACGTGCTTAAAGAAAATTTTAATTTTAAATGTTTTGCAAGATTTATCCTCTCGAATTTTTTTCTTCGCATTTTAAGAGTTCTACTACGGTAAAACATGGATATCCATGGCTGCATATAATTGTTCATGTATCTTAAGTGAACAACATTGTAAGAGTTCTACTATGGTAAAACATGGATATCCATGGCTGTATATAATTGTTCGTTTTTTCTAAGCGAACAACTCCTTGAAAATTTCGGCACTCGTGGCCGGAAAGCCTATCGTTTTAACCGTGCTTTGTGTTGTAACATCCCTCAATGTTACAACACATGCAGTGTTCTGCGATATAATTCAGAAAAAGACTAAGATGATCAAAAAAGGTCTCGTGCAATACATTCTCTTCTCGACTCTATTCGATTTCCATCCAATAGGTTGTTTAATAATTACGGTTAGGTACGAAGGTTCATAAAAAAAACATCGAGTTTAAAGATTTTGCAACATTCTGCCCGCATGTTGCAATATCTTGCATATTCTATAATTTATATTTCAGGCAGTTCACTTGAATATTCACTAGACGCTTCTGAAGCGAATATCCCACTTTCATGTCACCTACTATAATATCACCTGATGGTATAGTAGTTGCTCTCGGGAGTTATACAAGTTATCTACAATATTATCCCTTGGTCACAAAGACTGAATGATGTAAATTGTTATTTCTAACAGTGGCCACTTGTTAGAAATAGGCAAAAAGCAAAATCATCGCACTTATGTGAATGATAATGTTAAAGTACTCTCGAAAGTTTAAAATGAAAATATTGTTCGGACATGTAGACGTGATGTGCAACCATTCCCCTGCGTGTGAGAGAACAACGGAATGTTTGCCATATTGGGTGACATTTGCCTTGTAAGTATGGAAAATCCAATGGGAAAATCCTTTGTTAAAATCATCAAACATGTCGGCTATGACGTAGCTTGCACACCAAGAATCGATAGAGGTTGCGGCCATTATTGATGTCGAGGAAAGTGGCAAACTTATGGGAGTTTCGTGTTCTCACTTCAATATATAACTGGATGTTGACGATGACTTTTTGTTTCAAGATCGAAACATAGAAATATTAAGAAACCAAGGAACTTGATCATTTAACAAATGTAGAACGATGTTTCGAATATGCTGTATCGCAAATTCCCATCACAATTCGGTCATTACATCTTAATTCATCGATCGTAGACTTACATCCTTATGTCTTAAGCGAGTTTTCTGTACTTAATCTGATGCTTTCAAACGTAGGTGATATATCTTGGTAGATTGATGACCGTGTCATGTCTTCAGTCGCTCGTCCTTTCCAATGGTAAAAGTTATTGTGCTTCTCGCATCAAAGCCTTCGTTTTTCTTTTAATTTTGTGCAAATTTGAACTTTTCAAATTTTTGTATCAATATTTGAATTATCCGGTTAATTTTGCGACAGGTTGTTGTATTTCCTAAGGGCCGTCTAAGAGCACCTTCAGCCGACAAACAGCACTTTCAAATACGTTTATCGAAGTGAAAAACCGTAGCTTTTATTCTGATAACTTCATATACCACACGAATTAATTTAATTGATTCATTTGTTTGGACGTCAATTTTTCTCAAATCATGATACAAAAGGATTAAATTCGTTGATTGTTTGAAAATATATGCAGAGCAAAGAGAAAAGGAATTAAGCTTTGTTTTAAGTTAACCGACGTCACTGGTTAGTACAAGGTAGAAAACAAAGCAATTAAGTATTTCCTCCTGAGGTTTGGAGAAAACAGAAGAAATTTTCTTTTCTTTTTCTCATTGAAGACTTTGGGAAATCAATGAGTGTAAGATTATCATGTCATGTGATTCCAACTTATAATTTAATTAAAATTTATCTCATCAGAAACCGCAATTCAACAATTCAACCCTCCATAAGGGGGTGTTTACATGAATCCGGAATGACTTTCAATCCCGATCGAAACGTGATGTCAATCCGTGTTTACATGAAACTAATTGTTGTTTTTCTTCGCACTCATTTTAACCCATTTAGCCTCTTTATTTACTTACGAGCTTCAATTTGCCAAAAGACAATACCCATGGCACATGCGTGCTTCGTCATTAATCACAATATCATTCAAGAATAAAACTCAATTCGCGTTTACATGAGATAAAAAGTAAATTTCGATCCGGAATGAAACTAGGAATGAACTCGATCCGGATCGAGTTGTGACTCATTCCGGATTCATGTAAACATGCAATAGGATTTCTTTTAAAGTGGAATGAGTTCATTCCGGATCGAAACTCATTCCGGATACATGTAAACACCCCCTAAGCTGGGAGGGTTGTTTATTTTCTCCCACCCGCGGCCACCTTTATTCAACTTGTGACAACGTCCACAATTAGCAACAACTAGACAAGATTAGCTAAAATTGATTATGCTATAGAACTTTAGTGCATTATCTTTTTTGCTTGAATTGAACCATGTCTCAAATCACTTTTTTGCTTTAATTACGATACAAGATAGCAAGTCAATATTGAACGTTCAGGTTCAGTTGAACGTCTTATTTCCGGTAAAACCCTTCAAGCATTTACAATTATAATTATTTTTGTATGAATAATGTTCGTTCGACCTTTTTAATCGAAAAGTAATCAAAAATTAATAGTAGCTTACGAACATGTTAACTTATTTGCTCATCTTTCGCGCGATTATTGAAAAGGCTGTTGATGTTTGGCCCGAACGAGGAGTGCGATGGAGTTTCATTCAGGATTTTATAAAAGATATGAAGCGCTATGGACGGGTTTCGTTGTCAGATGTGGGCGCTGTTCTTTTGATTGCTGTTGTTCTCACCGTACTTCGAGCCATGTCAACAACATATCTGCTTAAGGTTGGTTGCCTTTTATTTGCTTCATCCTTTGTTTGGTAAAAAGGAATGACTTGTTTGTAAAATGCTCTTTTATTGTGATGTACGCGGGGGGGCCTATGCCAGTGTATGTTTCTTTTCGCTCATGAATTCTTCTGACATGTTTCAATATCTCGACGAAACGATGCTAGGAATTTGCAAATTAGTATTATTCTTCGAATCTTAACTTAACGTGTGCTTAAAAAGGAAAATCAAAAGCGTAATTTACAATAGAAACCCTTGTGGTTTGCAGTTTCAGTTTGCCCAAGTTGTTATTTGTCAAGATTACTTATTTTAATGACGCCAAACTCTAAGAATGCATTAATTAGCCAATATTCAACATCATTTGAGGTAAACCTACTAAAGACATAGACTGAGTGGGATTTATATGTATCTTCCTTATTGTTTTGAATCATTTTTATTAGGGTATCAAACTTATTTTCATTTTCACTTCAGCCATTGGCTTATTGGATGAAGTTCACCCCAAAGAACAAAAAGAAATTCCCAGAAAGTGCCTGGAAATTCCTCTACTACTTTTCTATATACACATACACGTGTATATTGTTGTTTGGAAAACAATACCGATTCTACAGTGACCCAAAAACATGCTGGACAGGTAATTATAAATTCAGATATCAATTTTCTTTTGAGAAGTGTATCCTGGCTCTTTTTTGTATTAAGGGCTGCCTGTTGTAATGAGAATTACCTGTTGTGTAGTGAGGGCCATCAGGCTACCTGCTATCAACAAAGCTGCTAGGCTACCTGTTGTTAACATATTAATCATAACTAACTATACATAAATTCAACTTACTTGTTATTAATATTGTCTGAAAACATGAATTTTGTTTTGTAACAAGAAGGCTTTGGGAGGCATCCATTCAAAACTAACTAACCTAAATAAAACAAGCATCACATTCTTTCCAAATTACCAAGATTGGTGAGGCTACTTTCAAGGGCAGTTACATACTTTTAGGGGGAGGCTACTGGGCAGTTACTTTCAGGGGGAGGCAACTTTCAAGGGGCAGTTACTCTCAGGGGGAGGCAACTTTCAAAGGGCAGTTGCTTTTAGGGGGAGGGAACTTTCAAGGGGGAGCTTACTCTCAGGGGGACGCTACTTTTGAGACTCTAGCATATTTTCTTAACTTCCAGTGTGTGTCATGACTCACTTCCTGTTTCATGTAATCTCTACTTCTGAATCACAAGAATTCATGTTCGTTTGTGAAAAGTACACAATGGACGACATAAATAACAGATTACATTATGGAGAAAAACCAAACATTGACCTAACTGTCTCGATACAAGGTTGTAATCTGTTATTATGTATCATTTTTCAGAGTGGTTTGTGGGTATGCCGATACCATTTGATATCTACTACCTGTATTGCATTCAAACTAGCTTTTACGTACATTCTGTCTACGCTACGTTGTTCATGGATATTTGGAGGAAAGATTCTATTGCAATGCTCATTCATCATTTCCTGACAGTTTTCTTGCTTTCTTTTTCATATGCAGTTAGGTAAGTTGGCAACGGTATTACTTTGTGAATCAAGGGCTCAGTCAGTGCGGAAGATGGGGGAGAGCTCCTTCAAATCATTTGAGGAAGCAGGAGGGTATAAGGGGTGCAGGGGTGTAGGATGGGGACTGGAGGAGAGAGAGAAGTTGGTCCTTGACCTAATCACCTTTATCATAATATCATGTATTATGTGAGAAAATGCAGTTGTTGCTCAATTCAAATTGAAGAAACCCTTATCTTTTCTAAAGCCTCGAATCTTTATTTGTTCTTGTGGGTATGATGCCCAACACCCCTTGATCATACTTGCCCCTCCAAAGTCTTGATTCTAGCTATGCCATGGATTGTCTTCTTAAAAAGATTTAAGTAAAAGTCATATATGAGCCAGCATTCATTGCAACCTTGCATGTCCTGTGTGATGTTAGGCAGTATGAGCTGTAGCTGCAAACTAGGGGTATGCTGTATCTATCATTTATGACTTCTATTGGTAGACAGTCATGCTGTTCTTTCTGTTATCCTACAAAGCAGGATTTGCGCATCTCTGTTATAAACACTCAATGTTTTTTTATAGATATTACAAAGTAGGAGTTTTAGTCCTGTTTCTTCACGATGTTTGCGATGTGTTCCTGGAGTTTACAAAGATCTGCGTTTGTTGGAAAATCAGAGACAACAAAAAGCATTATTGGCCCGAAGTTCTCATTAATCTTGGCTTTCTTGCTTTTACATTTACATGGTACGTGATACGTTATTTGTGTGTTTTCCAAAGGCTGGGGTTAAAGCACGACAGTTAAGAACACCAAAGTGAGTGGGTTGAAGCCGGGAATATCGTGACATGTTTGTATATGTGGACCATCCAGGTTAGTGAAGTGTTGGCGTTGATGTTCACTGACGTTTGGACAACGTTAGCGGTAGTCACTTAAGATTCAAATGACTCTTCATTCTGAAGATGTCAAATGAAGAGTCATTTGACTCTGAAAATGACTACCGCTGCACGTTAGATTCACGGGCGAAGCTAGAACGCTAATTGGCGGAGTGAATATACATATATTCAGTTCTGTACTGTTGATTTTTTTTGAAATTAAAATCGCTAGCAAACTAAATCAGTCAGGCAGAGCTGAATATGTGAGTATTCACACCCACACCCCAATTAGCGTTCTAGTTTCGCCCCTGACTAGATTGACTCTGAAGATGACTGCTGCTAAAGTTGTCGAAACGTTAGTCAACATCAACGCGAACAGTCCTTCTCAGGACTTTACTAACCTGGACGATCTACATCTACAAACATGTAACTTAGGAACACTGTTGTCAGGAAAATGAAACTGCTCCGCGAATGTGTTTTTGACAAACGTAAATACCCGGTTATACCTTTACCAAAAGCAGCGAAAAAATTTATGCGTCCAACAACCATAAGAGTTTTTTTTATCTTTGAATGACCGCACGCAATAAAGATGTCATAAGTTTTGAAAAATTAGATTTCTCCCCTGTGTCTGCGCCAACTTCTGTAATGGCACCGCGCTCTCACGAAAATAGCCTTAGCAAGCAAGTCGTTTAACATATATTATGACCTATAATTTTTTATAATGATAGCTAAAGTATTACTATGTAATCTCTTTACGTTTTCATCCCCCCCCCTGAAATTTCCTTTCGGTGCCCCTAACTCCAACCAATAATTTTTGCCTCGTTAAGGTTTTACTTCCGTCTCTATGTATTTCCTTACAAAGTCCTGTATCCTACTGGAAAATACGCCATAGAACTGTTACCCGATGCGCCATTTTACTACTTCTTCAATGGCCTTCTTCTGTTTCTCTTTGCCATGGATCTGTGGTGGTTCCATTTTATCATCATGCTGGTCTATCGAGTTCTTACAGGACAGAGTAATGAGGTGGAAGACACAAGGGAAGTCGGAACGGCGGAGGTATTTTTATATTATTGCTTTTATCGTTTGAATCCGGATGTATCTAATTTCTTGGAGACGCAAACGCTAAGGCGGGGGCAAGTGAGATAACTTTTATCGCTGGGATTATACATCCAAGGATATTGTTGCTTTGAACTAGCCATATGCTTGTGTGTGTAGTAAGTGATTTGAACCCGGGAGTATTGTTGCATGGTATGTACAAGTAGATCGTTCAGGTTAATGCAGCCCTAAGACGCACTGTTTGTGTTGGTCTTGACCAATGAACTAAAATACACGGATCGCTACCTGTAATAGAAAAGCCTAATAATTTTTTGAAGCCAAATCTCACACCCGGACACGCGTAAGTAGTTCAATCAATTTTCACTCCGCGAGAGAATCTCGAAACATTACACATGCGTGCCTTGGTGTAAGATTTGGCTTCAATTATTTGCTTCACATAGCGTTCCATGTATTTTAGTCAATTGTGTTGACTGAGGTCGGCGGGTGTCATCTTCAGAGTTCGTGCATGCTTTTATGGCCTACAGGATTTTTTTGTTGCGTTACCATTATGAACAACCATCACTCTGACATTAGATTTTGCAACCTAGTCTTTAACGCAGCCATTATTACAAGTGAAGCTATATTTCCATACCTTACGTCGATGTGACGTTGTTAAGGCCTAACCGTATGTCTCTCTACGCCGGGATGGACGAGTGATGATTTTGTTGAGGGAGGGGAGGGTGTGTTGGAGTTTGAATTAAATCGTAAATTATAAAATTTTACCAATTTTTACCAACCAAGATATCTATTCACGACACGTTAAACGAGTTATACATAGCTATTATATGTGCAACTTCTGACAAATATGTTTTTTTATCGAGGACCAGTTGTTAAATAGCGAAGATGACGAACATCCTTCAAACGGTGAGTTACATGTTACATGCAAGTTTGTTGTTGCGAACGCATCTCTTTCTTCCTGATCAGATGGACTTTTGTACAACTTTGCGAATTGAATAAATGATTTTCGAATGCGAAATAATGGACAAGTTTTCAGTTTCTGCAAAAAAAAAGCAAGCAAGCGAAACTGTTCTTGAGATTTACAAACAAATAAGGATTGTAACGACCATTTTCGACGTTTCCGCGACGAACGAGAAACATCTCGATAAATTTTCACTTCGCGATGTTGAATACGCGTGTATATTAGATAGGTTTGTGTGCATTATATTTCTAATAAATTATATTATCGTAATTATTTCTTATTATTTTCATTATGCCTTGTGCTTCTTGGGGAAACAAAAATAATTGGGACGAAGTGGAAATTGGAAAACGTAATGTACACAGCCTCATGAAAACAGAAACATGTACACTGTTTAAAAAAACCTTCAGATTGCACTATGCTAATCCCATGTGTGCATTATTTCGCACATTTCGCAGTTAGATTTAAAATTTCCAGGAGCGGAAGATTTTGTACTTGTTTCAAAGAAATGCAATACATCTCACAATTTTTAGGCATTCATAAGGCGTTGAAATCATGACAGTAATGTTAACTTTTAAATTTCGCCTTTTTTATAAACCATCTGGTAAAGGTCTTTCTCGTAAAGGTTTTTCATCAGATAGATATCCTGTAGAACGCTTGCGTAGCTTTAGTAATGTTGTCACTTGTCAGAATGTCGATTCACAAATTTGCTCGGGCTATAAAATAATTTCGGTGTTCTCTCACTGTAAGAATACTGGATTTGTAAAGAAATGAAAATGTCTTAATTATATAATAATTTGAATGACACCAAACCTGCAGGCTCGCTATACCTCAGATGAGCTGTTGAATTCACTCAATCGAGCGTTTAAGTTGAAGTATTTGATATTCTTTGCTTTTAGGAGTGAGCCCCCCGGCGCATTTAGTCAGAAGAAAAAACGGTGCTGCTGCATTCATGGGCAGCCAAACGACAAACAGTCACGTGGAGGAAGTACGTCATCGTCAAAAAGAATCGTCCACGGAAAGATAACGCTTTCCAATTTTTATATTAATCAAATGAATGCTGAATCGACGTATGCAATTGTAGTACGGTATAATTTTTATGTGCTAGACAGTTTTTCTACTGGGAATATATCTGTCGCCAAAAATCGATTTGTTACGGATTGCCTTTATTTTTTTAAAACATATAGCGAAATTCTTTTGATTTGATTATCGTCTTAAGTGATTTTGAACACCCGGCTTTGAATTGAAACTATTTGCAAAAATTGTGACTTAACTAGATGTTACGAAGGTCGAGAATATTATACTCGCGTTTCATCGTATTTTGTAACCATTCGCACTCGAAAAGTAATTGCTTTTCCCTAACTACGGCTTGCAGAGGACATAAAAACAAATGTATGATACTTAGAATCGTGATGAATTTTGATTGTATTTGTACTCTTGTTGTTTCTCTGTTCATTTTCTGGAGGGTTTATGACAAGCAAAACACCTCACAGGTACGAGATTTTCGGCTGGGGGGGGGGCGGTTATTTATAAACAGGGCAGCTGAGACTCTGGGAGGGGGGCTTCTACCCGAGCACTCCTTCCTAAAGGGTCTACCGCCATTTGAAAGACATTTGATATTTTTTTCCTTAAAGCTTCTTTATTAGATAGTATATCCTTTTTGAAGTATGTACTTCCTCCTTGAGGTTACTAATATTTATAATCATGACGTCACGGTGCCCCTGAAGAAAGCTTTGACAAAGAATCTCAGCTTCTTTACCCGTTTAATAATGACGCTTATAGATGCCGAGGGCTATGTTTGGTTTATAGTTGGAAAAAATATCGACTCCTTTTCCCCCTTCACTTTTCCCAATTTGTTATAATTCCTGTTCTCCTATGCTATGAATAAGCAGACAGCATTTGAGTATCAGACCTTATTAGACGACAACCAATATTTTGAATTCCTTCTTTGTGAGAGTTACTTGTCACGAGGTATGCAATGACCAATCAAAACGCAAGGCTCGAGAACAGTGGGTGAGGTACATTAGTGAGGGGTGATCGATGAATTCATAGAGTCTTATGTACACAAACATGGGCGATATTTAGTTGACTTTATTTTGGTGTCATCTGTGGGGGTTCTAGCTTAAACCCGCCGTCGAAGTTGTACGTTTACAGAGTGAAGATACTGTTGACAATGCATCGCTTTCACGTATAGTATTTCATAATGTGGCGAAAAAACTTGGTCACGCATTCAAAGTTCCGGAACGTGTACGGAGAACCTTATAGAAAAGACAAATGTTATGAAAATGTGAAATTTACGAAGAACGCTTGGGATGGCACGTATTGCGCCGTAAATTCCAAATTCCTTGCTGTCGTTTTAGATACGAGCCGTGCCGGTGGCGCCTTCCTTGTGATTCCTTTGGAGAAAGTAAGTGATCTGGGGAAGGGAACAGATTTGTGATCATATGTCCGAATTCCTAAATATATTACTGTCTTGTTGTTATCGCTAGACTCATCGTTATGGTATTGTTGTTTATGTTTTAGCGATTTTACGGTATTTACATTATTTAACCCTGCATGTTCGGACGGGAACTTGTAGAATTTATCAGATGGCTTGTTCGTTTGTCAAGTACAATTAAATGCAATTATGCATAGGCTTCTATTGAAAACGGTTAAGAGTCTTACATTGATAATGCATTAATCTCTTGATTTAATGATACGATATTAAAATATCGCGTTTGTTCGTTTAAACTGGCTATTCCTATGTTTGTTTTTGAGCGACGTTCATAAATCAACGATTGTTATGATAATTTTGCTGCAAGACCTTTCGTTTTCTTACAAAGTCTAATTTATTACATTTACGATAATTACATGTTTGACTCTGAAGATGACTACCGCTAAGGTTGTCGAAACGTCGGTCAACAACAACAAAAACAGTCCTCAGGACTATACCAACCTGGACGATCTACATTTACAAACATGTAACGATACTCTCGGGTTCAAACCATTTACTTTATTTACAATAATATTTTACATCTTACTTGATACAGTTAATGCAAATACAGTACTTAACCGAACGACGATACAGCATGAACGGTACAAAATCACACGATTTATAACTACAAGCGGTCCAATACTATCACTCCCTACCATGGATTATGACATTGCTATTATTCAGAATATTTATACAGGATAAATTCATCAGTCAGCGTAATAAAAACGCTGTTATCAAAGAAGTCTTTAATATGTTATTCAGGTTTATGAAAAACAGATGTGTAAAACAAAATATACAAATTGGTAAAAAAAAAAGATAAATACGAATTAATTTAGCCAAAAATAAAAACTAAAAAATAATTGAAAATAAATTACTTTAAATGTTCTTCAAATTACTTTAAAGAGTCTTCCTAAAGAGGACCCTGGATTTATAGTTTTGTAGTTCAACAGGAAAACTATTAAAATCTGAAGCATCCAAGAAAGACCACTCTAAGCATATTCAAAAGCTACTGTAAGCATGTCTTTCATCAACTCCATTCTAAATGTTATTCACATTTTTATTGCCCACGAACTGTGATAAGCCATGATGCCTTACTTCATGAGGTTTTTGTTGTTCACGTGATGCGTATTTTGGCCATTTATAGATGTACCCTGAGGAACAATGAATCAGCAGGCGTTTGAGTGGAATTTTATATCTCACTTCATTCATTCTCTGGTGATGATGTGACATTAAAGCAGCGGCAGATTACTTAGTAGGCTAAGTAGGTTGAAGCCTGCATGCACGCTCTTTTGAGAGGATGGTTGCATTTGGACTTAATTAGTGTCTCCTTTTTGCCATTCTGGACAAACTGAATGTTCTTAATTTAGACTCAATGCGAATTTTATGCCATTGAAATCATAAAATTAATTCTTAATTATATGCTATTGGAAACATATTTGTGTACAATTCAAGGTCTTCTTCGTCCTTGAATTTTTCAAAGTATGTCCTTAAAAGTCCAAGATAATAGCTTGAATTTCATTACTTCAGCATTGTACGAACCCCACAGACCATTAATATACCCATGTTTCCACTGCTGGTTTCTTCTTCAGGTTGGGCATCAACCATTGACGAATCCTCGTGTGGTCGGTCATCAAAGAGAAGTTCTTGATATCCAATGGAATCCTTTTAACGACCACATAATTGCGTCAGGTTCGGAAGATGGAACAGTCAAGATCTGGCGCATCCCATCGGGCGGGTTGACCGAGGATCTTATGGATCCCCTGGTGGATCTTCGTGGACATCAACGTAAAGTTGGACTGATCAGGTGGCATCCAACAGCCAATGGAATCATCGCAAGTGCAGCATTCGATTTCAAAGTTATCATTTGGAATGCATTGAAAGCGAAAGCTTTATGTACCATCGACTGCCACAAGGACACTATATTTGATCTTGCTTTTAACTTCAATGGTAGCAAGTTGGCCACTACCAGTAAGGATAAGAAGATCCGCGTTATCGATGCTCGTACAGGAAAACTGTTGCAGGTGATTATTCCTACGGACTCATCATCAATTATGGATGAATATTGCACATTATGAGGGCATACCTTGAAGAAATCAATTCTGTTCTGTTGTGTTTTGTCTATGTATATCTTGCATGGGTTAAATCTATGTTAACATGGAGGCTGATGGAGCAGGGATGGATTTAGGATGATTTTGTAGAAGGGGGGTGCTCTCGTTTTTATAAGATGTCGTTTATGATTGTTATCTCACTGTAACCAAGGCTAGGAGAGTGCACAACCCCTCCGCACCCTTCCCCTCGATCAATCTTTGATTTGCTAGTATGCATTAGTTGACAGGCAAACTATTGCCTTTGGACCCATTGCTGTTATATATATTGAAGTTGAAAGTAAATTTCCCTCTTGCTTTTCTTATTTTTGCACATTTAGCAATTTAATGGTCATGCAAGTCCAAAGACGTCGCATGTTGCTTTTACAGATGAAATCAGTGACTACATCGTTACCAGTGGTTGTAATAGTTCTTCATCTAGAGAAATATCGCTTTGGGATTTGGTAAGTTGTTCTTCTCAAAACAAAGATCAAAGTCCGTATTTTTAGTAGCACACAGTTGTGTTTTCAAACTTGTAAAAATACTTTGATTAAAATGAAGCACATTATGATCACTTGGCTGATTTTCATGCATCAAAGTGTTAAAACCAAGAATTCTTTACTTGAGAATTCATCGGCATCCTGCATCAGCAACGTGCTTACCTGAATGTAAAATGAGGGGGTGGGGCGTGCTTACTAGATGCTCATGCCAAGAGTAAATAACATGATGAAAACTACAAAAATGACTTGAATTTTGATTTGCAGGAGCATGATGCTCGGTTTGTTACGAGTTGCTTGTTCAAATCATGTATTTCATTTTCTTCAACAGAATCAAACATCATCGCCAGTTAAGACTGACGTCATAGATAGCTCATCAAGTATTTTGATGCTACACTACGACATGGATCTCAAGATTGCTTATGTTGCTGGAAAGGTACAGGCCTCACTATTTCAATTTCATTAGCAATTTTCTATTTTTGTTTCATCTGTGTGGTTTGATGGTTATTTATACTTAACTTTAATCCTAATCCTTAATTTTATCATACTATTTTATGGCCGATGTGTTGGATTAGGGATCAATTTCGCGTAATGTAAGAACACGAAATTACACAGTCTCAAGAATTTCTTACTAGCTAAAAACAGTTTAGTATGGTAACATTGTGTCAAAGTACCCAAACTTTAGGTATGAGTTGCACAACAAAAAAATAGTATATTTAATCTCTAGTGGATGTTCCATTTGCATTAGTTACAGCTTTGCGTCTGTTAGGCGTGTGCTGTCTTTTGAGTTAAGCTTTGGTGTGAATGATGATCATCACTTGCTAATGTTACTAGACAAATTTTGACTTGTGAATCGACGTGTAAAATGTCCTGTAACATGATTTGTGAATCGACGTGTAAAATGTCGTGTAGCATGACTTTTGAATCGACGTCTAAAATGTCGTGTAACATGACTTGTGAATTGACGTGTAAAATGACGTATAACATGATTCTTGAATCGACGTGTAAATTAGCGTGTAACTTGGCTTGTGAATCGACGTGCAAAATGACGTGTAACATGATTTTTGAATCGACGTGTAAAATGACGTATAACATGATTTTTGAATCGACGTGTAAAATGAAGTGTAACATGATTTTTGAATCGACGTGTAAAATGACGTGTAACATGACTTTTGAATCGACGTGTAAAATGTCGTGTAACTTGACTTGTGAATCGACGTGTAAAATGACGTATAACATGTCTTTTGAATCGACGTGTAAAATGACGTGTACGTGACTTTTGAATCGACGTGTAAAATGACGTGTACATGACTTTTCAATCGACTTGAAAATGACGTTTTCATTTACATGTCTATGGTTTGAAAATAAATGCGCTCTTTGCATGGAAATTGAGCAAATCGTAATCAGTAGATGGTAATGCCTTGCGTAGGGCGATGGTTTGATTCGTTACTATGAAGTAAGAAGAGAGGAACCTTTCTTGCTTCGACTGTCCGAGTACAGAAATTCGTCACCGCAAAAGAGTTTGGGAAAGATGGGCAAGCGAGGTCTGGACTTTGGTCGTTGTGAAATCTTTAGATTTTACAAACTTCATCCAAACAACTGGATAGAGGTTTTGCCAATGTACTGTCCAAGGCGGGTAAGAACTAAAAACTCGTACATCGACTTTTATTTAGTCATTTGTCAATCATTTCTGGCGAGTGATATTTGAAAGTGTGGTTTTGTAGACGTTAGGACATTTTATTATTTGCTCCCAAAATTATCGAATTTTCTACGCCACTGTAAATTCGACAGTATTTTATGTGTGTCGAGGCAAGATTGTGTATATACTGTGCAGAAAATAAGAAATTAATGTATTGCACATCGTCATTTCTTGCTGCTGTTTAATGAGTCAAATTCCAATTCAAAGTTTGTTGTTATTTTGGTATTTTCCTTTTCGAGAATTCATCTGTTATATATTTTAGTCTGACGAATTCCAAGAGGACCTTTATCCTCCTAGTCCCAGCATGCAACCTGCTCTTACTGCTGACGAATGGGTCAGCGGTATTGATAAGAATCCCAACATGATTTCGTTTAAAGATGGCCAACAGCTCGGTGACGTAGTTGGAACGACGTCACCTTCAGGAACTTCGACAGCTGAAAAGTTTAGCAGGTACGTCACATTACCGTCCTGCGCATGCACTATTTCACTGTTTAATTTTTTTTTTTTTTTATTTTTCGAGTGTATTATTTGCGGAAACATTTACATACACACATACATACTTAATCTCATACATCAGCAGTCTTTAAGTATAGTGTTATACTTGGGACGATTTTCTAATTATCGTATAATGTAGGAAATTAGGGACACGTCTTTATCTAACCAGTTGTTTTGCCATTTACGACACGTCCTCCATCTTGGTAGACTTAAACAAAAATTTCTCTTGTTTACAATTCAAATTTCTACCAACATGACGAATAGCTTTGTGTCGTTTGACTCCTTGGGAGATGGTTGGAATCCATCTATTTTTTAAAACATGTGAGGCGTGGAAATGGGTGTCTATTTTGCAAATATAAAATTATTGGGAAATGCATTTCGGGAAAAGTCCACATAACAGGAGTCCGTTGCACGAAGCTTGGATAGCGTTATCCATTGGATAGCAAATTTTTTAAACTAGTAAAAAAGGTGTTCATATTTTCTTTACGGCAAAGAAATTTTGTAATCTTAGAAGCAATATTTTATTTCAGTGATTGCTCAGTTCAAACTGAAGCTTTCAACCGTTTATAAAATTTACATGCTTCGTGCAACCGGCCCCGGAACTAGACTAAATTTTTTTGTGGTTGACTTTTGGGTGTATCTATATTCTGCCGTATGGAAAAGAGTTTGGAAGCTAACTAGGGTTTCATTTTTTCTCTTCAGCATGTTCAACAGGCCGGACGATCAAACAGCAAAAGGCGAGATGTCTGTATCTATTGACTATAGTTCGCCTTCATCAAATGACATCCTCTCAAAATCGGATAGCGGCCACTCATCAAACGACAGTGCTTTTATGAAGGTAAGATATTTCAAAATACTGCAAACATCAAGCATCAACTGTGAATAACTTAATGTTAATGTGTAGAACCCAGTCCCCTAGTTGTCAAACGACCGTTTTTAATTTCAAGCAAGGATGCCACCTTTTTTAATGGCTGAAAGCGAGAGTCTAAGTCAAATATAAACTTTCAAAAAAGTTCGAAACTTCAATCTTATTGGTAAACATTTTAAAACCAAACCTAGACTATCACCTCAGCCACTGTATCGAATTTCGGCAAAGTCAGGTATCTAGCAGACTGGGTTCTAGGTCATTGCTTTGTGTATTTTGTAAAGTTGCCTCGCATTTCATCCAATAAAATGTGTGCGTTCATAATTTTTTGTTGTTGAATGGCTTTTTAGCTTCAACAGCGATGCGATGAGCAGGAGCGAGAAATTGCCCGACTGAAGGGTACACTGTCTCAGCGCGATGATCGCATCCACAAACTGGAGCGCGAACTTGCAAACAAAGACTCGGAGATATCGAGAAAAAAGGAAGAATTTGGAAGAGAGAGGGAACAGCTGGTGAAAGAAAATCAAATTTTGAATAGCAGATTGCAAGCGAAAGAACGCGGTGATATGACGGTTGTGAAAAGCAGCGAGGCGAGCGTGGAAAGTATCCCACATCGTCCCAAGCAACTCGTTCAGGAGTCGATCACGTCATCAGTGAAACACAAGATGTCCCTTGAGGATCATGGTATCCATCATGTGCTCGATGATGCTCACAAAGAACCTATGGTGGGTTTCCATGACGATAGAAATGGTATCGAAGATATTGAGATAAGTCCATCGTTAGGAAAGCAATCGTCGCATAGCGAATATCGTCTCGAGGACATCGAGGCTGAACTGGAAATGTTACATGATGAATTGGCGCAGACGCGGGAAATTCGCCAATCCAAAAGAAACTAGACCACCAGATGAAAAGGTCCGTCGCTTATTCAAATATTCGAACTCCCCTGTGTAATAGTGAGAGCTGACTTCTCGCAGCTTCTTGGGAGGGTGATTAATTTCCTTATCTAATATTGATTTATCGAACTCATCTTTAACTTTGTAATTTTGTGTTGATTATTTTGACATTACTGACTTAAATCGTATAGTTCTGTTTCTCTTGCGATCAATAGCGTAGCCAGCCGGGCAAGTTTAGCTCATGCTATAGCAATATTTCGTTGTTTACGTACTGTAAAAACTATAGATTTCTAAAGAAATGAAAGATGATGAAGTCTGTCAGGACTAACACGTGCTAGCCATCCGTCTTACTGTATATGGTATAAAGTGATTGAGAAGATTTTTGAAAACGTCAACCATTATGTAATAGGATACCAATCACCAGTAATGGAGCCAGCCCAACTTTTTACTACCGCTATGCAAATATTTTCGTGCTTACTGACCGTGAGAACAATTGATTTCTAATGAAACGAATAATTGTAAGCTTTCAAAATTTACATAGCGGAAGTGAATCTGCATGCTGGCTACGCTACTGCACATGCGTATAAATGGCTTGGCTTGTTTACGTTTTGCTGACAGTCAGGGTGATCCCTAGAGAGGTTGACCATTGTTTCTTGTTTTGTCTAAAAGCACTCGACCAAATCTGCCTTCCAGCAAAATGTAAACGAGGCAACAAACTATCTGTACGAATTGTCGTTTTCCTTAGATATTATTAAATGATGGCATGAATGTTGTCGCGATTCTAAATGTTTTCGCATCAACTATTGCGGCGTTTTTTACTTTCTTATTGGATAACACCTTCAGATTTATATGTGGACGTGGACAAAGGAAGATTTTAATGGTCCTTATCCTCTACGAAGTGAATGTAGAAAATAGTGAAAAAGCGATGGAAAACGGCCATCTCATTGTTTAAAGATATATGGTTCCTTATGTCGTCTTCAATCTCTTCTCGTCGTTTTTGATCTTATAGCTCAGGGGTCTCCAAACTTTACAGTCAGAGGGCCACATCAACTTTCATCCAGCATGTTGAGGGCCGAAGAATATAAAAAATTTCCACGTTATCCTTCAGCTTTTTAAATTTCGCAATGTGCTTGAAACGGAAGTAGGAAGTTGGAAGAAAAATTGACGTAAGCCACTCTTGCTAGTTGGCTTGCGACATAACGTGAACTTTCTGCGCAAAGTTTATTTTGTTTAATAATATTATTTTTTTCTTAAGTGTCTCTGCGGGCCGGATTGAGAGACCCAACGGGCCGCATCTGGCCCGCGGGCCGTAGTTTGGAGACCCCTGTTATAGCTAATTAGGTGCAGATGTGTTATCAAGTAAATTGCTATCTTTTGACAACTCGTGATGCGTAGTTTTCACTAACCCTCCTGTTCTTTTATTTTACTTTATTTTCATTAACTCTTCGTTTCCATAAGAATGCTATGAATGTGTTAACGAGCAATAAAATGAAAAGAACTTTATCGGCATATTTAGATGTATAATAAGAATGGAAAACAAAAGATATTTTCTTCTCGTGTTCATTCCTATTTGATTTTTTTATTGATTTATGGAAGAGATAAAAGGGTGGAAAGTGTCAATTTATAATATTGGTTCACTTTAGGAGTTTAAAGCGAGGACCGTTTATTGGTAATGGTTCACCAGCATTAGGAATTGGGAAAAATGGCTTCAGCGCTTTGCTTGATGACGTGCGCATGATTGTTGTGCCTTTTGTTTTTCTTCTTTTTGCTTATGTCACACAAATATCTGAAGCAGAGTACATTGTTCCATAAGATTAAATGGACTTTTGCTGTGCCAATCAAATTATCGCTTTTAATGTAGTCAAATTAATGATAATTTGAACGACTATAAATGTGTGAAATCAGTTCGCTGCTCGTCGAGATTCACTGGAAAAGACGAGGAAGTGGTGCTTCGATTCAAGGTTGGTCGAAAAGTTATCTTGCAACTAACTTGTTCTTGAAAGTTCGGAGTTTTTTAGTCTTCGCGTTGTTTCAACCTGCCTTGGTATCATTGAGTAGTAAAGTTAAGAAAGAGCATTTATGTTTCTTGTCGTGCGCGTATGAATGGTGGAATGAATGCAACATGAAACTTGGTTTAATAAAACGACTCGTACGTATTATATCGCAGTTCTCTGCCTTAATATAATTTGCAGAGTTTCGTTTGTCCTCTAAAACTTTATGGTCGATCGTCTTTCTCGTAACCATAGAAGCTATAGGGCGTCTTTAACATGATTTGTCATAACTAAAGCAGAACGAAAGAATGATTTTAAGATTGTGGCATTAAAAGCTATCGATCCGTTGGCCGTATTTGTATTTAAGGCATATCAGTTTATCTTGTAAACATGTCGTTTGTTAGGGTTTAGTTTGAAATGTTCCAAACTTGAATTCAAAGCAATATGTTTTTCCCACCATGCTTAACGATAAACTTTGTATCACTTCTTGTGTTTAGTTTCTCACATGAAGTGATCTTTTTATAATAGTTCTCCGTTAACGCCATGTATTTTTCTCCTTTATTATTTAATATAGATGGGAATTTAGACTGGAATCAATAAATCGTCTCGTGTAATGGAATGTTTGTCTGTATTTTCGATTCCTCGCTAATTCAGTTGCTTGTACTTGTAGCAGTGAAGGGCCCCACTGTTACAGGTGCAGTCGACTGACATTGGCTCTGAATCAATTCTACAGCAAGAATTCCATGGACGTGCGGACTTCGCATTGAACTGGAGGTACGTGTCTAATCAACGAGCAAATTCAACTTTGAACTTTCGAACAATTTCCATTGAAAAAAGTTTTCAGGAATGAAAATACTGTGTGACAATTTATTATGATAACTTAACGTTTGTAATTTGTCGATCAAGGACAGGTTTCGACAAGACGATCGCGCAAAGGAATACACGGGGATTGTTGGATATCAAAGATGAAAATTGTTACCGTTAAATTTACACAGAGACGACAATAATGTATGGCGCTAGGGACTTGATCCTTACACACGCTAAATTGAAACTAATTATGGACCATACGATAATCGAGAGAGGGATTGTTCAATTCAAGACGGACAACGATTACATACACATTGGAACACGACCTGTTCGACCGAATGACGATGGATGGAGCTGTAACGTGTAACGAGCGGCAATATGGCAAGATGTCACGAATTATGAAGCGGATGTCTTGGAAAGAATTCAGGTTTTTAATTGATAGTTAAACTACTGTAGGTTATTTCGCATGCACTCACATTAAAATGTGAATGCTTGTGAGGAAGTGGATCCCGATGGTCTTATGATAAAGTTTTAACACCTGAAAAATTGGTAGTCTTTATCTGCTGTTATTAATCAATTTGATTATAGTTTGTTCAGCTTTTCTTTGTAAGATGAAGTCGATTTTTTGGTCTAAAACAAAGTAATTACCGATTCGTTTAAGTGCACCGTGTCCTCACGAAAAAACGTGCATGCACAATGTTGAAGTTTAGGCTATCTCTGATCACTATAGTTGTGTTGCCGCTTTGCAGTACTTTTCAGTCTACGATTTTGTGATTCAAAACGACTTTTCTTTGAGGTCTAAAGTGAGGTATAGGTTATTTTTTTGAAACTTACCTGAAAGTGAGCAATTTTTAATTAGCTAAGTTTTACTGTGCAGTTTGAAATACAACGAACAGTATGGTCACATAGTGAAAAGTATGGACGTATGGTAAAATTATGGACATATGGGGAAAAGTATGGAGAGATAATGACAAGAATGGACATAACAAGAATGGACGTATGGTGAAAAGAATGGAAAAATAATGAAAAGTATGGACATATGATAACAAGAATGAACATATGGTGAAAAAATGGACAAATAATAAAAAGTATGGACAAATGATAACAAGAATGAACATATGGTGAAAAAATTGGACAAATAATGAAAAGTATGGACATTTGATAACAAGAATTGACATGTGACACTCTTGATGAACTCGCTCATCTTTCAGATGAATATTCAATTCAAATAAATTTTCTCCTTATAAATACTTCAAAGCAAAGCCCAGAAATGGCTGGGGTGGCAAAAATCATAAGGAAGTCATCCCAAAACCTAGAACTATGAATTGGTATTACTTTGTTCTGGAAAGCATGTCACTGCACAGCTTGACATGAGTATCATCCTAAATTACGACTCGATCGCCAACAGCAAAGCCGTAAAGTCTTGTGCGACACTCATTGTTGAAGATGTCTTTAAAAAGGTGGAATATCTCAGTTAAGTAAAAATCAACATGTGAAAGTTACGTGCCAAGAGTGAACTAGACATATTAAATTTGGAATGTTGATGCTTGGATCTTTATACTACAAAAGGTGTCCTCTCGATTAATATTGGTGAACTGTTCAGTTAGTACACACCGTTCTACATCGTAGATTGTCTAGAAATGTGTTTGCGGTACGAATGATTGTTTTGTTAATAAGTTCAGATAAACCATTGCGCATGATCAAACATGCAATACATAAACTAGCTAAGCTTTCACAGGTTTTCATTTCGAAGTTGCCAAAAAGTGCTAGCTCACGTGTAAAGATCTTTTAATAGCCTCGGTTTTGCATGCGTTCAGATTTTATAATGTTAAAACCTGTCTTACTATGTACATATTAAAGGCATCGGGATCTGCTGCCGGAACTTTCGAAAACAACGTGATGTTTTGATTTCTGAAAACATTTGTAAAATGTACTTGATTTGTGGAAGGTTTTTCACCGGATCCGCTGGTTTTCCTTCCCTTTCGTTTCGCCAAAAAACAGTGTCCAGTTTGGAGGCCAAAGGACAACAATGAATTTGTTCAAATAATGCAATATCACAGTTATAACTTTGACCTATGGGTTGGAATCCCAGAGCACTGCTTGCCATTTGTGAAAAAGTACGAATTCGACTTTTATCTCGCGATGAAAACGACTATTTGTGCGTTGAATTATCGTCCACCACGGTGCTGCGGTTCAGGCGTACGCATGGCGCGCCCATTTTTTCACGTTTGCATTCGTTGGCGAAAATTAAGTCGTCAGCAGCATGTGTCAATGAAATTATGCACTTTGTCGCCATGGCAACAGATAACTAATTGTATTTTATAACAACAGTTGAAAAGATTATCAATCAAGTTACTTACTTTGAAAAACCAACGTGTCCTTTATTCTTGGATTGCAAACAGCCTCCACGGAAATACCAAAGAATGTGGTCCGCCCACGAGGGTCATGTTGACGGCCGGCGCTCACAATAACATTGATTAAATATTCTTTTGTAAGTGACCGCCAACAGAGCGGTTTTGACGTACTTGCAAATTTTACTATTTAAATCATATTTTCATTCAACAGAACTTTTGAAACGACATTGTGGTTTCTAAAACACTTTATTCCTGTCTCTTTTCGTCGTCAATAAATTGAAGATTTTTTGATTACACAACTTTTGACGTCATTTAAGTTCAAGAAAACTGTGGTTAAAATGATAAGGAAATTTTGAATCCTCAATTCTTCACAACGCAGGGAGCCCTGACCTGTTGAAGTAACGTATCAGCACATAAACCCGCTTTTTCATATTTTCATCATGTAATTTGACTTCGCAGTTTGTGTAAAGCGGAAATTTCATAATCTTACAATACGTTGACTGTAGACAGTGAAAAGTTACATGTTCGTAGATGTAGATCGTCCACGTTGATATAGTCCTGAGAAGGACTGTTCTTTTTGTTGTTGACTGACGTTTCGACAACCTTAGCGATTGTCATCTTCAGAGTCAAATGACTACCGCTAAGGTTGTCGAAACGTCAGTCAACAACAACAAAAACAGTCCTTCTCAGGACTATACCAACCTGGACGATGTACATCTACAGAAATGTAACGATACTTCCGGGTTCAAACCATTTACTTTACAGTGAAAAGTGATACTAATAAACTGTTTTAAAAGGTACACAGTCATTTTTAAGGTTATGTTCAATGGCAATACAATGCAAATATCACAATTTTTATCATATACTATGGAAGGCGTTGCCTTTTTTATTGACGTTCTTTAGATTCCCAATTGGTGGTGGTATTATTCGTATATGCACGAACTCCCGTATTATGTGCTGTGAAATTCATTGTTTTTCACCTACATTATACTCCCACACTCTAATTATCGATCTTCTGACGTCAATTTCAGGTTTTCCCACTGCGCATGACCATGTATGTGTAAATGACAACAACACAAAACATGTAGTTTACAATAAATGTTTTATTGCTGGAAACACGTCTTATTGGTATTAGCTAAAATAAATACAATCACTTAATATTTAACAAATTTACTTAAATTCAATTAAAAACGCCATGTACAAATATATTAAAATGTAAATTATTTATTTTCATGTAAGAGAAAACGCATGTTAAAGCACATGTGGGGATGTATCGAAAAGTCATTACTGACACAGCACTACAATTTATCGAATTCTCGAGAAAATTCCGTTAAAATTCTTCCCAAAATTGAAAAATCCTTTTTATAATATACCTCGATGAGTCATAAAGGCGCGAATTTTATCGTCCACACAAGCAAGAGCACGAAAACAAAGTAAAATTTTTTTCAATGAGCGAAGACTTTCTAACAAAGTTATTTTCTTTCACATCTATTTTTCTCGGAAATTTTAGAAGTTTTGTGTTCTGTGCTTCCGCTTGTGTAGACGATGGCGTCTCTCACTCTATGAAATTAAAAGTGTATGTCTAACATACACTCATCGTTGGATGACCATGTATCAGCGTCTCGCCGTTTACTGAATATCGCTTCTATAAGAGAAAGTTAAGTCGCGTTTGACAAGCTGCTTTTCAGGAATCAGGAGCAGGTTGCACGAAGTCTGGATGGCGTAATCCATTGGATAGTAAAATCTTCAAACTTGTTCAAAAGGTGTTTCTATTTTCCTCGCGACAAAGAAATTTTGTGATCTTAGAAGCAATACTTCACTTCACTGATTGCTCAGTTCAAATTGTATATTCTTCCCTTTAATGAGATATTTTGAGAGATAGGGCCGGTGCTAACGATTCGGCCGTAAGTATAGACTTTACAGAAGTTTATTTTCTATGACAGTAACCTTCAATAACCATAACCTTCCTTTGCAATTCAAAACCAATAACGTTGTTGCGAAGTTTTTTCTTATTCGAAATTGAGTTGTTATGATATATTTTGAACAACACTGGTTTTATACGACGGCCTTCACATTAGAAAATAACCACAGCAATAACACTAACCTCTCCCATCTTTGTTCTAGCATACTCAATCCTTATTCCTCCTCTAGATCCATCCGATGACGACAGCTGTGTTCTGAAGTAAAAAAGTTTAAAAAGTTAGCCTCCATATTGAATTCCATATGAATATGAACACACATTCTCCACCCCCAAACCGCAATTATAGACCTTCCTACGGCCACGGTCATCATGCATTGACATGACACAGAAATCCAAATCAAATGCAATTCCAATTTATGCAAAAATTACGAACCAAAATCTCGAAATTTTGTTGAACGACCTGAGTCACTTAAACATTTTTGAATCTTTCAATGTCGGATAAACTACTGCTTCCTTAATGCACGGTAAACTACTAATATCTGACACACTGATGGAAAGTGGGCGATAGCTATAGTTTGTTGTTTACTCTCTCGTTAATATTTAACTTCTACTTACCCTTGAAGCATCGACATTGCCCCTGACGCAGAATACACATCCTAGTAATATCCATAAGTATCCATTAGTAATCTAATAGTTTTCGAACATCTCAGATTCATTTGTTTTCTTACCTGATATTCCACAAAACAACACGGAGCGTTTCCCTTCGATAACATTTTGATTCTTCTAAAACCTGGCGTACTGTCAGAAAGAAAAAATAGTTATTCCATGCCGTATGTATGCGCGTGACAATAGGACGTATGTGTGTGAAAATATGACGTATGTGTGTGAAAATGTGACGTATGTGTGTGAAAATGACGTATGTGTGTGAAAATGTGACGTATGTGTGTTAAAACATAACGTATGTGTGTGAAAATATGACGTGTATGCGTGAAAATATGAAGTAAATGTGTGAAAGGAGTGGAGTTTAACACGAGATCTCTTGCTATCACAACATCAAAACAAGTAAAACTCAAAACAATGAATGAAAATCTATCATTAGAGCACTCCATATGAAACTAGCAGGACCTGAACGTGGACCTGAAGTTAGTTAGCTACTTCCTTTTCAATATCGGGTTACCCCCCCTGCTTTGTTACAAATATTAATACACATCCGGCTGCAGTTTGGAGCAGTGTGACCAGACTTGGTGAGCTTAGACAGCCCCACCTAATTAAATAATTGCCACATTAAGAACAGGGGGAGCATTCCGCATGGTTCAAAGCGTTTTTGAAAAATTATTCATGTATGGTCACACTGCTTTGGAACTATTGATCTGAAGATAGACTGGATAATACACTCCGCTATTCCTGTGAAGCCAGTGCCGCCATATTGGAAGGTCCCACTTGATACGAAAAAATAATCATAATATTCATCATAATCATATTTTCAAAAAATATGCTATGTTTATACATGGCTCTAAGTTCCAAAAATAACAGAAACACGTCGTCATTAAAGCTCTGTCGTATATTAAAGTTGGATTTCACTCCTCGAGTGGGACCTACTAATCGGGTGATAACAATGTAAGCACCCGATTACTTCGGCTTCAACTTTTGACTAGGCGTTGTATTGCAATGTGCTATCTAATTTATTATACATATCTATGTTTGGAGAAGGCTAGATAAAATACTAGACAAGGTGGAGTTTCCCTGCAACACAAATGGAAATCTGTGTAATAATCTAAAATAAACGAAATTGCTCCAAAACTCAAAGCCTAAATCAATCATCCAGCGCTAGAACTGGTAGCCCACTGGTTGGAGATTAGGGATCAGGGATCAATCACCGAATTACCGCAGAAGATCTCGCGGTCTCAAACTTCGTTACCTTGTGAAGAGAGCATACAATTCGTTTTCTTTATTTGCATCTAACTTCTGTCCAATGTTAGCCACAAACAAAGTTGAACATAAATAGGTATCACTCGCCACCATGGTCGGTAGAGAGTACGTGGATGGCATATTGACGTGTTGGTACACAGGATGGTGCTAAATGAATAAGCAGTACATCACAACGAGCAAAAACCTCATCATTCATTGCCAAAAATCCTTTGGAAACGGCGAAAAGGAAGGGGGGGGGGAGAAGCAAAATACGCTCGAGTAATGCAATCGGAGTATTTTTACCCTGCCACATCATATTTATCATATTTAACTATATAACCATAACCACAAGGTTAAATAGTGGGAATGTTATTAAACAAAAAGAATGATAGCATAATGCTATAACCAACAACTACAATATAGAATATATGGAATTCGAGCTTTGTCCATATGAACTGTTTCGCATGCTTAAAAAAAACGAGCCGGAATATTCAGTTGATTAATCTATGATAAATCTTTCACCTTTTAACTCTGCTATACCGGTCACAAGCCCGGGACTTGTAGCATATAAGGCTCTCTGCTTTTTAGTAGACTTGTCTCGTTTACAAGGAAGAGGAGCGGAATGTTAATTTCTCAAATGTTGTTCGATAAGGTCGTTATTATTTGTAGTTGTTGGTTATAGCATTATCCTAACCTAGCCTGATTGTTGATGGCAGTTTCTGTGGCAGAGTATTCTATAATTGTGCCGAACAATTTTCGTATCAAACAGAACAAAAAGATGGTATGGTTGTATAGCAGTGTCATCAAGCCATTGTTATCACGATGCTATTAAAAAACCGTCTTAAAAAGAGCAAATACCATGGTGAATGGTCAAGTACTAACGTGTTTTGAAATTATTCCAATTTATATAGAAATATAGTATGGTTGTATAGCTCTGCAGCAACAAGTAATAAAGCTTAGCGGCTATTTCACGTATTGACCCTCGTTCTTGTTCTTATTATCAAATCGAATGGTTTGAACCGCAGTGTTGTGAATATAGAGTAGAACCATTCCATTGAATTTTTTTCGTGCCACGCATATCTTATAAAGCATGTGATTGCCAGAGTTGCAGCCAGTCAGTTGGTTTTCTTGACCAACAGGAATGATGAAATGGCTTACAGCAGCCAGTAATCTTAACTAAATATACAGCAGTCAGTTGCACAGCGAAGTGGAGCTACTGCATATTTTCTATAAGGTCGTTTGAGCTTGGGAGTATAGTCACAAGTACGTAAGAAGATCGTCCAGATTCACTCTGATTCTGAAGATGCCTACCGGATGGTCAACACTAATAAAAACAGGACTGGACAAGCCTGGACGATCTACGTATACAAACATTATTCCTATGTATATATCGTGATAACGCGATGCACGTGAATCACCGATGTAGTTCTTGTCAAAGATGTTGTAGCAACTTACCTGTAAAGTGTGAGAGAAGTGATTGATTACAGGCGAGTGAATCGGTGAATGCAATGGAGACGTTGGACTGTCTGCGTACGGGATCCTGTTGAAGACAAATAGAAATGAATTTCCGAAAAAGATAGTGATTGAACTATTTTGGACAGCTTACGAATGCGTCTATCATTGCAACTTGAAGGAAACGGATTTTTATTTCAGCCAGTTTTTTACTTACGTAACTTATTTTTTACACCATAGACTAGTTGAACAATGACCATTAGTTTTTGCTAGTTATTGCCACTGAACTAAATACAACTGGAAGACTACATAACGCCAAAATTTAAAGCCTGCAACTCGACTAGTCCCAATCTTAACACGCCCGGCCAAAAAGGAACCACAGTTAGCGAAAATGCTTGAATCAACACGTCTGTCTGGAGGTAATACTTGACTTCATTCAACATAAGGCATGTTTACCAAAATGTAGCCATCCAGTTATTTATACGGTTCAATGGCCATTACATACACTCTGTATGCAGCAATGAACTATTGGTCCAACGGTATGCAGTGATCACCCCCCGGGTTAAAAGCATCAAACCGCCATGTTAAAGGCTAGTGCTGCTAAATAAAGACCCACCCCCACCCCCATAACTTCTGAAAATTCAAATCGATAGATTCTCCTAAGGTATGAGCAATACGTATGCCAATGTAACTATTACATGATAAACAGTTAAGAATATTGATAAAATACCTCGCATGATGCCACATTGGTTCGGAAGCAAAGAAGCTCAGTCCTGTAAGATCCACTACAGTGAAAAGAAAAGCCCAGACGAGACAAATTAGTTTGAAATCGAAATCGGTTCGCCGATGAAACGGTTGTAAATATTTCAAAAATATGCATGATGGTTTCATACATGGTGTTAGAGCTTCAACTTGTGAATTTACGCAGCTGTTGTTGCCATTTTTGTGAGAAGTTTTGCCCATTTTCGTGTTGGTCTTGGCGAACTCGATCCTCAATGGTTGATCTAAGGCAGGATCGAAGCACACGCCCTAAAAAAGCAAAAAAAACGAATTCTTTAAATTCATGTCTTTCGGTAAAACAAACTTCTTTGGAAAAAATATCATATGTGATCATGGCTTAAAAGTTAAACGTTTTTAAAAACGAGAGTCAACCATAATGCCGACTAAAAATATATATCGTCTTGCGGCTCAAAAATAAAAGAATTCTTTCAAACACAACGTTCATATGAATCGATGAACCCCCAAGGAAGTTGAAAAGAAATTCCATAATGGCGATACTGTGCGTGTATAAAAGTGTTTAAGTGTCAAAACGAAGAAAAATATGACATTGTAAAATCGGTTGCCAAGTTTTGAATGAATTTTGGTTATAACAATCTTTTACCTGTAAGTCTTTTTTGCATTCTTCCGCGTTTAGTTTTTCTGCGAACGTCACAAATGCCACAGGCTATAGAAAAGAGATTGGGCCGCACATTACATAACTTCAAAAAACTATCAAAACTTTTGCAAGATAATCGGTTCTTAGGATTTAACTTAGACTTTGAAAGCAAAACACAAAACCTTATAGAAACGTTACTGATGATCGAGTTTTAACTTCGTTCGAGTTGTATAGTTCCGCTTAGCTAAAAAATGCTTCGTTTTTTCTCAACGAGTAAATAAAACATCTCCAAACTTACCAGTGGCTTGCCTTGTTTGTCCGTAAGCTTTAGTTGGAATCCTTCATAACCCTAAAATTGCGAAAGAGTTTGAAATGCATTGTCTTCGCTTTAAAAGAGTTTTGATGGAGCGTGAATGGTAATAAAGAAAATCACGACAGGTCAGGACTTCTCAATGTTCGACAAAAATTTTAATTACAGCCGACGCTTTAGAGATTTAATCGAAGTAAATTTGCTCGAGTAAATACTTTGAATGACTGCATGTCCTCGAAGTTCTGTCGTTGATTTCTTGATAACTTCCTCGGAAGTGGAAGATTATTGGGATTTTTGTCTTCATCCCCGAAGCACTAATGATACTTAAATGACTAAACAAATTTATCTTCATTATCTTAAATGATATGTTTCGCCCATATTATCGACAACATTATCAACTTGATTGCTCTGTGTTTATAGACAAGGAACTACAACGTGTTTGGATACCATGCCCACAAGCAAACAATCGAAAAATATCAACGCTTCTTGCGATCGATCTTTAAAAGAAACCTCCCACATTTTGAGTTTCAGACGAGCAAATTCAGGCACGAGACTTAAGTCCTTGATAGGCTAGTAAACGTTTATACTTAGAGTGCAGTTAAAAAAGGTTGTTGGCACAAGGGTTAGACAAAGTTTGTCTTTCTACAAGTGCCCACTCGATTACAAATTCACTTTCCGCTTAACACAAACAACTATTTCCAATGCAAATTTAGAAACATTGTTGCCAAGCTTAGACTTCTGCCGTGATCAACAAAAAAGTATCGACTCATCATGAATTTTCGATACAATAAAATATCAATCTTAAAATAGATTTATCATTCCTGAAGTTCAAAAGAATAAAATTTTACAATTCCCTTCAAGCGAAGTCATGTTGCGCGGCTTTGAAAAAAGTCTGAACGCACATTCCTACGGTTTCCACGGGTAACGAAAGAAATCGAAACACTTGTCTGTATGTTTTACAAACATTTAAGCTTGAAAGTAAATTCGAAATCAATATTGACTCGCGAGTGTTACATAAGATCAAATGAAGTCCGATGAAAGCCCAATTCGTGAGTTTTCTCAATCATAAGCGAGTTTGAAATTTAATTTATTCGATGCACGAACAGCTTGTGCTCCAATTTTCATTCATAATAACATAATACATGCCTTTAAAAGACTGGTTATCATTCTTTTGCATTGAACAAAACTTTCTTTCCTCATGCGGTTGAAAAAGAGGTCGAATTACACGACACCTTCGTTCGAAAGGAAATTAGGCTATAATCGTGTGCCCATTTGTCTTGTTACGAGCATATTTAACAAAGATTATGCAAAAATACAAGAAAATTAATATCTGACATTGTTCAGACGTTTGAACACGTTGACAACCTAATTATGAAAGCGCGAAATAGTTTAGTTCAATGTTTATGCCCGTGAAACATGAAACCAAAAAGCCAGGACAGCCCGTAACGGTTCCTTAAGCAAATTGACGAGCTCGATTTGAAACTTTTCCAAGCATTCTAATTCTATTTATACACGAAGAAAGATGCCTTTATACAACATTCTAATGGCCATACGATGCAATACATAACACAAAAGTTTTCACATGGAAAAATTGCGAATCGACGCTCAAAAAACACAGGCAGAAAGAACAGACGTCTTAATGAACTGAAGTAATCGAATACTGTTTAAAACGATGGCTAACAGCATTGACGGATGGAAATCCCAACATGCTAATTTTGAAACAGCGTTGGTTACGAGTCGTATAACAGAGTTTAAAACGAGCTCAATTTTGTCGAAACGTGTTTATGTTATTACTGAAGAAACAACAGCATCTCCATTACCCGGTAGACATTTAACTTATTCCTGTCGTTTATGGGTTCTTTTGTGAAAAATAGCTCACCTTATAGGCACGAAATAGTAGATATATCTCTCTGGATCTCACATTCGCTGGTAGACCGCTCACAAAAAGAGTTCGAACCTAAAACCAAAAACACGAACAAGTGAGCAACGCAAGACCGAAACGACCCCTTTCTCCTCGGCATTTTCAAAAAAAATCTTTCCGTCTGGATGCCTAAACTGTAACAAACCTCGTCGTTTTCACCTTTATCGTTGTTTGAATCGGTGCCGTTTTGATCCTCCATCTTTCGTTAGTGGTAAAGTGAAAATGAAAGCTTTTAATGGTGATAACGATAAAAGTGCCTGTGAGTCCCTCTGCTTGTGATGCTACAGTGCGACAGCGAGTGCCGACAGAAATAGCAAGGTGCAAGTGCGTGCAATAACTTAGTGACACTGAACTAGTTGGGGGGTTCAATTACTCTGTGTTCGTTTGCAGGTTAACAAACCCACACACATACACGAGGACGCCGGATGTGACGTCAAAGTACGAGTGCAAACAAACGAAAGACGAGCAGTTTATTATTTAATTAATCAATTTGTGACAGTTTCGGAAAGATCATCAAGGAAGTACATTTTACTTCATCCTTCATTTCAATCTAGATTCCAAGGCTTGCAATCAGCATAGATTAAAAGGTACCCTCCCCCCCTCCCCCGCAGCTAAAACTATATAATTACAGGTCTTCCATTTACTAAAATTGCATGATGTATATTTTCTTACTTTTGTAAAATGCTCATTGTTTAGTTGTTTTACCCATGCCACAGTTTGAATTGATCAAGCTGTAATTGTATGGTTGATACATATCTCAACTCTGAACAGAGAAATGCCACGGTTAACCTGTAAAAAAGCCACTCCAGTTCTTCGTCACGAGCGAGATCACGAGTTCCATGCTGTTATTGTGCAATTTTGATTTCTGAGAGTCTTGTTTACAGTCAACGAATGATTTGGCGTAATATATATATTCCAATCTTGAGAATCCTCAATTGCGACCATTCGTTGGAAACGAGTAATCACTGATAACATTTCATGAAACTCAAAATTTTCACATTATATACGTTATGTCGTCGTTCCCAGTCCCACGGCTCGCTAAAATAGAGTCGTGAGTGCTCTAAATGGTCTGGGTTCGAGTAACCTTGTCGAGGCCCCGAGGGGTCATAGTACAAGCACAGAAGCACTCTCCCATGATAACAAAAACGTGACTCTTTCCACGTAGGAGTTTTAGCCAAAAATGTCAGGTCAGTAAAAGGTCTATTTTATAGTTTTTTTTCAAGATCTCATGGTCGAGATCGGTTTCTTCCCTTTAGGTGGAAATCCGTATTTGAAAAATATTAATCAAGTTGAAGTCGACGGCAAAGAACTCAGGTACTTTGACCTGACGAGCTTACAAGATAGCCGCTACGGTATGTATGACGTTGTACGAAGGTACAAGAATCATTTCGCAGTGTTTGTTGGCGCATTTATTTCTTCAGAATTTGTTCGCTTAGGCAGTACTTTATCTATTTTTTTCGCGTGAGCTTACGTACATTGGGACAGTGAATGCAAATTTCACTCTCTGTCGCAAAAGTGAAAGATGGAATTTGTCAAAAATAAGCTGCTTATCGTTTTTTAATTCATTCACGATTTCATCACCCTCAACTTGTGTAGGAACATTCGAACTTTCAAAAGCAGTTTATCAACAAGACTAACATGAAGTTTGTCTATTAATATCGTTTGTGTGAATGAATATGCTGATTTCGAAAAGGAGTAACGGATAACTTCTATTTTGAGTGGGCCGTTGTGTTTGAAAAGGGGACTGTTGTGGGTGTGAATTTTGAACTGAATGTTATTTAGTATCTTAGCTACAAGTTATGTAATGTAAAGACGTTATCTGTCCTTTTCTATAGCTTTTTTCGAACCCTGTAATTGTGCGAGGATTTACATTTTTGCACAGCAGGGAATGATTTCATAAATGGCATACTTCAATTCACTAGTAGTTGGTGAAGTAATGGGCTTAACACAGTTTGATGTTTCAAAGACTGTTGTTGCCGTGGTTTCAAGTCTCACATGAGGCTATTAACTCTTTTTTTCAAACCACAGTCTTTCATTTCAATTGCAATATGATTTCGAAAATAATAGTTAAAGCATGAATTTACTGTTGGGATAATTCAATTTTCTCATTTTGAAACTCACCTTTACAACATTTGATGATTGTTTTCTATGGTTAATTTAGTTTATCAACATACAAGTAATGTAGCCTGCTCATACACTTTAGTGTCATTATGTAAATTTTAAAATATTCTTGAAAATGTATTCTTTGTGTGCGTGTTTGTGTGAGCGGAGAAAAATTGTGTATCATGCCTTAATGTTGGCAGGCTAGGCAACTGGTACGAGCTAAAGGAGTCATTTTGATAACTTTCTTGTTCTAAAATATTCTATAATGTTCTTAATTGTTGTAATTTGTTCTAAATGAATTGAGGGTTTATCTTTTCAACCGTAGACAAACTACCCTTTTCAATTCGAGTTCTCCTGGAATCTGCTGTTCGTAACTGTGATGATTTTCAAATCAAACAAGAACATGTTGAGAAGATTTTAAACTGGGAAATAAGTCAAAATGATAGTGTGGAAATTCCGTTTAGACCTGCTCGGGTCATCTTGCAGGACTTCACGTAAGTTTAAGGACAATTTTGCATGTAAGAACAAAAGGAAAATGTGTTAATGGTAAATTGAAAATCAAGCGCTTTGGCAAAAGAATTGTCAAGAATAGGAGAGCACTGTTTGGAGCCTGGGAACTAACCAATGGCCTAATGGGAAACTTTAGTTTTATGTTAAAAAACATTTTTACAAGCCTATTTACTTAGCTCTGTGTAAACCTGTGCATGCAATTGTAGTTTTTGCTTATTGATATGAGTCTCTACACCTCCCCTCATTACTTTGTTTTCATACTTTGTCCCCCCCCCCTCATAACTTTGTTTTCATACTTAATCATTGTTTGCATTTTACCGTTCTTTAGTGGTGTCCCAGCTGTTGTGGATTTTGCTGCAATGCGTGATGCGGTAAAGAGATTAGGAGGTGATCCTTCAGTCATAAATCCTCTTTGCCCTGTTGACTTGGTTGTAGATCATTCTGTGCAAGTTGACGTTTCAAGAAAGTAAGTTTGATTTCTCAGCAATAACCTAAGATCCTCAATTCCTAATTGTTTTGGTTGTATAGCTAACAAATTTCATGCTTTGTTTTAGCAAAGATGCTCTAGCTAGAAATCAAGATTTAGAATTTGAACGAAACAAAGAGAGGTTCCAGTTCCTGAGGGTAATGTAACAATTAGGAATTGTTTATAGTGTGTACATGAAGGTTTGAGTGGGTACACAAGTGTGCAAATTTCCTAATCTGTATGTAACAATCAGTTATGGTTTGATGTTTAGGAAGAGGCGCAGGTGCTTATATTGTGTACAGAAGGGTTAGAATGGGTACATGAGGGTTAGAGTGGGTACATGAAGGTGCAAATTTCTGAATGTCTATGTAATAATTTGATGTTAGGAGGAGGGGTTGCAGAAGGGTAGAGTAGGTACACAAGGGCTACATTGCACTATACAAATCCCTTGTCCCCCAAATCCATTTCTGTTGTAAATGGTAAATGTAGTTTTATTGTGTTTTTTGTTTTATGCAGTGGGGGTCGAAAGCTTTCAAAAATGTGACAATTGTGCCTCCTGGATCTGGTATTGTTCATCAGGTTGGTCTTTATATGTACAATAAAATGATCAATTTTTATTCAACATTTGCATACCAAATATGAAGTTGATTACTTCCATTCGTATTGTCCTCAAGATGTGCTTTGTCATCTTAAATTCTTGTAAGAAAGATATAAAATTTGGTTCATTTTTGTATGACTTAATATGTGATACAATTTTTCTTGTGGTAGGTAAACTTGGAGTATCTTGGACGTGTGGTATTTAATACAGATGGTTTACTATATCCTGACAGTTTGGTTGGCACAGATTCTCACACAACCATGATTAATGGACTTGGCATTTTAGGATGGGGTATGGAATGTGTGTAATGTTGAATTAACTGATGTTCAAACTTGAGTCCTTATATACTCCAGTCTTGTGTCTTCATCAGGAGTGATCTGATGTTCAAACTTGAGTCCTTATATACTCCAGTCTAGTGACTTCATCAGTAGTGATCTGATGTTGAAACTTGAGTCCTTATATACTCCAATCTAGTGTCTTCATCAGGAGTGATCTGATGTTGAAACTTGAGTCCTATTATTTTCCAGTCTAGTGTCTTCATCAGGAGTGATCGAATGTCAAGAGATAAAACATGAGTTCATGTACACCATCAGGAATGATCTTATGTTAAAGTAGAAGTCCCAAAAACAACGCAGCATTTCCAATCTTCCACATTTATTATAAGTGTTAACACGTGTGATGTACGTGTACTAGCTTTTCAAACATTGAACTTTGCTCTTTCAGGTGTTGGTGGTATCGAAGCTGAAGCTGTAATGCTTGGTCAAGCTGTCAGTATGGTCCTACCCAAAGTAGTTGGCTACAAACTAACAGGACATCTTAATGGTTTAACAACTTCAACAGATGTCGTACTTACCATCACGAAGCATCTCCGTCAGATTGGCGTTGTGGGCAAATTCGTAGAATTCTTCGGTCCCGGCCTATCACAGCTGTCGATTGCGGATCGCGCGACCATAGCCAACATGTGCCCCGAGTACGGTGCCACAGTTGGTTTTTTTGCCGTAGATGAAATGAGCATGAAATATTTACGTCAAACGGGTCGCGATGAAGAGCGGATCGCGTTTATTGAGAAGTATCTCAAGGCGAACAAGTTGTTTCGACATTTTGAAAACGCTGAGGAGGATCCGGTGTTTTCCCAGGTACGGGAATCATGTTGTACATAAAGTATTTTTAAAGCACAGCTTACGTATGTGATAACTGGCTGGTATTACGTTTTATTATCCGTTTATATTCACAGATGTCAATGATATCCATTTATATCCATTTATATTACAAAAATGTCTTTGAAAAAGTGCTTGAACTCAAATTGTTTTGATTGAATTTTGGTAAACATGCCATCGCACTGCGTTCTTTTCAGAGTCGGAGTTGGAATTTTGTCTTAACCCTTAATTGAATAAAAAAGTAGCTTACTCGTATGCTAAAGGATTAATTTCAGAACTTTGAAGAAACCTACCAACTTGGCCGCTTTCGAGTCTTATGAAATCACACCATTTGACCTCGATTTGTTAGAAAAATGTTTTTTGTTTTAATTTTGATGCTTATGATGATTTCGTACTATAGTTGTGCTTTGTGCACGATTCAATGTCTTGGAACCTCGTCCTTAAACCTTTTGGAGTATGTCCTTGAAAGTCCATGAAAAGTGCTTGAATTTCATTACATTTAGCATCGTACGAACTTTGTATTGAGTTCAATGGATCAATCTGTCTTCATTATATCGACTATATGTTTTCTTTAACTGGGCAGGTGGTAGAATTGGATCTTTCTACGGTCGTATCCTGTGTCTCCGGACCTAAACGTCCGCACGACAAGGTCGCCGTTGCTGAGATGCAGAAGGATTTCAATGCTTGTCTGACAAACAAAGTTGGCTTCAAAGGATTCGGTATTCCGGCTGAGAAACTGTCATCGGAGAGCGTCATGGTATACGAGGGAGAAAGTTTTACCTTGAAACATGGTAAGGTTATAGAATTCGACCCACCCACCCACCCCCACCCCCGGATTTCTAGGGCTGGGACTTCGTTTCTCATCTTCTCGTTACTAACCTTTATGCCTAAGTCATTGTTGTGAGTTTGTGGAAAAAAAGAAAAGAATTGGTATAATTTTACAAACAGTCAAACTTTTATCGAACATCACGTGTCTAACATTTATCGAGTCGCTTTTTGATTGGTCAATTAACTTTGGCAATAAATACAGAACACACCAGTGGACAAGGTAGAAGTTTTACGCAAAAATCCCTAAACGGAAAAAATATGACGCAGGCAAAAAAGTTAGTCACGTGGCATACCTTGAAACATGGTAAGGTTGTAGAATGCGACCACCCCCGGTTTTTGTGATTTTGTATTGAGTTTTTAGGGTGGGGACTTCTTCACAACTCGTGCCTCACGCTTCTTACAATTATTTCCGCGATGTCTCCTAGGTTCAGTTGTCATAGCAGCGATCACGAGTTGCACAAACACAAGTAATCCATCTGTGATGCTGGGAGCTGGACTGCTGGCCAAAAAAGCTGTGGAGTATGGACTAAAAGTTCATCCATACGTGAAGACAAGTTTGTCACCAGGCTCCGGCGTGGTGACGTATTATCTACAAGAAAGTGGAGTTATACCGGCTCTCGAAACATTAGGGTAAGAATTTTTTTAGTTTCTCTTATTGAAATATTCGCCTATTTAATTACACAATGCTCACCTTTCTGGCGTGCGGCTTAAATTCAACGGCTGCAAATCCCATTTGACAAAGATCTCATTGTATAGATGGCTAAACGTTCTCAATCCGAGATATAAATGTGGAAGTGATTGAATGTTTTCAAGGACTCGTCGCTAGGGTGGACAGCCCGCTTATTTAGACCTGCTGTGTTAATTTTTCGCGTTCACGTAGCTACTGTGAAAACAATAGATTTCTAAGGAAATGAAAGGTGACAATATAGTATAAAGCAAATGCATTCTGTCTGAGGATGACTTTGAAATAAAGTCGAAAAGTTACAGTTCACTTCTCGTCTTGTTTTGATGCATATTTTGCAATCTCAAGATATCTTGCTTTTTCGGAATTTGCTTTATACTATATTTCTTTAAATTGTCGGCTGGTCATGGTTTTTGAAAGGTGACAATGTTCTGAAATTTAAATTGCAGGAATAGATCCTGTGGCCACTGCGACTTAATGATTTCAGTTTTCAGAAAAGCAACGTCGATGTCTTTTCAATAATTTCAAAGCATTGAGCGTGGCCTTACGTGCAGGGCCGTGGCTAGAACGCTGTGGGGTATAATCGTATATTCAGTTTTGCTCGACTGTTTTTTTTAAAAGTGATTTGGCTTTCTAAACAAATCAGTCGGGCACAACTGATTATGTGAATACGCACCTACCATTAGCGTTCTAGCTACGGCACTTCTTCCGGGACTTCAACTTACACTTGCCGACGATCTCGCTGAAGAGTCCAATGCAATGTTCTAGCATACTAAGCCAGTTCATAATTTACCATCTTGTGCATAACGATTGCAAATCTAATTCGCGATGTACACCAAGGAAATTCATCGATTCGAACAACTTTTTATCATTTGCTGTGGATTTGTTGATGTTTCGCTTCGTAGAAAAGCGAAGATCTCGCAAGCTTTTTATGTTTTTCAGTTTTTCTCGTAGGTTTGATATTGTTGGCTACGGTTGCATGACGTGCATCGGAAATAGCGGTCCTCTACCTGAAGCTGTTGGCAAAGCTATTGAGAAAGTAAGCTTTACATCGATGGTTTAATTGAGAATTATGAAATAAATACGATAAAACGCGTGCGCTGATTGGTCTATAGCCGTGTTTGCATTAGCCAGTGAAAAACAGAGATGAGCTCAACCAATCAATCAACGAGAACTTGCAAATCGATCATGAAAACATTTTAGAGCTTCTCAGTTTTCATAAGCCAGTACGAGAAGACCTTTGAGAGAACTCGAGAACGGATCAGTGAAAGCCCGAGAGCGAAGGTTGAGAGTTCTGAGAGCTTTAAAAAACGTCTTTCGTGTTGGCATAAGCCAATGCAAATACGAAAAACATCTTTTATTTCTTTTATAAAATAGTAATGTGAAATAGATAAATTTAAAACAAATGTTTAAATTTTTCCACTAGCACATATTCACGATTGATGTGCAAACACGTATTCATGATCGAGCTCTGATTGGTTTATGCAAAGGCTCATGCGAAGCAGCCATAGACCAATCAGCGCATGCGTTTCATCGCTTTTGTTTTATAGTTTAAGTTGAGGAATCTTTTTCTTCTTTGACGAGTTTCGATTAAGAAGATTTGTCTCAACAATCTCTGTTCCTTTGCTTAAAGTTGTCATTTTTATGTCTTTTTTCTTTTCACGTTATCTAGCTTATTCCGATGTGGATTTTTTTGTGTTTGCTGTATCCAAATGTTTTACAACTTTCACGAACTTTCATTAAGTTTCATCTCGAAATAAGTGGTTCAACTTTGCCACTTGAACGACTGAGTTCTCATTCTTCAAGCGAATTCTTGTTTTCGATAGTAAAGCGAAATCGAGTTCAAAATAAACTTGTTTATCATTGGTACTCTTCTCCTTCAATTTTCGATAGTAAAGCGAAATTGAGTTCAAAATAAACTTGTTTATCATTGGTACTCTTCTCCTTCAATATTTTATTCTAACGTTGCTTTTGTTTTATTACCAGGGTGATTTAGTTGCCGTTGGTGTGCTTTCCGGGAACAGAAATTTTGAGGGTCGTATACATCCGCTAACCAGAGCAAACTACCTCGCATCCCCACCTCTTGTCATTGCTTACGCCATTGCAGGAACGGTGAACATAGACTTCAGCACACAACCTCTAGGTAAAGTCACTGAACTATATAGATAAGCAAGTTCTCTCTGTATATGGTACAGTTAGTACACAACCTCTTCGTTAAGTCATCTAACTATGTAGATAAGAAAGGCTCTCTGTCTATAGTACAGTTAGTACACAACCTTAGGTAAAGTCACTGAACTATATAGATATGAAAAGCTCTCTGTATATGGTACAGTTAGTACAGCCTTTAGGTAAAGTCACTGGACTATATAGATCAGAAATTCTTTCTGTAAATAGTTTATTGGGTACAGATTTATTTTTGAAAAAAATTGAAGTCACGCTCTACACGCTCGACTGACCACTATCATTTAAGTATTTTTGCATAAATAGTTTGATTTTTGTTTTCTATCATTATTTTTGCCACCCGAAACTTGCAGTATTCATGACGTTTATTAAGTAAAATGTTTTTATTTTCTACATTCTTCCTGTCAGGCATAAGTAAGGATGGCGAAGAGATATATTTAAAAGATCTTTGGCCAAGTCGTGAGGAAATTCAGGTATGGATTTCCAATGAATGAGTCCTGGGATCCACATTGTCAGTCACTTTATCACAATATAGAGAACATACAGTTGAGCCACGCATATCCCATGGCACATGTTATTACCATAGTGGCAGCCAATCAATTGCAATTTATGACCAATAGGAATGATGAAATGGCTTACGGCAGCCAGTAATCTTATTAAATATACAGCAGCCAGTTGTACAGCGAAGTGGCCCAACTGTATATTCCCTATACTCTGTGACTTTATCTTTTAGATAAGTTAGTTAATGCTAGGTGTCCTGGGGTTAGCACTGTCATTCTTGAATAGATCTCATCTCTTTACAGGAGGTAGAAAGGAAGTACGTCATACCAGCAATGTTCAAAGAAGTTTATGCGAAAATCACGGTAAGAATTTTTATTTAAGAGAATCAGAAAATTATGATCTACTTTAAGCCCATTGCTTGCGAACATTGAAGCTCATGAAAAACACTCATTGATCATGGAAACACGTTATTTATATTAAACGAGGCAAGTTTATATCGTGTTAATCTCTCTTTTAAGCATGGAAACTCGAAGTGGAATTCACTAAACGCACCCGAAACCTTACTATATCCCTGGGATAAGAAATCAACTTATATAAAAAGCCCTCCATTCTTCGATGATATGGTAAGTTAATGTGGCAATTTCTACTACATACGCTTTTGTGGGGGGGGGGAGGGATGGAGGGAGACGGGGAAACTTTGACGACTAACTTCAGTCGGGGTGGTGGGGTGTATGTGAAATATTTTGTATGCATATGTAGTCGATCAAATATTCGATATTTCAGATATTTCACGTATAACAAACGTACATCAATACTTCTTTCATTACATGTTTGTAAATGTAGATCGTCCAGGTTGGTATAGTCCTGAGAAGGACTGTTTTTGTTGTTGTTGACTGACGTTTCGACAACCTTAGTGGCAGTCATCTTAAGAGTCAAATGAGGAGTAAATGTCAGGTTAGCCGTATTTGCTATCTGGTTCTTACGTCATTGTATTGTGTGTACAGGAAATTTGTGGGTGTCAATTGTGTATCGAAGATGACTACCGCTAAGGTTGTCGAAACGTCAGTCAACAACAACAAAAACAGTCCTTCTCAGGACTATACCAACCTGGACGATCTACATCTACAAACATGTAACGATACTCCCGTGTTCAAACCATTTACTTTATTACTTCTTTCATTAGTAAACATTCCTATTATCTGATGGACAAACGATCTGCATTCGATCTCCGTTGCTTTCGTTTTTAGACGTCAGATTTGCCTGAGATAAAAAATATCACGAATGCTGCTGTGTTGTTGAACCTTGGGGATTCTGTAACGACAGATCATATATCGCCTGCCGGTAGCATATCGCGCGTCAGTCCTGCAGCAAAGTACCTCTCATCGAGGGGGTGAGTTCCATATTTCATATGTTTTTTGTGATTTGACACATGTGATGTTTACTGATCTATCAAAGCAAAGCTGGATTTTGGGTTGTGAAGATGCAGTCGAAAAGCATACGGCGTTCTTCGATTGTTTACCATTCACCCAAAAACATGCTTCAAACAGCATCGTTTTGTTCTTTGAGGATTTGAGTTCTTTAAAATAAAAGAGATAAACTTTAACGTTGAGTTGCAAAATGATGCTATGAAGAGTATATTTTCTTTTGAAAACCCTCATTTCTTCTTCAAAAATTTATCGCTTAAAAGACATCGTATACAAAGCAACCTCTAGACACCACTGTACGTTTTATGTTTTCTTGTCAAAGAAACGATTGACGCAAGTTTACGACATTTTTCTCAGATTAGTGCCGCGAGATTTTAACTCCTACGGTTCACGACGTGGCAATGACGCTGTAATGGCACGTGGTACGTTTGCGAATATCCGATTGGTTAATAAGTTCATGGGAAAAGCCGCGCCAAAGACTGTTCATTTCCCATCAAACGAAGAGGTAATGAAAATCTTTGTTTTAGACATTGAGTTTGATTCAAAAAAACAATACTTTTATGAACAGATTTCAGGTTATTGAATCGAGATCTCTGCCCAGTGCTTTACATTTCTAACCAAAGCTTTTAAATTAGGGTCACCCCCCGAAAAAACAACAACCGGGGGTCCTACGTTCTTTGACCGACTTTTATAGAGTCTGTTGTACACATTGAACTAAAATACATGGAACGCAACCTCAAGCAAATAATTGAAGCCATACCTTACGCCAGACACGCGTGTTTAGTGTTTCGAGATTCTCTCGCGGAGTAATAATTGATTGACTACACACGCGTGTCTGGGGTAAAATCACGGCTTCAAAAAATTATTAGGGTTTTGTATTACAGGTAGCGTTCCGTGTATTTTAGTTCAATGGCTGTACACGATCAAAATGTGCGCCTTTTAGCTTGAATGATTTTTTCGTCCGATATCGTTTTTTGGGTCGACATTTTGTACATATTTCCCTAAACTGGAAATGCCACCCCCCCTCCCTAGAGTTTGCCCCCTGTTCGAATTGCCATCATTTTAGTTGAAAAAACGACCAGTTGTATTGTTCGAATTAGAAAATGAAGAAAAATGTGATGTTCATTGCAGTTATCACTCATTCTTCAACTTTTTCCGAGAAAAAACATTTTTTTCTATAAATGATAGATGTTCGTGTTCGATGCTGCTGAAAAATACCGTTCTGAGGGTCGTACGTTGATCATCCTAGCTGGCAAGGATTACGGCTCTGGTTCTTCACGTGATTGGGCAGCTAAAGGCCCGTGGATGCTGGTAAGCTATCTCGTGCGTAGCGCGTGCATGAGTTTTATAACATGACTTGTTTGCTTTTAATTTTCCAGGGAGTAAAAGCGGTGATTGCAGAAAGCTACGAAAGAATCCATCGAAGTAATCTCGTTGGTATGGGAATCATTCCCCTGCAGTATCGATCGGGGCAGAATGCCGAGAGCCTCGGTCTGACCGGAAAAGAAAGTTATTCTATCGATATTCCAGGCAATCTCAAAACCGGACAGATACTCGAAGTCAAGGTAAGGCCACTAGAGTATATAGATCTCTTGCCTACCTTTATCTTTAGGAAAAGTTTACATCTTTTCATCGAGGGTGACTTTGTGTAGGTTACTTAAGTATCTACGTTGTCTGTTAAACATGTTCAGCGGTCTTGTGAATTTCGTCCATGGTTTCTTCAGTTACCACCCAGGATTCAAAATAACGGCCGGTCAGCGGACAATGATCGGCGAAAAAAGCTTGTTGGCCGGCCACTTTTTTACCTTGACGGCCATTTTGAACGAACATATTTTTTCGTTTTTGCCAAAAATACAACAGTCATGCGATGCATGGTAACATCTTGAGAACTTAAAACGTCAAACACGAGAATTTTTTGTCTTAAAAAATCATCTTTTGCGTTCTTTAGCGCAATTTGTACACGAATTGAATGGTTTGAACACGGGCGTATTTCCAGGCTAGTCGAGTCCTAAGAAGGACTGTTGGTGTTGGTGTTGACTGACGTTTCGACCACATTAGAAAGCTTTAGCAAAGACTACGAGTACGACTACGAGTACGAATGATCTTGATAATTTTCATGTATTTCGTACGCAAAGTAAACGGTAAACAAACAATAAAATAGCATAAATACATCGTACATAAAATTTAAAATAGTGAAGATTTTTCACTCTAAAAAGTCCTATGTTCTCGCAAAATCAGTATTACCGAGTCATTGATATCATTATTGACAAATAGAGCCGTAGCTGCTTCGCAAACGTCGGTGTTTTTCACAATAAAAAGGCTCGTTCTGTTGTTTACAGCTAAAACTAAATTTTGACGAAGCGACAACGACAACAAACTTCCTCGTGCCATTCCCTTACACGGTCAAACTTCGTACTCGTTGTCGTAGTCGTAGTCGTGCTAAAGCTCTCTATTTACCGATAGTCATCTTCATGTTGAAGCTAGAACTACAAGTACAAGTTGCTCCACAATTAACTTTGAAGAAGACTATCGTCAGGTTGTCGAAACCTCTCAGTCAACACTAACAGTCTTTATCAGGACTCCCCAACCAGGACGTTGTACATCTACAAACATGCAATTTTATATATATTAGTGACCCGGTCATCTTGATCGTTTACATTTCGGCCGTTATTTTGGTTATCAAATGTCTCATTAATGGCATGGTTCCATCGCCTGCGGAGTCCACTCACCTAATTTGCGGGAAAGCTTTTATCGAAAAAGGGGAAGGGGGTTCGTAGCATTTGATAAATAGAGAAAGGGGGGGAGGGAAATGATCAAATGCACGTATATATCGAAAACTATGGTATTGAATAAGAGATGACATTTTTGTTTTAAAGGCTGATGAAGACAAGAGCTTTGATGTCATTTTACGTTTCGACACGGATGTTGAGCTAACTTTCTTCAGGAATGGCGGTATTCTCAACTATATGATCAGGCGAATGTCATGTTCTTGATCAAATAATGGAAAATATGACGAAGACCATGATGAAAAGGGCACATTTTATATACATTCATCTGCTCTTCTTCTTCATGGCTCTTCGGAAATATTTTTGAAAACGGACGATGGACGTTCTGATTATTTTTGTGGTTGTTTCAATAACTATAACTAAAATTGGCTTGAGGGATTTGGCGAGATTCGTTTTCAACTTTTAGGGGCCGTTTATATGAGCCCGCGTAACCGGGATTCAGTGAGGCGTGAAATGATTTCGAGGTATTGAAAGGAGTCGAAACTTCAAGCGTAAAAATTACAACTGTTTATTAAGCGCCACAAGTCAATCCTGTTGTAATTCTCAAATCAGGCCGAATTTGTTATTGTAATTTTAAATGTTTTGTGTAGTTATAAAACCAGAATATTGTGAAATTGCTCGAGAAGATTTATCTTATGATAAGTATTGAATCGTTTCCATTTGCCAAAATCATTTATCGTTTGGCTGAATCCTGGGTACCCGGGCTCGTGTAATCAGCCCCTTAGTCAGATGCCTAAGGTGAACTTGAAATTGGGTTGAAATATTTTTACCTTGGGAAAATGTGAAAACTACTCGTTAAAACTAGTGTGGTTGATCTTATTATATAGCCGGGAAAATATTGGAAAATTATGCATTCTAATGTAAAATTTATTCTTTAAAATGTTGTTGCTGTTAAATGCTGCATGGAAATGAATTTTACGCGCGAAAGTTGATGAATACATCGACATCTTGAACATCTTATCTTGCCTGAATATTAAATCTTTTCTCCCATTTAGCAAATTCCAGTGATAGGGTACTTAATTAAATTAAAAAAAAAACTTAATTTATTTTTGTCGCAGAAATTTTGAATGAATCTTCGTTATTGGTTTACAATGGTCGAATTGAAAGCCAGCAATTTTCACTCGTGTGAAAACGTATTATGCTCAAAACCAGAATAAATCTTTCCCATGAACTGTTTGGAACAATTGGAACAAATATTTAACCAATGAAAACGCGCGTCTCAGCATGGAATGAATTCCAAATACGCATTTTTGTTGACGTTAAAAGGAAGGCTTGAAAGTTATTTGATCTTTGCTTGAACATTTCTCATTTTCGTCCCTAAAGTACCCTTTTTAAAACTAGAAAAATTGCTTTACATAGAAGAAAGACCAGAGAGGTACGTAATTGAGTTTAAATTTTGAATTCAGCATGAAAAAGTGGATTTCGTAAAGTGGGAATTGACACAGATAGAAATACTAGACGCTTCGTTGTTAAAGTACATATAAGTTTTAAAAGAATTTTCGAAAACGTCCGTTCATTAAATATATACGGCAATTGTTTAGGGGTGTTTTTGTTCATATACGTCGACATTTCTAGTTACAAAACAATATAATCAAAAATTTATAATATTTATTTCAAAACCAAACATTTTGTTTATAATCGTGATAAGGATAATGAAGACTTGTCTTTAAAAAATTCTTGGTTTTGTTAGGCGCTTTCTTTTTCGTTTGAATCGATATTGATTCTGAGCGTGGCAAATAGTTTTAAATAAAATACCGCGTCAATATTTTAAGTGCTTGCGTGAAAGAAAATTTTGTAGTGTAATTGCATTCAAACGTACTTCCTTCGCAGACATTATTTTCTTTATGTTTAGTTTATTTTGATCCCATTTAACATCTACGTTATCATTCGTCATTTTTTTTTTGCTAAAACAATTTAATTTAGTGAATTTCTTGTAAATCACAATAGTTATTGATCATTTGAAATTCGAGTTTCTTTCATCATGACGAAAACGATGAAGAAATGTTTCCTTGCTGATGTTAAACTTTTTATTAGTTTCGTGTTGTTGGACGTTGTGAAAGATGGCCATCGCGAGGCTCTTTTTCTTGGTGTCTTTAATTTGCCTGTGTGAGTTGACTGTCGTATGTTAAATATTTGTGAATGTAGTGTCATCTACCGTTAATTTGTTTGTAAACTAATGAGAGCATATATTTCCTTCTAGTTTCAGGTAATGTGGCGCTTAAATGCCACCAGTGTGGTGGATTAAGCTTAGAGAAGTGCATAAAGTTTTCAGGCACGTGTCGAACCGAGCAGAATCGGTGTCTCACCTTCATGATGGAAGGTGGGAAGAGTGGAAAAATTTACTATAAGAGATGTGGTCGAAAGAATGAATGCGGCAAAGACAACCTTAAAAGAATATGTAAGAGCAAGGCAGGATTCCACAAATCTCCCTTTTGCAGATCCGCATGCTGCAATGTCAACAACTGCAATCAAGGTGGAAGACTTTTATTTTCATGGTTAACATAATTCCTGCAATACCTTTTTTCATGAAAATTTTGTTTGCCTAAGCATTTGGTGAATGTTAACATATTGAAAGTAATCATTTAAAGTTTCCTCATACTTATCCATTGAAAGAAATTTGTAATCAAGCTCATGGTATTTGAGCAATATCTGGTCACCAACAAGGGCAAATGGCAAGTCAAAGGATTTTATTTTTTGTGTATGGTAGTTTTTTTTTCATTAGAATAATAGTTCACCATAATGAATTGCCATCAATTAGCTGGCATTTTTAGGTAATGATGTTATTTCAGGGTTATTCAAAAAAATATTTGTGAATATTTTCTTTTTTTGTAATTATATTATGAACAAAGATCAATATTTGTGTTATGTCAACATTCTGTTTTTGTGCATTGTAGTTCTTGCTACCCTATTGAATTTTTTGAATTGCACTTTGGCTTAACTACCCATGCAAATGGCATTTCTCTAAACCAAAGCAATAAAGCAAGCCATTAATAGCATCTCACTTTATGTCATAGAGTTTGCCACAGGATTTACTTTTACCCTAATATATTTCACTTCATGTTAAACTAAAAGTACAACACATTGGTCCTAGGACGAAAGTGATATGTACATGTATTCAAAGATATTGATTTATAAATAGTTTTTATTTAGTCAATGCGTTCTAGACACAAAAACTATTGAAGGAATAGGACATCATGAATTTGACAAACAAATTAATGGATTTTTCTGATCCTGGATTTCTTGCTGAATTCAAATATAATCAATTTCTTTGATTTCCTAGATCCATCATCCATGTCATCTAATTTAGACTAGTGTTGTTATTTAGTGTTAGAAGGTATATAAATTATGTTAATAGTGAAGTAATGATAAAAAGGTATTCTGAAATGAACACCAAGATTAGAACTTAGAACACTGTGACAGAAATAAGTTGCCTTCAGTTTTTTCTTTGGATAAATTCGAAATTTTATCTACATGAAGTAAAGAGTAAAGTTACGTGTTCTTTGCGACCACGTGACTGTCTGGAGTTTCGCGCTTGAAGTTTTAAAAATGGCTTCACTTGGATGCTTGCATGAATGGCAAAGGAAGCTTCTCTTTATTTTCTCTTTGCTAATTCAACTATATTTTCAACAAACTACCTCCTTGTTGCTGTTAAAGATACCTGAAAATCTCAACTATATTTTCAACAAACTACCACCTTGTTGATGCTTCAAGATACCAGGAAAATTGACTATGTTTCAACAAACTACCACCTTGTTGCTGTTTAAAGATATCAGAAATCGTAATTTCTACAAGCTACTACGACCTTGCTGCTCTTAACAATACTTGAAGAATTTAACTACATTTTTTCAAACCAGCTCACCTTTTGGATGTCTGTCTCATTTAAATTTCAAGAAAAGAGCATTCAGTATTAACCAACCTTCCACCACAGTCTGCAGTTGATTTATTTAAAGCTGCAATGCAGAAAGGCACCCAACTAATTGGTTTTATTAATAATTCTTTATTGAGAAAGTGAATTCATTAGATGCGACACTGCCTTATCTCTGCAAGTCATGGAATGCATGAAGCCATTAAGTCCAATCTCACATGTCCATGTCAATGATGTCATGTCGCTCATGCATGTTGAATTGGTAATTTGGATTTTCTCGTATTAATAATGATGCTGTTGATGCATTGGTATTACTTTGGTAAGCATTGTTATCAATGGCTCAGTTTGGTAAGTAAATAAGTGTTCTATAAAGCCTAGGTATACTGAATAGTTCTACTTGAAGTTTTTTGTCTAAGTTTATATAACTCAAAATACTAATATGTTAATGTTATGCTCGTTGTGCAGCCTGTGCTCAGATCTTTAATTCCTCGATCGCGTTTTGTATTGATACAACGATATATGTTTCTTAGTAGTTAATTTAATAATCGGCGTGCAAAATTTTTGGAAAATATTGAGAACTTTGCAAACTTTCTAGTCTGGACCACGACTATTTGGAAAAGAAAAAAACAGCTTGCAAGTTTTTTAAAGAATTCTATAAGCATGTGCCAGCTAATGAAAAGGTGAATTGAATGTACCACTGGCCATTTAGTAAAGTTCATTGCTAAACCACATCGATGACCAATCAACAATCAAAGTATAGCATAGAATCACTTCATTTCCATCCAGCAATTACTTCTTTTATTTCGCAAAACAAAACAGAAAAGCTACGCATTACATTTCAATTTCAGAACTTTGCTTGTTTTGAAAGCATTCGTCCTTGTAAAACATCAATTGCTCTGTTATCAACACCTTGCTTACAAGAAACTAGTACATGATTGGACTATTTGTTTAACACTTGATAAAATTTGATGGACACCTATAATGGCTGTATCAAAGATCCACCTTCGTTGCTTTCACCATACCGAGGGGGCTGTGGGAATATACATGGACACGAAACTTTGCTCATGTAGTACATCCATGATCCATGGATAAAGTATCCACTGAATCCTTTGCGATACCATCCCCGCCATCCACTTGAAATGCCTGGAGCTAATGGGAATTTTATACATATGAATTGATCAGTAATGTTATGACTACAAATCATTAAACTACACATGGAGGTTTATGAACCTAATCAGGGAGTCTCCTACCATCATACCCCTATGATTGGGAGAGTGTCACACCCTCATACCCCCAGTGATTGGAAGGGAGTATCATACCCTCAATACTCCTATGATTTGGAGGAGTGTCACACTCTCATGGCTCAGTGATTTGGGAGGGAGTGTCACACCCTAATCCCTCAGTGATTGGAAAAGAGTGTCACACCCTCAATACTCATATGATTGGGAGGAGTGTCACACCCTCATACCCCAATAATTGGGAGGGAGTGTCACACCCTCATAGCCCTTATATCAGAGGGAGTGTCACACCCTCATTCTCCTGGTGATTTGGAGGGAGTGCCACACCATCATGCCCCATGATTGGGAGGGAGTATCACACCCTCAATACCCATATGATTGGGAGGGAGTGTCACCCTCATTGTCCTAGTGATTTGGAGGTGTCACACCCTCATACCCCAGACAAGTCAAGAAGCTGAAGATATTCCTCCTTCGTCAAACTTACCATAGCACAGTTTTCTAAAATGATAACAGAAATAAGGTGGTGGTTGTTCCGAAGAGAACATTATTGGAAAATACATTCCTTTTTCCACCATTTTATCTCTGGTAAAGTTGAATGATGATACCAAACATATCTGGACCACGATCAAGCAACACAATTGGATGGAAGTCCTCATTTCTAGAACAATAACTTTTATTCTCTGAATTTAGTTAGAGCCATTGTGACCATACATGCAATGTTTTTTTACTAGATTTAGTCCGATGAGCCGAGACTCTCCCACCTGCCCCATATAGGTGCAAATTTCAGAACAGGGGGGAGTGTTTGCTCATTTGACCAGATCTGATAACCGGAACATTGTGCTGGTTTTACAAGGTTTTACTAGACGCTTCGTTGTTAAAGTACATATGTTTGCTCATTTGACCAGATCTGGTAAAAATTTGCACATATGGTAACACTGGTCAGAACATTGTGCCGGTTTTACTGGTCTTTATGTCTGATATATATTTAGTAGCTATGTCTTCGAACTGTAATAGTTCTTGGCGTTATGCAAAGATAGTGCACTACAACGTTTAAACTTGAATAAACGTTGGCAAAAGTTTTTAAGGCCATCCGTGAAATTTTAGGAAATTCTGAAGCGCTGAGCAGAACGGCTACTTCATTAGCAAATGAAAACATAGTTTTGAAATCGTCTAAATCAAGCGTTTCACTTTTTGTTAAATTATTTTAATGCGCAAATTCTCTTCGAATCGTCTTTTCGCATTTAATTTATGTGATTGCTTGCACAGCGATAGTTTTCCTCAATGGTTGTGAAAAAAATTTGGTCGGTGACTTCACCCAAGATTATTAAGGAAAGCTTTTCAGCTTTAATTTTGCTCGTGCACGAAATACGCATATAGTGGTAAATTTTGCCCTCCGGTGATTCGATCATTGAAAATGCTAGAAAAAAACGCGTACGAAAAATACGATGGCTCTCATGTTTGACAAACTTATACTGTGATAACTTCCCATCGTCAAATAAACCTTGGGTTACTTAACTTTTCAAGCATTTATATCTTGTGTAGCGTTTACTTTTCAAGCATGTATATCTTGTGTAGCGTTTTATTTTGTCAACACTCTCCAAACGACAAATAACTTCTCAATTTTCAAAGCAGAACATGAACCGAAGGACAATTTTACTCGCGTTTCAAAGGCCATATCTTGGAAACTTAACTACGATACACTTACTTTGTTGTTTGTTCTCTGCTTTCAATAATGGCTCCGCTTGCTCTTCTCGCAAAATCCTTCAACAATACCGCATTCACTTACAGAATCGGGGTCAATGATGGTGAGCGCAATTTAGCGGTGATATGTGAAAAATGTGTAATATTATACCACACATGTGTACTGATTGTCTTTTCTGAAATCTCGGCTTTGCTAAATTAGATCTGTGAACTATGTTTAGCTTTGTAAACTATATCCAATTTTATTTACTCTCGGTAAATTGAAATGTCTTCGACTTTTGTCGACACATGTGAGGTTTTGTTTTCTGCGCGTCTTTTTTGGAGCTTCGTTGGCGGATATCAGACGAAAAAGGACTTTGTTTAGCTAATTGTACATGAAAATGCCTTGAAACACGTATAAATTACAATGGAGCCAGGAATCAGGTTTTGAATTTACAAATATCAATTAGCACTATATATGACTGAAATAACAGCTCTTTTATGATATTTAAGCAAAGTTCCTTGTAATAGCTTTCTGAAATTCTGTTTTTACAGAAGGCGCATCAACTCCGCGGGGCTTGGTGTTGGTCCGGGAGGAACTGGGACGGAGCACGGACATTGGAAACGCGATGAAAAGTACAGCCACTTATCGAAGGTAAGATAACTTGATCTGCCAGTTTCGTACCATCCAAGCCAATCATGAGGAACTCCCGGCACTGTAGGAAAAATATAGTGACGGTTTCAGTTTTTTAACAATCAACAAATTCTTTAACATTGTCTATGGAAAGCCATCTTGCTACAGAGTAATTGTGACTGTAAACATTTAAATTCTTAAATAATATATAAATATCTAGGTCACAGACAATGATGAAAGCCGAAGAACACTATTCAATTATTCATTAGACATTTCTCAGTACAATCTACTTCTTAGTAGTGTAGGCACACGTTCCAACTTAGGGAGCTGGGGCGAGTTTTCCCGGCAAGCCTTGCAGGTTGACAAGCTTAAAAAGTGAAAGACTTCAAGCATTCTCCTTTCGTCGTTTTCTGTTTTTGACTCGACCAGTTGAAATAACTCGCCTCCCTCGTGTAGTAGCGAGCGAAGCTAGCCCACAAGTTAAGTCGTGTTAAGTAGATTTCAGATAGTAAGCCCTATCTACTTCTTTAAAAATCGATGGTTTTACGGCTAGTGTAGATCGACTCGGCTTCGACCAAACTTGGCTACCCTACTCGCTTCATCGTTATTATATTTTAACTACGGGCCAATCGTATGGACATAGGGTAGCATACCGTAGGCTTGCTTTCTCAAGTGATGACACATTGTACGTGGGACTTTGCCGTGAAATAACACCGGTATGAAGACAGTGCCAGGGATATCAGGTGGATACCGTGGTAATGGAGGTCCCGGTGCACCAGGTTCACCCGGTAGCCCCGGTACACCTTGATTTCCCTTAGGTCCAATCGTTCCTATGTAACCACGAGAACCAGGAGATCCAGGAGATCCTGATGTTCCTTGCATGCCTGAAGAATCGTAATATTTATTAATGTGTACAGCTGAAGCATTCAAAAATCATTTATCAGGAATGAGAATGTACATTGATGTAATGGTCGATGGTATGCTTTATTTCGTGGGTTGAAGAAAACTTTGACATCAACTCCGCTCAGTGGTGTAGAAGTGGGGGGCGATTGGGGGAGGAGCCCCCTTCTACTTTCGAAATTGGTAATTTTAAAAGGGCACTATTGACAAAAACGTCAAGAGAGCCCCCCCCCCCTCTGATAAATTTAGTTCTACAGCACTGACTCCGCTCATTTTAAAGGAAATGATCAGATACAGGATAAGAAATCGTAGGTTATTTGACTTTCTGTGGAATGTGGCTTAGCTTAGTTTGTACCGAGCTTAGTTTGAATGCCGCGGCGATAAGCGACTTTCGAAAAAATACCTTTTTCTCCTTTTCCTCCACCGGGACAGTAACATGGCGCAGTTAAAGGCGCTTCCATACGTGGAAAAACACGCCGGCCCTTTTCGCCGGGTACTCCAGGGTATCCCGGCTCGCCCTTCTCTCCTGGCTCACCAACATCGCCATGCGATCCCTTGCATATATCATCAGGCTTGCTTCCTACACCAGGAATATTGTGCCAATTGAACGAGTTTGTCGTTTCGATGGCGAGCAGTAGCAAAAAAACCTCGATAAAAATCAGAACAATCGTTGCCATTTATAATACGAATTCGTGCTTTGGTTTTGGTTTGACTTTTAGGACCTCTCTCATGCATTCAATGCATTTTTTACACGTGGTTTCAATGTTTAGATACAAACAAAATGCCAAGGGATGTTGACTTTATGTTTCTCTTTCCCAATATGTTTTATCAACTTTGCTGTCGTTTTAATACATAATGGACTGTGTTTCACTCTCTTTCCCAACATATTTTATCAACTTAGCCTGTCGGTTTGATACAAATGGCCTTTTTCCAAAATGAGGCATTTTTGGTTGGTTCATTTTGTCAGCTAGTAATGACAATTTTCGTTGAGTTATATATTTTACTTTCAAATTTTTTGAAGTGATGAAAATGAAATAATAACCTGTTTGAAATGTTTGCCTAAACACGTTCTTATATGTATATAAGGTTGTCGAAACGTCAGTCTACATCAATACCAACAGTCCTTCTTAGACTATACCAACCTGTTTGAAATGCTTCCCTAAACACGTTCTTATATGTATATAGGATTGTCGAAGCGTCAGTCTACATCAATACCAACAGTCCTTCTCAGACTATACCAACCTGGACGATCTTCATCCACAAAAATGTTACGATACTCCCGGGTTCTAACCATTTAATTTATTATGATTTTATACGCTGCGTTTTACTATATGTGTACTGTGAGACGCCGCAAGGGCTAGTGTACACTTTTTAATGATACAGTCATTGTAAGTCATGTTCACGGCGTTGTGGTTGCATCATTTGTAACGTTGGGCTATTGGTTATGTGGATTTACTATAAACGGTTAAGCGTGTTGTCTTCTGTATTCAAGCCGTTGTTTATAATTGAACTGCGAGCCGTTCGTGTTCATGACCTCATTTATTGTACGCGCAATTTAATAACTGGATGATGTAAATATTTACGAAACTTTTCACAATCTTTATACTCTGTTAAATGTTGTAGATAGATCATACATCGTAGGTTTAAGATTTGTCCTTCAACAGGAATGTAATATGTAATGTAGCCCTCGAGAAAATTATACTTTTTTCGTCGATCGACAATGCTGAGCGTTCTATACTTAAAACCTACCTTTAGCATAATCATGTTTAATGATGAATGTATAGGCCAGCACTTGAAGTACTCGACACGATCGCCTTCACAGAGACACAACTCTTGTCGAAAATTTTATGAAAAACTCGACGTATGCACAGGAGACAGTGCTGTAGTGTTCGAGGGCTTGATCGCTTGATGTCTTTACTGCAGATATCCAGCGGTGACGAAGTTAAGTCTTCCGTTACTTATAGGTGACTTTTAGGTGTCCAATTTCATGCCGGATTAGATTTTTTTGCTCGCATGTTGTCCTTTTTCTGGTGATGAAAACCCTCACCCTCCCCTCCCTCCTCGTCGTTTTCAACGATGGTATTTGTGAGTTCATAGCACGGAGAGAACTGTTGTAATAGATACAAGTAATATGTTATATTTGAGTCAGTTCGTGAGGCAGCGGCCTTTGAAGATTTTGAAATGTAGAGGGATTTAGAAATACTCACCATGTCACCACAATATTTAATCTAGTTATGAAACTGCTTGATATTAGTTTCATTCGGTTTTCTTCCTGCATCGTGTCAGAGTAAAACATCTATTTATTTTTATAGAAAATTTAGCACACTTCTACCTGGCATTCTATATATCATAAACTTTCTAAGCCGGAAGCCAATTTTGTGGGTGTCCTTCCTATAAGGTACACCCAAACTCCAAGAATTGTGGATGTGCGGATACCCAGACAACCATGGCTTCCCTAGCCCCTGGTTTGACGCATGCTCGGCCAATGCCACGTGATGTAAATCCTAGGGCACGTGCTCTTAACTCAAACACATTTCAAGGAAAATGTTTTTCCTAAGTTTTTCGGGTGTTAATATTTTCCCACAAACATCTAAAACATAGACATGTTCGTACGTATTGAAAAAAAACAATATAGGAAATCTATAATGATAGGTTGTATTTATATTATCTATAACTATCGTCCTCAAGAGCTCTCAACAACGTCAAGTTTTAATCACTGATCGTTCCTCCCTATAGACGCCGCATGAATTCTCTCGCACTTGGCGTTGGTCCCGGGGGGAGTTTGACGCTGCACGGACACATGAAACGCGACGAATAGTAGAGCCAATTGCCGTATGTCAGGTAGCCGGACCTCCCTGGTTCATTCCAACCGACGAACTTATTTGGAACTACGGGAACTAAAGAAAATCGTACAAATATTGGTGGTAAGTGTGCTTTATTAATTAGCAGCATGTAAAACTGAGCTTCTGATTCAATTAAAAGTATACTGGAGCCCCCTAACATTACCACATAACCCCTGATCACCATACACCCCGTAATGATCACCATGATCACCATACACCCCGTAATGATCACCATACACCCCGTAATGATCACCATACACCCCGTAATGATCACCATACACCCCGTAATGATCACCATACACCCCGTAATGATCACCATACACCCGTAATGATCACCATACACTCAGTAATGATCACCATACACCCCGTAATGATCACCATACACCCAGTAATGATCACCATACACCCTTAATAATCACCAATAACCCCGTAATAATCACTTTTACCCTCCCATCATCGCCATAAACCTCCTAATCAATACCAAAACGCCAGTTTAGTAACTTTCATATCAATGATACAACAAACATTTATTGGATGAGGTTTAACATGATATCAAGAATTATTCGAGCCAAGTTCAACGTTATCTGTGGATGGGAATAACATTGAGCGAGGTCTAAATAATACTTGATATCATGCGAAAGCCGAATTCAACAATTGTTTTATTACTCACCTCAACTAACTGAAATATTATTAAAACATATCAATGTATTGTAGAACATTATTAAAACCATCGCTAATTTGTCCGTGTCAGACGGTTTATTCAAGTTCTTCTGCTTTAAATATGTTGTAATAAAATATGTTCAGCGAGCTTCACAGCTTTTTTAGTGTAGTGTTTTCCGCATCCTTTTTGTTTACAAGCTTTTGCATATTCTTTTGTTTATAAGCTTTTGCACATTGTTTTTGTTTACAAGCTTTTGCATATCGTTTTTGTTTACAAGCTTTTGCATATTGTTCTTGGTTACAAGCTTTTGCATATCGTTTTTGTTTACAAGCTTTTGGATATCGTTTTGTTTACAAGCTTTTGATATCGTTTTGTTTAGCTTTTGCATAACGTTTTGTTTATTTATATTGTTTTACAAGCTTTTGCAATCGTTTTGTTTACAAGCTTTTGATATTGTTCTGTTTTTGATATCGTTTTGTTTACAAGCTTTTGATATTGTTTTGTTTAGCTTTGCATTGTTTTGTTTATAAGCTTTATATCGTTTTGTTTACCAGCTTTTGCATCGTTTTTTTACAAGTTTTGATATCGTTTTGTTTACAAGCTTTTGCATATCGTTTTGTTTACAAGCTTTTGCATATCGTTTTTGTTTACAAGCTTTTGCATAACGTTTTTGTTTACAAGCTTTTGGATATCGTTCTTAGAAACTGTGAAAACAACGCTATTATTTGATATTTTCAAAACCAGCTTTTCATGGCGTCAATAATTGTAGAAAATGTTCCTGGTAAATATGACGTCAAAATTACAGATATCGAGAATTATTTTGCAAGTATTTGACCAATCAAAACCAACATTGTTTACATAGTGAATAGTAATAAAACATACCGTACGCGTGCCTTCTAAAATGATGACATATTATTCTTGGCATTCGACCTGAAATCTTTACAGGAACATAGGCAATGTTTCGTGCTCCAGGTGGCTGCATGGATACCCGTTTTGATGAATGTCCTGGTGCCCCAATTTTGCCTGGATAACCTTTTTCACCCTTTTCACCAACACGTCCCTTGAACCCTGGTACCCCATGTACACCTGAAATCAAAGCCACTGTTTCTATAGTATTATGTGTAAAAACACCTTTAAACCCTGTTGACCCATGTACACCTGAAATCAAAGCCACTGTTTCTATAGTTTTATGTGTAAAAACACATTTAAACCCTATTGACCCATGTACACCTGAAATCAAAGCCACTGTTTTTATAGTATTATGTGTAAAAACACCTTTAAACCCTGTTGACCCATGTACATCTGACATCAAAGCCACTGTTTCTATAGTATTATGTGTAAAAACACCTTTAAACCCTGTTGACCCATGTACATCTGACATCAAAGCCACTGTTTCTATAATATTACATTTTTACGTATTTGTTTTTTGTATCTTTTGTATTCATTTCTTTGTTGTTTTTTTTTCATGTCATTTGTTAGCAGTACTAGATTCTGGGATGCATTGCCAATCCAGTCCAGCCTTAGCAGTGGCGGACACTTTATAAAATATTGGCGAGTGGGGGCCCGTCCTCAAGGCATGAGTTTTCTAGGGAGATCCCACGTCATGCCTATTGGTATACTTTTAAAAAATTGAACGTCCACACGTATCCAAATTGTTTACGAATACGAAACTTTCCACTCTAAACATCGGATTCAAAAGTCTCTAGATAACTACCCTGATACTATCATCGGATGCGTGTGGACGAAAGACTTATCCGCAACAAGGAAGTTTGTGGATACTGCAACTGCTGGGAAAATATGGACCATAATAAAATCCGCTAGCGTAGCCGGTAAAACTATGATATTGTGGGGCCCAAACTCACTAAGTGCGCAGGGGCCTAAAAAACCTCAATGCGGCTCTGCTGACACGGTTACACGCCCATGAAAAATATGTGGCTTACACGTGTTTTGAACTTGCACATTTAGGATGCACGTCTGTCTGTCTGAGCCACATGTTTTTCATGTGCGTATAACCGTGTCAGAATTCCAATAAACTTCATGTTTTTCAATTATGTTCTGAGAGGTTACCTTTCCTGCCTTGCGGGCCTGGCTCCCCTTTCTCTCCTTTTACTGCTTCAGGGCAGTAACAGGGTTTGTCATCTGGTGGAGATCGAATGGAGTATGCGCTGTCACCCTTCTCTCCTTTGATCCCCTGGAGTCCCGGTTCACCGACGGGTCCTGGCCATCCAAGAGGGCCGGGTTCACCTTTATAGCAGTATGGTTGACAAAAATGTCTTTGAAACAGAAAGGTCGCGCAAAGGACAATGACAGTCAAGATTTTCTACACGATAGAAAAAGTTTGCCAAATTTTAGGCTGTACAGTTTAAAGTCCAGTATAATATTCAATAGTGGCCATTCGTACGGCGCTTACGTTTATGCGCAGTCGCGAGTTCGAATCTCGGCTTCGGCATTTTAATTTAGTTTTATGTGTGAGATATTTCCCTCTCTCAAAATCGATGTAATTTCTCCGTTTTATCAAGAACTTCTGGTTATGATTAAGGTTAGAGTTCAAAGTTTGATGTAAGAAGATTTTTCTCAAATTAAGATCTTCTTATTTCTTATATTAATGTAAGAAGAATTTCTAGAATGTAAGCATGCATAATGTAATAAATATGCATTGCATAACTACATAATCTTTAGTATTGTAGCTCATAAATTTTTGTCAACGTCCCTCAATTCTTCGTTGATATCGAAGCTTCAAACTCAGAAGCTCAAGTTGAAAAATTATGAAAAATAATATTAGAAAGCATGAGAAGACTCACTCCCCGATAATATATCTCCTTATGACGTAAGTTAGATTGTGGAAAAGGTTTATTTGAGTTTTTGAAAGACAAGTCGCAATCCATTACGATTAGCAATTATACCTAAAAGTGCGGGTGTCCTACGAATAGCCGCTTCGTGGTAAAAACGCTCACAAATCTTTAAGAGCCGCGCGGTCTACTTTGACAAGAGAATGACATGCTTATAAATACGTTTGTATACAAATTACAATCACCCAAACGACTACGTTTCCCCCAGTTCTTTATATCGAATAAGTTACTGCAAACAAAGCCAGGAAATTTTGAAAAAACCGTGTAATTTACCGTGATGGATTGCATATCTCTGCAGCAGTTGCCTCTTGAACGCTCGCGTCTTCTTCAACAGTTTCTAAACGTTATATTTTGTACGATATCAGACCGAAACAGTGCACGACTGTTATGGTTTAAAATTAATTTTAGCGTCATATGATATCTCTGGTCGTACTTTGAAATCTTTCCGGTCGCACAGTAGCTATAGGGGGCCGAGGAGTTCTCGTTAAACTTTTCAAATCAAATCTACCCTTACAAGTTGCAAGCATTTCTACAAACAGGGAACGATTCAATTGTTAAACCTCCAACTTTTGATGGGTTTTTTTTATCTCACTTGGAATAATTTTACTGATTTCCTCTGTTTGTTAGTTCGTTTTTGGTGACTTGTATAAGTTAATTTTGTTCACCTTTCTGGGGGTTGGTTCAGAAGACAAAGTTTTTGAGTTAGATGAGCCTGTATTTTTTCTGTTCTGCGTTACACGAATGGTAGCTACTTTATCTGACCCTTCCTGAAGTGTATCATTATGTTGTTATAAAGGAACACACGAAATACCTTCCTTACACTACTTTAGCTATACTTAGACCATCTTAGCTATACTTACACTACCTTAGCTATGCTTAGACCATCTTAGCTATACTAAAAAGTTATTTTCGTGTAAATAGTCAGTCTAATAGTTGTATTTTCGAAGTTCTACAGTGGCGTAATTAGGATATTCTGTCCTGGGGAGCAAGGACAGAATATCCTAATGACGCTTCCATTCCGTCAAAAAGGAAGAGGCAATAACTGTCGTAATATAAAATATGTTGAAGATGACTTTTTGGGGGGGGGGGCGGGGGCTGGTTGCTTCACAATTATTCTGTCTTACTTTCTGGGAGGCAGCTACGTCCAGCGAAGTCTGCAGCTTTTTGGAACCTAGACTTGTTTTTACTAACTTTATTGCCTTTACCATTTAAGTAAATATATAACTGGAAAGCTGCCTTTCGATAAACATGATGCCCGAAATTGCCTTAAAGCCGAATTTCTCTCAAGTCGCACATTTTAGCTTACAGTCGTAAATTAACTTCCTTTGGGTCGTGCGTGGAAAGACTGGCACTAGTTTAATGCTTGGCTTCCAATTTCAAAATAGCCATCCAGTTACATTATTCAGCTCAATGAGCCTTACTTATGTTTGTGTATTGTTTCTGTCCAGCGGTATATTGAACATTAAAGCTATACTTCAAGTGGTACCTCTCTGCTCCGGTGAAGAAAAATGACATAGGTATTCAATATTCTTAATTTATAAATTTATGTTTTTGAAATCCCCCGTTTATAACAATCCGTGTTCAATCTGAACAAATAAACCTAATTATTCAATATTTTTAATTTTTATGTATATATTTTTTTACAAATCCTCCATTTATAGCAACCCGTGTTTTCATTGTTCAAACTACGATAGCCACCTGTTGTCAAAAAGTTCGAGCGTCCTGCCGCAAACGAAATCTTATGCTTTATTTTTAGATGAGCTTGATGGATTTATTTCAACGTAAAGTTTACATGAAAATGTTGAAATTCAGTGTTTCGTCATCTTGATACAAACAGCGCAAATGTGTAGACCGAACACTTCAACTGTAAGGTGTGTGTTTGTGAAATTTTTACTGAGCAGGCTTTAAAGTTATGTTGGGAAGCCAATAAACAGCTAACTAAAATTCGAAAGTGAATTTCGTCGTTTCAACTTTCAGTCACGTTTCTCGAGTTTCTTAGAGGACACATGTTGAAAAATTATCATTCTAAAATCCAAATTAGGCCCGTTTTAAACGTCGAACTTCACATGAGCCGAGTGCATATAGCTAGAACAAAAGATAACGAAGAAGTTCATCACATTTTCTTTTGTTTTTAGTGCGTTCGGCGCATGTAAAGTTCGACGTTTGAAACACGCCTAAGTCTTTCAAAATGATTATTTTTAGTAAAGTAAATGGTTTGAACCCGGGAGCATCGTTACATGTTTGCTATGTAGATGTAGATCGTCCAGGTTTGTAGAGTCCTGAGAATGACTGTTGTTGTTGGTGTTGACTGACGTTTTGACAACTACAGCGGTAGTTATCTTCAAGTAAATGGTTTGAACCCGGGAGTATCGTTACTTGTTTGTAGATGTGGATCGTCTAGGTTGGTATAGTCGTGAGAAGGACTGTTTTTGTTGTTGTTGACTGACGTTTCGACAACCTTAACGGTAGTCATCTTCAGAGTCATCTTCAGACTACCGCTAAGGTTGTCGAATCGTCAGTCAACAACAACAGAAACAGTCCTTCTCAGGACTATACCAACCTGGACGATCTGCATGTACAAACAGTTATCTTCAAAGTGATCATTTTCAATTTTAGCAGTAGTCATCTTCAGAGTCACTTGAGACATCATTTCACTCGAAGACTCAGAAGATGACTACCGCTAAAGTTTGTCAAAACGTCTGACAACACAAACAGTCCATCTCAGGACTATACCAACCTGGACGAAATACATCAACAAACATTACTGTTTCTAATGTTGCGTTCGTATTTCTTTCATTTAGTTCCTCTCAGAATGCCGTGAGTCATTTTCCCTCTCTTTAATCAAACTTCTCGATGCAGAATTTTGAACTACTGTTGTTGCTTCTTACATCAGTGGCCATCTGTTGGTCAGGAGGTAAAATTCTTACTTAGCTCTTCTTTGATGTTTGAAGCAAGTGGGGGGTGGTGGAGAGCTTCTGAATTGCTCACGTAAGTCTGTGCCAACACAGAGAGCGATTTAAATGAGTTTTTTTAAGATTCGACTATTCAACTAAATTTGTATCTGGAAGGCTACCTTTGTATAATCATGTCTGTACTTAATTGAAGCTAAATTTTACCCTCAGACACGTATGTGTTGGGTTCAAATCCCGCATTGTAGCTTTCTTTGGACGGTGCGTGGAAACATTGGGACTAGTTTAATTGCTGGCTTCAAATTTTGGCGGGAGGTAGCAGTCCAGTTATATTCAGTCAATGGACTCGACCATGTTAATCAAGGGCCGGTAGCACGAAGGCCGAAGATCGCTATCCACTGCATAGCAATATTTTCAAACGCTACAAAATCTCTTAAAAGGGAAAAATCTACGATTTCAACTGAGCAATCAGTTAAAATGGAAAATTGTTTCCAGAATTATCAAGTTTGATTATCGTAAAGTAAATATTCCCGACCTTTTTCACAAGTTTGAAAAAAAACACTATCCAACGGATAACGCTATCCAGGCTTCATACAACCGACCCCAGGAGAGGAAGTACCTTACTTTTGTGCGTCTGGTTAAATTTTTCTTACAAAAAATCTTTTCAATGTGGTGTCATTAAAGAGCTATATTTTTTTAATAATGCAGCTTATCGTTTTCAGAGTTGAGGTGCCTACGACCAGGCGCGCCTGTTATTAGCCTTTACAAAGACAACCGTTACTTTCCTGGCCATGTCGATGGTCTGGGGGAAAGCATTGACGTCACATTTGAGAATGGTCGACAGCAAACCTACAGTTCTTTTACTAATGATGTCATCGTCGATGATCCCCCTGACGTAAATGAACTGGAGGGTGGATCACGTGTTCTCGCGAGGCGTCCGAGCTCGGTGTCATATGAACCGGGTTTTGTGAATGGTAGCATCGAAGGTCTACCGCTGAACAACACTTTTCTCGTGATGTTTGATAATGGAGATACTATTGCAAGAAATATTGAAGATATACGACTTGCAGTGAAACCTCGATCCTGTAGTAAGATTTTTATGTCTTTTATCGATGCACGAGAAGTGATATTCTTTGATTTCCTGCAATATGATTGGCTGCAGCAGCGGGTGGCTTTTTACGATATCTTGACTGTGATCCGTACATTTTTTTTGCAATATGTATTGTTTAAAAAAAATATTTTAATTTTAAAATCGGCGATTGTAAAGCCATGTAGATTGTGCAAGGAGAAAGAAAAATGTATTCAGACAGTAGTTATCATAGCATGAGCGTATTTTACTATCAAGACGAAGTGAGCTTTGTGAAAAACAATCTCAACAAGCAACATCGACCATTTCACGACGTTGTATGATTATAAAAATAAGAAAATTAAAACGTTATTTGAACTTTAGGTAGGTCCGTACACAAAAGATACTTTTCTCGCGTCCTCAGAAGCGTTCTTCGGCCTACGGACCTCTCAGTCTAAAAGTATATTTATTTATTGCACGGAATGTTCTGTTAAAATGTCACTTATGATCAGCGTCGTTTGCAGGACGAAATGCTTTCTTAAACTTGAAAATTTATTATAAAATAAACACAATAAAACGGGTGCGGCGATTGGTCTATATCTTTGGTTTGTGCAAACCGATTTTCCCTCGAGTTCTCTCAAAATCCTCCGAGCTTTGCATAATTTTCATAAGCCAGTGCAAGCACAATAAGCATCTTTTATTTCTCAAATGAAGTTGACCTCAACCAGCGAAAATATGTCATTATACGGAGACAAAAATATGTCATTATACGGAGACAAACCCAATTGATATGTTTTAATTTTGACCAATATACTGGCGAATATTTAAAGCTAGCTGATCTGAATCTAAAGTAAACAATACAAAGAAAATACTCTTAAATATAGTAGAAGTGATTTGGATGCGATAAAACTAGATCTTGTGAACGTATTTAAACTTAGCAGTTGTCAAATCACAATATTTGGTCGACCAATGTCAGCAGTTTGACCATATATGTAAGACTTTTTTACCAGATTCGGTCCTATGGTGTGATGTCAATATTTTTGATGTATCCCTTGGTGTGACGTCACAATTTATGACGTATCCTTTTGTTTAGTGAACGAGAAAGGAATCTATATTGGATGCTTCGAGAATTCCATCAAAAGTTTCCTGACCAATTACTATCCGGTAAATCCAACGGATGTTGCCACCTGCAATTGGGCGTGCTTCATACGTGGATTCCGTTTTGCTGGATTGCAAAATGGCACGTGGTGTTTTTGTGGAAACCACGTGAATGATTCGTTGAGGGTGGAAGATAAAGAATGCAACATGGCATGTCGGGATAGTCGCGAAGATATTTGCGGTGGTTATCAAAGGATGACCATTTATTGGACAGGTTAGCAGGGGAAATATGTGTAGTCACATGATGTTAATCAATCTGGGATTCATACTGGTAGGCAGTGTCGTAGCTAGGACGTTCATTAGGGAGGTGTTGATATTTTCATTTGTTCCCGAATGAACTCTTTTGAAAGTAATTTGGCTTTCTAAAGAAATTAGTCGGGCACAACTGAAAGTGAATACACGCCCGCCTCCCCTCCTAATAAACGTTCTAATGCCTCCTAATGAACGACCTCCCCTCCTAATGAACGTTCTAATGCTTCCTAATGAACGACCTCCCCTCCTAATGAACGACCCTGTTGGTAGCAAGCTCCCAAAAATCGAATTTAAATGTTCTATTTTAAATGTCATGTTTGAATACTGAGACTGAGACCAATCAATAAACTGAGATGATAGACCAAGATTACATTATATAAAGCTCATGTTCATTTGAATACTTACTCCAATGATCGTGATCAATAAACTGAGACCATAGACCAAGATTACATTAAAAAGTGGATAAAATTGAAAAGAAATAGAAGTGATGTACTAATACGTCAACAAGTTTGGAGAAGTATCGTGTAACAAAACAACATGAACATCAGAAACCCTGATTTTTTCAACCCGTTGTTTTCTAGGAGCTGATTTTACTGATAATGGTACCAGTGATCTTGGAGACAGCACAGGTGAGAATTACTGACTTGAATTCGACCTGGATATACATTTTATCCGAATACTGTATTTTATGTGGTCAGCGGTTGGAGACAAACACGTAGGCTCGTGGAAGTCTGATTCGTCGCCTGAGAGCACGTGCTCAGATCTTTATGACAGCACACAATGTAACGCGTGGGCCGAACTGTCAAAATGTATCGAGAATCCTGATTGGATGATCACCAACTGTAAGAAAAGCTGCTACGCCTGTGGGTATGATGACGAACATGTTGATAACACCATTGGTTAGTATTTCTAACATCTCTATCAGTGACGTAGTCAGTCCCCGAAAGTTTGATTGTGTTACGTAAATGTTTCGTCGGTAATTCATTGTTGGCACTATCGATTTCTATTGAGCAAGACGCTTGTCAGGCGTTAATTCTGATAGCATGTGTCAGTGTTTGGTGATATTTTCGTTATTTTTTTTTTGCTTAGTAGTTGCCAACTAGCACAACGAAATCTCGGCATATATTATGTTTATCATGTTTCCCTATACATGTCATTGGTCATACTCACGCGTGAAACAATCCATGAAAGATTGCGATTGGTTCAAGGAGTTCGTGTCAATCACGCGTGATTAGTGCAATCTCGCGACATTTCGGGAAAATCATTCCCGAGTCCTGACGCATTTTCAAATAATGTTAATTTGTCTGAGATTTATTGAAAGCACGACCAAACTTTCTGGTTGCCTACGCGCCACAGATTTTCATTGATCCAGTGTTTTCACGCGAAGACAAATTATGAACATTTGTGTCATTTCAAATGTTCATCGCATATAAACACTCGAAAATATTTCTTCCAGACAAAGTTGATTCAAACCTGGAGACGAACGCGTTGTATCAGTCCCAGGCCAACAGAGATCGATTCTCTTCAACTCCTCCGACCACTTACGTTCAAAACTCGTATTCGTCACCAGACCTCTCGTCCAGGAAGTCGGATTATCCGTTGTTAGACGGTAGGTTTTTGCTTTGTTATGTATACTTTGAAGTAATCAGATACTCTTAAATAGAGCTTTTTGCTGGTTGTTGTGGCATACTGTTTCAAACATGGCTAAAATTGCATGCAAATCGACAATTTTCCACTCAGATAATAGCAATAGTCCCGGGTATCTTGGCTGTTTCCGAGACTTTCCGAGCTCGCACGATCTTGAATACCTTGCCGATATAAGACCACTTTCCATACGTGCTTGTGTCACTAAATGCAAGTCTATGAGGTTCCCATATGCTGGTGCCCAGTCTTCGTCTTCGTGTTACTGCGGCCTGCGCTACGGTAGATATGGTCAGCTGGAGTACGAGGATTGTAATACGCCATGTGAGGCCGACTCGTCGGAAATGTGTGGTGGCATTGATAAAAATTCCGTTTATCACACAGGTGTGAATGATTCCTATTTGATAATTTCAAAACAATAAAAACCCAATCCTTAAACAATAAAAACCCAATCCTTAAACAATAAAAACCCAATCCTTAAACAATAAAAACCCAATCCTTAAACAATAAAAACCCAATCCTTAAACAATAAAAACCCAATCCTTAAACAATAAAAACCCAATCCTTAAACAATAAAAACCCAATCCTAAACAATAAAACCCAATCCTTAAACAGTAAAACCCAATCCTTAAACAATAAAAACCCAATCCTTAAACACTAAAAACCAAATCCTTAAACAATAAAAACCCAATCCTTAAACAGTAAAAACCCAATCCTTAAACAATGAAAACCCAGTTCTTAAACAGTAAAAACCCAATCCTTAATCATATGGTAAAACGCCAGTCAAAACATGTTTGTTGGTGTAGATCTTCCAAGTTAGTGCAGTTCTGAGAAGACAGCTGATTTGACTGAAGTTTCAACGTACAGACTTTATCGTGGTGACAAATTTAAAAATTGTTATAAAAGGAGCAAATACCATGGTGAATTGTCAAAATAATAACGTAATAGTTCTTAAAAGAAACGAGAACTCTTTGGGCAGATTTTATCGCATGATTTTGAAGCTCTCCTTTAGCAGACGTTGACATCTGATGAGTAGTCTGCCGAAATGCATAGTGTCTTTCATCTTTAAAAATTGTTCTTCGAATTCTCTTTGAATTGTTGGTTTAGTGTTCTGGCTTTAAACAGTTCTTTTAGAATTGTTGGGTTAGTGTTCTGCCTTTAAACAGTTCTTTTAGAATTGTTGGTTTAGTGTTCCTTTAAACAGTTCTTTTAAAAGTGTTCTGGCTTTAAACAGTTCTTTTAAATTGTAGTGTTCTGGCTTTAAACAGTTCTTTTAGAATTGTTGGTTTAGTGTTCTGGCTAAATAGTTCTTTTAGAATTGTTGGTTTAGTGTTCTGGCTTTAAACAGTTCTTTTAGAATTGTTGGTTTAGTGTTCTGGCTTTAAACAGTTCTTTTAGAATTGTTGGTTTAGTGTTCTGGCTTTAAACAGTTCTTTTAGAATTGTTGGTTTAGTGTTCTGGCTTTAAATAGTTCTTTTAGAATTGTTGGGTTAGTGTTCTGGCTTTAAATAGTTCTTTTAGAATTGTTGGTTTAGTGTTCTGGCTTTAAATAGTTCTTTTAGAATTGTTGGTTTAGTGTCTGGCTTTAAACAGTTCTTTTAGAATTGTTGGTTTAGTGTTCTGGCTTTAAATAGTTCTTTGAATTGTTGGTTTAGTGTTCTGGCTTTAAACAGTTCTTTTAGAAAGTGTTCTGGCTTTAAATAGTTCTTTTAGAATTGTTGGTTTAGTGTTCTGGCTTTAAACATTTGTTTTAGAATTGTTGGGTTAGTGTTCTGGCTTTAAATAGTTCTTTTAGAATTGTTTTAGTGTTCTGGCTTTAAACAGTTCTTTTAGAATTGTTGGTTTAGTGTTCTGCCTTTAAACAGTTCTTTTAGAATTGTTGGTTTAGTGTTCTGGCTTTAAACAGTTCTTTTAGAATTGTTGGTTTAGTGTTCTGGCTTTAAACAGTTCTTTTAGAATTGTTGGTTTAGTGTTCTGGCTTTAAATAGTTCTTTTAGAATTGTTGGTTTAGTGTTCTGGCTTTAAATAGTTCTTTTAGAATTGTTGGGTTAGTGTTCTGGCTTTAAACATTTGTTTTAGAATTGTTGGGTTAGTGTTCTGGCTTTAAACAGTTCTTTTAGAATTGTTGGGTTAGTGTTCTGGCTTTAAAAGTTCTTTTAGAATTGTTGGGTTAGTGTTCTGGCTTTAAATAGTTCTTTTAAGAAATATTAGGTTAGTACTTTCACCATTCACCATGGCGTTTCCTCTTTTAAAAACAAATTTTAAGTTTCAACATCTTTAAGGTTGTCATCATCAGAGTCAAGAGAGGAGGAAATGTCAGGTTTGCCGTATTTGTTGTACATACAGTAGCTTGACGTATGAACCGGACAACAATACAGCAAATCTGACATGTCCTTCTGACTTGACTAGGAAGATGACTACCTTTAAGAATGTCGCCAACAGCTCTTTTCGGGACTCTGCCAACCTAGACGATCTACATCCACAAAAATATCGAACGATACTCCGGGGCTTAAAATATTCGCTTTTGTGAAAACATGCATAATTTAGTTTGAGGCTTGTTTATTTGTGGCTTAGAAGAATGGTCCCTATAGTAGATCGAAACACACATTTGAATATCCTGTTGCAAACATTTTTACGAAACGTATTTTTTGTAATTGCTGATACTCTCTATCAATGATTTCCTAGGATTTCCTGCTCAATTTAAATCCGCTGATAGCTCGTCAAGAAGTAAGTGCTTCTATAAAAATTTAGTGGTGAAGAATGATGAGAAAGAATGCCATTTTATTCTTATTTTGCTTTTCACAAATTGTATAAGAATTTCAATCTTTAGATGCAGGAAACGAAGCTTCGTCACCTTTCTCTCAAACTGAACAGCCTGCAAGCAAGCGTTACCTTAGTTACAATACCTATACATCCCAAAATCAGCCTTCTACGTCGTATTCTCAAAAAAGCTTTTACCCGAATGTTTATTCGCGGCCTGCATCGCTCTATTCTCAGTTCGCTAATCAGCCAAGCTATACACAGCCCCGAGGCACTCAACCTGTTTATGCTTACAACTATCAAAATGGCAATATGGCGCGAGCGGGTAGGATGAGTTCCAATAGCGGAGATTTCCCCGAGCGACTCCAGCTCGTATCGGTGGAGAGAGACCTTTGCTAGACTGCGACAACAAGAGCAAGAACGCTTTTCCCGACCATCTTTATTTAATCTCAAAAGGCTTAGAGGAACGTGGTCAAAGTCTCTTGGAAATAGTGCAAAACATACTAAGTCTATTGGAAACGAGGCAAAACATATTAACGTAGCTAAAGATTCCAAGAAAACTTTTTTTCTGGAAAAAATGCTAAGGCTTTCTCAGCTGGCAGAGTTCCACAGTCACTTATTGTTCAACCCATATCACGAGTGAAGTTGAATTCAGGAAGAACAAATTCCAAAAGAAAGATTTTCTCCTTAGTGAATAAAGCTCCTGGAAAGAACTCGAAACATTTACACGCGAAATTCGCCAAGTCAGGAGTATTTCTTAGAAGAAAAGCTTCAAAAGCAAACAGCTTTTTAGCATATTTGCCCCACGAAGTTACCGAAGATGAGTCGCTTCTGCGCAACGTGTATCACATGCTCTCGCGCATGTTGAAAACTTTTCGAAAGCATCGCAAAAGTCCATTAAGGAAGTATTCTAAATTTTCGGAAACTAAGCATAATATTGTGACCAAAAGACCATTGCCAAAAGTTTCAAATCTTCCCAATAAAAGTTTTGAGATATTGAAGCAAGTTACTGTTTCCAAAAGAGATAAACCTCATTCAAATGGATCCAAAAGAGATAAGCCTCATTCGAATAAATCCAAAAGATATAAACCTCTTTCAAATAAATCCAAAAAATATAAACCTCTTTCAAATGGATTCAAAAGAGATAAACCTCTTTCTTCAAATGGATCCAAAAGAGATAAACCTCTTTCTTCAAATGGATCCAAAAGAGATAAACCTCTTTCTTGGATCCAAAGAGATGGATGGATCCAAAGAGATAAACTTCTTCAAATGGATCCAAAAGAGATAAACCTCTTTCTTCAAATGGATCCAAAAGAGATAAACTTCTTCCAAATGGATCCAAAAGAAATAAACCTCTTTCAAATGGATCCAAAAGAGATAAACCTCTTTCAAATGGATCCAAAAGAGATAAACCTCTTTCAAATGGATCCAAAAGAGATAAACCTCTTTCAAATGGATCCAAAAGAGATAAACCTCTTTCAAATGGATCCAAAAGAGATAAACTCTTTCAAATGGATCCAAAAGAGATAAACCTCTTTCAAAGGATCCAAGAGATAAACCTCTTTCTAATGGACAAAAGCAACTAAGCAAGCCTTCCTATCTACACCTGCAATTAACGACTTCACAATCACGTAATAAAACCACCCCTGAAAATCTGAACGCGCATAGGATTGGGCATTTGTCAACAATTTCTCAAAACATAATCATGACGAAATTAATATGCAATCTCGTACACACCCTAATGTTCCTTTAACTACCCACGAATCCCTTCAGAACACTATTCATCCAAATGTTCTTCAAACTACTCGCGAATCTTTTCATAAGACAGAGGCAGCAAGTGAAGATGTTCGTCAACCATCTATAGAAAATGGTCAAAATACTTCGTTCTTGGTTGCGAAGATGATAGAAAAGAGTAATGAAGTAAACTTTCATAAAACTAGCATCGGCAATAGAAAAATCGTTCACCAGATTCTTAAAAGCGCCTACCAGGAAATAGTGACCATCAAGGCTTAAAAGTAACAGAAGGAAAAGTGTTGTCCGCTAATAAGGTAATCTGTCCTGCTCTTTAATTCATGTTTTAAACTCCATAAATAATGCCTGTGTGTGTTTGTATTTTTGAAAGGTGAAAATGAAAGACCTCGATAAACCAAGAGTTCTAAGCAAAGACACATCAATGGAAACGACCGACGACAAAATTATCTCGTCTATAATGGATATGTTAGAGAAAGATAAGGATTTGCAAAGTGCTCAGGCCTTTAAAGTCGGGCGAAAGGAAACGAGTGGAAACGAGGTTAATCGCGGGAGTTCTCTGCCGAAAATTCACGATAAAATCATGAAGTACGCCGGAAACGTTAAAAGCAAGCAGAGACATGGAATTGAAAAAGGTGAACTCATTACGATGGGGAAAAGCCGTAAAAATGAAAACCAAAGATCTAAGTTAGAGGTGAGCCACATTGACCAGGAGCTTGATAATATTTACAAGAAAGACAGAATCGAAAAGGTGATGAGTTATGATGACAGTGAAGATAATTTGATGGAAAAAAACGAAGAATTTTTAAAAACACACAACAAATAGCAGCATTTCATTTTATTTTATGTCATCGTAATATAAATCTTATATAATATAAATCATATGTTTTCACATCATTTGCAGTTCGGGAGTGTACCAGATTTAGTCAAGTAGGATAGTTAACCTTGATGAAAATATAAAACATTTAATTTTTTCTCCCGATGTACTCAATTTGATGTTTAAATGAAGATCTTTTCTACGAACCGTTCGATTGGGAATCGTAATCTTCTTCCCAGAATTCCTTGTAACGTTTGGAATACGCTTCCTTGAAATTATCGTCAAACATGTCAAGATCCTGGTTATCACGAAGTACGCCCTGCGAACATAAAGTGATGAAAATTGCATCAGTTTTATTGAATTTGAGCAATGTTCATTTAGACTTCCTCGAGTTTACCTTGGGTAAATATCCTAGCAGTTTCGTGGCATGCTCTTGCAACAGACGTTGTCTTTCTTCTTCTATTATCTGTCTTCTGTATTCTTGCATTCTCTCTTCTTCACGTCGGGCCTCGAGTTCAGCTTCGCGCTCGCGTCTGAATTGCTCTCTTCTTTCATCAATTAACTTCTCCACCGCTCTCTTGTGCTCCAGCTGACGCATGCGCCGTTTTTGGGCGTTCATTTGCTCAATACGATCATCCTCGGCAAACTTGGCAAGCATCTTAATTGGATGTTAGATAAATTCATCAGAGAGAGAGAGAGAGAGATCATTTTCTCTTTACTCAAGAATTTCATAAAACTTCTCAAAAAATATATTATTATACCTGTCTTCTGAATTCTTCCTCTTCTTCAAATTCGGCCTGTCGCTTCATTTCTTTGTAGTGTAGCTGTTGACGTCTAGTTTCTTCGAGGTCTACACGTTGTCGGAACTTGTTCTCGATGTCAATCTAGCAATGATATTGTATAGTTGCAAATTATCGCTTCCATTCCCGGGGGGGAGGAGCTGAATTACGTTGCCCATCTAGGAATAATATCTCTAGTTGCATACAGATATTTTTGTTCATTGAGGGGGGGATTAGTTATGATGTCCATCTAACAATGACAATTACGGGGGGGGGCATACATTGTGTATACGAACCTTTTCTTTTTGTCTAGCTTTCTCTTCCTGCTCCTCCATGTACAGTTCAACTCGGATCCTAGTTGAAAAATATTTAATTCCAATCGTTTCACGATTTACAACGACGTTTGAAAACGAGTAAAAGCCTTTCAGATGCGAAGGTAATACTTTAAAAACACTCGTTTATCACTTCACGGCAATTCCCAACTATAAAAAAACTTGACCAAAAAAATCATTACCTTTCCATTTCTTCTCTTTCGGCAGCATCTCTAGCAATCTTCTCCCCCAGCTACGAAAACACACAGACGTTCATTATCTTTTTAAAATAAGACATTTACAACACAATGTTACATAGCAAAAAAAATGGTCAAATACACTTACCCTTTCTTGAAGTTTATTCATAGCTTCTTCCGCTTGCTTTTTCTTCTCCATTCGTTCCTCTTCCCTGTTCTGTTGCTCTTTCGCAAACTCCAAGATTCGTCGGTTCTCCTCCTCCATTAATTGTCGCTCGTATTCTTTCCACTATTGATTTTATAAAGACGCAATGAATTTCAGTATTGCTACACTATGTTGCTATTGAAGTGCAACAAATGTTATAAGAAATGCTTATCAACGGGCAATATGCAGTCGTTATATGTTGTGTTGTGACACAAAAGGCTGGGACGAGAATGTATTTTAGGCGGGAAAATTGCATGTCATTCTTAAAATTTTGAAATAGTTCAATTATGGCCAGGAGGAAAGAAGTCTTCGCAAACAACAGAAAGTCGGAAATTCATCAAATTACTTCAAGCGAAAAGCAGGAAAGTCTCACGACTCGTACATTGGTAAGGTAGGATTTTAGTCAATGGTCTTTTTGCTAAATGTGACGCACTCAAACCGAGAGAAAATGAGTTTGTAGCTTCGAGAATTGTGAACTCTTATTTTAGCTAACCGAAAGTCGAAACCTTTACTTTGGTTTAAATAATGATAACGAAAAGTAGAATAACGAAAACGATTAAACTATCCGTTGAATGAGAACAATCCTATAGCTAGTACCAAGTAAAATATAAAACAGTTTATTGTCTACAGCAGAATTTCGGTTGCGCAAATGAGAAAAGTTTTTGTAAGATGGCGAAAATCGACTAAATCTTTTCAAGGAGACATCGCTACTGCAACAGAAATGTTGACCCTGCCTGTTTTACAAGTCGAGAAAGCTTTTTATACATTATGAGGTGAAAGTAATTTCTTACCTCTTCCCTCTTTTGTTTGAATTCTTGTATATATCTCTGTGTCGCTCGTTGTTTTTCCATTTTTTTCTCAAGCTCTCTAAATTTTCCAAAAAAAAACGCCATAAAAACAAAAACACAAATGCTGGTAAGAAATAAAAAATTCCATGTAAGATTCATCATCTAAGCACCTTTGGTCTTCTTCATAAATTTTTCTCACAATCTCATCAATCATCAATTTTTCTTTGAGGAATTCTTCATAAGCTTCCTGCTTCTGTTTTTCCTGTTCTAGCAATTGTTTTTCCAGTTCTTGTTGATGGAGTACACTGTCTTCATATCTCTGTTTTTCTTTAGCAGTTTCTGCCTCAAGTTGTTTGTCATGCAATTCCCTGATCGTTTTTGCAATTTCTTCCTCACGATTCTTGTAAATGAAACAAAAAATTGGTCAGCAGAATCTTTTATTCTTCAAACATAGCAGAAATAATTCTCTACATTCAACACTTTACATAAAGGAAAAAACAATAGTTTTCATGCAACCTGTTCATCAATTTCAGCAATCTTTTCTCGGCAAGCTGTGCAGCTCTTTCACGGTTCATATAGCCAGCTTTCAACTTTGATTCCAACTCCCGAAGTTCAATACTAGATAAATAAAAACTCTCACGAACTCAAATCTTAACATTGAAATTAATAATTACTATACCTATTTTCCCTAATTTGTTGTCTGAATTTTTCATCTCTTAGCTTTTCCATTTTCATTCGCTGCAACTCTTTAGCAAGTCTCTCCTCTTGCTCAAGCTGTAATTCCCTTTGTCTCCTTGCTTCATTTTCCTGTTTTATTTACATCACATGATAACATCACACTAGTGCAAATCTTAAGTATTTTGAGAAACACAACAAATGTATCCAGTCAGCATGAACCTCACTTTTCCAAAACAAAATTACAGTCCTATTTATACCTGAAGGAATGCTTCCTCCATCTCTCTCTCCCTTGTTTCTTGTTGCAATCGGCAGAGAAACCTTTTGTTTTCAACTCGTTCCTCACTGGCCATGTTTGCATCAAGAAGTCTCTCTGCTGCTAATTTCTTAATGTTTTCCTCGCGAAGAATTTCTCTTTGTCTGTATTGAGCTCGCAGCTTTGATTGGTGGGTATGACTCAAATTTGCTCTTCTCATTGATGCCTGCTGTGAGAAAAAGAAAGTGCTCTTCTGATATGTGCAATGATTTTTTTTCATTGGGTATAGTAGTTCTTGCAGTTATCAGTCATATTTCACAAAAAAAAACAATCAGATGATTACATTAGTGATTAATTATTGCTATCTTACTGGACATTTAAATGAACTTCGCATACGCAGGTGTTTGTAAAGCTCTAACAATATTTGTTATGAAAATGCAAAAGCCTAACAAATACTATGTTTTAAAAACAAGCCATAACCCAAAGCACAAAAACTAATTTGAAATTTTAGTAACTTTTTTAAATTATCATTTAGACTATCAAAAATCATACAAAAGCACTAACACATTGAAGAATGCACGTCAAATCCTTACCATGATCAATCCACTAACACTAAATAGTCTGATAAGTTCGTTTTAGCGTAAATCATCCTTTAGAAATTAAATACATTTGATTTTCGTTGTTGATGCTTGTTGCTAGCCAATTTTTGTGCTTGTGACGTCATTACTCGTTTCCATTCAACACTGAACTATACGACAACTGGAGCATAATGTGAAGGTTGGTTGCAAAACCATATCTTCCTGCAAAACTTATTGCCAAAATCATGAAAATTCTAAGAAAAGGAGTAAACGGGAAAAATTGCAAAATGACTCAATTTTACAATACTAAGGCAAAAAGAGGAAGGAGAATAAATGAAAAGTAAAATATTTCAAACAAATCTGAAATCATCAAAGAAAACAGAAAGGGTACTGGTTGCAAGGTGGCAGAAGATTATACAATGGAAGTCAGAATTTTTGAAAGTTAATTCAAAACTGCAATTTGACTATTAATTAAATTGAGTGTAAGTAAATAAGTTTTTTAACACCTAGTTCATTTTACTATCCATTTGGATTGTTAGGTAGCTCATTGCATTAGCAATTGGTTCAAAACAAGTGAAGGACGTTCTGTTCCTTGGTTCACGATTGGAATTCATGTTTTTGACATCCTAAGCTCGGTATTCCATCTCAACTAACCTTTCCACTCTGACATATTGGAGAAAGCAAAACAGACAAAAAAATCTGCTTTTCAATCAATTTGGCTTTCCTAGTTGCTATTATAGGTCCTTGAGTTGATTAGCCAAGAAAACGCCCAACTGACAATCCCCAGCAGTGAGGGTAAAATTCTGTATTTTTGTAATTAAAATTTTTTTTTGCAAAATAAATAAAAACAAAGAACTTTGATCTAATGAATACTTGGAGTGTTTAATGAATTCTATATCATTTTTTGTGGGGAAGGGTGGAAGTTAAAGATGAGACGTTTACTAGAAATAGGTGTCTAAAACAAACTTTCACCCTAAGGGGGGGGGTGCAATTTCTCACCTACAGGGAGTGTTAATTACATAAGAGTCCATTATTTGATAGGTAGTATTTGTTGAATTATTGATAAAATGAAAAAAAAACAACAGTTAAAATAAACTTTGTACAATTCAGTTTTTCAAAATATGAAAACAATTATTTCACACTGAACATTTTGAGAATTTGTTCACTCCTTCATAATTTTCATTTCCTCTTGACAATTTCTCCTCCCTCACTGTAAAATGTGACGGGACATTGAAATGCCTTTCCTGTGCGTTCATCAAATGAGCAAGCAAAGTCAAAAGGTGGTGAATAAAGATGCAAGGAAGCAGCAACATTAGAATGACTTTCATTCTCAACTCTGTGAAGACCAATTTGATCTAGTCAACAAAAAACAAAATACAACAAACTTATCATTTACCAAACAAATCACAAAAACTCTCAACGGTCACCAATTATCAAAATTCTATTGATGTGCACATACCACAAATGTAGGCAACTTCATCTTTCTTAAAATAATTGCACTCTTGAACATTGAGGGACTCTTCTACGTCATTGTTTTGTGGCCATGAGTACAGTGTTTCCTTTAACTGCCCTTCCATGATCTTCATGAAACAGTGGGAATTTGAATGATCATGAATGCCACTAAAAGAAATAAAAACATACGTGTAGCATGCTACAATGTTGACACAAAGAAACCTTTCACAGAATGTAGTTTGCAATCAACAATCACCATAAGGCGAGGGTTTGTTACTTAAGAAAATTCCAACCAAATAACCACAGTTGTTTTTCCGAAAATTATGTCTTCACACATGTGTGACCCACTGGAGCGAGATGTCACCACTTCACTTGCCCTCACACGCCCCCACGTCAAACCCTGCGTCATACGTGCAAGGATAAAAGCTCCGCTGGCGGCTTGCTAAAACATTACTGATTGTTTATTTACTTATTTACTATATATACTGTATAAATGTACTATGTTTTGAGAAATCACCTAGCTTGGCCTTCACTCCAACACAACAAAATCAAATTAAACTTTCCATTTCCTCGGTCGACCAGGTTCCGAGTATACCTTGAAAATGAAACCAAATTTTAACTTTTTGTAAAAAATTCGAAAATCTTCGTTAAACGTAACGGTTCTGTTTCCTTCCCGCCAATTTCGGAAATGCTTTCCTAATCCGTTTCTCACCTATGCGGACTAAAGTGTGCATACTTTTCCCAATCGTCGAAATTGGATTTGTAAGATTCCATCGTCTGCTTTACGGCATCAATATTTACTTTTTCCTTGTCAAAAAGGATGTGTAATTCCTCGATCAGTTCGTCCAATTTCATCGTCCTGAGATTAAATCAGAGAAGCTTTTACGATTTCACAGTTGACAATTGATGCCAGCTTAGGAATTTAGATATTCAACGTAAACAAAGCCATAATGTCGTTTGCATGAATCAAATTGCGATCACAATGTTTGATAATTGATTTGTTTTTGGCACTCGCGTCCCGTTATTTACAACGCAAGATATGTCGCGCGAGAAGCGCGCGTGTGTTGGTCATGACGTCATAGTTATGGCGGCTCTAAACTAGTAATTTAGAAGAATTCAATTCAATCGAAGATTCACTTAATCTTAGCTAGAAAATGTCAACGTTAGAGCAACGTTTGGCCGAGTACGAAACGTTGTTTGCTAATCGTTACACTGAAAATGACAAATGCTATCAAATGCATGTGAATACTCCAGTTATGTCTCCTCCAGTGATAGCAGATTGGAACAACAACAGGTGGGTTTTTGATCTGTTTTGCGTAACATAAATTTGGTAACTCATTCCTCTAGTGAAAATTAAACGATAGCAGAATTTTTTTCACTAATCAATTTCAATTACTTGATTATATAGGAGACAGGATAACCGTGGTCGTGATGGAGGAAGAGGTTGGGATACAAGATATGATAGGAGGGATAATAGGTATACTTTTAGGGGAGTCTAAAAATATACATTTCTGACAAAAAGACATCAATATGATGTCTCTCACAAACCCCCTCCCTCCTACCAAAGAAGTCAGAATACGATAGTGGATAATTGTATGACTTTATCCACTATAAATATTTATCGTTTGCCACTGATTGCATCAATTGCATGTGTGCATTCAATACACTCATAACTGGAAAAAGTTGTTCAAAAAACACAGCACTCAACATCTCTTATCAAATACATTTTTTTGGGGTAATTAACTCATATTTGCTGTCATATTGGCTGTCAAAGTTCTTAGTACTCAGTGTTTATGTGCATATATTTCAAGAGAAAAAAGATGTTTTGTCTGAAAAGCCCCTCCCTCACAGAGGTCATATTGAAATCTTTTTGGCAGAAATGTATATTTGACCCTTCCCTTGGTGAAACAAATATCAACTTACCTCGTGTGTTTCTCAGACTTGTATTTTTTTAATTGTCAATATCTAAAGGTGTTTGAATTTTGTATTATTTGAAAAATTCCTTAGGAATAGTTTTAGAATACCCAAAAAAACTTATTTACCTGCATGCCTGACCTGAACCCCACTCTCATTCCTAATTGTAACATAGCCTGATTGTTTTTGGATGTCCTTGCAGCAGGATATCCTAAAAGCATGCCCATGTCCAACCAAAAAAATGTTTTTTAATTCATTGACCTATACAATACATACATAGCAAAGCCTTGATGACTTACACAAGAACTAAATTTACTAAATTAATGAATTTTGTTATAGCCGAGACAATCATGGTGGTGGAAACCAAGATTATAGAGACCGAGGGCACAGAGATAGTCGTCATGTCGAATACAAGACAAGTAATTACTACGAAATGTATTATTAAAGATAATAGCAATATTTTCTTCGGACAGACACACTATTCATTATGGAGCAATGACTTGAACGATTTTCAAACCCATTTCTTTGGCAATTACATACATAATGCATTATACATTACTAGTTATAATCCCACAAACATATTATCCATCTTATTGATTTTGTTCTTGGAAGTTTGTCATAAATTCTAATAACTGTTCCACTTCATTGATTGTGATTGCATTGTACAGTGATATTCTTAGACCACCGACTGACCTAAAAGTATAGTGATTCACAATGAAGTTGACTTTGCAACTCACTCATTATTAACTGACTTTTTGAAATACCCACATGTATATAATTTTCAAAACTGCTAGACATAATCATGAGAATTTATACCTGTGTCCTTTAACATGCATGAAACCTTGTTCGCCCGCTTCAGTAACAAATTTCTTCTCTAAATCTTCTGTTGGCAATCTCATTACCACATTTACTCTGGAGCATGCTTTGCTTTCCACAATTGATCTAGGATAAAATAATGCCAAGTTTGTGTATTTTGTACTTTTGTATTTACTCAAAAGTACATTGACAAGTAAAATACATACTTGAAAAATCCATTAGAATCGCTGATTTTCTTATACAATGTGGAGGATTTCAATGCAGATCTTTTCGTCATTTCTAAAAGATAGATGATTCCATTGCAGTTAGTTAATTTTTATGATATAAAAAGGTCAAATGTGCAATACATGTAGCTTCACAAAGTCTCACCATTCAAACCACCTTCCTTCAGTATCCACTTTAAAACAAGACCCATAATGTAAACACTGGAAAATGAATAAATCAGCATTTACTATAAAGGTATTAATGTAAAATAGAAGAATAAAAGAACCCATTTTTCATAGGAAGTGTTTCAAAAAGTGATTTGTCAATTATATCTATGCTTGTTAGTTGTAACTTTTATCTGATGTACTCATTCTGCATTGCTTCAGCTTTAAATAATTTGCATCAGTACTTAGTATTACTTTTCATAAGAGAATCCTTTATAACTGATGATGATGATGAGGTAATTTCAGATACCTATATGTTGGAGGAGTGTTGTAGAGGGAATTTGAATCAGCAACCACCTAAAGTTTGTATCAACGTAAAATTTGTAATATAGATACCACCATTGGGTAAATTATAAAAATGAATGTTCTCACTTTATAATTGAAACTTGTTGGACAATATGATAAACTTTTGCCAAGTAAATCTTCTCGAACTGTGGCATTAATAAACTTATTTGTTAAAAGTCTGATCATAAATAAAAGCTTAAAATAAAATACAATGAAACATCAACACTGACTGATAACAACAGTAACTCCAGCACAACCAATGTTCTTTTGAGCACCAGCAAAAATACAACCATACTGTAACAAGAAGAAAAAAACAACCTTATAGTAAAGTTCCCATCTGGGAAAATATTTTAATATTGTTCATGTATGCATGAATAAATTACCCTTACTTTTGAAACATCCACTGGTTTAGTCAAGAAGTTAGATGACATGTCGCAAACTAATGGAACACCATTTGTCTCAGGGATGAAGTTAAATTCCACACCTAGAGGAGATTTAAGATTAGATTAAGATTAGATTAACGGACTCACTGAACAGGAATATGACTAGGATAGGTGCTGCCAACCATCATAACATATTCATATTAACAATATGCTAGGATATGTGACCTTTGACTTTGTCAAGTTCATAACATGTTCATATTAACAATATGCTAGGATATGTGACCTTTTGACTTTTTCAAGTTCATAACATGTTCATATTAACAATATGCTAGGATATGTGACCTTTGACTTTGTCAAGTTCATAACATGTTCATATTAACAATATGCTAGGACATGTGACCTTTACCTTGTACTGTTTCATTATCACAATAATAAACATAAGATGCATCCTTGTCAAAGTTCCACTCTGACACATCCGGAATTCCTGAATAAATACATATTTAATGTAAAGATAGGATGTAATGGTGTATATTAAAAATTGAAGAGATTGACGCACCATTAAATGTCTTAGGTTTGGGAAAAACATAATTGACTTTTCCATGTTTTGCACCCTTTAATTAACAAAAAATAAGCTTATTTTTAAGTCATCAATCAGCACAACCCATTCACTTGGCTATGTTAAAAAAGCACTTGACCAGTAGTGTAGGATTTTTTGAAATGGCAGGCATTCCATGAAATTAATTTTGATTTCTGACGAAAGTCTAGAACCAAGGAGTGATAATGAATGACTTTAAAAAAAATAACAAGTTCATTTCAACTTAAACTATTTAATAGCCTTCCTATATTACTACCTATAACCTAAAAATTTTTGTGAACAATATTCTAAAGCTTCACATAAAGTAGATTTTGCCATACTCTATATTTGACCCTTGTTTCCTGCATTTTCTGAGCATAAACTTTAGCATGTTTCTACTTGTGATTTTCAACATTTGACAATGTCTAAATATCTTTGAAGTATATAGGTTTCAATCCAATGTTCACCTCAACAGCAGCTTTTGATGACCATGTTCCTGTGACCAAATAATCCGCAGAACCTCCCTCTAGGTTCAAAAATTTTGGTTACACCCTTCCACACATAACATTATACATGTTCCATAAAGTGCAGGCACAATTATGCAATACCCTGCCACAAAGACTGCCAACGACAATAAGACTAAAGTACAAAGCATTGGGCTTGCAGGTACTACAAGGTATTCTATAATTGCTCATAAGTGCATCACCAAACCTTTCATCAGATTCATTGGTACAAATGAAAATTGTCCATTCCCACCACCTTGACAGAATAAAATCTTGTAGTTATTTGGCACACCCCTGCGAACAAAAAGTACAATGATTGAAAATGCATGATTTTCTATTGAATATTATAACACTGGTTGAATCTAGAGTAACCATAGATACTTAAGAATATTTTTTAATTATTTGATATAATGATTCAATTTGTGCTAAGATCAAGTAAAGCTTTGTGATTTCTTCTACACTCACAAAATTTTTCTTAAATTATCATTGGTCTCTTGATTAATTGCGCCATATTCCTTTGAGCGATGACTCAATTCTAAATATTGACACAAATCAACAACAAATGGCTCAAATTTTCTAAAATACACAAAATTATATCAATGATCAGTCAATGTTTATAAACAATGTAAAGTTTTACAACAGCATTTACAAAGCTGTTACTTGTGTCACATGATAAGAAATATATGAAACACTGGCTTTCAACAATATATCCAATAAAATATGCTGTAAACTATAGAGTTGCCTTCTCACCCATAACACTGACTCCAGTATTTTCATAATTAAGCATTTCTTTCTGAGCTTGTATAAGTACCTACAATGTTATTTTCATAATAGATACCATTATATCAAGACAATGGGACAAATAGAGTAGGCAATTATTTTAATCCTCACGTATGAAATTGAAAATTATTATTGTCCCTTTTGTACAATTGTATTGTTTTTCTTCTAAAGGAGAAGAGAAATTTTCGCAAAGCAAAATAAATAGAACTGATCCGCTTTATTCAAATTAAGTTGTTTAGCATGCTGAAAATTCGAATCTTGCATCATTGTGAAGATCTCTTAGCGTACCGTCCAAAAGATAGATTTTTTTCTTTTTCAAATCCATTACTTTCTTCCTTCCCTAGTGCTTTTTCACAAGTCTCAAGCAAAGGAAAAATAGACAAAGCCATTTCTTTTTAAAAATTTTGTACCTCCTGTGGAAGTTTAGCCGGTCCTGGTGCAAAATTGATCACTTTTTTCTCGTTGGCTTTGACCATCCTATATAATTTTTTTTCAATATTTTTACTAAATGTTCTCTGAATATTTTTACATAAAAAATATGCTCTATTTGGCAAAGCAGCCAAACAATTTAGCATCTGAAGGTCAAAGAGCTTTTATATTTGTGTGACCAATTTAACCACAATGTGTATTACCATTTTTACTTCCGGTGGTCTTTTCGCTTTTCCTTTCTTTGATTGGTTCTCACGCAACTTCAATGCTTTTACGAAGTCCAAAGTCACTATTTCCCAGAGAATGTTAAATCCCGGGTCGATAACTTGAAATTTGAACCTGAGAAACGCCAAGAGAAATAACTTGGAACTGATATTCAGGGTTAATACTATGTATGATAAAGAAATCTTACTAGTGCATTACTTTGCATGTTTTCCCATGTTAAATTCTCAGGAGCAGAAAAACTTGTGTGTCAGACTATGAAATTTTAAGAATTCACCATTTTTTATCTCCTTTTTTTTGAAACACTCTATGCTGTTAACCCCTCAGTTAATAGACACCCGACTACGATATGAGTTCCGCTCACGGGAGGCGTTCCCGTATGGAAAGTAACAGCTCATTTGGCTGTGGCTCAAAACAGTGCCCACGTACAAATTTTGTTAAAGAATTAATATTAACGATATTTTTCGAAAACGCAACATGTACTAATGTTCGACATTTATGGTCAAATGGTGAAAGTGCCATCCAAGAACCGGTGATAGAAAGATGGCATTTGATTTATAATCATTGATTATGTAATATTTGAATTATAATTATTCTCGTAATTATTTACTATTTGAGAAACATTTTTGACAACTTTTTGATGTGCTACTTTTGACTGTTGTTAAAAAATGTTTTAATTCTTCTGTGATACATATATACATATATGTATATAATAGTTGCCTTCTCTAGCGAATTTAAAAGTAAAAAAATAAAAAAAATTATTAAGTGGTCAAACGTTCGACGAAATTCCGGGTTGAGTGATTGACTCGATTAACAGGGTACTTGAACATTTTGCCCTTTTTATACTTATCAAAAGATTAATCACTCGTTCATTGACAAGCAATGTTTACAAAACTTATATCATTATGAACTATTTTATGCATGAAAAATATCAAATTACGCTTCTTTAACTAGGATGAAGTTGTTTGTCCTAGATTGGTGCTTTTTACTGCCTACTTTAACTTTTAACTTAAAACGCTTTTATTTAGAAACCCCTTGCTGTGTTTCGGAATGAAAGTGCATCATCAACAATCCATTGAACAGGGTGGAAAAAATTTTCAAAATTTTCAAAACCAAATTCGAAGAATTCTTTTTTTATATATAGACGACGCGTCGAGGCTAATTTTTTCCTTTTTGAGTGATTCGACAAAAGTCGGTTGGTTTGCACTGTGCACCAAAAGTTGGCCACAGAAAGGTTGAGTCTAGCGTACGGTAGAAATAAATCACAGCAGCTTTTTTTTCACATTCATAAATCTGAAATGGCCAAGATTCTATTGTACGTTGCATTCTTGCGAAGGTATTTTCAATTTGAATTTCAAATTGCAACTATAATTTGGACTAAGAATAACCTCCACCGCCTAACATGGAATTCTTTCGGGAGTTGATCAAGCATATGAATATTTCGTAGACTAATTATTTTATCATAAAAAGTAACTAGTGATACGCTAATCATACTCTTATATACAGCTATATCGCTTGAAATTTTGATTTTTAAATCTCTACCACGCTAATTTCCGGTTTGCGCACGACCGCTTCCGAAGAAAAAATTTGGGCTCGGTTTAATATATACCGCGATGCATTGCGTATTTCTAGAGCTTGTAACTAAAGCTCGATGTGTGTTCAAACCTACGCCCTGCGAAAACCAAAACTTTGCAATTCTCACTTATAATTTAACAACTGCCTGTTGGCAATCGTAGTAGGAGAACTCGTTGCTCGCATACGAGCGAAAGCGAGGCAAGAAAAGTTTGTTTAAATATCGGTGAAAGCCAACAATCAAATAGAGACGACATATTCTGGTCGACGCGTTTACAGGTTAAAATATGCCTATCGGAGGCTGCTGTGTAAGCGCAGAGGAAAGGGAACAACGTCGAATTAATGATGAAATTGAGCGAATACTACGTAAGGACAAGAAAGATTCAAGAAGAGAGCTAAAGCTTTTGCTGTTAGGTAAAGTTGTCTCGGCTTTCATGTTAGACAACATGTCATATTTTGATTCGTGAAGTATAGATCAATTGTATGTATTATTATGCTTGTATTTTGTGTGGATGCTAATAATAGTTGTCATTTTAAAATCTTCTTTACTTGTAAAACATTTGTTTCATAGTCTTCGAAAACCTTTTCTAGGCACAGGAGAGTCAGGAAAGAGTACTTTTATCAAGCAAATGCGAATTATTCACGGTCAGGGTTACAGCGAAGATGATCGCCGTGGATATATAAAACTTGTATACCAAAATATTTTCATGGCCATTCACAGTTTGACCAGAGCAATGGAAACTTTGAGAATTCCTTTTGCCAATTCGTCAAACGAGGTAGGCGAAATTCCACTGTGAAAGTTGTTTGCGTTTTTATTTCAATTCAAACTAAACATCTCGGCTTTTTGTTTGAATTGTTCAATGATGCTCAATGCTGCGCCCTTCAACATTAATGAATGGATCATTTTCAATTTGTCTAGGATTTAGTGTCGGTGGTTCGAAGTGTCGACCCTGATTCAGTTACATCTTTTAAAAAGGAGTATTATGATGCCATCAAAAGTCTTTGGCAAGATAGTGGCATTCAAGAATGCTATGATAGACGACGGGAATTTCAGTTGAGCGATTCCTGTAAATAGTAAGTCAAACATCATTACCTTGCTTTTTCCATGCAGAATTGTATGCTGTTAAAATAATCAATATATAAGTACGTTGTATTTGTCGATATTTATTTTGTATTGGAGTAAATCTCATCGAAAATTTTGACTTCAAAACGCCGTGATCTTTCGAATGTGATAGATATTTTTAACCGCGATCATGTCACATGAATGATGAACGTACTAGCCAGATGTAAATAGAAATAGCCCTTTCCTTATAATTTTATAAATAGTTCATGTTCTTTCATGTGTGCAGTCTACATTTTCTGCTGTTTGCATACTGTTTGCTTGCTTGGTTGGTTTTTCGTTTGCATGTACTGTATGTATGTATGTTGAACGTTATGATATTTCCTGCAGTTACCTCAGTGATTTGGATCGAATTGCATCATCGAGTTACTTACCTACAGAGCAAGATGTCCTTCGAGCTCGTGCACCGACCACAGGCATAATAGAATATCCCTTTGATTTGGATACAATTATATTTCGGTAAGTAGAGTTTAGCTGGGAATGCTCGTAGTGTATAACCATGAGCAACTTTGATTGCATTCTCATTTGTCATTCCATCAACTTTAATCATCACGATTTCTCACCGTCAATTCTACATTTTCCTAATTTGTTAAAAAGTACATCATGCACAGGAATGCTGCTCATACCTTGCTGGTGAATTTCTGGTATCTTCCCTCGCAAATTTATAGCAAATTTTGACGACGAAAAACTGCTTGCGTCATTTGCGCTCGCGCTCGTGACAACTTCACCGGCCGCCAACGCTTCGCGCTTCGCACCCAGATTAGAATAACTGAATCTGTGAGATTTATTCATCTTAAAAGATCTTATAGTAGCTATCCAAATTACGAATTGCGTGGGCAGAATAGTGTAAATAGTGCCGTGGAAACTACATGCCCACAATATGGTCTATATTGTATGCACAACATGCTCACGAGTTATGTTATGTGTAAATCTCGAGTGAGATGTACCTTGGTATAAAATTTTTGGACTTGCTTTCATTTTCATTTTTTTCCAAGTTTCTATTCGTGATATTTATGCACACAAGAAGCAATTCTTCTCGTGGAGCTATATTGTCAGATCTGTTGTTGCAGATCTGAAAATGATCAGTGATTCAGGGGAGCTTGTCGTGCATCGCACTTGTTATTGTGAATGTCGCTCACGAGAAATCGTTTGAATGCACTTTAGTCGCACCGCAGAATTTGAAAAAATTCATTGTTTTATCTAATGCGTTTGACTTGTATGGCTTTCCATTTCGAACGATGAAAATTTGCATGTAGACCAGCTGCGTGCAATTTAGAGCATTTGAAAAAAAATAGTTTTTTGCCGCTGCCGATCGTATATTGTGTTGACGTGCTGTTTTAGGAGTTATTTTATCTTATTTCGTGACTTGCCAAAGAGAATTTGCTTTTTGTGGTAAGATCAACGCACATTATCATCTGTTACTAATCAATTTTTTTCCCCCCCTCTAACGTGAGGCAAAGGCCGCTAACACCTCAACTACGTCAAAGTTGCCGAAATGACTTCATATTTTTGTTTTGCATCAATATTTTATGACGGAAGAAACCATAAATAGTTTGAATTGGTTTATAAATGCAAACCAAATAATTGATTGCATTGAATATTTCTTGTATTTGTTATCCCATGATGATGAAAGATTGGAAATGTTAACTTCCATATTGACGTAGCTGACGCAGCACAAAATGCAAAGTCGTATATACCTTATGCTTATCGTGCATTATTTTGATGCATTGGTCCAGTCCTCTAGAGAAGAGTAGAACTTTTTTTACTTCCATATTGACGTAGCTGTTGTAGCACAAAATGCAAAGTCGTATAACCTTATGCTTATCGTGCATTATTTTGATGCATTTGTCCAGTCTTCCAGAGAAGACTAGAACTTTTCTTACTTCCATATTGACTTAGCTGTTGTAGCACAAAATGGAAAGTCGTATAACCTTATGCTTATCGTGCATTCTTTTGATGCATTTGTCCAGTCTTCCAGAGAAGACTAGAACTTTTTTTTGCATTTATTAAGAACGTAGCTATCTAGCTGCATCGACATATGAAGCCTGTGAGGATTATAGAGTTTATGTAGATCCTGGAAAGATAACACGTTCTGAAATATTTATAAATATACTTTTGAGATTACTTGGATGGCACCCAAATCTCGTAACGACTTCGAGATCACGATTACGAATATTTGTTATTTTAGTCATAAGTTTGGATGTGCGGTTCACATTATATAGCTATCTTCGGTTATTGTTCTGGTGGTTCGTTTGTTTATTTTTACGTTCCCCTTAAATCGAAACTCGAAAGAAGCACAAAAACTCTTTGTAAGCTTATCATGTGACGATAGTGTTTAGTAGTGGAACACGAGTGTGTTTAGTGTAGTGACAATAGTGCAAGATATATCAATGGTTAGGTCGTACGTGTTCTATTAAATGCACATGATTGTTTTTAATGTGACGTTTAACGCTGTTTTCTTCGCGTGTTTTCATTGAAGAATAGCTATGGTGAATGTTCAAAACAAAAGTATTTTAATTAAGTAGACAGATATTTAGACAAGCACTCATTTCATTACAACAACGTGTGACCTGCATGTGTTTCAGCAGTAATCCCCGAATGTTCCGATAGAGATAATCTTGTGTAATTAGAAAGCTTTACGGTTAATTTTCGTATTAATTCTTTTTGAGAACGCTTTTTTTGACATAACATGTAGTTTCTTGCGCGAAAAACTTCCTTTATAAAAGTTCGATTTTTGCTTATAAACTCTTAACAGTAAACGACCAATACTGAAGTCTTTCTCGTTGAAGAAGGGGGTTCAATATGTCCCTTAGAGCTCCTCAGTATTTTTTTATTAGTCTGGCGCAAAGCGGTCCTTAAGGCGTAATTTGCAATTGAATTTTCTGACGGTCGTATCATTGTAAGAGGGAAATCGCATTTTGAGAAGTCGCATGGAAACACTCGATTTAGTTTACAATTGAATTTTCTGACGGTCGTATCAACGTAAGAGGGAAATGGCATTTTGAAGAAGTCGCATGGAAACACTCGATTTCTCTGTTTTATAATTCTTAAATTTCATGCAGTGTATGGAGCTTTACGATTATCATTGTTTTACGATTAGAATGGTGGACGTTGGTGGACAACGATCCGAAAGACGAAAATGGATCCATTGTTTCGAAAACGTTACTTCCATCATGTTCTTGGTTGCATTAAGTGAATATGACCAGGTGCTTGTGGAATCTGATAGCGAGGTTGGTGTATGATTCTTATCTTGATTCATTCCCTTGACTCCGAATTGTTCAACCTTGAATTTGAAAGTTCATTGCAAAAATCACGTGGAAGTTCTTGAATCTGTTATTTCAATATCAGTCTACGAGAACGGTTCTTTTAATGTCTGGTTACGACATGGTTACGGATTATTTTTTATGTTCATATAGAACCGCATGGAGGAGAGCAAAGCCCTTTTTAGAACTATAATAACATATCCGTGGTTTCAAAATTCTTCTATTATACTGTTTCTCAACAAAAAGGATTTGTTGGAGGAGAAAATCATGTATTCACATTTAGCGGATTATTTTCCAGAATTTGACGGTAAGTGGCTTAGTACATTTTATCACGACTAGCAACTTATATATATTTACTTATTCCGTGAGCTGAAAATCCTGTTCCTGTCAATCATGATCATCAACGTATGGTAAAATAAAATTGTGGAAGTATGGTAGATGGGGATAGTAATTTTTGGAAATATAGTAGACGAGGAAAGTAATTTGTGGCAACTATGGAATATAGGAAAGTAATTCTTGGAAATTTTGGGAGGTAGGGGAAGTAGTTCGTGAATTCTTTAAAAGCAGCTTTTCGGCATCGATGGCGGTTTTTGGCTTTGTAAATATGTATCACGTTTTGAACTTTGCCGGATTCAAGAAGACGATGCCATATTTTCACAATACTTTTTGTATCGAAGAAGAGTGGATGTCCTTTTGCTATTCAAGGTAACTATAATTTTACGAGAACTTTATACAAAACGTTAGGATAGACCAACAATAAATTGCAGTAGATGTTGATCGTCCAGGTTAGTAGAGTCGTTACAAAGACTGTTGTTGTTCATGTTGACTGATTTTTTGACATTCCTCAGCGGTATTCAACACTAACGATCTGTTCTCGGGACTGCACTCACCAGAATGTTGGACATTTCTACATACATTCACCACCAATACTCCTGCGTTTAAACCGTTTACTTAAAACTTACATTGATGGAGAACGTGATGATTACACTTCACCAAATGTATTTACTAGTTTTAACTCTAAGAATTATAAACTTTTATGAATTATTTAGTTTATCCTAAAAAAAAATTTTCATTAAATTTACAGGAAGATCAAGATTGACGACACGAATAAATTTCCTAAATTTGGTTCAGTGGCAGACACCGTCGTTGAGGATTTTGTGTTTCTAGTGATGTTGCCAGTACTATTACCTAGTTTCAGTTTGTTAAACGTTTGTTCTCAGGAACTCCCCGACAATAATTTTGCCTCCATTTTGAATTTTTGAATTAGGAAAGCAATGTACATCACGTATAATTTCTCGAGAAATATGGTACTTTTCATAGTGTCTGTCACTGCACTGTAAATAAATATTCTGGCACTTTAAATTTATATAAATCTAACGTATAGCAATGAATTTCTAAACTTTAATATGAGCAAAACATAATAATTTATGTATGAAAATTAATTTTTAATAGATAACATCGCAATGAAATATTAAACATCATTTTTATAGTGTTTCATTGGTATCGTCGGGTTTGTTCGCATTTCGTTAAGCGATAATTTATGTAGAAATGGATAATGTTTATGGTCGTGGCTAATTTACACAGTAATGGATAATTTGTACAGTAATGGATGATTTGTACAGTAATGGATAATTTGTACAGTAATGGATAATTTGTATAGTTTAGAATAACTTACACAATCGTTCGTTTAGTCTGACGTCATACAACGCTTACTGTTTTTCTTAATATTTTTTTCAGGTCCACAGCAAGATGCTCAAGCCGCGCGCGAATTCATCCTGAGAATGTTTGTGGACTTGAACCCTGATACGGATAAAATAATTTACTCGCATTTCACTTGCGCCACTGACACGGAGAACATTCGCTTCGTATTTGCTGCCGTAAAGGACACAATACTGCAGTTGAACTTGAAGGAATACAATTTGGTTTGATTTGTTTGCACGTACAGTAAACATCTAAAATCATTTGCATCCGCTAGCTTGCTCGTTCCTGCCAAGACTTGATGTAATAGGAACAAAACTATACCACGCAGAACTATGCTAAAAGATAAAATCCTGTCTTGGGGGGGGGGAGGCTGGGGTGGAACTCTCTGAGAATTTTTCATCATAGGCGACTATATTTCGCAACGAATTCCCTTATGGGTACTTTTGTGGCAGGGTATTTTTTCTTTGTATGAAGAATTCAACTGCAGAGATCGTAAACAAATTATATCTGCAATGTGCCGTATTGTCGTCGGGCAAAGTGACCTTGTTTTGCTTTCTGATATTATCAATGAATCAATTCTACATTCGTTTATAATGAAAAACTAGTTAGTACATGCGAAATTCAATGGATTTTTGTGTATTGTATAATATAGTTGTGAGAATACCACCGCATTGGTTGACTAGAAGTTTTTTTTTACTGTAACCATAAAGTAGTACAGGCTAGGTTTTGAAATGTGAAAAGGGTTCATACACAATGGTGTGTCGAAGGCCTTGTTTTTTTTTATTCAGTAAGTTTTTCGTCGACATTTGATAATCGTTCTGTGCTACATTGTCTGTTAATTTTGAATTTTCACTTTATAACTCGTATCATTAATGTGTTGTTTTTTGTTATGCAAAAGATATACAACACTCAATTATTAAAGAATTAGTAAATTTACAAGTACAATACTTCGCTACATTTTAACAACGTTTATTACGACTACCTGTTCGAAAGCACATGATGATAATAAGTGATTAATTTACGATCTTTGCAGTATAATGTTACTTGGCTTATGTAGCGAGATGTTTTAGGAAAGAGGACGATATTTTATGAATTTTAGAAAACCTCTTTGATTGCATCTCGTCCCTGTATTTCAGTTAAAAACGATTGTATCCATAACAAAAAGCGTAGGTATAAACTAAAATTGTCCTAACTTATGCGTGTAATAGTGTATAATATTAATATTTGTCATTCTCAGTCATTTAGTTATGTTTCTCGTTGGGGGATGGGGGGTTACAATGGTTCATTTCAGTTATGTAATAGCAATATTTTACGAGAGTTGAACATTCGTTTTATTGCTATTCTCAATTTGTACTGAGGACTGAAGTGGAATGGTAGAATGTTCCACGAAACGTACGATAAGAAACATACCACAAAGTATTTTCTGCTTTGAAGTTGTAAAGCGCAAATAATCATTTTTGACTCGACTGTGCATTAAATATAGCACTGAGAACCACTGTTCTTTTTTAATCTTTATGGGTATTGGCTTCCACTGGTTTATTTTACTGGTTCGTTCTCTTGTCGTAGGAAGATAATGGAAAATGTATACCTAACGAAAATGTTCTTGATTGTTAATATACGATTGATTGATACATATACAGGCTTGTAGAATGTGAACAATTTTGATTGAATTATGTCTAAATACAGGAAAACCAAGAGATGCTGCTGCTGCTCGAAACTTCGTGCTGGAGATGTTCGTTAACTTGAATCCGGATCCTGAAAACCCATCTACTCACATTTCACGTGCGCGACAGACACGAAAAACATCAATTTGTCTTCGCTGCGGTTAGAGACAGCATTCTTCAGCAACACTTGAAAGACTACAATCTTGTGTAAAGAATAAAATGTACACTTTTTAATGATCGAGGTATAGTCTGTAGTGTAGTTTAACGTTTGAACCCCAGAGAGTTTATCAATTTGAAAAAGGTGTTTTCCCACCTGGCTCATATATGGTGCCAATCCAACGAATATGAAATTAACACTCCGATTTCTTTGTCTGCAAAGCAGGCAATGTTCACTCTTTGGATTGCAAATGGTTAATTATTAGACTCTTCACAACTTGAAGTAGTCTATTCCCCGTCTTATCTTGAAACATTTCTAAAATGGTCGAAAGCGTGGATTGTGAACTGGAGTATTTTCGTTGTGTAAGGCGTAAATCTTACAAATACATGTCTATGTTTATTTTGGTTGAAATGGTATACCATGCAATAAGATGGTTGAGTGTGTAAATTAATAAAAATAAATGTAAGAAAATATTAATGTGGTAGAAATTGAAATAAATGTATAAGTTATTGAACTGAATTTCTTTCAAGCTTCTTTTTTGAAATGAACTGCCTTTCGCACTCGATTTTTTGTACTTCAAATGTCACTGGAAACGACGAATCTTGTAAATGACAAATGTTGTCTCTTATGAAACAGCAACTTTTTGAAATGTCGTTCATGTCGTCTCTATTAAATTTCAATATTCTAGGGTGGAGGTGTAATCTTGGTCGTATAATTACCGTCAAAACCCAACAATTAACCTAGATGGACATAAAGTTAGACATGAAGATAGACACAAAGGTCGATATAAAAGTAGACATAAAGGTAAACATGAATGTAGACATAAAGTTAGACATAAAGGTAGAAATTAAGGTAGGCATAAAGGTAGACAGAAAGGTTGACAAAAAGGTAAACATGAAGGTAGACATAAAGGTAGATATAAAGATAGACATGAAGGTAGACATAAAGGTACACATTAAGATAGACAAAAAGGTAGACATAAAGGTAGACATAAAAAAAGACAAAGGTAGACTTAAAAGTACTTTAAGGTAGACAAAAAAGATAGACATTAAGTTACAGGGACGGCTTCACAAAATTGAACCTTGGGGGGTGGGCTACGACTTATTTTTACAAAATTTACTGCATCTTATTTTGCCTCAAATTAGGCTAAAATATATAAATGTTATCAAAAACTTTATTTTGGGGAAAAGGTGGGGGCTGAAGCCCATCCAGGCCTCCCTTTGGCACCGTGCTTGAGGTAGACACAAACGTAGACATAAATGTGGACATAAAGACGGCTTGAAAAGACCACTACTGTGAGATGACAACTTTTTTGGCATGACAACTTTTCAAATGTAATGTAAAACAATAAAAATATTTAAAAGTGAAAAATTGTCCAGTTTTGAGAGTTCTACATTTACTTGCGTTGTTAAAAAGTAGGTCTTTCTGTTCATTTCTTCTGCTTTTCGAGGGAATATGCAATGGATTATCTTCATTCTTAAGTTTTATTATGTATTTTGTACTAAAGTGTTGATATCTGCATTCTAAAATTGGAATATTTGCAACAGTGCAAGCAACGTGGCTTATTTATAACTATCTGAGTCAGTTAATTCGGAGTGTTTTTTTTCTGTGCATATTTTTTCAATGCTATTCTACGTCTTACGAAATCAACACTTTTTTGGATGTTGACTCCTATGAAATGACGACTTATGCCGTTTTTCCCGTCTCCAAAATGAAATCGTTACTCCAATCAACAACACGACTAAAAGGTAAAGATATTTAATAATTTACTACAAAATGGACAGTTCCAGGATTCGAATTTAAAAAAAACTTTCATGGTTTTTGCTCTCAAATTTGAAAACGTTTTTATGTCTTTTGTCTGGTCTCAGTGGTCTAATGAACCGGGTATTTTCACTTTTCAATATTTGTTTCATTCGACGTAAAGGCCATCTTAACGCGTATGCGGGTACTTCATGAAGTTCAAATCATGTGCCAATTTCCATTGGTCGGATATTTGTTGAATATTTCAAATGACGCTTTTTATTTTTTAAAAGTACAATAATGAACTACAAAACCACTTTTGGTGCCGAAACTTGTGGTCCTTTAGTCTTATTTATTCTCGTTGCGCGATTTTTGGATAATTTCCGAAAAAAGCATGCTTTCAATAATTTTAGCTAAACCACATCAGCCATTTTATTTTTGCACAGCTGAGGGGGTACGATTTTCAAAGCATCGAGTGCTCGCTAATGCTTTGAGTCGTAGGCTAGCGAGGAATGCGTAGGTCATTTTTGGCTCATAAATGCCCTAATGCAATCAGTTTTGGCATTTATTTCATGAAAAATATTATCTTAAAAACTGGTCACCAAACTGTAGAAATGCTAAGACGAAACAATTGGAACATCTTTACAGGTTTTATGGATGGAAATCGTGTTTATTGTAGAACAACGCGGGTCAAAGGAACGAGATATATATGGCTTAATTTTGCCTCGAAGCTTACAAATTATTTATGGACTTCTGATTAGATTTCAAGGACGTGGGTAACAGCTTATTTTAAGATAGCTTTCGTGGGAAGAGAACAAATATCGAAAAGATATTCTATAAATACAAATTTCATTTTTAAAAATTTTATTTAACATGGCGGTTGTTCCGTAGCCAAGGCCGGAAATACAACCTCTTTGTGTGGGGTTTTGTTAAGGAGAATTTCTTTCCAATACTATTTTCAAATGTTTACTAAATCTCTACATGTGTGTATGTTACATTGTTTTTTCATAGTAGCTATAAATAAAACTTTCAATAATTACGGAGACTCAAACTTCGTCAAATGTGTCAATTCTTAAGACATTGTTGTTTTTTTTCATTTGATTAAACCTATATTCTCATTAATACGTTCCTGTATTTTTCAGTGTGCACCCTCCGTGAAAACCACCTGTTTTACTATTTTTTCTCACCCCTGGCAAGTCGCTTGAACAAGGTTGCGAGATTATTTGTGTAGTCCTAAAGAACTTACAATAGTCAAAATGTCTTTTTCCATGGAGCAAAGAATTCAAGCTGAAAGTCGTGGATTTAAACCTGCTGAGGTATAGATATTATAGAAACGAGTTTTATGCGTTAAAGTTTTCTGTGCTTTTTATTGGATAAGTTGAATAGATGTGAAGCAATTCTTATGAATGTTGTCTGTTCGCCTCCATGAAATGCTAACCATGTGCTTTGTGTTGCTGCTTTGTACAGGTATTAGAACTAAATCTCGACAACTGTCGGACAACGGGACAAGTGGAAGGTCTGACGGAAAATTTTGTGAATCTGGACTATCTATCGCTAAACAATGCAGGCCTAACTTCGCTAAAGAATTTCCCTAAACTACCGAATTTAAGACGTGTGAGTACTATATTCATACAGTAGCAGTTGTTCGTCCCACATTACTTTTTGCATTGAAATACCTCTCTGCCGGTAGGAATTGTCTGCATACATGCTTCATTTATACCGTTCTAAGCTTATGTTATTTTATAACGTGTCTGTCTCCTTGTAGCTCGAGCTTAGCGATAATCGAATATCATCCGGCCTGCATCACTTACAGGGATTTCAAAAACTCACGCATCTAAATTTAAGCGGTAATAAAATCAAAGACTTCGAAACCCTCAAGCCTTTGGTACGTTCATTTTCCACAGATTACGCCGACTGATGCTTCCATTTCCCACAAATGCTCATATATTTTGCTCCATTTGCTTTGATTTTAGACGGAGTTATCCAACTTAAAAAGTCTTGACTTGTATAATTGTGAAGTCACAAATGTTGAAAATTACCGAAGCGAAGTGTTCAAGTTATGTCCGTCGCTAAAATATTTGGATGGCTATGACAAGTAAGTTGTGATTGTACGTTATCGTCGCATTAAAGACGGCTTCGTTTCAGCGCGCGATGCCCCTATAGTTACCGAAAGCAACGAAAAGATTATTTCATGCTCAGTAGTGTGTTTTGATGTTGTTTGTGTCGTGTGACACGGCGCGCGCTTATCATGGTAAATTTGAATTTCACATTCTCAAGATTTCTACCTAATGTTGTTTTTAGATTCGATAAAGAAGCGGACGAAACAGATTCTTCAGCGGACGAGGATGACGACGGTATTGAAACATGCGTTTCATTGCGATATTTTTAAAAAAAAGAAATGGAAGATCAAATAGTGGTCTACATGTGTGGCTTAATAAAAGAGGGTTTTTTTTATTTTTTTTTTGTGAAATAGTCAATTAGTGCACGTTTTCAGAACGCCAAACGTGGAACAATGCTCAACTTTGCTTTTTTATTGGAAGAGGAGCATTATTCCCAGCAACTTTCACTCAAATTATGTTTTTTTGGAAACATGATGTCAAAACCATGTTCATTATGTCATCTATTTTGGAAATTGAGTGTGTGTGGTTTATGTTTAGTGAGGTGTTGATGGGACAGATTATTAAAAAATTCTTTATGACCTGTTATTTTCCATATAGATGAAGCAAGTGAGGGTGGTGATGATGAAGTTGGTATGTGCTTGAATTATGTACACTGAATGATATATGGATACGTTTACTTCATTTAATAATATCTTTTTCCTAGGTGAGGATGAAGATGAGGATGGTCTTGATGATGACCTAGATGATGATGAAAACGAGGTTGTTGATAACGAAGAAGAGGAGGATGATAATGAGGATGATGATGATAACGATGACGACGATGATAACGATGAAGATGATGATGATGAAGGAGATGATGAAACTGGATTAGAATATTTACAAAGAGACAACCTTCAGGTATGAGTTATTTTTTTAGTATAGTTCAATTGTTTTTGAATTTGTTATTAAATCTTGTTTCTGTCTTTAGGAGGAAGACGATGAGGGTGATGACTTCGAACCCGATGAAGATGGTGAAGATGAGGATGACGATGATCCTGACTTTGATGAAGGTGATGCTGATGCAGCTGATGATGCAGGCATAGACTGAAGAGAGACATGTTTGATGCATCCAGGGAACTGTTTATATATACTGTAGTTATTGTATCAGAGCCATGTTTTTCTTAGAGTAATGTCTTATTGACATTTGTAAATATACGCGAAAGACAATATGATCTTTTAATGTTCATCGTCTTCAACGTTGCATTGATAGCTCAATGGAAAAACAACATAAGACGTAAACTTATCGCTTTCCTTATGCAGTGAGTTTTACAGAAATTTTTTGTTTTATCCGTTTTGTTTAATTGTTATAAAGCGTGCGAGAGTTATTTCATTGACAAAACATTCGTGCTCAGACCTCTCAAGAGAAAGAACGCGAATGTTTTATATAATAATAATGATTTGCATAATTATAGAGACTCTGAATTCTTTGCCGTAATAATAGACGTTGTGTTTGCGTGTTGCTCTTTGAAAGGTGTTGACTATTCGCAACGAAGTCAAATTAATAATGGCGGAATACCAAGTGAAAGTTGCTGGAGAAGCGGTGGTTCAACAACCAACGCAGACCTCGGATGCTGAAAATTGGCTCAATCTTGATCACGAAGATGTGTTGGAACTATGATTTGTTTATTGTATTTGCGAGCATTTTAAAAATGTGTAAACTGCGCATTCCTAATAATTTCGTGATATGTTTGATTTTGGATGTCGCGTTAAGTAACCAATAGATGTCTCAAAGAATATACTACAATAAATCCAGAGAACTGCTTTGTTATGTAACAATCATTTCATTGAATTGAACCAGTGGTCAAATATTATCCTCTGTGTAAAATGACATTTTATTTTTGTTTCTTGTTGCTTGTTAGGCTATGTGCATTGGCATACTAAAAAGTAAAGGAATTGGTACAGTGGTCCATATTGGTCAACTCTGACCATGATTATTTGTAAATCATTAAGAAATCTCCAAGGGCCATGAGATAGGTTAATAAACAAGTGTAGATTGGAGATGGAATTCAGTCAACATTTATAACTAATTCTCCTAGAAAGTTTGCAGAAATTCTTCTTTACCAACTTCTTAAACATATTAGTGAGCAGTTCATTGTTAACAAGATTGGTGACATACATAGTCTTACAGGAGTGAGTGATTTTACAAGATTTTAGACCCAGGCACAAGTTATAACTTTCATTTAACAAAGTCTCATTTAAAAGAAATGGGTGTGACTGTTCTTGGCGAACTAATTTTCTCCTGGAAATGGTGTCATTAAAGAAAGAAGATTGACTTAGCTGGTCACAGGCATTATGGTCAGGACAAACCCTGCAGATGGCTGTGCATGAAGAATTGTGGAATTGCTGTCCTGAATTCTGCTGGACCAACCAGATGGAGAGTGACTGGTCAAGGCATTTTTACAAAGATGAACCATCTTGTTGTTTCTGTTTTGGAACAGGTTTGATTTCAGTTTAAAGTACAATATGCTGCAATGGTTATATGAAAATGGGTTTGGTTTTCCACTTGTAACATACATGATACCTATTATTAATTTTAGTCAATCAAGAGTATGATTATCGCTTCCTGAAAGATTTGGAGCTCAAGGAGACGATTTGTTGTTGCTGGAGAGTAAAGATGCTGGAGATCTCTGAATAAGATGGCTCCAGCACCGTCCAGAAGACGGTGGTGCTAATGGTTCCCCCTCATATACTCAAACATCCTGAGGCTGCAAAGGTAGAAAAGATAATCATGGACCAAGCAAGACTTGTTGCAGATTAGTATGAAAACAAATAATGAACAGCGCAGATTGTTGAAAAATGAAACCTGATGAAGACATGATTGTGCTTTTAATGTATTTAATCATATCAAAATCATGAAACCAAATGGCATACATATTCTTCTAATTTTTGCTGGAATAAGCTTTTATGTCTTTATTCACATTGTATGATTATATTCAATAAATATACACGGGCAGGAAACGTCGTTTTGGCTTGTGGGCAATAGCTATGCACTAATGACCATTTCAACCAGTAATCTCCAGTTACCCTTATCCAATTCTACCTCAGGGAAAAGCCCCGATTGCTACCATCCAATCATATCATGACAAATTTTCACGACCTTTTGTGTCTACAATGACCTTAGCTTCACCGAACGTTTGATCCCAGTTCAACATGGCGGTTCGGTGGATTTTGACAATCTTTGTATTTTTTTGTAGTTTCTTTGAATATCTCACTGAAGACAGCCAACGCATAAACCGTTTTGAATACAAATTTAGCTTTAAAGGTCCCCATCTTATTAATAAAAGTGGACAAGTGCCTTTCTGGACAGTTGGTGGAAGTAAGAGGCAGTATACTTAATAGTTTAATAGTACTATCAAGCTAAATTATTCTAAAATTTCAAAGCTTGTCTACATTTAGTTTTGTGAAATCTTTTAATTGCATTTTACTTTATTTAAGGTGCTATTCCTAGCGATGATCAAGTTAGAATTACACCTTCTTTGAGGGATAAAAAAGGTTTTTTTATGATTTTCTTACTTTCAAGGAATGTTCAATATATTCAATACCATTTCGGGTTTTTTATATGACATGTAGTTGTGTAATATTGTTTTGAAATTGACGAAAATTTGCATTCAATATATATGATAAGAGTAGGTTTGAATTATGGAGTAGAAATTGGCAATGACTGCATGTTGATCATTTTACTTTTAGTATTGTTGTTACTTCAGGATTTTTCAAGCATCTTGTTGCTTGGTTTCAGATCATTTTCCCAAAAATGCATACTATTGCAGTGTTGAAAATTTGAATTAGAATAAACTTTTTGTTGTTTTTTATTTCTTATTCTTCTATTGTTTAGGTTACATGTGGTCAAATAATCAGTATTCTGCAGACTCTTTTGAAATTGAAGTGACTTTAAAAGTCACTGGCCAGGGTCGTTGGTGCAGATGGAATGGTTTGTATGATTAGTTACGCTTTTCTATTGAAAATGTTCAATTCGTTTTTCTTTGTTTAGCAAACACATTGTATAACCAAAACAGGTGGCTCTTCTGAACTGCCTTAATGCTTTTTTGACAATTCAATCTTTTTCGTCCATGTTTTAGGCCATATGGTTTGTCGAACAGCAAAGTAAGGAGGGCTCAGTTTATGGAGGCCAAAGTCCCTGGAAAGGATTGGGCATCTTTTTGGATTCATTTGATAATGATGGCCAAAACAACAATCCCTTTATCTCCATCATGATCAATGATGGTACAATCAATTATGACCACCACAGGTATAAATTGTGATCTACAACCAGGGTAGCCCACATTATGTAATGATTTTGTGTCATTAGAGATGGCCATAATCAGATCCTTGGTGGATGCCTAAGAAATTTCAGAAATCGTCCACATCCTGTCCGTGTAAAAGCTCGTTACAACGCAAACATTTTAACAGTCTGTAAAATTTTTATTGGCAAATGCGCTTGCATAATTCATGTTTCATGTGCTTTTTGGTGATTTTTAGATTTGGTTCCACCAAGGAATGTCTGAAAAACCAGAATTTGAACTATGTACCAGAGTAGAAGACATTCATTTGCCAAAGGCCGGCTTTTTTGGGGTTTCTGCTGCTACTGGAGGGCTTGCAGGTGAACTGCTTTTGCCAATGCACCATAAGTTTTGCAAATGCACCATAAGTTTTGCAAATGCACTGTAAGTTTTGCAAATGCACCATAAGTTTTGAAAATGCACCATAAGTTTTGCAAATGCACCATAAGTTTTGAAAATGCACCATAAGTTTTGCAAATGCACCATAAGTTTTGCAAATGCATCATAAGTTTTATAAATGCTTAAAAATACCTTTGATCAATTGCCTTCCAATTCGTGATCTTTTCTCCGGATTTTATAAATGAATTGAAAGCATGAAATGCATACGGCCACCAAATATACATATGAGCGAGTCTTTGACAAGCAATATATTTGTTTATATTTGAGCAATATATAGCTCAGTTGGTCAGAGCACTGCACCGGCACCGCAGAGGTCATGGGTTTGAATCCCGTTGAGTCACCTGATTTTTTCAGGTCCTGAGACGATTGCTTAAATTGTCCAGCAAAGTGCGAAGATCATATCTTCATTTAATTTCAATTACCGCACTGCATAAAACATTCATACGACATTCCTTTCACGAGAAAACATGAGCCCAACAATATTGACCTGCTCACCACTGTGTGACTTCATAGCTCAGTTGGTCAGAGCACTGCACCGGCACCGCAGAGGTCATGGGTTCGAATCCCGTTGATTCACCTGATTTTTTCAGGTCCTGAGACGATTGCTTAAATTGTCCAGCAAAGTGCGAAGATCATATCTTCATTTAATATATTTGTTTATTAGATGATCATGATGTCATTTCATTCTTAACACACAGCATAACATCAGTTTCTGATGGGGTAAGCAAAATTAATCAGTGGACAGTGTATTATTTTGCCAAGCTTACATGTCAAATTTGTGAATTCATTTATGGTTAGGAAAAGAAAATGTCAGAGGATGAACAAAAGAAGTTATCTGAGCAATATGATCAAATGGCAGAAAAATTCCAAAAGGAAAAGGAAGAGTACGTTCAACTGGTTTACTTTTTGTTTTAAGTTATATTCAATGCTCATGTGGTTTTTGGTGCAAGTTTTTTTTTGATAATGTCGATGCTTTCTTTAAGATTTGCTAAAGCCCATCCAAAAGAACCATCTCCTGAATCACAGGTAGACTTAGTCCATGGAGATTATCCACCTTCCTGGAATTCCTGTGTTTTACTTACTGCTTTAACTTTCCATACCTGTTTTTGTGTATTTTGCAGTTTGAGACATCTTATGATCGTGATCTGAGGTTGATTTATGAAGGTCAAAATGCTGTGCATTATATTGTGAAGTGAGTTGAGATTCCATCATAACAATGTTATGAAGCTATGATGCAAAAAACAGTACACAACAGTTTACAAAACAACGCAAATGCAAAAATTGACATTAATAATGTATTATACCCCTATTGTCATAAGCATATAAGCACCATGTATGTAGACTGTTGACAAACTTCCCAGTCTCAATGACAACGTCTTTGAATTTGATAAATGGATTTTAATGTCGTGCAGCGCACTCGTTTATAAAGTAAAGATGAGTAAAGATTAAGCTTGAAAGCTTTCTTCAATTTATGTGGTAGTAATCAATAAAGAATTTTTTTGCATATCGTTTGAAAAGTGATGTGCAACGTTTCAGCTAAAACGATGTGCAAATTGCACATTGCACACCATTAATTCGCACACTGCATAACATTGTGGTTTTTGTTTATGTATTCTGTATATGTTTATGTAACTGTGTAAAAGCACTATTGATAATGCGCATTTAATAAAAACGACAAGTTTTTTTAAAATAAACATGTTTCAACATCTCATGATGCCATCTTCAGTATATAAGGAATATTATGTATGTGATGAATATATATGAGTAAACTAACCCTAATCTCAGCGTTCAAGTTTTTCCTTTTAACACTATATTCAGCCTGTAAATACTTTCATCATTAATTCTAACCACTATTTCATTGTAATATAATAATCTATTCATAAGTGTATAAAGTGTATCACAGTATCATATTACTCTGATATATATATATATTCATCACATACATAATATTCCTTATAATACTGAAGATGGCATCATGAGATGTTGAAACATGCTTATTTTAAAAAAACTTGTTTTCATTAAATGCGCAATATGTTTATATATTATGGTATTTGTTTATATATTTTATGTATTTTGTTTGTATATTCTATGTTTATGTATTCATTACACTCATTGAAATTTCTACCACCACTTTGTAGCAATCTCCACAAGAAGACTGGGGAATTATCAACACAAGTGAATGACCTTCAACAATTCATGACTGAAGGCAAACTTAGTGGTGGAGGAGGAGAATCTATCACCAAACAGGAAATCAATAGTATCGTCAATCTGCAAAATCAATTAAAAAGTAGTATGGAAGAAGTGAAGTAAGGGGCCTATTTTTGTCTATCCCCTAGTAATAGTAATATAAGTAAGAGCAATGATATGATAAGATTAGCAATAGAAGTGAAACCAATGTTTTAGGGTTGATTGTCAAAATGTTTCCCTTTGTGTTCAAGTGGAAATATTGTACTTGTCCCCTTGTGTATAAGCACCATTGTGTACAAGAGGGAATATAGTCTAGAGAGCCAAGAACATGTCAAGGAAAAAATATTTTTTGAATTGTTTCAATTAGGAATATGGTGCATGGTCTTGATGCTGGTAAAGTAAAGCGAAACAGGAGATAATGGTGACAACACAGCTACTGAATTGAGTAGCTACAGTAGCATGGAAATGATGATGGAAACGTTAATCATTTGGTTACCAAACAACAGGCAAAACTATTTTTTTGGATTATAAATGAAAGCATATTATCTTGAACAACATGGAAAATGTTTTTTTATTTTAGGTTGCTGGGAAAGATGACGGAAAGCCTTGTCCAGTTGTGGAAATGCCAAATTGTATAGGACCTGGTTATTTTGTATTCCTTGTTATTGTTCAAATAATTGTTCTTGTAACATACTTTACATATAAAAGTCAACGAGATGCTGCCAAGAAATTCTTCTGATATTGAAGAAATGGCAAGTTTAGGCTTTCCTTTGCTCTTGTATGTGCAAACGAAAAACATATCAGTTTGCAGATATTTTTGAAATTTATAAATTGGAATGAGTTTGAATCACTCTATTGGCCCAAGTTAATTGGGTTGTATTGACACATACAGCAAAGTTTATATATAAGATTTAGAAGTGAATTGGACATATGACTAAATATTGTTTAAAGAAAATAGCTATACGTATAATTTACATGAGATAAGAGATATTCCATCAAGATCATAACCCTATTTATTGAAAAACATTGGAGAAATTTTTTTTTTATCAAAGCTGATATTAAATTGATAAATTACAGTTGTGAAACATCAAAATTGAGTCATATTTATTTCTTTTGTAACTTTTTTTGTTTGAAAAACCATTGTGAACACTAGTTTTTACATAGTCATTTCTTCAAAACAGTTTAAGCATTGCTATTTTTTGCCATTTGAAATCGGACACCAATAAAAGGAATACTGAACCCTGTACCAAGGAAAAGAATCATAGTAGCTAGCAGTCTTGGCTTGTTTTTTATCTGGAATGGCAGATTCTGAAAAACGAATGAAACTTATAAACATTAGGACATTTGCTGCAGTGTACAGGTTGAAAATCAAGTATTGACAAATGACAATGACAATATTTAGAATACAGTAGAATAAATTGTGTGTTCAAAGTCTAACTTCTACACACGAGAGTTTAGCTGAAAGACGTAAATATATTGGTCTTTATCAACAGATATGTATAAGTTAAATTTAAAGAAAGAAATTCATTCTAATTCATAAATACTATTTACCTCTCCTGGGGCATTTTCAACCTCTCCACGTACTAAAGGACGACCAGAAGCTCGAAGGCGAGCCGCAGACTGAGCAAGAAAAACTCCTCTACGTATAGAAGACATTACAACAATCTCCAAAACTTGATTTTATCACGATTTTAACAAAATCACAAAAAGAGTTGAACATAAAATTTGATAATAATAAAGATGGCGGAAAACCCAGAAGTCTTTGCGGCATGAAAGTCAAAGTTCGTCTTCCGTCTTATAACGACCTCATTGATTGGTTAAATGTGAACCAATAGAACTTAGCGGTAAAAAAATTAGTAAAATTGTGTATTTATGTATATGAAATTAATACTATTTGTGAGTATGTGAAAATATACATTACAATTAATCTGTGATTGAAACGAAATTTTAACTTGATTATTTACTGCTGTGGAATGCAACATCAAGAGTGAGGAAACTTTAAATTGCTACTTCACCCAGTGTTTTTGAAGAATAAAAAATGGTGTGATTTGAATTTTATTTTAATATACATATAATATTTTACTCATTAATGCATTTTTAATTTATTTATTTCAGTTTAATGTTGCTTACAAGGAGAAAGATGGTATGAAATAATAAATTTCTATGTCGTAGCTTATGTGGAAATTTGATGTTGACAATCCGTTTAATACTTGAATTAAGCTCATGAGGAAAGCATATGGTGTTGTTCCTGGTCAACAAATGAAGACAATGTTGACCGAATTCTCAGTGGAGCAGTTGATGACCTTGTAAAATGTTGGAAATGGTTAGCAACTAACCATAATGAGCTTTCTATCTGTTATATCCAAGATTCTGAGACTAAGGACTGTTTACTTAACCAATTCATGTAATTGACTTAAAGGAACAATGAAAAGTTGGAGCTCAGGTATAACTTAGAAGGCCATCAGCTTGGAATTGTGTCTGTGGATATAAATACCAATGGCACAGGTAAAAATTGATGCAACATTGCTTGTATTTAAAACAAGCTTAAAAAATTGTTTTTTGTAGTTGCTGCCTCTAGCTCCATGGATAGTCATATAAGGATTTGGGATCTTGAAAATGGCAAACAAATCAAATCGGTTGATTGTGGTCCAGGTATCAATTCACTGACATCCCCTTTCAATTTCTGGTTCTCATGTTTTGCACATCTTGTATTTAATGGGAGTATCATATTTCTTATCACAACTTTCATGGAAACATTTTCTAGTGGACACATGGACTGTAGGTTTCTCACCAGATAGCAAGTTCATTGCAACAGGCACTCATTCAGGAAAAATAAACCTTATTGGAGTGGAAAGTGGAAAAAAAGAAAGTGTTCTGGACACAAGAGGAAAATTCATCATGAGCGTTGCATATGTAAGAAAAATATTAGGAATACATATAATTTATCTTGGTTAAATAATTGTACCTTATTACATCTAGAGCCCCGATGGTAAATACATTGCAAGCGGTGCAATTGATGGAATTATCAATATTTTTGATATTGCTACCAGTAAACTGGTTCATACTCTGGAAGGTAGAAAATCTATTCATAAAAGTTTTGACCCAACTTTTTGGTACAATTATCATTTATCTTTGCAAGTCATTCTATGCCTATAAGGTCACTGACATTTTCACCAGATTCTCAGTGACATTTTCACCATTTATCTTTGCAGGTCATGCTATGCCTATAAGGTCACTGACATTTTCACCATTTATCTTTGCAGGTCGTGCTATGCCTATAAGGTCACTAACATTTTCACCATATTCTCAGTCAGTGACATGTTTACCATTAATCTTTGCAGGTCATGTTATGCCTATAAGGTCACTGACATTTTTACCATATTCTCAGTGACATATTTACCATTAATCTTTGCAAGTCATGCTATTCCTATAAGGTCCCTGACATTCTCACCATTTATCTTTGCAAGTCATGCTATTCCTTTAAGGTCACTGACATTTTCACCATTTATCTTTGCAGGTCATGCTATGCCTATAAGGTCACTGACATTTTCACCATATTCTCAGTCAGTGACATGTTTACCATTAATCTTTGCAGGTCATGTTATGCCTATAAGGTCACTGACATTTTTACCATATTCTCAGTGACATGTTTACAATTAATCTTTGCAGGTCATGCTATTCCTATAAGGTCCCTGACATTTTCACCATTTATCTTTGCAGGTCATGCTATTCCTATAAGATCCCTGACATTTTCACCATTTATCTTTGCAGGTCATGCTATGCCTATAAGGTCACTGACATTTTCACCAGATTCTCAGTTATTGATTACAGGATCAGATGATAATCACATTAAGATGTATGATGTGTATCTTTTACCTAGCATGTAGCAAGGAAGTTTTCCAGTGAAATAGTTGAGTGTTCAAATAAACACTTTTCAAATCATGATATAATGTCTAAAACGTCACTAAATTAACTATGTGCCTGTCATGATGGCGAAGCTAAAGAATGTTAATGCATTGATGAAATAAGTTATATTTTGGTTGATATTCTTTAACTAGCTTTCATTACTCAGACAGCATGCAAACTTAGCTGGAACTTTATCAGGCCATGGTTCCTGGGTCCTTAGTGTTTCTTTCTCCCCTGACAATGCACATTTTGCATCAAGGTAAGTAAATTTGAATAACAAGCAAGAGTATATGAAGAGAAAGTGCAGTTAAGTTTTGCAATCTTTGATAGTTCTTAAAACTGTGATGAAAACCAAGTTTATATTAAAAATTTAAAAAATCAAAGGAACTGGAATAAAATTAAATGGTGCTCTATAGTTCTTCAAAGTAGAACATAAAATGTGTGAACTTCTGTTTGATTCACAGCTCAAGTGATAAAACTGTAAAAATTTGGGATGCTGGTTCAAGACAATGTCTTCACACGTTTTATGAACATTCAGATCAGGTAAAATAAATTTTGACGTTACAATCTGCCAGTAATTTTACAGAAAATATGGATTGAACTTTTAAGCACATTGTTTTAGGTTTGGGGTGTGAAATACAACCAAAGTGGCACTAAAGTTGTCTCTGTGTCAGATGATAAGTCAATTGTTGTGTACAATTGCCCAACTTAAAGAAATCGGGCATGGAAAATCGATGATCAGAAGGGCATACATTTCGTTTTTCAACTCCAAATTATAACACCAAATCAGAAAATTGCTGTTCATCGCTGAATATTTTATTTCCATCATGTAAACTTGGATGCAATTGCTAAAACCTTTGCGTATTTCTCTCGCTGCTTGCGTAAAACATTAGGTATAGGTCCTCTTATCCTTGTCCCAAGTGGAGCGAAGTTTTCATCTAATAACACAACATTATTGTTGTCGTAACGTGGAACCATACTGTTGCCCTTTGGTTTTCTTGATCCAACGATTAAAGCATTACATGTCTGCCCTCTGACAGCAACCTTTATGACATCCCCAATATCTGCAGTTTGGCGTTTATTATTTTTAAAGAAACCGATCGCATAGGCTTTTTTGTAACGCTTGCTTCGTTGACCTTGCTTGCTATTGTCTACGACGTTAAATTTTGTGAGAAGCGTAATTGATCGAAAGGAAGCCAATGATTGTGGGTAAGATTTTGTCAATAAATGGCTTAAAATTGCAGTATTTGACAGGGAAAATATCTTTCTTGATCCAATAACTCCTTTGAAACTCGCCATGTTGGTTTTTCTGCTCACAGCCCATTACCACTGGTCTCAACCTCAACTCAACTGAACGTGTTCATAGCACAGTGAGTGGTCACTGGTCAGAGTGAAAGGAGGGAAATTCAAGTTATTGATACAACCAAGCAAGCACAACTCTGGAGAAGGTAGTCTATTTACATTATTCTACGTTTCTATTTACAAAATAAAACGTTCAACAGGACGGTAATGCTCAAGATGAATGACAACCAAACGTGTACCCCTTCCAATCCTACATCTGCGGTGCAAGTGGTGGACATGATGCATGCATGAAATTCTGAGGCGAAATCATTCCATTTTGTTTCTCCCTGTAAATCAAGAAACATATCTTTTAAAAACAAATCAAAATATTCAATTTATAGCCATTTAATGCAGCTTGTAAGCATGGTTAACAAGACTTACACATCATATTGTAAATGCTCAAGCACATTATTAACATGTTCTGTTGGTATTTCACCATCAATCATTGCAAGGTATTGGTACAGCTCAGTAAAAATATTAAAATCAATTCTTGATGGCCCTCCTTCAAGGTCTGTCGTTAAAATCTCACAAATGATTTCCATCGCAGCACTCAAATTCTGAAACGATGGATGAGAATTAAAAGATTTGGTTGTAGCAAAAGATTTATATGAAAGCAATAAAAATGGTAAGAAAAGATTTATATGAAAGCAATAAGTAAAACATACCTCACTGATTGTCACAACTGCAAGGGATAGAAAGTGAAGCCATACTATTTCTTCGGCAAAACTACCCAATCTGTGGCAAAACTGTCAATATCAGTATTTGCTTGCAAATTTTGAGAATTGTATGCCTCTACCTTAGTATCTCAAATAACATTTCTTGTGGCAATGATAAATGTGTCCATTTTTGTTCCAGTATTATTCTCTCAACAACTGGTTTTGAGCCCAGCTACAAACATAGTTTGTTAATAAATAATAGTTACAGCTAGGTTAGACGATACATTTTAAGAGATTATGAAATTATGTGGCTTGAGACAAAAAAATCCAATAGAAAGAATGATATGTGCAATCCCTAGGAAAATAGGATGAAAAACAGAGTATTTAAAAATTTTAAAATATTGTCTTAAGTCTAAACAATGAGATTTTTATTGAAATGTATTTTGTAAACTTGAGCAATTCAAGTTTTATAGCTTGGGCTAAATCTTGTTGAATTGACCTATTGTGGGTTTTCATATGATATCCCTCTGGTGATGTTAAAGCAGCCATGTTGGTAAGTTGGTAAGTGCCAATGCTGAACAGAGCATAAAACCAGCGGCATAAATCATTTTGGCCACAAACATGACATACAGCAAACACACTTTATTTTCAAAATACGCAAACAAGTTGATGATGGAGTAGTTTGCGTTTGGTAGTTTGTCTAATTTGTTTTTACTAAGCAAAAAATACCTGTTTATGCAATATTTCTATAAAACCTTTAGTCACTGGTCTTTCAAGAGCTGCGCCAAGTGGAACCTCTAAACGATCTTTTACGGGTAGAGGTTCCCCCTTAGATAAAGCTTCAAAATAACTAAATATATGACGAAAACGGAGAAGAATCGACGTCAGTTATTTAAAATAGTTGAGAGCATTCAACGAGCGATTTACTTACGCCGCCGACCACTGCAAAACATCATGCGGCTGCGTTCTTATAGCTGCTTTGGTAAACTGTTTCAAAATATCCGGCAATTCAGGGGGTATATTGATCTGTTGCGAGCAATAAATTGGTTCGTCTGTTGCAGGCATCCTGTTTTCTTTGCCAAAACCGACACTAGGAAGCTGACATTATGCAAACAAAGATATGTTACCATGGCAGCTGATTGTGCTCATGCGCATGGTGGCGAATTATTAAAATCAGCATATGACCCAAGAATTGTTAATGACTGTTTTAAAATGTGGTTTTTCATACACATGTTGCAAAATTTCATACATGCTTTATGCATGCCGATGTAGGTTCATCACATTTGTCGTATATTAGACCAATAACCAACATTTGTCCTATGTATTAGGCTTTTGCATTGGATTGGATAAATGTTTCATTATGAAAGTAGGTGATATCTACATACAATGTACAATTTATGTACTACAATTTGGGTGTTCATAACAACACCCAAGCTACGGAGCTATGCAAAGCTAGAAAAGTTACAAAGCTATGTTTCAGTTGTTTTTGTGTCCAAGGTTTAGAATATAAACATTTTTTATGTTAAGTATGATTATGTTTCATCTTTGAAAATAGGAGCACTTGATCATGTATCCCCAGTCATTATAGCAATGAATTCTTCTTCGTTTACTTAAAAAGAACATAAAGATGCAGTCAAACAATTATCATCAACAAAAATCGACAATGGATAAAATGAAAATATTTACTCTCTCCATCACCATCCTTATCAAATTCATCAATCATTGACCGTAACTCCTCATCTGTCATGGTCTCTCCAAGTTCACGAGCAACCCGTCTAAGATTTCTCAAACTGATCTTGCCACTGTCATCATCATCAAACAGACGAAATGCCTTAAACATTTCTTCCCGAGGATCTCGTGCCAACATCCAATCTGTCACTAGCAAATTGAAACTTGTCAGCTGTAACATCATGTGACAGATCAATGTCTCAGAATGATGTGACACTTACTGACTTCATAGAAATCATCAAAAGTTATCTTTCCTGAGGCTTCCTTATCATATTCCTTCATTACTTTCAAGACATCGGCTTTCTTCACCTCAAAACCCAAAGCTCTCATTGCTACCTGGCAAATCAATGTAGCCAAAACTGAACGATTAACTGGACAAAAGACAAGACACGAGAAAGACAATCATTCATAATCCAACGATTAGAGTCTAAACTCTACCTTCAACTCGTGATAATCTATCGCCTTGTCCTTGTCCGTGTCAAATAAATCGAAAGCCTCACGAATCTCTTGCTTTTGTTCTTCACCAAGTTCCCGCCGCTTTGGCCTTCCAGTCTTGCTTTTTGAAAAATCAGGCGCCTTAAGTGACATTGTCGTTTCGTTTCTTAACTTTATCTCTTCAGATCTTTACTATACTTTTTCTTTCTGTCGATCAGAAGTATCTTTTTTTATGTAAACGGCCTTATGATCTGTAGATAAAGATGTGCACAGATTCAATGGTACACACATACACGTTGCCAGTAGTTGCTATGTTTGTGTTTAGTTAAAAACACATCGTTCAAACGAAGAAAAGCCCTTGACCAATAGGCAAGAGAGTGATGTAGATGTTTGTGAATGTAGATCGTCCAGGTTGGTATAGTTCTGAGAAGGACTGTTTTTGTTGTTGTTGACTGACGTTTCCACAACCTTAGCGGTAGTCATCTTCAGAGTCAAATGAGGAGTAAACGTCAGGTTAGCCGTATTTGTTATATGGTTCTTACGTCATTGTATTGTGTGTACAGTATAAATGTGACTACCACTAAGGCACAGAATAGATACATATGTATCTATTCTGTGACTAAGGTTGTCGAAACGTCAGTCAACAACAACAAAAAACAGTCCTTCTCAGGACTATACCAACCTGGACGATCTACATTTACAAACATGTAACGATACTCCCGGGTTCAAACCATTAAGTTCTATAAGACCTGGAGGGGAAACGTCTACAAAATTACTATAAATTATTAGCGCGCGGCCGCGTGGTCAAAAACATGGCGGATTTTGGTGGGCAAAGTCAGCGGAGAGACGCGGGTTCATGAAATAAAATTTTTGCCGCCCACCCTGATTTGACCACCACGATTGGGAGAATAAAAAATATTTTCAAAATCCGCCAAAACTATTTTCCTAACACAAACACTTTTTTAAAATTTTATTTATTAAACAATCTGCAAACTTCCGCGGTTTGCGGATGCTGAAATAGCGACAGAAAAGGAAACATTTCATGACTTCGGTAAGTAGCACTGTAGTAGTTTTACTATTTTGTTTTTAACACGATACTTGAAGAGTGTTTCTACTACTAAGTTTTAATTTAAAGTTATTTTGGTCCAGTCTTGTTTGTTCTTCACTTAATCGCTCGCCAGAAGTGGCGAAGCTGTCAATTTTTATCGAGTTTTGCATCCATCTTGTATCATGATCAAGGCATCAAGCTTAACTCTCCTGATTTGAATTGAGTTTACCTCCCAAAAATGGGGCATAATTTGTTCATGTTTTTTTTTGAAAAGATGAAGGCAAAGTTTACAACAGAGTTGTGTTGAAATTGAATGCAGTGCCATGCAAAATTAATGAGAACAATGGTATATGTTGTATAATAAAAATAACTATTAAACTGTTTGCCTGCTCAATTTGACTGACTGTATAGTGTAGACAATTATAATGGGATTGGAAAGTTGATTTATGCAAACAGTTTTAAAGTACTACTTAGCGTTTCTGTAAATGAAGTATTTATTGTTACAGTAAACAGGCTACTACTTCAAAACCAAGATAAAAGTGGTGTGTTGAACAATGTGCTAAGATTTGTTTCTACCTTGAAATTTTTGTTCAACAGTAGCTTATGATTATATCATTAATATGCATGAAAAATTAAACATATTATTGTCTCATCTCATCAAGTCCATACTTGGTATGATTCCAGGTGATCCACAAATTCACATCGGATGCATTCATTGGTTACAATGAAGCTGAATGTAGAGGAAGCAAAAATAGATGGCAAAGAAATTCTTTGTGTCTTATGAAGAATTAGTAGAAATCAATAAAAAGAATTCTTTTAACAAATTGTAAACAAATTTAAATTTGCTCATGGTCAAGTAACCTAGTCAAAGAAGCAAAGTCTCTCTTCAACATGTGACCTTTCCTATTATTTAGATTCTTTGTACAAAATACTATTTTCGAGAAACTTGATTTGTAAGTCTTTCATTAATATTTTTTTACCAAGAGATAAAAGGAACTAATTCAAAGGCTTGATGTAAAATACAAAGATTTAACAAGTTGTTTATCACTTAATTCCCAAATGGTAGTTTGTACATATAACAACAACACAAACAACATTTGTATACCGGCCAGTATTAATCCCCGCTAGGGGGGTTGACCGGTCCATGAATTTTTCCACGCCAAACGTCTCTATCTCTCGCCATATCTCTCGTTATACCCATCGCCTTCATATCACTGTTCACAGCATCCATCCATCTCTTTCTCGGTCTACCTCGTTTGCGGACTCCATCAACATTCATATGCAACGTTCTACGAATTTCAGCACTTTCTTCCCTCCTTTCCACATGCCCAAACCACCTCAAACGCTGGCGCCTTACCCAATTCTCGATACACTCAACACCAACTCTTTCTCTAATCTCTTCACTTCGAATCCTATCCATCAACGTTACACCACACATCATCCTAAGCATTCTCCTTTCCGTCGACGCCAATCTTCTCAGGTCCTCTGCTTTCGGCGCCCAACACTCTGCTCCATATCCAAAACACTTCTAACACATGCCTTATACAATTCTCCCTTCTGCCTTTTCCTTCCCGACAACTCTTCTGCTTTCATTCCTTCCACTTGCTCGCACATCCACTCATATTCCATTCCAGTCAAACCGTTCAATCTCGCCCACCACTTCGACACGTCCACTCAAAATCAGTTACTCTTGTCAATGCACCACGGACACCTGAACATCTTCCATGAACCCACTTACTGCATTTACACATCGAATTCACTCCACCTTGGCCATTTATCCTGTCCTTCACCTCCACCTGCCTCGAGCATCTCATGCCCTTCGTCTTTGCCTCATTCACTTTCAGTCCCTTGACTTCTATTGCCGTTTTCCATTCTCGGTACCATTCCATGACTTTCTGCTTCGACTCCGCCACCAAGACAATGTCATCTGCATACAACAAACACCAGCATCCTTCTTTTCTTCTCACTTCCTCTGTCAGTACATCCATCACACAAGCAAACAGTAACGGCGACAAGACTGAACCTTGATGAACACCAACTTTACCTCAAAACACCAGATCTAACACCTTCCTCCGTAACCACCGCCTCTACACCTTCATAAGTCTCCATAACTGCCCGAACCATATTCTCTGTCACACCTTTCTTACGCAGCGCGTACTCGATCACCTTTCTCGAACTCTATCAAACGCCTTCTCCAAATCTACAAACACCATATACAATTCTCTGTCCTTCTCCAAAATTTCTCCTGCAGCTGCCTCAACACAAACACGCATCCGTCGTTCCTCTCCCCGTATGAGTCCATACTGCTCTTCCCCATCCGAACAACTTCCCTCAACCTTCTTTCAAACACTCTCTACTATCTTCAACGCATGCTCCATCAGCTTAATAGTCCTGTAATTCCCACATACCGTCGCTGCTCTTTTCCTTTGCAGCGGGACCACTAGACTCTTTCTCCATGTACTCGGCATCTTTGAGCCCCTCAAACGCCTCTTTCACTTCATTACACTTCATCCATCCTTTCCTTCCCTTCCATTCCATTCCATTCCTTCTTTCCTTCCTTCCATCATTCTACGCTCAAACATCGTTCCTCCTTCTTCCTTTCTTTTCCATTCTTTTACGCTCTTTCTGATGCCTTTAGCCACCTCCTTTCGCGCCTTTTTCTTGAACCGGATGTAATCGATCCTATCTGCTTCAGTCCGCGACTTTCTCCACCTTTTAAATGCCAACTTATTCTCGCCAATCACTTCTGACTCGTTGATCCCACCACCATGCCTGTTCTTCTACTACACCGCCTTTACTTCTACAACATACCTTCTCCGCTGCCGTTAAAACACCTTCTCCAGCACGTCCATCGCTCCTCCACCGTCTCACCCTCAACATTCAATGTCGCAATTTCGTCACGGAAACACTGCTTCCCTTCATTCGATCGTAACTTCCATAGCTTAAGCCTGCCTTTACCCTCAACCTTTCTCCTCTTCACCTTCCTGATTCTCCAGTCCATGACCAGCAGCTTGTGCTGGGTCAGACATTCTTCTCCTGCAATCACTTTTGCATCCTTTACGTTTTTCCTCTCTTCTTCATTCACCAGTATATAATCCACCACCGTCCTACTGTCGCCAGATTCATACGTCACAAGCTTGTTTTCTTCCTTTATAAACCACGTATTCACTACCACCATCCCACAACTTGCTGCTAACTCCAATATCGCCTCGCCTTCAGCATTCATATCACCAACTCCAAAACCTCCATGCGCACAGTATCCTTTTCTTACGCTTCCCACATGACCGTTCCAATCACCAAGCATCACACATCGCCCTCTAATGTCTGCTCTCACTGCATACACGCTGTCGTAGAACTTTTCCTTCTCCTCCGCACTTCGTCCAACCTAAGGAGCATACACCACAACGAAACTCACAACTTCGGCCTCAATAACTACATCAACTCTCAAGACTCTGTCCGAAACTCTCTTCACTGCTACAACCAACTTCGCCCAATCCTCTCTTATCGCAAAGCCGACACCATTCGTGCCACTTCCGTTTCCCTTCCAAAACCACTTAAATCTCGCTCCATTATCTTCACCCTTTATGACTCTCGTACCTTCACCTTTAAACCTTACCTCCTGAAACCCACACACATCAACTTTCCTTCTCTTCAACATGTCCTCCACTTCTGCACTCCTTCCCTTCATTGTCCCAACGTTCACTGTGCCTACCCGAAGGGTGACACTTCCACCAACATTCGATCCGGAGATTCTTCGCACCCCCTGCCCACTGAAGGGCTGCCAGGGACTGGGGGCCATATCTTCTTTTCCAAAGCTCATGAATTTTGTTGGAGCAAAAATTTTACGGTAGGATGCCCTTCCTTACACCAACCCCTTTTAGTCGTCTTTTACGACACGCAGAGGATACGTTGGCGCAATTCTAAGCCGGCAACCACACGGCTAGGTAGTTTGTACATATAAATAATTAGTATTGGTAGCTGTAAGTTGTTTAAGCAAAACAGAAGAGAGTAGTGCTCGAAGGGGTTGGCATATTTGAAAAATTATGATATTATGCACAATAATATCTATAGAACTTGATAAATTTCTTCACCTGCACTGTCAAATAACTATTTTGCCTTCATGCACCAATAGACAGTGTTTTTGTCAGAGAAACCAATGCACTTTAGTTTCCAAGTTTGTAATTTCAATTGAAAATTAATATAGTTCTGTTCTTAAATGAAGATATGATCTTCGCACTTTGTTGGACAATTTAAGCAATCGTCTCAGGAACCTGAAAAAATCAGGTGACTCAACGGGATTCGAACCCATGATCTCTGCGGTGCCGGTGCAGTGCTCTGACCAACTGAGCTATGAAGTCACACAGTGGTGAGCAGGTCAATATTGTTGGGCTGATGTTTTCTCGTGAAAGGAATGTATCAATGTTTTATGCAGTGCGGTGTTTGAAATTAAATGAAGATATGATCTTCGCACTTTGTTGGACAATTTAAGCAATCGTCTCAGGAACCTGAAAAAATCAGGTGACTCAACGGGATTCGTACCCATGATCTCTGCAGTGCCGGTGCACATTGACCAACAATATTGACCTGCTCACCACTGTGTGACTTCATAGCTCAGTTGGTCAGAGCACTGCACCGGCACCGCAGAGGTCATGGGTTCGAATCCCGTTGAGTCACCTGATTTTTTCAGGTTCCTGAGACGATTGCTTAAATTGTCCAACAAAGTGCGAAGATCATATCTTCATTTAATTTCAAACACCGCACTGCATAAAACATTCATAGTTCTGTTCAGTAATAGATCCAAGATTCTGCCTAACTGTTCACAAAATACAAATTACCAAGCAACAGTATCATGGTGTTTTGAATTTTTTTCTTTTTGTAGCTCTTCTAGTTCAACATACTTTCTTTATGAGTTTTCAGTAGATTTATCAGGTAATGACAATACACTTATGATACTTATCCATGGTAAATTTTAAGTTGACTTATGTCGTAGGACTGAAGCAAACATTTTCTCGCTTCCTTAGGAGCATTTTTACACAGATTTATCCATTTAAGCAAGAAAAATACGTGCACCAAACTGTTTACCAACAGTCAAGCACGCAGAAGCATAAAATAATGTATAAGTTTGACGAGATTGACAGGTCTACTAATGCCGTTTGATTTTCACTTTTAAAAGGTTAAAATGTCATAAAATAACTTAAATGTTACAGCCAAAATACGCGTTTCTCTACCGTCGGTTTTCTTTATTTTGATGTGTGTGTACTGTGTTTTCACGCAATGCTGAAGCATTATTTTCACATGATGCTGTCGGTATCGTAATTGTTTTTTTTTTTTCACTTTTTATCGTTCATATAAACAGTATTGGAAATCAGGAGAGCGTGAATATTGAAAAATATTTTTAAAGTGGAAGTTTTGACCACCAAAATCCGCCATTACCGCCATGTTTTTGACCGCAAGGTCCAGGCCCCTTTTCCCCTCCAGGTCTTATAGAACTCAATGGTTCAACCCAATGAACTCTACAACAACAATGAACTCTACAATGGAGTTCATTGGGTTCAACCCATTGAGTTCTATAGGACCTGGAGGGGAAAGGGGGCCTGGACCCATTGAGCTCTATAATAACTGGAGGGGAAAAGGGGCCTGGACCCCGTGGTCAAAAACATGGCGGTAATGGCGGATTTTGGTAGTCAAAACTTCCACTTTGAGAAAAATTTTTAACATTCGCTCCCTCCCGAATCCGGAACTCTATTACTGCTTATATCAATGACAACCAGCGAAAACAACCACGATACCGTAAGCATAAAATATTGAAAATAATGCTACAGGTTTTTGTGAAATAGACATACAAATTTAAATGAGGTAAATCTACTGTAAAATAACGTATATTTTGTCAAGTAATGCTTTAGCTATGTTAGAAATAAATATCAAACGGCATTCTTTATACTGTCAATGTGTTGTTAAGCTTTAATGCATAATCCCATGCACAATACTTGTGTTTTTGACTGTTTGATAACAGCTTGGTTCAACTGTCTTTCTTGAATAGATGGGTAAATCTTAGTTAAAATGTCCAAAAAGGAGTTAAAGTTAGCTTACCCCTACGACTTAAGTCGACTGGAAATATATTATAAGTAGGTATGTAATTTTTTTTGAGTTTTTTTTTGGTAGGATTGATTCTGGGCGTCTTATAAGGTATTATGATATTCTGATAAATCTACTGACAACTTATGAAGAAAATATCTTGAACTAGGAGAGCAAAAGAACGAAATTCAGAAATTCTATAATCATGTTGCTGGTTCTGTTTTGAGCCAAGATATTAGAAACTGGATTGTCATTGACAACCATGGATCTACTACTGAACAGAACTACATTAATTTCCCATTGAAAATACGATTTCTTAAATTAAAGTGCATTGGTTTCTCTGACATAACACTTTTCTTATTGCTGCATGAAGGCAAACCTGTTTAAATAATTATAATGTAGGTGAAGATTTTTAGCCTGTTGTATAATTGTTATTGTACAGTCATTATCTATAATATTATGGCCTTGTGTAGTGTATGTCAAGAAGAATATATTAATTCTCAAAAATGCTAACCTTCTTGCACTATTTTCTCTTGTGTCCTTACAAATTACAGTTAACTATGCTAATTTTTTCTATGTTCAAACAACTTGACAAACTTTTGAATTTTACATTATGCCTTTGAATTTTTCTTTTTGTCTTTTGCTAAAAATATCAGTGAATGACTTAAAAATCAAGTTTTCTAAAATAGTATTTTGTACAAAGAATTATACATAATTGGAAAAGTCTCATGTTGAAGACAGATGTCGCTTCTTTTACTAGATTGCTATTCTGGGCGAAAAAAATTTTATTTTATGAGCCCGCGTCTTTCCGCTGACTTTGAGAACCAAAATCCGCCATGTTTTTGACCACGCGGCCGCGCGCTAATAATTTATAGTAATTTGGTTGTCATTTCTCCTCCAGATCTTATAGAACTCAATGGTTCAACCCAGTGAACTCCATATATATATATCTGGAATGATAACGACAATACATTTTATAGATATAAAACAGTGAACTCCATATATATATATATCTGGAATGATAACGACAATACATTTTATAGATAAAAAGTTGAAGCCAAAGTCCTAGTCTCTTGCGCGGTTTGTACGTCAGTTCCAGTCCGTCAAAGTCGAATATTCACGCGGTTTGTACGTCAGTTTCATTCCCCTGAGTGCCAAACATACACGGCCAATATAAATTTGAATACAAATTGCGAAAGCATAAACATATAAACAACATCACGACAAACAACACACGAGGCCAACTCCTCGCCAAAGTTTATTTTTTACAGCTGAAACTTTACTACAGTGAGTTCGTTGTGACTTACAACTTGTAACGAGGAAAAGCCAAATGAAAATTACACTGTATGCTAAAAAGATAATACAATAGAAAATATGACGAGAAAATATTCAAGCATAAACTTTTCTTTCGTCCGAAGGTAAATTTTCAAACGGTGTCAGACAGAGTTTGTCTTTTTTTGTCATTTCAGTGGATTTAAAGATCTGTTTTTCCGAAGAAAAAAGAAACTTGAATATCCAGTTTCATAAAACATATTGAGTTTATAACTCGCATTTTTACTTTTTACAGAGCGATTGTATTTTTCATCGATTTTTATTGTGCTTGAAATACTACATGGTTGTCATCTCGATATCAATAATTGAATATCCTTAAAGACTTTGCATGTTTGTAAATGTAGATCGTCCAGGTTGGTATAGTCCTGAGAAGGACTGTTTTTGTTATTGTTGACTGACGTTTCGACAACCTTAGCGGTAGTCATCTTCTCTTTGATTCATTTGACTCTGAAGATGACTACTGCTAAGGTTGTCGAATCAACAACAAAAACAGTCCTTCTCAACTATACCAACCTGGACGATCTACATTTACAAACATGTAACGGTTCAAACCATTTACCTTAAAGACTTTGATATGTTTTAAAGGAAAACCGCAGCGTAAAAGCAGATCGACCAAATTCACCTCACCCTGCTTCTCGATTTATCACTTTGATTCACTTTCCGTGAACCTTTTCCTTCCAAAAATTTCGTTATTTTTACGCTCTGATCAAGATCCGAACTCTACCATTACCAAGGGACAAATGATTTAAAAAAATTAAAATGAGCACGCGAGAGACTAGAGCCTGACGTGTGATGACGAATGATGACGACAAATATTTTTTTGGCTTCGGTTATCATTCCAGTTATTCAAATGTCGAGTTCACTGATATAAAATTGACGCCAAAGTCCTAGTCTCTTGCGCGGTTTGTACGTCAGTTCCAGTCCGTCAAAGTCGAATATTCACGCGGTTTGTACGTCAGTTTCATTCCCCTGAGTGCCAAACATACACGGCCAATATAAATTTGAATACAAATTGCGAAAGCATAAACATATAAACAACATCACGACGAACAACACGAGAGGCCAACTCCTCGCAAAAGGTTATTTTTTACAGCTGAAACTTTACAGTGAGTTCGTTGTAACTTACGACTTGTAACGAGGAAAAGCCAACTGAAAATTACACTGTATGCTAAAAAGACAATACAATAGAAAATATGACGAGAAAATATTCAAGCATAAACTTTTCTTTCGTCGGAAGGTAAATTTTCAAACGGTGTCAGACAGTGTTTGTCTTTTTTTGTCATTTCAGTGGATTTAAAGATCTGTTTTTCCGAAAAAAAAAGAAACTTGAATATCCAGTTTCATAAAAAATATTGAGTCTATAACTCGCATTTTTACTTTTTACAGAGCGATTGTATTTTTCATCGATTTTTATTGTGCTTGAAATACTACATGGTTGTCATCTCGATATCAATAACTGAATATCCTTAAAGACTTTGCATGTTTGTAAATGTAGATCGTCCAGGTTGGTATAGTCCTGAGAAGGACTGTTTTTGTTGTTGTTGACTGACGTTTCGACAACCTTAGTGGTAGTCATCTTCTCTTTGATTCATTTGACTCTGAAAAGAGGACAGCTTCCTTGAGGTAGCATCAGTTCAAAAGCAAAAGGAAAATGCAAATGCTATTGATATAAGGATGACAGCCTTGGAACGAATGGGCGAAACAAACAAGAGAAAACCTGATGGGCAAACTCAGATGTTAAGCTTAAGAAGTACTCCGCGATAGTTTTGAATTAGTCGAATATTTGAGAGAAAGATCAAGCAAGGAAATTAAAATCCGTCGTGCAGAACTAGAAGTAAAGCGAAATGAGCAAGAAATACAAAATCAATTGAGTACCCAAGCAGCTACACAACAAACAGAAGTCTTAAAAATGATGCAACAACAAAATCTAAAAATGATGGAGAGGCAAGCTTTACTTCTTCAGCAACAACAGCAAATGTCAACAGCATTTCTTGACATTATTCAGAGGTTCACAACCAAGTAAGATTTTGTTGTCACTTTCAAGGAAAGAATTCTTAACTGTTGTGTTTAACAATCTGTGTAACTATGAACTTTTAATGTTTTGTTATTTCAACTATAATAATTTTCTTACTTACACTTGTCAGTACTTACATAACATGATACATACTTGCTAGTTGTGTGTGTGTGTTTAATAATGAGTCATTTCGGCATTCATTAATTAGTCATAAAGTTATTCGCCAAGGTTAGAGGATCTAACTGAAAAAACCTGGATGTTATATTTCCATACATGCAAGTGAGGGAATTTTTTAACAATGCACAGATAATATATGCTTTCCCAACACTACTTAGACCTATTTTGAGGGGTTTTTTGAAGTCCATGCACCGAAATGAGTTGATCACATCTCCAAATAACCATTCCACAGACACTCTAACTGAACTCATTTGCTTGTTGAATTCTTTCATTCTGTCTGTGATTACCCCATGCCGAAAAGGAGCTTGTAGATGAATCCTCTATGGATAAGCGGGATCCCCATATATGCAAAATGGTCTCCCATCCACAGAAAAAGTATTTTGTTCCAGGTCTTGAAGGAAGTTTGAATCAGTCAACATACCAGCATCATGTTTTTTTCCTTCTGTAATATAGAAAGTATTTGCCTGAGTTATAGACTGTTTTTGCTTCTACAATATAGTGTGTACAATAATACTTTCATTTAAATATGCTGACATAAAATCATGAATGTGCAGGTGCATAGCTCTGTTAACCATGAACTAGTGCCGACCTTGTACGTGTGGTTCAACTGCCTGAATCTCTTTGAGAAAATTTGTTTGTTCTTGCTATATTTGCATATTTTATGTTAATAACTTTGTGTTTCTAAGAAGAACTGTTGTATAACATAACGTTAACGCCATGACAGCTTTATTTTATTAAGGAATATTTTAAACTCAAGGAGTAATAATTAATGGCATAAATACATATATTAAAGTAAATCAAACTGTGAACTTCTTGAGGGTGTTGTTGTTACTGATTGTATAAATCATGTTTACTATTTTCAGATGAACAAACAAGGAATTAAACATCAACTGCAAGTTGTAATCTTAACTGTGCCAGGTACTTGTTGAAAAGAATGATGTAATATTATATGCACACTAAGACCTTCTCTAAATGAACAGAACCATAACCAGAAAGTTATAAGGAAGGGTGTGTGCATATTTTAGAAAAACCAAATACTTGTGATCTTGTTTTAGAATAGAATATGGAATCCGAGTCGCATAGTTTTAGAATACAACTACATGGTTTAAGACAATTTATAGTCTTTCTCTATTATTAAACTTCAGTGTTCATAAGGCATAAGGGTCTGAGTCATCTCATGCATTGTTTATACATTACAAAAGTTATGTTCCCAAGTCATTGTTCATTAGCACTTGCTACAGAGACAATTCATTAGCTATAAAGGAAATCAATTCATACAGTGTTTGAATGCACTCTACAAATTCTGTGTTCTCTTCAAAGTCATACTTGACAGTTGCCAGTTGAATCCAGACAAAAAATAGGTTACTCTAACAACTACAAGTAATTTTCTTTTAAACACAACTCTAATCTCACCACTTATTAGATAAAATATTTTTCCTGTAATCTAGTACTGCATGCCATCAGGTAAACGTTTTAAAGCAATGTAACTTTGATAATTAACAAAATGAGTTCTTTGAGAAAACAATGTTCAAACTAACAATAGAAAAACTATAACATAACAAACAAACTGCATATATGATGAGTACAAAAAAGTAAACAACATTTAAATTCAAATGCTGCTAAAATACAATTTGAGTTAGTGTTATATTGTATTGAAATGTTCTCCATTCATAACAATACATTGGTCATCTGATTCACTGTTGCGTTAGTTGGAGTATTTTCTTTTGACAGCAACGTATTATGTAGTCATCACATCTGTAAATGCATACAACCATCTATTTTCCACTTATGTCTACACATAAACGTCCAGCAATGTGTCTCTCAGTCTTTTGTGTTTTATTCAATTCTCTTGTTAACTATTATGAAATAAAAATGAATGTCTTGGCAAACCATGCTCGTATCTATGCAATGTACTTTTTAGGATTTATACAAGAATGTCCAATAAAAACGTGAAACTTTTTCTCAATAGCATTGATTTATACTTTCATGAGAAAGATTAATAACTTATAAAATGTATTAGCAAACATAGTATTTTGTTCCAGATTTCCTGTCACATGCGGTTTGAGCATCAGTTTATGAACACATATTTTTAGAACTCATCTTGTTTGATAGTGACAAAAAACATTTTTCAAAATGCAGCTACCCACATGTATGCTAAGCATACCTGTTTTTGTTATTTTTGATACTCGTATTCATCTTGACTAAAGCATTTTTTTACTTGCATCCATAAAATAAACTTGAAATTGACAAACACTCAAGAATTGAATTTTTTTTTCCAGTTGATAGTAATCTTCCTTTACAAGTTGTGCGAGCAATTTTGCAAAGTATGGAAGCGATTGCTCCTCCACCAACTGGCGGTGAGTTGGTATTTGGGAAGTGGTTAAAAACTTAATTCAATTGTAAATTGTTAATGATTATTTTAGCCATTCGCTGATTTTTTTCGTGTTATCTTGTAGGAGATAATGAAGTATCTATTCATTTCAAGGAAGGGACTGAAGCACAGAATGAATCAATGGATATTGATTGATGTTGAAGTCATGATGGTGGTAGCGAATAAATCACACTATTAAGCTAATATAGTTCAAGTTTATTATAAGTTCGCCATTGTGTTACATGTGCTCGACTCGACTGAATATAAAATAGCATGCAGTAAAAGTCCTATAAGAATGTTCACGTGTCTATAAGGAAGTTAACTTAAGGAAATATCAAATTACAATGTTTAACCTAACACCCCCACTTAAACATTAGTTTCTTTAGCTACAAATAAATGTATTACATTGGTAAACAAAGCATAATCTAAAATTATTTACAAGATCAGTTACCAAAAACAGTAGACATAAAAGTTTTTAATTTTTGTGCAGATATTGGTTTAGTGAACATATCTGATATATTATCACTTGAAATAACATATTTTACATTAATTAGACCCTTTTGTATTTCTTGCCTAATAAAATGATAGCGAATATCAATATGTTTGGACCTTTGATGTTGCACAGGGTTTTTGGCTAGAGCTATCGCACCTTGATTGTCACAAAACAAACTAACAGGATTTGAGGATTCTATTGGAAAGTCTTTTAAGAGTTGCAAGAGAAATTTTGCTTCTTGAATAGCAGAACTTAATGACATGTATTCTGCCTCACATGTGGATAAAGCAACAGTAGGTTGTTTTCTACTTTTCCATGAAATCAAGGGACCAGTTTTATTTAGTTGGAAACCATATCCCGTTATACTTCGTCTATCCTCTGAGGAACCCCAATCAGCATCACAATAACCCATTAGAGACAGAGGCTGTTGAGATTTTCTGAAGACAAGCCCTTTTTCTGATGTACCTTTTAAGTAACGTAAAACATGCTTTGCAGTGTTCATATCAGATGCTGTAGGAGCAGACAGATGCTGAGACAGCTTAGTCACACTATAGCATAAATCAGGTCTAATTGATGTCATTACATACACTAAACTTCCTACTATCTCTCTGTAGAGCTTGTTATTTACTAGTGGTGATTCTCCAGAGTTCATTTTATTAGAACTCATCTCACATGGTGAAGATCTAGGTTTACAATTTTGCATGTTAAACTTTGCTAGAATCTTCTTGATATACTTTGATTGACTCATTATTATCTCATTTTTCTCACAGGTAAATTCTATACCTAGAAACCAAGAGAGGACGCCCAGGTCTTTCATTTTAAAACGACTACTAAGTTTTTGCTTTACCTCTGCTAAGCACTCTGCACTACTTGATGCTATTATTATGTCATCTACCCAAATGATTAGAATTATCACTGAAGTATCAGTTAACTTGACATATACACAATTATCAGACTCAGATCGACTAAAACCTTCACTTTTTAGGTAAGAGTCCAGTAAATTGTTCCAATTACGACCACTCTGTTTTAACCCATATAGAGATTTCTTGAGTTTAAGAACAAGATTTTCTCCATTATTTCCCTTTTTAACAAAACCGTCAGGTTGTTCCACATAAATATCACAATCTATGGGGGCATTAAGGAATGCAGTCTTAATGTCCATTTGGTGTACAGTTAGATTATATTGTACAGCTAATTGCATTAATATCCTTACTGATGTCATTCTGGCAGTTGGTGAGAAAGTTTCATGATAATCAACATGTGGGATTTGGGAATACCCCTTTGCTACGTAACGAGCTTTAAATCTTTCTTCCCCATTTGGAGCAGTTTTTATGGCGTACACCCATTTCCCCCCCACAGAATTCTTATTCTCCGGCAAAATTGCTGGTTCAAATGTCTCATTTTCTTTTAAAGCTTTGATTTCCTCTTCCATGGCCTGTTGCCATTTCTTAGAGTTATTAGAAGCCATTGCTTCTTCATAAGACTTAGGAGCATCTACAGCTCTATAGCAGTAGTTAATAGTGAAATTTACATTGTTTTCCTCAATCTCACTTCCATCAACATATCGCTCTAAATATCTAGGTTTTGTATGCTCACGTCTTGGATATCTATTTACGTGTGGTTGTTCAGTGGATGTGTTTAGCTCATTTTCGTTTACTTCAACTGGAGGATTTTCATTAACTATATTGTATTCAGTGGTGCTTGCAGGCATACTCACAAGTACTGGTTCATCAATCATTACTTCAGTCTTTGGTACATCACTTTCAACATTAAATTTGTGGAAAATCTTACATTTCGGCAACGCTTAATAGCTTGAGTGCTTGGAAAATAAATGAGATAGGCTGGACTTCCCTTATCATAGCCTACAAATACACCTTGTTCCGCTTTTGCATCTAACTTTTTCTTTTCTTGTTTGTATGCATAGCAAATAGTGCCAAAAATATGCATGTTTTCAATATTTGGCTTGTGTTTAGTAAAGGCTTCAAACGGTGTTTTCTTAATCCTATGATTGAAACAACGGTTCCTTATGTACGCTGCAGTCATAACAGCATAAACCCAAAATGTTTTTTGTAATTTGGATTGTAAAAGCATGCATCTAGCCATGTCAAACAGTGACCTCCAATTTCGTTCTACAGTCCCATTTTGATGGGGTGAATAGGGGGCTGATTTTTCATGTTTAATACTATGTTTGACCAAAAGATTCTGAAATTCTTGCGAAGTGAATTCTGTTCCGTTGTCGCTCCTAATGCGTTTTACCTTGCCATATGGAGTAATATCAGCTAAAAATTTTTCAGTTGCCTTAATAGTGTCAGACTTATTCACTAGAAAATATATCATAGTTAGTCCCGAATAATCGTCTACAAAAGCTAGTGCATATCGATAATCATTTCTGGCTACAGGATCTATTGGACCTGCTAAATCACAATGGACTAGTTCTAGAATTGCATTTGCACGCCTATCCGGTTTTCTACTTCTGCTCTGAGTCATTTTTCCTTCTACACAAGTTTTACAGTCGAATTCTTCCTTCTTGTCTATTTTCATGCCATCAACCACATTTTCTAAAGCAATAATATCATTTAGGTTGCAGTGCCCTAAGATGTCATGCCATTCCTTTAAAGATTTTGTTTTGCCATTTTGCTTAGTCATGCTAGATGAGATTAGACTATTCAAATAATATAACTTTCCTTTTCTCTCAATTGGAAATTCTTTCCCATTTGGGCAAACTAATTTAGCACAATCTGGCGAGAAAGTAACAGTGGCAGCTTTACTAACTGCAGCATGTACAGAGAGAATGTCTTGTTTATAGGATGGGACATAGAGAGCATCCTTAAGAATTGTGTCAAACCTAATAAATTTGCTCATGTCATGAACTATGTGTGTAGTTGCCCCACAGTCTACAAGTACATGGTTAACATAGTCAGCGCTCGTTATATCCACGTTGACATTGAATGCATATGAATGACCTTCATGGATGTCATTGTTACTAACATAATTATCTCTTACTGATTTAGTAGCATCATTCGTATTCCTCGTTTTCTTCTTGTTCTTGCGACATTTTTCTGTGTTGTGGGAGCTGTTCTTGCACAAATCACACCAACGATTATTTGACTGACATTCTGATATTTTATGTCCTGGTTTTCCGCATCCGTAACAAACGATTTTTCCTTTGCCGTGTCTGTTGCTCGTGGGTTTACCGAGAACTTCCATCACGCTGTCCTCCTTTTGGTTATCTTCATCTGAGAGCTTTAGTGTTTCTTCGAAACCTCTCAGCGCGACTTTGAATTCGCTAAACGTTTGTTCCTTGTCTTTCTGTGTCACAACCGTCGAGAACGTTTTATATTTTTCAGAAGGCAATCCTTTGATAATCATGGCAATCAGCAAGCTATCGCTTATCGTTTCACCAGCAGATTTGAGAGACGTTGATGCCGTTTCTACGGTGGCCCACAAGTACAATACACGAAAACAAATGGAAGTAAACGAACACAAATGGAAGTACACGAACACAAATGGAAGTACACGAACACAAATAGAAGTACACGAACACAAATAGAAGTACACAAACACAAATAGAAGTACACGACGGACACAATAGAAGTACACGACGAACACAAATAGAAGTACACAAACACAAATAGAAGTACACAAACATAAATGAAGCACACAAACACAAATGGGGTGCACAAACACAAATGGAAGTGCACGGACACAGATGGGGTGCACAGGCACTGATGGAGTGCACAGGCACAGATGGAGTGCACAGGCACAGATGGAGTGCACAGGCACAGATGGGAGTGCACGAACACAGATGGAGTGCACAGGCACTGAATGGAGTGCACAAGCACAGATGGAGTGCACGGACACAGATGGAGTGCACGGACACAGATGGGAGTGCACAGGCCTGGAATGGAAGTGCCAGGCACAGATGAGTGCACAGGCACAGATGGAGTGCACAACACAAATGGGAGTGCCTGGCACAAATGGGAGTGCACAGGCACAGATGGAGTGCACAGGCACAGATGGAGTGCACAGGCACAGATGGGTGCACAGGCACAGATGGCGGTGCACGGACACAGATGGAAGTGCACAGGCACAAACAGAGTACAACACAAAGAGTACACAAACACAAATGGAGTAGACAAACACAAATAGAAGTACACAAACACAAATGGAAGTACACAAACACAAATAGAAGTACACAAACACAAATAGAAGTACACAAACACAAATAGAAGTACACAAACACAAATAGAAGTACACAAACACAAATAGAAGTACACAAACACAAATAGAAGTACACAAACACAAATAGCAGTACACGAACACAAATAGAAGTACACAAACACAAACAGAAGTACACCAACACAAATAGAAGTACACAAACACAAATGGAAGTAGACAAACACAAATTCATATTCTGGTTAAATAGCAACAATGACTAAATGAGAAGTATAGCGGTCATCACAATTGCTAACGATTTAATACTTTGAGTTTACATCCACAAAATGGAAGAAGCGATACGATATTATTTTAGTAAGAATTATCAATACAAAACTATTTTGAGTTTACTCGATAAATTCCATGGCATTTCCATTTCAAGAAGTACGCTTTTAAATAAGTTAAAACAGTTTGGGTTGCGTCGGCGCGGGAATGTTGTTGACGAAAATCGTATCAGAGAATACATTTTACGAGAAATTGATGGATGCGGTAATATGCTTGGCTATAGAGCTATTTGGAGAAGACTGCAATCTAAATATAACGTACAAGTACGACGTTCGGTTGTCCAAACTGTACTTAAAGAAATCGACCCTGAAGCATCGAGACTTCGACGAGCAAACAGACTTACAAGAAGAAACTATTTGAATCCCGGACCCAACTATGCGTGGCACGCTCACGGTTATGATAAACTGAAGCCATATGGCTTTGCAATTCATGGATGCATTGATGGCTTTAGTCGCCGAATATTATGGTTGGAAATCGTCAAATCGAATAACGATCCTCGAGTCGTTGGTCGTTTGTTTTTCGACTGTGTTCAGAAAATACAATGTTGTCCTACTCTGTTAAGAACCGATAGAGGTACGGAGAATGGTATAATGGCCACCATTCAATGCTTTCTACGAAGAAACCACCAGGATTCTCTAGCAGATTTAAAAGCACATCGCTATGGGTCATCGCATACCAACCAAAGGATAGAAGCCTGGTGGGCCATATTGCGTAAATCATGGGCGTCATGGTGGATAAACTTTTTTAAGGATCTTATTGCCCGCGGTGTACTGGATACTAGCAACGTTATGCATCTTCAGTGTCTTTGGTTCTGCTTTCACCCAGTGATGAAGGACTCACTAAGTGAAATGAAAGAATCATGGAATTCTCATTACGTACGCAAATCACGCTACCATACTGTACCTGGTATTCCAAATCAGCTTTATTTTCTTCCTGAATCTGTTGAAGCAGAAGATTACAAGAAAATGTTTGATCAACGAGATCTTAATCAGGCGGAAGACTTCATTGGCATGACAGATAATGAAAATTGTATTTATCAAGAATATTTTACATACAATGCACATTTGCTTGAAGTTGAAACACCGCAGAACTGGAGAAGTGCGTTGATCACGTATGAACGTTTGTTAGCAGAAGCACAACCAAATCATTCTTAGAATAATTAGTGCCATGTGCTGGTGTGTTAAATATTTGTAAAGCACTTTCTCTTGTAGAGGAACTGTTGTTATGTATGACATGAAAATAACTTTTCAAACCTTTATTAAGAATCGCAAACGCTCTTACGTAACAATAGAGCCACGGAAGTGATGAAAAATCCTATACATCGCTCTTGCCAACCAAAAAAATAGATTGAAAGTAAAACTACAGTAGATATTTAGTTTTGACATAGAAAATAAAATAATGTGAAAGATTGTTTTAACAGTATATCATGGATTTCACCAACAACAACGAAACATCACATGTCATAACATGTACAAAGCTAACAAAACTAGAGTGCCACATAAAATTCAGATAAAGCGTACGTAGATATAACTTCAATGTCCCCATTAGACAATATCAAAAGTCCACGAACTCTTCTCGCGAAGAATTGATGAGAACTCTTCAACTAGTTCATTGTAGCACTGATAGGTGCTAGGGACTTCAAGTAAAGGACCACAAGTATGCGCCACAGGCCGACGAGCTAAACCATTTAAGTCAGTGAATGTGACCTTTAATTTCATTTCGGGCAGAACCACACTGGCTCCAGTAGTGAACTGAAGAAATGCACCGACGTTACTTCCAAGAGATTTAATGAATTTAGTCAAGTGTTCGAACGTTACGTGCTCGTTGTCATTTTGCGGAGATGCATCAAGCATTTTAATGACTTTCTTTGGCGTAGGCTTTTTTTCATCGTAAAACAAAAGAATGTTTGAGATATTCTGGAATTGTGTACCTTCGACATTCATCGATTGTAGTATCGGATTCCAGCAGTTGCTTACGTAGCGCGGTTTCTGAATGAGTTCTTGATGGGCAAGTTGGGAGATAATACTTTCAATGTTTTCGCCGCTTGGATTTCTGTAACAGTTGTAGCTGCTTAGCAGGTCTAATAAGTCCGTATTCTGCACGAAGTTCTCGCAATTTTGCAAACAATCAATGATGACATCTTTTCATCTTCAGATACATACAGCTTAAATGCCTGCAACAACATATCGTCAGAAATGTCGTCATCGCCCAGAATACAACTAGCGACAAAACGGCTGACAAGGAAATAGGAAAATCCCTCTTTGCTGTATCCTTATAACAATATTCTAGCTATTACTTCCCACTGATCTTTCTGGTAATCATGTCGTATTACGGGAACTTTAGCCGCGGCTCCTACAGCAAGAGACTGAAAGAAGAGACACCAAAATTCTGTAAGCACATCCCTAGCAACACCCTTTCCTTCACCTCTCTCTTCAACACCTCGTGCATCAACGACTTTAAAAAACAAAATTGAATTCGACACTTTGGGATCACAAAATGCAGCAATTAGATCTTTCACAAGTGTTGATCGATGAATAATTATTTCCATTTCGTCGGGAGTGACTTCAGGCTGGCTTCTTTCAAACTGCACCATGATTGAACTTGTTCCACGATCCATTACGTCGGCATGATTTAGTGAATCGCTCTGATCTAGAAAAAAACAACGTAACCTAAATATGCAATATGTTTTGAACAGTTTCTGTAGATTTGCTGCTTTCACCATTCCATTAATTTATCACCTTCAATTGGGAAATTTCAAATTCATAATTTTATATACCTAACCCAACAAAAGAACAACAATTGCTTGGTTTTGTGTAAAGCTCTAATTTACAATAGATTTTCTAAAAATATTGCTTTTCAGTATCTCACAATGTGAGTAAAAGTTAAGAAAACCATTTATACAAAGACCACCACAGGATCAATGTTAAATAACAAAGAATACATCAAAAAATAATTCAAGATAATAATAATGAATTATCTTTGTTCATATTTCAAATGTGACAAATGACTTATGCAATTCTTTAAGAATAAAATTTAATTTTACAATTCCCATATCATATATTAATCCAATTACTATACAAAATAAGGTCACAAAAGTAACAACAAACCTTCATGAAGTCTAAACTGCACATCCCCTTCAAAACTATTTTCCAAATCATTGGAAGGTGTTTCCATAGCAGCTATCATTAAACAATCTGGAACATCATCAGAGTTAAATGCATTTAGAGGATCAGGCATCTCACAAAGATTGCTGTTCACTTGGAATGTATCATTAGCAACTGCCTGTATTGGCGGTGAACATGGTTTGCTCTCCATCCCAGTATATATATGTGCCACTTCTTCACTATCATCCAGGTCATTTGCAACTATGACATAACAGTTACACATTTCATTCAAACATTTTTGTAAGACAAGCCCATAATTCATTTTAAGCAAACAAAATTGTATGTCAACTGTTCTCTCACATTAAAATTAACATGTCTAAATATATGGCTCCAGCAATATGTGCATACATTCATTGCTGCCCTATGACTATGGTAAAGACTATGTACAGAACATTTACAGGTATTTTTATTGTGAAGTGTAAGGGTGCTACTTACGTTCATAGTCATGTATTCGACATAAATATAAGTTGACACGAGAATATGCTCTTCGTATGGACTCTTTATACTTTTCCACTGAGAATGGACTTTGTGTTCCAGGGAGATGAAGCACTTGATCAAAATCTGGATACAAAAAAATCCAACCACAATGACCAATTTCTCTCATATGTTTGCTGTGTGCCAATTGTTTTGTAATTCCCTTTTCTTTAACAGCAACATGATAATCAGTTTTTAGCACTTCAACTGGAAGAAGGGATCCTCTTCTAATTTTCAATTTTCTGCAGTCAACATCAACCTCTGCAACTCCTATATTGATCTGCACAAAGATAATAAATAACAATAAGAAAGGGTTCATTGGGGGGTAACAAAGTACAACTAAAACTGTGTTTGTAGATATCTGACATGAACATCTTAAACTGAGAATGGGAACTTACAAAGACACTCACCTTAACCAGTTCTTCTTTGTTCTTTTTCTTTTTTGAGATGTGACACACACGTTCATTCTTCTTCCGTTTTCGAATGGAGTTAATCTCTTCTTCTTGAGTCTGTAATTTTTGTCTTCTTTCCACAAACTCACAGAAGGTTAAAGACTGCTTTGTACAATCATGATCCATGGTGTAAGATGTACTTTGAGATGTACCTTCATATTCACGGTCCGGTGTGCATTTAATTATTTCTGCACCTCAGTTCCCACAGAAATTGGCTTTTTGATGGTTAATAGCTGTGCCACATGTCTGACAAAACATCAGAAAATTTGTCTATAATAACAAGTCTCAAGCTTCTAATCGTATACGAGAAAAAATATGATCTGATCATTCGCTGTTGAATTGTGTGTTTGTGTAACATTGTGTGCTTCCATTTGTGTTTGTCTTCTTCCATTTGTGTTGGTGTACTTCTATTTGTGTTTGTGTACTTCTATTTGTGTTTGTGTACTTCTATTTGTGTTTGTGTACTTCTATTTGTGTTTGTGTACTTCTATTTGTGTTTGTGTACTTCTATTTGTGTTTGTGTACTTCTATTTGTGTTTGTGTACTTCTATTTGTGTTTGTGTACTTCTATTTGTGTTTGTGTACTTCTATTTGTGTTTGTGTACTTCTATTTGTGTTTGTGTACTTCTATTTGTGTTTGTGTACTTCCATTTGTGTTTGTGTACTTCTATTTGTGTTCGTGTACTTCCATTTGTGTTCGTGTACTTCCATTTGTGTTCGTGTACTTCCATTTGTGTTCGTGTACTTCCATTTGTGTTCGTGTATTGTACTTGTGGGCCACCGTAGTTTCATCACTTGACTTCTTTAGCGAGGTTAGTTCTGTATATAATGTTATCACACGTGGTTTGCCTTTCGAAAGATAGTGCTCGCGTAAGATCGCCAAAGCTTTTCTTCCATCGTTAGCAGCGTCACGAATAATGAGAGATAAACTTCTATCGTCCAATAGTTGTATCAGTTCAGCATAGGCATCGGCATTTTTCACAGCGTCTTCTTCTCTTTGTGTTGGCTCAGCGTCGGCAGGCAATGATGACAGGATTGTTTTACTCAGCTTCTTGAGTTATTTCCCATAACTCATACTTTCTCTCGTCACCATCGAGAATTAGGCGGCTGTTGCTGGGCCCATAACCTGTTGAAGTCATGATGGTGGTAGCGAATAAATCACACTATTAAGCTAATATAGTTCAAGTTTATTATAAGTTCGCCATTGCGTTACATGTACTCGACTCGACTGAATATATAATAGCATGCAGTAAAAGTCCTATAAGAATGTTCACGTGTCTATAAGGAAGTTAACTTAAGGAAATATCAAATTACAATGTTTAACCTAACAATTGACATTCAAACTTGAACATACACTTTAGTGAACATGGAAAGTTTTAACGAAAGTAAAATATGGCATGGCCTTATATTCAATGCTTATGATCTTCTACAATTTTCTATGCTTTAGAACATATAATCCGCACTTTGTTTTACTGACTTTAGTCAAAATTTAGCTGCTAAAAAAAATAAAAGAAACTTGTTACACTGTGTAGTCCGTGCTTGTATTTTGTTCGAAACACACGCATTCATATGTCGCGTTGTTTATCTCTCACCCTGTTTTCAGTGTTTTGGCGAGGAAAATGTAAAGCAGACAGAATATTGTTTTCTTCATATTTATTTCAATTAGAAATCATGTCGATGTTGATCGTCAGAAATGACGATGAACTTAAATATATGATTGGAGTCAACTTATGGTCCTATGAAAAATAAGTACAACAAAAATGATATATTTACATGTGCAATTCCTTTGCGTTTAAACAATAAACATAAATTTCATTATACAACTGAATCACCGGCAAAAGAGCCCTATTAAAATGTTATTTAGCAAATAATTATACAAAACAACAAGCCCGTTCGATTTATCCTAGAAGTTCTACTTCTGAAATTAGTGAAATATAAATTTTTTTCGGTTCGTATGTGTGTGTTGAAATGCGTTTGTGTTCAGAGAAAGTGATCGTATTTCTGAATATGTATGAAAACAAACTTGGCCGGAGAAAAGAGCTACAGCATTTTACTTGGCATTACGAAAATGTAGTATTGTCTTGTCATTTATATTGTTGCCAAGTTCATTCGGTCGACTTTTAAATAAAAATAAAATGTAACGTTTTTTAACAGTCCAATCCCATCGTTGCACTTCTCAAAGTTGTACTTCTGAAATCATTGAAATGTAAATTTTTTCGGTTCGTCTGTGTGTGTGGACGTGCGTGTGTGTGCACAGAAAGTTATAATAGTTCTGAATATGTACAGTAATAAAATATGGCATGGCCTTTATATTTAATGCGTATGATCTTCCACAATTTTCTATGCTTAAGAGCGTATAATCCGCACTGCGTTTTACTGACTGTAGTCAAAACTTAGCAGCTGAAAATATCGTTCGATTATATGCTATACTGGTGATTGTAGGCGTAAAGTATATCTCGTTTGGGCAAAAAATACAATATAGTATAAAACAAATTCCGAAGAAGCAAGACACTTGAGATTGTACAATATGCATCAAAACAAGACGAGAAGTGACATGTAAATTTTCGACTTTACTTCAAAGTTATCCTCACACAGAATAGAGTCGAAAATTTACAGTTCACTTCTTGTCTTGTTTTGATGCATATTTTGCAATCTCAAGATGTCTTGCTTCTTCGGAATTTGTTTTATACTATATTTCTTTAAATTGTCGCTGGTCATAGTTTTTGGCCAAAAAATACAAGGACTTGATACATTGTCCGGTCCGTGCTTGTAATTTGTTCGAAAGACACGCATTCATATGTCGCGTTGTTTATCTCTCACGCTATTTTCAGTGTTTTGGTGAGGAAAATGAAAAGCAGACAGAATATCGTTTTCTTCATATTTACTTCAATTAGAAATCATGTCGATGTTCATCGTCAGAAATGACGACGAAATTAAGTATATGATTGGAGTCAACTTATGGTCCTATGAAAAATAAGTACAACAAAAATGATATATTTACATGTGCAATTCCTTTGCGTTTAAACAATAAACATAAAATTCATTATACAACTGAATCACCGGCAACGGAGCCCTATTAAAATGTTATTTAGCAAATAATTATACAACACAACAAGCCCGTTCGATTTATCCTAGAAGTTCTACTTCTGAAATTAGTGAAATATAAATTTTTTTCGGTTCGTATGTGTGTGTGGAAGTGCGTTTGTGTTCACAGAAAGTGATCGTATTTCTGAATATGTATGAAAACAAACTTGGCCGGAGAAAAGAGCTACAGCATTTTACTTGGCATTACGAAAATGTAGTATTGTCTTGTCATTTATATTGTTGCCAAGTTCATTCGGTCGACTTTTAAATAAAAATAAAATGTAAAGTTTTTTAACAGTCCAATCCCATCGTTGCACTTCTCAAAGTTGTACTTCTGAAATCATTGAAATGTAAATTTTTCGGTTCGTCTGTGTGTGTGGACGTGCGTGTGTGCACAGAAAGTTATAATAGTTCTGAATATGTACAGTAATAAAATATGGCATGGCTTTTATATTTAATGCGTATGATCTTCCACAATTTTCTATGCTTAAGAGCGTATAATCCGCACTGTGTTTTAATGACTGTAGTCAAAACTTAGCAGCTGATAATATCGTTCGATTATATGCTATACTGGTGATTGTACGCGTAAAGTATATCTCGTTTGGGCAAAAAATACAATATAGTATAAAACAAATTCCGAAGAAGCAAGACACTTGAGATTGTACAATATGCATCAAAACAAGACGAGAAGTGACATGTAAATTTTCGACTTTACTTCAAAGTTATCCTCAGACAGAATAAAGTCGAAAATTTACAGTTCACTTCTTGTCTTGTTTTGATGCATATTTTGCAATCTCAAGATGTCTTGCTTCTTCGGAATTTGTTTTATACTATATTTCTTTAAATTGTCGCTGGTCATAGTTTTTGGCAAAAAATACAAGGACTTGATACATTGTCCGGTCCGTGCTTGTAATTTGTTCGAAAGACACGCATTCATATGTCGCGTTGTTTATCTCTCACGCTATTTTCAGTGTTTTGGTGAGGAAAATGAAAAGCAGACAGAATATCGTTTTCTTCATATTTACTTCAATTAGAAATCATGTCGATGTTCATCGTCAGAAATGACGACGAAATTAAGTATATGATTGGAGTCAACTTATGGTCCTATGAAAAATAAGTACAACAAAAATGATATATTTACATGTGCAATTCCTTTGCGTTTAAACAATAAACATAAAATTCATTATACAACTGAATCACCGGCAACGGAGCCCTATTAAAATGTTATTTAGCAAATAATTATACAACACAACAAGCCCGTTCGATTTATCCTAGAAGTTCTACTTCTGAAATTAGTGAAATATAAATTTTTTTTCGGTTCGTCTGTGTGTGTGGAAGTGCGTTTGTGTTCACAGAAAGTGATCGTATTTCTGAATATGTATGAAAACAAACTTGGCCGGAGAAAAGAGCTACAGCATTTTACTTGGCATTACGAAAATGTAGTATTGTCTTGTCATATATATTGTTGCCAAGTTCATTCGGTCGACTTTTAAATAAAAATAAAATGTAAAGTTTTTTAACAGTCCAATCCCATCGTTGCACTTCTCAAAGTTGTACTTCTGAAATCATTGAAATGTAAATTTTTTTCGGTTCGTCTGTGTGTGTGGACGTGCGTGTGTGTTCTCAGAAAGTTATAATAGTTCTGAATATGTACAGTAATAAAATATGGCATGGCTTTTATATTTAATGCGTATGATCTTCCACAATTTTCTATGCTTAAGAGCGTATAATCCGCACTGCGTTTTACTGACTGTAGTCAAAACTTAGCAGCTGAAAATATCGTTCGATTATATGTTATACTGGTGATTGTAGGCGTAAAGTATATCTCGTTTGGGCAAAAAATACAATATAGTATAAAACAAATTCCGAAGAAGAAGACACTTGAGATTGTACAATATTCATCAAAACAAGACGAGAAGTGACATGTAAATTTTCGACTTTACTTCAAAGTTATCCTCAGACAGAATAGAGTCGAAAATTTACAGTTCACTTCTTGTCTTGTTTTGATGCATATTTTGCAATCTCAAGATGTCTTGCTTCTTCGGAATCTGTTTTATACTATATTTCTTTAAATTGTCGCTGGTCATAGTTTTTGGCAAAAAATACAAGGACTTGATACATTGTCCGGTCCGTGCTTGTAATTTGTTCGAAAGACACGCATTCATATGTCGCGTTGTTTATCTCTCACGCTATTTTCAGTGTTTTGGTGAGGAAAATGAAAAGCAGACAGAATATCGTTTTCTTCATATTTACTTCAATTAGAAATCGTGTCGATGTTCATCGTCAGAAATGACGACGAACTTAAGTATATGATTGGAGTCAACTTATGGTCCTATGGAAAATAAG